TTGGTTCATTTAAGTTTCATTTAATGGACAATATCATTTATACATATAGGGAAGCTATAAAGAGAATTTCTATATAATATTGTAATAACATATCTATTGAAAAATGAAACGTTGTAGCTTATCATGTAATAAAAATACTATCATAATAAATCGATGATATTCAGCGAATTATTAAGAAGCCTGAAATGTCCTTGACAATTAATAGATAATTCTAGGCTGAATTTTACACCTAACAATAGAAAATAAAATTACAATGATTTGAACAAAATGATAGGATATCATATTCAATTTTATTCAAAACTAAAAATCATTTATATATGAATATATAAATATATATATATATATATAGTCTATCTCTACAGTGGTTTAAATAGAAAATGTAAATCAATACTTATTTACATATATAGGAATCTATTTTATCTACACCTATACTACTTATTAATTATATAACCCTTAATGATTTTTTGAATAGTGTTATTCTATTTGATAAAATCCCCAAGCACAATAAAAAAATAAGCATTCGAAATAATTTACGCAACGTGTCAATTTCCATAAATATTATATATTTATTTTAAAGTAACAGATTTTGTCAATAAATAGCCTAAAAGTTTATATTTAAAAATGATTATCTAGCCCTATCTGTGTATATTTATGATTAGTTATTTGGTTGTCTAGGCGATAAGGAAACCTCGGAAGAATATTCCGTTAAATGTTCGAAAGTTATGTCACGTATTACGAGCTAGTTTTAGCAATACCAAAGAGAAAGTAATTCACATCAATGTTATTTTACAAAAGACGACTTAAATTTTACGAATTATATTAAAAAACATCATTTGAAGACATTTTTCCAAATCTGATAGATGATGGTATGTATTGAGTAAATTTTCTTATTTAGCAAATTGTACTATGTTTGTATTTTAGGCGGGAGTAGTTTATTTTCGCGTGTGTCTTTTTTTCGCTTAGCGGTTTTCAATACGTAAAATAAGTGTTATGCTAACTACATCAATTCAAAATAATTCAATGTAAAAATTACGATCATCTAGGGCCTTAAAAATTATTTATTATATGGTTTACGTCTGTTTCGAATGCCAAACAGGCGAATCGACAATTTTAAATGTCTAAAAAACAAGATGAGTACCCAATGAAATATTTTAAAACGTAGATTGATTTGTCCAGATTTTAAGCTATTGATCGAAATATTAAACATATACTGTTGCTTTCATTGAAAATATGTTTTCGAAAATATCTATAAACAACTGAAAATTTCCTGTAAACTATTGCTTCTGTTGGCGTACAAACTGTTTTTTTATATTACCAACAAAACATACATGTTGCAAGACAAAAGCATTATCTCTCACTTTAGATATCTGACATATGTTAGTTAAATATCTGTAACATGACTTTATGAAAGATATTACTCTACTTAAGCTTTTAATTGCAACTACAATAGTACATTGAACGATAATACGTAACTAATTTGTTAATAGTACGTCGTTAAGTATGACATATATTCAATATTCTAATATTCGTAAAGAGATATCAATTGGGGTTAAAATTGAATATTTTATTATAAGTTATTTACTTAAAGTTAGTAAATGTAAACAAGAGACGGTCGTATGGGCTGTTTGAAAACTTTGAAAACAATTGTTTTCTTTCAAGTATCAATATACTTGAATTGTTTAGTTTTTTCTTTCAAAACTAATAAAGGTATTACTATATCTTTTTTAGAACTTGACTATATCACGGTCACAAAGCTATGTACTCTTCTTATCAAAATTACACTTGCCAATTCTTTTGCAGATAAATGAAATACTAATGTAATATTAATATTAATCAATTTTAAATGAAACTATACGTTTTATTTATAATAGAAGTTGCCAAGTTTGTTTTTAAGAGTGGTATTAAATTTACAAACTTTTAGCGATCCATTTTCAGCCCATGGGGCATTGTGAACAGTACATTTGTTATTCTAATCCTCTGTTCATAGGCCAAAACTTTTCCAGTTGAACTGTTAGATGGCGCTCAGAAAATCGAAAATTCAATATATATCTTAGTTACTTTAGGCGAATAAAGGTTGCTGTAATCGAGTAAAGAATATGTATTTATATATAGATAGATCTTAACTAAAACAAAAAAGGAACATAATCTGAATCAGTAGAACTGAGAAAATAAGACTTTTCTAGATCGACTATTTGACGTAAAAAGTTAACCAATGCCTGGAATTTTTTAGTTTGGAGTAGAAGAAAAGTTGATATGTTTACTTCCCTGCAAACCACCTCTGCAAATTTTAGTTTAACTACTGCAATATGTGTTGCATTGATTTCGTTTTTGTAGTTTTTTTTTATTTTTAAGAAGATTTGATGTTTTCTTTTTGAAAAGGAAAAATTATTTATGACTATATAAAAAAGCATAAATTAGCTTCTATTGAAGACTATGCTAGGAGTCTAAAAAAAGGACTATATAAAATATACTGCAATCATGGAAGATGATGGTTTTATTTGGTCAGAAGAGTTTGAACAAACTCATTTAAATCTTGTTAATATACAAATTGTACCAAATTCACCGGATAAGCAGGAAAATCCTTATTTGGATGTTTTTGAGCATTTTGAATTACTATCGGATTCAAGCGATTCGGTTTGTTTCTTTTTATTTTGCAGATATTTTTCGAGATTCTAAACTATAACAGGACTAGAATAATTTTTCCGGGGGGAAATTTTGAAGGAATTTAGGTCAAAGGCCTATGTATTTTGGATTTAGAACGGTGTGTTAAGTAGTGCGTGTGTGTACATTAAGGTCATTGATCTCTTACTGAAAGTGTTAAGGTTATAATTGATTTTCAAGCTAAATTTCATTAAACTTTTGTCAATTTGAATATTCTACGATAATAATCTGATGTTCAATTAATTAGCTTTTATTATACGATAAGAAATGATTGATATCTATGCATTCGAGCGAGGAAACAGACTTTCTTCTGCATAAAATTAGTCAGGTTAACTATGAGCAGCTTCTAACTTCTAATTTAGTGATAAGGTAAGGGTACCATATTTCAAGATAAGTTTTATTTTTCTTTAAATTAATGTAACATAATTTAAATCGATATAGTTTTTTATTTATCTCTTATAGTAAAATTGTATTTTATTAACAACCGACTGTATTGTACATATTTCTTTGGTAATATACCTTTTACTCTGGATCCTATAGCATATACAATACATGTTATTTACAATAATTCTGATGTAATTAAGCAAAAAATTGTCGGATAAAGATGAAATTAAACCTTCATTGAAGTATGAACGGCAGCTGACAATTTATTGATTTTTTGTAGCTATAAACCAGACGGTGTATTGATTTAGGAAATAAATGAGATGAAAATCAAGTTGACAGGCAAAAAGGACTAGATGATTGTAACATAGAACATGTTTATTCCGTTCTGTCACGAAGCGCTTCCTGTGACGTTTTTGCATTGTACATTGTAATAATTCTACAGGCCTAGCCCCCTAGAAACTATGATTTTAATCATTTTTCGGCCTGATTTTATTGCGTGGATGTATTTAGTCGATAAGATATGCTCTATAAGATAACGGTTTGTAATATTTTCGTCTTAAAATCATCAATGATTGCTATGATTTAACTCTATGTACCATCTGAAAATTTCTAGGATTTCGCTGACCTAATGCGAAAAATCGTTGATCATTTTTTACTCATATTGATCAATTACGTATTATTTTAGTTCTTTAAATATTCTCTTCTTTATATGTACTCAATTATTATCGTATTTAACAAAGAATAACTAAAAATATTCATATTTATTTAAGAGTATTTTATTTCCTACAATCTGTTTGTTTTAGAGTCCTTTTTTCGGTAATATTTTACATTAAATATAGTTCAAAGTTATTAAAGAAACTTCACCCTATTATCTATTATTAATATATAATCTAAAGCAGCAAATGCCTTTGACTTATTCGACTATATACTATAAAAAATTTATATATATATATATATATAAATACACTCAATGTTACATCTTTCATATATTTTTTTATTCTCTTCGAAACAACTTTCCCCACCCTAAGGCAAAATAAACTTAAGCATGTTTTCTTTTTTCCCCCTATTACCACTAATTATAATTATAGTATTATATAAAATAACAATAATATGCTTTTAACAAAATTCGTAGTTTATTATTCAATTTTATGTTAATGCGTAGAGAAGAATATTTTTATATTACAAATGTTTACGTAGCAATATAGTAGGTTAAGCTCAATTTATACTATATTTATTCACCATATTAAAACTACACGTGAATTGTTTTTTTATAGGAAAAAAAAGTACATTTTTTTCTCTCTCTCTCTCTCTCTCTCTTTCATTCACTTTTATACTCTCTCCATTGTTTGCCAATCTCAAAAATATCCTACTGGAATAGATTAATATACAGAATATTTCCATTTACATAGGTAAATAATGTTATTTGTTTTAATTAAATACTTGAATCGGTGAAGAAGTACTCGTCAATCTCTGTAGCAATACTTTCTTTAATTAATTAGCTAATTATAATAATAATGATAATAACACTAAATAATTATGTTGTATACGTTTTGTAATTCTTTTTAAGAACTTTATCTTAAGATTATATTTATGATCAGAGTAGAGTATTTTTTTTGCTATTAGTTTCTTGGATTGATTTATTACAAATTTTATCACTATTTTTATATATCCTGATCTCTCTAATAAATGTTTAATATTCGATATTTTATTTAGTTAATAATTTTGTAATCAGGACATTGACCTTAAATTTAAAAGGGAGGGAGTTTACCTGTTGAATTGTTGGGGACGGTGTAAAAAAATTGATAAGCTTATTATTCTTTTAAGATGGTGCAATGGACCGTAATATTTCATATAAGATGCATTTATCGTTTTCTTTTGGCACTTAACTAAAAAATAGAATTAAATATTTCTATTCTAGTATTATAATTGTAACTGTTAAAAAGCTATGTAAAGTGATAACGATTTACAAGTGAATGAAGTGTATTTAATGATTTTTTTTGGAGTATATTGTGTGTTTTATACGAACACATTGATTATTTTTATAAATTACCTTTATTTTATTTTTCTATAATATAAACCTTATATATATTATCTATTTATAATTTGTATATGTTGACAAAAAAGAAATCCCAACAGGGAAGCAGCAGCGCCTCGAATAGTGGTAGAAAACGTAAATCCTTACTTCCTGCACCTACTTCTCTCCCTCAAAACTCCATTTCCACTACCCAAGGCTTTAAAATTGGAGACAGAGTACGAATATCTGGTACAAAATCGGGTATTCTGAAATATTTTGGTAAAACAAAATTTGCTCAGGGTGAATGGTGTGGCATTGAATTAGATGAAAAAATTGGTAAAAACAATGGAAGCGTTGAAGGTGTTACCTACTTCAACTGTGAAGATAATTTTGGTATTTTTGCTCCTGTGAGTAAAGTCACTATGGAGAAGAAGGAGGAAGTAGAAGTTAAGAGGGCAAGACAAAACCAATCGTCTTATCAGAGTCGATTGTCGATGGGTCTTCGTTCCTCTAAACTCCGACAGAATCAAACAGACTCCAAAGATAAAGAAAAGTCTGTTGCAACTGGGGCAACAACTAGTGAATCTAAAGTCGAAAAACGCACTGATACCAAAGGAAAAAAGAAAAATACAACGATCACCAAAGTCGATGATCCATCCGCTGGTAGTAGTGAAGACCCTAGTGAATGTCGTGACAAATTTCCTCCAAATATTCAGTCAATGGAAAAAAGTTCTGACGTTAGCGAAGCAAACGCTATATTAACCGCTAGCACGGATACCGGTTATCAGGATGATGTTGTTTCAAGTATGCATCTTTCTGCTGTTCATCCGCGTTCTATTACTAGTTCTATTACTACTTCCAAAGAGCATGATCAACTTGTCTTAAGTAGTGATACTGGCTATCAATGTGATTTACCGCCACTTACCCAGTCTAAAATTGCAACTCTGCAAGATTGTCCAGTCTCTCTAGTTTCTTCAACCGATACAGGTTATCAAGGAGAATTATCCCCAAATATCAATTCGAATAATGCAACTTTCACTATTGTCTCGGATGCTATTGATAAAGTGGAGGAGTTAGAAACTGAAAAAGAAAAGGATAAATCCTTGAAGGAAGAGGCAACTGTAGATGTCATACAAATGTCGCATCACTCGGATTTCTCAGTTTCTGTCGATTTTTCGACCCAGCAGTTGGAAGTCACATATGATGTTATTCAAATGCAACATGAAAGTAGCAGTTCGTCAAATGATAAAGAAAACTGTATTGGAAAAGATGTGAAACATTCCAGTCCGGAAAAGCCAAAGAAAACTGCAGAGAAGAAAACCAATAGTTTACGTAAACCCCAAGTTAAAACCATTCCGAAAAAAGATGAAAAACCTATACCAAAGAAAAGTTCGATACCACCAGCCAAAAATCCTACTTTTAAGAGACCTAGTGTACCTCCTCCCAAAGTCACCACAAAGAAACCCGTTCAAATTCCTGTTGTAAAGAGAACTTCAATTACACCTAAAGTTCCACCGATAAAATTAAACTCTAGCACACTATCTGATAATTCATCAAACGCCTCCTTCACTCGACTAAAAACATCAACGCCTGTGAAGAAAGATGCACAAAATAGACGGCTATCTTTGGGAATATCTAAAGAAACACCTACTTTAAAGCAAAGAAATATTAATAATTCTACAACCAGTGTAGATTCCCAAGCATCCCGGAATTCTGTTAGTTCAAGAGGTTCTTTCTCAACAAGGAATACCAGTAAAGGCCCTCCTTCCGCATCAAGTAATACATCCAGTAAGCAAAGTATTTTTGTAAATTTTTAACAATTAAATTAATTTGTCTTCTATTTAAAATAGTTTCCGCTGCTGCACGTCAAAAGAGAAGGTCCTCAATGCCTCATTCTAACAATCCTCCGCTAAAGAAAGAAGATCATGCTAAGATCGCAGGTATTTTTATTATTAAATATTTTCTTTTCAGTTTAGAAATTAAATGTAAATAATAAATTCTTAATGGTAAAAATTTTCTTTTACGCAGAAAATTTAAAGTTAGAAAAGAAGAAATTAGAAAAGATCCTTGCAGATAGAGAAAAAATGATTGTTGATTCCCAAAAGATTTTACAACATTCAAATAGAGGCTTTTCTGTATTTGCTGTTCTTCTTCAATTTTTACAACTTAAGGTATATTTTAATATAATATATATAAGAAAAAATATATTATGTTGATTATGTTTTCATCTAACCAGCTTGATGAATCGAATTGTGATAATGAAAGAATCAGAAATTTTGGTGGTTAGTAATTCATTATAGAGTATACTATTAAAAGAAACAATTTTTTGAATCATTATCAATTTTGCAGAGGCCATAAAAACCGAAAGAGATGAGTTATATACGGAAATAGAACAAATTAAGAACGAATTTGAAGAAGAAAGAACAGAAATATCGAATAATCATCATTTAGAAATAACAGAATTACAAGATCGAATAACAGAATTAGAAAGTTTAATTGAAGATTGTAAGTTTTAAAAATGTTTCAATACCGTAAGAAATTTTATTAAAATGTATATTACAGCCACTAAAAGTCATCAATTAGAAATTCAGCAAGTTAAAGTGCACCATCAAAATGAAGTAAGTATATACTACATTCACAAATATGACATCTAGTTTCTATGTAAAATAATTTGCAATATAAACTTTCAGTTGCAAGAGCAAGAAGTAGAATATAAGCAGAAACTACAAGATTTCGACGATGATCACAATATTCTCCTAACCGCTATGCAATCAGAACACGAAAATATCATTGCAGGTAAAATTAAATAAAAAAGATGTGCATTTACAAGTAATTATATGAAATAATTATAGAATTACACGCCACTCACGAAACGAAATTATCAGAGATGGCCGGGTGCTTTGAAACCATTAAAATCAATTTATCAGTAAGTAAATAAACTTTAGCTATTATATTTTATAATATGAAATAAAATTTTGATAGAATAATGACAAAACTGGCATTTTGGTAAGAATAATAGCTTAATATAAAAAGAAATATAATAATTCTATATTAGAATATAACTCTTCAAACTATAAGAAAAAAATATAAAGATGCTTTAATAATGTTGCTGCTTATAATCAAAATCAAATCTATTTTCTAAATTAATCTTTTCAGCAAAATTTTAATTATTGTTATTTGTTTTCTAACAAATTTTTATTTCTTTTTTTTTGCTTGTTTTAAAAATATCTATTCAATGAAAAAAAATTCCAGGAAAAATTGGAGCTGTTAAGAGTTAATTATAAAAAGAAATCGGTACTTTTATAGAATATTTTTTTAAGTTATAACTTTTATTTTTTTTCACCTTCGACGTTTTCGTCAATGATTTTTTTATATATAAAGCAACAACATAAATTATCAAAAAAAAAACAACAACAACCCCAAAAACTGTATAAATGATTTGCAATATAATAAAAATATACTTCAACCTTTCTTAAATACCCAAGTATTTGCATTTAAGCAAGGTAAAAGAGAAATAGGATCAATATATCCCAAAATCTAGGTAAATACATTTATCAGGCTATTCTTATTTATTATGCAAAGATGTTTTAAATTTCAAGTGAATGAAAAGTATTATTAAACGAAAAATTCTGTCTCCTTATAATTTTCTTATAATAATACTTTTGAACACTTTAGTCATAAATTTTACCCAAAATCAAGCAAAATATATAAGCAGAAAATATATATATTAGTGTAAATATGTTTTTAAGATACTATTATCATCTATCTATGCATAGATTATCTTTAACTTCTTAATAGCTTTTAACTATTTTAACCTCTCCTTCTATAAATAATTGATTCGCTTCAATAAAAGCAATCATTGCCGGGAACGCAAATTTCCGAGGTTGTGGTGCACAACTTCACCTTTGAATTTTTTCTTATCTGCTTCAACTTGTTGAATAATTTAACTATTTCTTTTTAGGAAAAGGTCGACTACTTACGACGAGAGTGCGAAGATTTACGGAATAGAGAGAAGAGCTACCTACAAGAAAGCGAACAAAATGCCCATATGAAAGTACAAAGTGCTTTAGCCAAGTATAAGCATTTACCCGATGAAATACGTAGTCTCAAAGCTGTATTAGACATGAAAAATGAAGAAATATCCGCTCAAAGACAAAAAATTGCTAGATACGAAAGTCGCTTAGAAGAGCTAGAAATTTTGAGGCGGAAAGTCGAAGATTTAAAGAGAGATGTTGAAAATAAACAAGCAATTATAGAAATGAAAGCCGAGTACGAAAAAGATATTGTAGACAAGCATCAGAAACTTTTACGAAAGTTTGAAAAAGAAAGTAAAGCTAATAAGAGACTTTCTATGAATAATGAAGAATTAGAGTATAAACTTAGATGCTATAATGAAACGACACCTCCTGGAGCACCTTGCTCCTTAAAACGATCAGATACTTATGAGCTTTTAAATGCTGAAGAGTCGTAACCTGCAATTGTTTACCTTTACTTTTCAGTTTTTTTGTAAGAACTGCAGTATTTTAGAATCACTGTAAATAATCCATCTTTAGTCATGATGTTTTGATGTTGTACCAGTTTAGTATGGTGCTTTTTTTATTAGCAGATTTTGCCTGTTTTTAAGTTGCAGAAAGAAAAACAAATACAAGCAACGAATGATTTTACCGCTTTAAATTTAGCTGTTTTAATTGCTTGAGATTACAAACGAAAATTTTTGTGCATTTAATTCCTGTTTTCAAATATAATAAATCTAATGCATAAATAAAAAAATTATGAATTATGCAGCTTGTCACTAAAATGAATCTCTGTTTAATAGAATAAATAACTTTCGAAAAGGTCAACTTATAATTATAATTGTACGTCAGCTTTAAAAACTTTTTGGGTAACAAATTGGAGTATAATGCAGTATTTTCTTTTTTCCGAAACGCAGTTTAGAGAGTCCCGTTATTTGGAGCTTAGACAGAAAAGCACTATAGCAAATCGAGTAGCGAGTGATAATACGCCATTTAATCATGGGCGTGCAAGGTTTACTACCCTATGTTAAAACTGCACGCGATCTTGTTGCGGATACAATAGATTTGTTAGAAGAATCAAAAAAGGAAGATGATGGCATAGAAATTCTATGTGACTTTTACGCCTTCGAGCACTTCATTCTAGATAACTTTTATAAGGCTATCGTCAAAGAGTCGGGCCATCGTTTCGTTCGGCATCTGGGAGGAGAGTACAAAAGTCTTGCAAAATATGTTGAAACCTTTATCACGCATTTAAGAAATGCTCAAATTAGATTAGTTATGTATGTAGATGCCACTCAAGGTGTTGATAAAACAACAACAGAGCTTAAGTTCGGCACATGGAAACAGAGACATTATCAGGGAATAGTGACTATGAATAAAATCTTAGAATGTATTGCGGGTATGCAAAATATATATGATCTAGCAGACGAGGATAAAATACGACCTGTGTGCCTCGAAATTCAAATTCAAGTGAGTTTTTCCACTATTTTCATAAATTTTATTTTATTGTAAAGATATTATTAATTTGTCAGGAAACTTTACGTGAAAATGAGATTGAATTTATTTATGTAATTGATAATGAGACGAATGAGCTAATTGCTCTTGATCTGCAAAACAGGCCAAAAGCTTTTGCAGTATTGAGCAATGACAGTGACTTTTGTATATTCAAAAATTGCAAGTTTATTCCATTTGAATTCTTCGACTTGGATCACGATATGGAAATGGGATATTCTCCATTACCTTGTAAGCCTTTAAAGCTGAATTGTGGTATTGTATCAGCCAGTAAATTAGCAAAGTGTTTACAGGTAAAAATAAAGATAAAGATGTTATATTACTTCTTTTATTACATTAACATAATTACCTCAACAGTTACAACAAGTTGATCATCTTATGTTTCTTGCCATGATATTACCTAGTAATTTTATGGGAGCTCATCACGCTATAATAAAAAAAGTCTTAACATTACCAGAAAACTGTTCACTTTTACAAGCTGCAGCTCACATAAGGTAAATTATTGGTTTCACTGATTTTTCTTATAAATTATTCACTATACTACTTTTTTATTTATCTATTTTAGATTCTATGGAAATCCATTAGGAAATAAATCCGTTTTGACAAAATTAAATGAAGATTCTGAATTAAAGCAAGGAGTGGAAAGAACTATTAAATTCTTTTCTCTTACTTTGCACGAAGTAAGAATTCTTTTCCTGCTTTTATAATTATTTTTAATTAATTACTCGCTATCTCTTAAGTCTAAAAACGATTCTAAATCGAATGGTGCAAGTGAAGAAGATACGAAAGAATCAGAAGATTCAGAAAGACCCGATGAAATTGATATGATCCTTTGTGAACGTGTTTCGATGGGTCAAATCGATTCAAATCTTTTAGCTATACATAGAGGATATTTTTGGTATCGATTAATGTTAGAGGACAATAGTAAAGGAAGTCCAGTTTGCGAAGAAGCACTATCCTGCCTAAGGCAGGTTTTATATAATTTCGTCCTACCCGACGATGCAACTAGGGTAAAAGAATTCGGAAGGGCACCTTTCGACTTGTTTCAAATGAGATTGGTAAATATTTACACTATTTAAAAAGCGTTTGCTTTACAGTCAAAATTATTTGTTATTTTTAAAAGCGTTCAAAAGCCGCAGTAACTGCAACAATAGAAACAATACCGACAGTTAATGAAATAAAATTGGTTCAAATATTTAAAAACCTAAAATATTTTCACATTCTCATGAGCTTTGATGAAAAGAAAGAAGGAGGTAAATGAAAATAAGATTCTTTCGTAATCTTCTCTTTCAGAAAATAATATTATATTTAATTCCAAAGATTCCCCCGCCAATTATTTCGATAAGTATGGAAGAAAATTTGGATTTTTGTGCTATATTTTAAGGTAAAATTGAATTTTATTTCTAAAGTATGTTGTATCTTTTAAATTATATTGACATAATATTTTTAGATTCTTCCTTCTATTGAATTATCAGCGTAATCTATCAATATCATTAGAAGAATTTCTTGCTTGTGCCGCTATGGTTCTTCATGCACCTCAAATGGATGAAACAAAATTTCGTTCATACAGAATTGTTCCAAGTGTGCGATCAGTTACAGTAGGAACTTGGTTTCAGGTAATTAACAAATACATCTTTTTTGTTATCTTTCATATTATTGGTATAAGATATAGTTTTATTTATTTCTTTCATTAAAAGGCTGTTTACCGATACGCTTATAGATTTATTGCTAAAACATTGTTCTTGGAAAAAGAATTTCCGTCTCCTAGTCAATTTTTTTCGGGCTCAGTATTTGTGGCATTATATGGTTGCGCAACCAGTCACGGTAATAAATATTTAGTAATATTGTATATTGTTATATATTATACTTAATTTTTTTGTTAGCTACACCTCTTTTAAAGCATCTTTCTCCGGAAGATAGGCATACTGTCTCATTAGCTTTCAAACAAACTCTTCTATCTAAACAAGAAATGATACAGTTTGTTTGCCGTAATATAATGCACATTGAAGAGTGGGTCTGGAGGGATATAGCAGCATTCTAATTAAACTTATTTTTGTTAAAACTTGTTCCCTTTTTTTACTGGACTTTTTTATCTTGTTGTTTCTTAAAACAAATTTTGTGTTTGATACGTACAGCAAAGATTTTGTGATAAATCAGAGTATTATTGAGTAATTAATTTGTGTAACTGTTATTTGTTTTGTTACACTTGAACACAAATAAACTAGTTTGTTAACATGTTAGAGAAAACTGGTACCAGTCAATGAATTTTTTGCTTCTTTTAATTTATTATCTGAAAAGACGAAATACTCAATTCTCCTAAAGAATTGCCTACATGCTTTAACTATGAATATTGACTCGTCAGCTTCGTCATCGACAAATAATGATAATATTCACGATCCCTCTGATGTCTTTCTCGAAAGCTTTACCGGTATTATAAAAACTAAAGATGTCGACAGAATTATAGAATCGCAAAGGAGTATGCTTGCTAGATTTGAGAAAACAAATGAAATGCTCATGACATTTAATCAATTATCTCACCTAAGATATCAGAGCAGTATGAATGATTATCTTAAACATAATCAAGTTTTATTCACTTTGAAGAGAGATTTGGATTTTGTATTCAAAAAAATTCGACATCTAAAGAGCATCATCGAAAAGAAATACCCGGATGCCTTCAGAAATCAAATTACAAGGACTCTGTCCGAAGAAGATGAAAATGTTTCTGTCGAGGACAGCTAATAACATGAAATTTGGCAATTAAGATAACCAATTAAATAATATAGGTGAAAACTCTTTGCAACTGTTCAATTAACAGTTTATTCAGGCGGAATGCTGTCTAGGCAGTGAAGAATTTTTGATTAAATTAGAATCCAATTATCAATATATTAATCAACTGTCAAATCAACAACATCATGAGCTGAAGGAGAATTTCTCTTCTTTGTTAATCGTTTAATTCTGTTCTTGAAGTTATTCGATATATAACTTTCATTTGTTGTATCGAGATCTCCTTCGTATTCTTGACTATTTAAATCCATTTTTGTAACCGTTTTACCTAATTCAACTGAATCGTTGCAATCTCTGTCTATAATCTTTTGACTAGAATTTAAGTGACAATTATCGAGCATTTTATATCGCTTTTCCATTGCCTCTAAATCTTCTTGTGCAATATTAGGATTTTTTATTTTCTCCTCCCATCTTCTGGCCCATCTTTCTCTCATATTCTGTTTCCTCTTACGAAGCTTAATAGAAAGAACAAAAGGATTAAAGCAGTTAACTTTTTTAATTAGGAAATTTACCTGCTCCTCGTACAGAATTTCTCCTTCTTCTGTATCGGTATCGTCGGATAAGTAAACTATCTCTTGTTCACCTCGTGCATAGTTAATTAACCAACCACCTTGTGTCATTCTAGTCATATCCGGCTCCATAGGCTGAGAAGCTAACAAGGCAATTTCGTAATGTCTTGGAGGGTTTGGTTGAGTAGGTTCAGAATCAGAGGAAATATAAATAATTGGTATGTCTTTATTTTCTACTGGTTTTCTCTTCAAAGGATTGGATGTATTTTCAATCACTTTTGAGGACTGAGAGACGTTGCTTTCGTTCAGGGATCTTTCATCAGCAACTCCCGTTCCATCATTTAATTTACGTTTCTTACTCTCTGACGATTTAGCCTCATCATCTTTATCATCTGCAGCAGCAGAACGTTCTTCCTCATTAAATACGCTATTACTTTTCGGCTTATTCGTGTAGTTTGTTAAATGATCCGTCTTTTCTAAAATACTCTTTAACTCTTTCGTATTCGTTATACCCTTTTGCGTTTCATCTTGTAACGTTTGTTCCATCTCTTCTTCAGCTCCTTCAGTAGACTTAGTATCTTCGTTTAGAGATGCATTAGTAGATTGAGAAGGTTCTTTTTCCGAAAGCGTTTCACAGGCAAATCCAAAACTAAACATACCAGTTTTTTCGTTATATTTTACGCCTCTGGAATCTTTAACCTTTTGAGTTCGATTTTCAGCCTTTAAGAAATTTCCAAGGTATCGAAATTTAGAATTAAGAACAGTTTCTGTCTGAAAATTCACCTTATTTTGTGTCTGCTCATCATTAAGTGAATGAAAGAAATCAAATTCATGAGAATGATTGGTCATTTCTGCCCGAAAGATAGATGTTTTTTTCTTTGCTTCATTGAGAAGTTCAATCTCGCGTTCTTCTTTCTCTTTCTGATAGTTACTTACAAGTGCATTTAATCGTTCTTGAACCTGCAATGCATTAATGTGTAAAATATTTTTCAAAGACAGGCCACATAGTTACCTCTTCAGCTGATTGACCATTGGGGATGACGTTAGGGAATACCCTATCCGGCTTTAGTATCCTTATTAGATCACATATCTCCATATAAGAGGAATGAAATGAGTAGAGACCCTTATAGGAATTTTCTCCAACTTTAATTAAGACGTCTTCGTTACGCAGGCCTTGAACAAACCCTAAGGCCGATAGTGAAATAAATAAGATATCATCTGGGGCTGCGCTTGCTTCGCAAGGTAGACAAGAGTTAGTGCTTTGTTCCTGTATAAGTCATAAATCGAATAATATATATATATATATATATATTTATATATGTTTATACATATGTATAACTATATCGTAGAGTCGGTTTCATAAGCACTTACTTTAGTCCAACATCTACAATGAACGCGTATACTTTCATTCATGGTTGGCGTTGTTGATCTTGCAATATCATCAATTGTTTGATAAACTTTGTAATTTGATGAATTAACGTGAACCTATAGAATTGAACTTTTAGCATACGTATCTTTATCAATTTATCCGATTAAATGCAATAACCTTTTCATTTAGATTATTATATATATCAACATAGATCTGTTCGTAGCCCAATGTAGCTTTGTGTTTCAATACAATTTGATGCTTTTTAGAAGAGTCCAGCCAGCCTCGTATTAGCTCTAGAATATGACTAGTTAAAAGTTGCCGTGTAGGTAAGTATTTTGCTTTCTCTACTAAGAAGGTCGTATCGCAATGAATAGCTTTTAAATCTTTAGGCCTATATATATATAAAGAGGAAAAAATGCTTGATCAGTAAATTTCAAAGCCAACCAAAAAAAAATATATATTGCTTGTATTTACTATATATAATGCTTATCATTAGATAAAACTCAATAAAATGTTCTTTCTCTTTTTTGTTGCTATATCTATAATATTCTATTTAATCGTTAATATTAAATAGAAAAAATGAAATGAACAAAGATATACAGACCGTCCATTTACAAAGAGGGCATTCATACTCTCAATATCCTGCCTTGCTAATCTGAAATCACCAGTATAGAGAATGTTGCCCTGTTCCCCTTCAAACAAGAACCTAAAATTGAAGACATAATTATATATTAGTTTTTATTTTATTAATAACCTAAAGTAGCTACAAACATGACAGAGCCAGGGCAGTGACCAGCAGGTAGAAGGGTAACTGTGACATAATACGGGTTTTCTTTTCTTAATTTAATACGGTGAGCGACATTAACATCAAGCACTTGCTATAAGAGTTTCAAAATATACCTTTATCATCAAATATTAATTTTAGAATATAAACTTACAATTAATTTATCTAAGTGACTGTATTCTTTTCGGTTTAATAATAACGACTGCGTAATTTTCGACATACAGATTTTTGCATTACTGATCAAGATAAAAATTTTTGATTATAAGTAAAAGATTATAGAATATAGCATTTCTTACTTTGCTGTAAGACAATTTTTAAAGGATTCTGTTTTAAGGCCCGTCATATGATCTGTCAAAGTTTTAAAATTCGTTAAAACGAAAAAAAAGAATAAACGAAATTTGTCAATTGAAACGTACCTGCATGAAAATGAGATAAAAAATAAATTGATTTCATCCTATTTTTCTCTTCGAAATTATCGAGCACTGCATCTTTATATAAAAACATCGTTCCCTCGAACGAACTCATTACTATACTTAACACAAAATTTTTATAAAGATTCTAACAATTGTAGCACCGCATTGAATAGTCTGGTCGTATAAAGTATTGATGAATGAATCTTAGGCAGCGCGCAATAGTATTTCCAACACTACTCAATCTTTTGTTTATAAACAAACCATTAGCCTATCGGAAACAGTTATGAGTAAAAAACAATAAATTTTGATAGTGAATTAATAGTAAAATTTTAAGTTCATATTTTTTAATTATTTAAAATTATTAAAACTTATGTTCATTTGTACCTTAGAGCGTCTCAGATAAGACTAGTAATGGAGATGCTTATAATTGAATTGAATTAAGTGCTTTCGATAGATAACTTTTAATGTATTAAATTATAAGTGTACAGTTGTCTACACATATATATCTCTATAATTTCTCAATTATATCATAGTTTCAAAGTTTCAGAGATAAAATTTTTACAATATATTTGTATATAGTATCAAATTTTCACTGGTGCTACCGCCCTTGGAATCTAGCATTAATGAAAAAATCACGAAAAACTGTTTTGAACATTTTTGGATCTTCTAAAGTTAATGCATCACACAAAGATTTTGCTTGTCTATCAGACAGGCCCAAATTGGGTAGATATGTGTCCCTTAAATAAGGGAGTAGGTCGGGTAGAATTCGTACGGCAGTCTTAGCACATTGTCCTGCCTCAGTTAACGCCAGAACAGTCTGGGCGTCACTCAGATTGAAGCCTTCGCATAGAGGTGCTTCAAAACATGGCCGTATAACTAACTGCTGTACTATTTCTATATTAGTATTTCCTATTAGAGTTTCCATAAATTTTTTAAGTATACAGAAAGATATCTTCTGAGCTTGGGGCCCGTTTTCAGGATTCATTGCTGTTTTCACAATGTAGCTTAAGAGGTTTTCAACAGCATCATTTGCCTGAACGCTGAGAAGATGCTTGAAGTCAGAGTGAGTGGCCAATACTAGCACGAAGTTAAGATGCGATCGTCTTAAAACTTTGCGTTCATCATCGGTAGCAGCCTCTGGTGGACTCTCAAGTGTATTCAGGACCGCGCTGGTTAGGGGCATGAGTGCTTCGTTGAATAGAGGTGTCACCCGCTCCTTAAATTTCGTTACTAGCTGAGAGCAGAGAGCCATGACATCATGGAGCTCTCGAACATCGCCACCCTCAACAAGCTTCTTCAAAAGGGGCACGACGAACGGTAGAACACTATCTTCTAAACAGACAATCATTCTGTGAAGGAGCTGTCGAACAGCACTAAATATCTCATGAACAACAATCGGAAACGGTAGTTGAATAGTATCTAAAGCAGTTAAAACAGTTTTCAAAACGTGGGTGTAAACCTCATCACATTTCGTTGCTTTCATATTACATTTTTCCGAAAAACCTTTAGATGTTCTAACAATACAGAGTAGGGAATGAACAGCCGCCTTGCCATAAGTAGCTTGCTCCTCTGCAGCTGCAGCGGACAAAGTTCTTTGAATATATAGATTAACATCATGAAGGCGTGGTGATAGTAATTCCTTAAGTAATTCATTTTTCTTTTCCAAAGGTTGGACAGATTGAATAATTAACAAACCACAAGCTTCATAAACAAAAAGAGCATCACTATCTTGCTGACTTAAATCTTGGGTTAAGCTAGCAAGAAGATTATCAACATAGGGCACTAATAGCGATTTGTTAATACTTTTAACCAATCTTGTCAATAAATAAGCAACTCTGGTACGAACTTTAGGATTAGGATGTGTTTTCACACCATAAAGAAAAGCTTTTAAAGCAATTGGAATTTGTTCAGGTATAACAGTTAAGAGCTTGTCGTAGCGGGCAACAGATTCATAATACAATAACGAAACAGCCGGATGGTCGCAAACAAATACATCCGATTCAACAACCGTAAGAGCTAGCTGCTGTAGTGGACCTGCTATAAAAAAGAAAAACAGTTATCAGAGCATGGGACATTTGAGAAAATTTTTTGCTTTACCTGATTTTGATCTGTCAGGATCAAAAGTCTGTTGAATAAGGTTACTAGGTAAGCATTCTAGCAGGGCGTAGAATATATATAATGCCAATTCTACATCTAATACATTTTTTTCTTTCCATTTAAGAAGATTTTCATGAAATAGAGCTGTTGTAACCTCCAATATTGTTTCAGGCTTGTAGCTCCCAATGTGCAAAACAACATTTCGTAATCTTCTTCTGTAATCTTGAAATATGGCCTCTTCCTCTCCTTCTACATCCCAATCATAATCTTGATCAAATTTCATACGTTTTATGCAGGTATATAAGAGGGTTTTAACGATGTGTGAATGTTGTTCTTGAATTTGAGGATTAACAGTTTTTAATAGAGCAACATATTCTTGAGCAAGAGGACAAACAGCACCGGAAACATCGTCAACTTCATGAGCGATGAATGGAAACATTTTTGAAATCTGATTTGAAGAATTTATAAATTAGATATTTATTTTACATTAAATTAGTGCTTTATACCTTATCTTCCAAACTTTTAAGGGCCAAAGCTGCACCATCTATATCATTAGCTTTTACTAGAGTAGTATATGCGGCTAAAACCTCTAATCCAACAGCATTTAACAGTTTAGCCAACTTGGCTAGAAAATCGATCACGTCATCTCCTTGAGGTGGGGTAGTGAATACACCTAAACTATCAAGAACTTCTGTCAAGGAGTCAATTAGTTTCAGTTTGCTTAAGGGCTGCATTCCCTTCAAAACTATCTCTCTTAAGCAATCGCAGGCACTTTCCCTCTTTAGGTCATCTCCTAAACATTGTAAAATGATTGGTACAAATCTATCGTTAGCGATTAAGTCAATATCGATCCAAGATATGTAACTTCCGATAACGTCCAGGCACTGGCAAACAATTTGGGAATCAACATTATCCATTCTCAATATTTCATACCAAGAGTTGACTAAAACAGGTACAGTGTTCATTCTCATATTGTCCTTAATTACTGTATTCCTTTGCATTTCGGCATTAGATCTTGCTATGTCCCTATCAACAACTTCGGAATGCACAGCCAATAGTGATTTGAGATATAAATCAACTGCTTTGGATGAATCACTTCTCTGTAGCATATCCTGAAAAAATGTTGGCCATCTGGCTGGGTAGTCAGTTATAAATGCAAGGGCGATGATTTGGGCTTGTTTATTCCTTAAAAATGTAGGGTTCTGATGACCATTCTGATTTTGAAACCAGGATAATATTTGGTTTTGAATAATTATAAAATCATCTTTAGTGCTTGTCTTTGAATAAGCTGACTTTAAGAAGTGTTCAAGAACTTGTAGACAAAAAAATTTCACCTGATGATTTCTAAAAACAAACGTAAAATATTATGGAAATGTTGAAATTGAAGGGTAAAGTACTTACGACTCATATTCAGGACTATTAAGGCCTTGTAAGCATAACTTCCAGCCATCCGGACTACGTTTAAGATCATTGAAAAAGTCTATAGCCTGCGAAAGCAAAAGTTGATTAAACTAGGCGGTTGAAAAAACGCTTTTTCATTTTGTAAATTAATTTTATATGTGACAGGAAACGATTGGCATTGTATTTATATCGTTTACGACCATTTAGCACTTTGAGAAAGCTTAATACAACTCAAGATTATTAGGTCAGACGTTTGTTATATTAATGAAAAGAGGATATATTTTACGAATATACTTTGAAAAAAGTATCAGTTTCTGTAGCCATACAGACTTTATTGTTATAGAAACTTTAAGACCAAAGTATCTACCACATGTCTGAGTGTATAGATTATAAACTTAACTTCTTAAAGACTTTACATACCGTTACTGATTCCACATTTTGGGCAATGCTTAATGAAGGAATGGACCTCTCCATTTCATAACCAGTTTTTTTAAATGTTCGACGTCCAATACAATAATTTTCGGCGAATTGATTATAGTAAGTCACGTGTTGTCCACCCGAGTCTTCTGCTACATAATAAAATTTTCTCATATCAACTATATAACTTACACGACGAGACAGATAAAATGAGTTATTTCCTTCTTTATATACTAACCCAATGACGCAATATGGTCTCAACCGTCAATGAATATGCAAATATTATGCAGTTACTTTTGCAGCCACGTTTCGTCAGCTAGATACGTCGCATGTATTTTCGTACAATTTCCGTGGTAACACTTGAAATTAAAAAAATATATCAGATATTTTTATTTCATGAGGAGATTAGTTTTAAAACATTATTAGCGGAAAATATTTTATTTTGTGCGAAACTGCGGTTCACGCGTGAACACAAACGAGATCTGCGTAATCCATGACGGTGCGAGGTAAAAATACGGAATTAAAAACTGCATATTTCTCGTCTTAATATATAATAAACAATAATGAGTCGTCGTGTTAGTGATTACTCGTCTAAACGACCACGTGTGGATGATTATTACGTTGATGAAAAACGTGAATACGACCGGAAAGATTATTCGTATTCGGAATATTACCAATATGATTATAGAAGTTCTAAACGACCACGGACTGATTATATATATGATGGGTCAAGATGTCAAGAATATCGGACGTTATATTTATGCAATTTAAATAGTCAAATCAATGAAACTTATTTATCTGATGCTTTGTATCGAGAATTTCGAAAGTTTGGTGACTTTAACATGAGAGTGCTAACAGATAATGGGAAGAGAATAGCATATCTTACATTTAGAAATCCAGAAGATGCTAAGGACGCTAAGTATGGGCGTCAAGGACACGAGGTATGTGAGAGAAAGTTGCAAATAACAGCCGTATACGAAAGAGATCGGCACTCGGATTACTATGATAGGCGATACTCTCCCCCTCCAACTTCTGATCGGAGGTATTCTAGGAGCTCTACTAGGTCTCGAGAAGCAAAATTTCCTCATCATTTACAACATATTGCCCCAGAAGACGATGATAAAGCAACAAGGACGTTATTCGTTGGTAATTTAAGTGTAGATATTAACGAGGATTTTTTAAGAGATCTCTTTGAAAAATACGGACATGTTATGGATGTGGACGTTAAAAGACCATCTCACGGTCAAGGAAATGCTTATGCTTTTGTTAAATATGAAAACTTAGATATGGCTCACAGTGCTAAAGTTAATATGTCGGGAAAACAAATTGGACAATTTCAATGTAAAATCGGATACGGTAAACCCAATCCGTCCAACTGTCTATGGGTAGGGAATTTGGGACCCAGTGTCAGGGAAGATCAGCTAGAAAAGGAATTTGACCGATTCGGTGTCATTCATAGGATTTTTTGGCCTTCTCATAAAAGTCATGCCTATATACTTTTTGAAAATGTAGATGCAGCCCAAGCTGCAAGAACCGAAATGAGAGGCTGTGCATTAGGAGGAAAAGATTTTAGGTTAAGAATAGACTTTGCAGATTCATCAGTCATGGATATGGATGATAAAAAACCAGTACAAGTTAATGAAGTATCTGAAGAACCATGCAAAACCGTAGACCAGTTGATAGATTCTACTAAACAAATATGGACTGGTACATTAACTTTGAAGAATTCTGTATTTCCTGCCAAAATGCATTTGATTCAGGGAAATGAAGAAATTGTGCTTAAGTTAGCTCCAAACAATGAGCCGTTGAAAATTACTCAGAGATTGAGACTAGATCGGAATAAAGTCGCTGATGTACATAAGAAGTTAGAAGCAGCCGGTGAAGAGAAGAGTGCTGTACTATTGGCCATTCCCGAAGCCGAAGCGGGTACAGGCTCTGGGTCAGGAGAAGCAATGACAAGACAATTATCAACTCTCATCAATTATCTTCATAGCAAAGAAGCTGCTGGTGTTGTTCCATTGACAGACGGTATAATCCATGCCTTTCCACCGTGTAAATTTGCCATGGAGTTTCTGAGAGCGAATGGAGAGCGCATAAATGAAGAAAAACAACAGGATGATCATATGGTCGTAATAATTGTACAAAATTAATTTCATTTATCCTCTTCCAATGTGATCTCACTTTCTGCTGAAAAGAAACATTTAAGATTAATTTTTTACCGGATAATCTCGATACAGGTAAAGTTAATTTTATTGCTTTAATTTAATATCCCATCTGATAGGTATTAGAAATAAGAGAGGAAGAGGATAAACCGTGATGCTGAGGTGTAGTGTGTTAGGAGAATATTAAAAAAAAATAATAATATTTACAGTGATGATCAAATATGTGCTTCAAACGATTCTTTTATTTAACAAAATGATGATTGAAAATTTTTATTGAATATTACTGTAAGCAGCTCTCATCTCTTCTACAGATGTTTGTTGTTGTTTTAGATATTTTGAAACGGTGCGAAACAGTTTGTTTTTGTTTACTTGTTTCACATAACCGAAAAAAACCAGCATCTTATGAATGGATGAAGCAACAATTGAATGTGTTTTCTTTCTATTCTTTATTTTTCGCTGGTTGTAATAACAAAAAAAGTGTGATTTTTTTTATCGAGATTGCTTATTGTTTTGATGTTTTGGTATAGACTATGAAACCAATCGATGATATAACCATTTTATATCTGTCTATAAATGTATATATTTTTTTGGATATATGTCTATATTTATATATTGTTGTAAACATGTAATGAAGAGAATGTACAGTTTTAAATAATTAGGCTTAGTATATTTTTAACTCGGTTAATGAACATAGTATGATAGTGTAAGATGCAAATCTAGTATGTCAAAAGTGTGTCATTCTAAAAAATGATTTTTTTTTCGATGAACATGAAAAACACTATAGGATACCTAATGTATATCAATTCAGTTCTGAAGTTATGGTTTATTATAGACTTTTCTTTTTTTCAATACTGTTGATAAGCATAATCAACAATTTCGTTTTAAATGTGGCGTTTCTTTTTTATAACTGCAAAAAAAAAAATTGAGATAAATTTTAATGTATCATTCATTATCATTATGAGTTTGACAACAAAGGCTAATTATATCAAGTTCTGCAAAATTTGTTTATTCTGTAAAATCATTTCTGGTTATATGGATGTTTAAGATTTTACTTTAGAAGCTTTCCACTCAAAATGTTCACATCTTGCTTCCTTGTTAGACTTGGAACCTTCTGGGCGACAACAGACATAGAACTGTTTCCCTTTAGTTGGGCCATCTTTTTTAACTGTCCTTAAAACACACGGTTCGCTGTGTCCTTTGCATAAAGGAGGTGCCTCTGGTCCTTTTAAAATTTTTTTCCAGGCACTTGACGTGACCGATTGCCTCTCCGTCTTATTCACGGAAATTTCTTGAGAGTTAGACGAAGATATCTCTTCTACGTCAACAATCTCCTTCTTTGTTGTTTTTTGAAAAAACATCGCTAAGGTGGCAGTTTTCCCTGAAGAAGATTTCTTAGCTAGTTTTGGTTTTTTGGATACGGAAGATTCCATATCAACAGAGTTTCGCTTGTCAACCTTTAGCAAACACAATATTAACGTATTTTCAACAAGTAAACTGAACTGCCCACTTACAAGATATTTCATCAGTTTCTGCTGTTTTCCACTGAATTCTGGATGATATTTGGAACATAGACTAGGGCACTTTGAACTTCCTATTAATTGTACAGAAATTTCACAGCGAACTGGACAATGATCTGAGCCTTGAAAGTCTGTCAAGTGAATACAGTCGATACTGAAATTGGACAGATCTTTATCAGCCACAATATAATCTATTCTAGCTCCATAATTTGTCGTTCTCGCGGATGTTATAGTCTTCCAGCAGGTATAAGCCTCCTTCTCATTTGGATGATGCTTACGAAATAGATCTACGAAATTAGATGATGACTCCAAAAGCTCTCCTAACCACTTCCTATCCGGCTGACTCTCGAAATTCTTCAAAGAAATTTAGACGCATTGAACAGAAATATGAACAATTTAATTAGTCATTAAGAGTAAAGAACAACATTTAGATAAGCACTTTTTTTTGCGTAAAAGAATAACATTAAAATATGTTGCATGATCCTTAATATTCTCATTACACATAAAAGTTGTAACTAATAAAAAATGCGAAGATGAGAAAATGAATTTTTATGAAAGTTTTCTTTAATGATATTCAAAGCAAACTTCCTTATTTAAACAATATTAACATATATTTGAAAAACTTACATCTATACTCTCAGAATCGCAAACATCCATCTTCTTATGACTTGTATTAAAATCACCTAAAATAATAACATGTTTCCCTGCTCTTAATAATGATTCGGCCCTTGATTGAAGCAACTCGTAAAATTGCATTTTGTATTCTCCTCTTTCTTCGCTACAACCCGCTCTTGGGCAGTAAACATTAATGACTACTAGATCTTTGATATCTTCCGAGTCTACAGTTTTAAAAGAATGTTGAATCATCACTGTTCTTCCTTCAGAATCTATTTTCCTAAGTTCTTCTTCGCTGTAATCATTTACAGAATAGCAGCCTATCGAATCAACTGATGTAGGATCTGTTAAAACATTTGATAAGCCTTCTTCCGCTTTAATTGGGGTGACCTGATTCTTAACAAAAATGGCAGTACCTGTAAGGTACAAGATCATTGCAAGCGACAATTGGCTATCATAAATGTAATTTACAAACCAGAATAGCCATTTCTAGTTTTACAATAACTAAAATAGGAATTATATCCTTCGACGATTCTCGACTGTTCATCTAGCTGCTCTCCTGCAAGATAACGTAATAAAGGAACTGTACGAATCTATGAAATATATTACTTGTTATTTTAGTTTCTTGAAGACATATTACGTCCGCATCTAGATTATCAAGCACACTTTTTAGTGGTTCTGAAACTGCTCTTATGCCGTTAATGTTCCAAGTCACAATTTTCATACTTGTAGACTATAGTTTGCGATTTAATACATTTTAGAATGACTTAAGAAGATTCTGGTACTTTGAGAAGAATTGTTGCGCAATTTTAACGGTTAAAAATCATAGATATCTTTAGATTTATCTTCTAAATTATTTATAAACAAATGAGACATTTTCTCGAATTGCTTAAGTATAATTGTCAAGCCTGAAGTATGTTAATAAAAGAACTTTTTGCTTCATATTGAAAATTAAAAGTATGTACTAGTTCATTATGTCAATGTCGAAGAAAGAAAACACTAACAGTAACCCACTTAACACAATTAATCGTAGGATTTTACTCATCCAAACAGCATATAAATCATTATACTGTATAAAAATGGCTTTAATACTTTAAGTACAAGCTAAGCTATAGTTTGTGAAGGTTTTTTCGATATCCGATTCAAGTTTTCATTATGTTGTTGGTAGAAAGACTTTTTTTTGTATTTAAATAAAAGAGAAGTTAGATAATTGAAGTGATCGAGTGGCAAACCAAGATTTGTCATATTATATATCTACAGTAAGGACAAATTCGTTTATGAACAAACATGGGCTTTTTTTATCGCTAACATATATTAATAGGATTTTTTAAAAGTCTAAAAAGAAATAGTAAAACAGAAAACAAATAGAAGATATTATAGCTAAAAACAACAAAAGACTTCTCTCCTTAAGCTCGGAGAGAACAAAACTGGTTGAAGATATCCAAGATATTCTGGTCGATGTCTGATGTAAAAACTAAAGTTTGTAGAGTATGTGAATACTTTTGAATAATTTGATGATGGAGTAAGAACATTTCTTGTAATCTATCAATTACCCATTTATACCAGGGTGTCTCAAACTCTGTGTTATCAGTTTCGGCTCTGGATAGATGTTCACCCAAAACAATTATAAATCTCTGGAAGATAACTAGAAAGAGGTTCTTGTGATCTGCTTTCGCCATATCTAACTTTTCTTCTAGGAGGTCTAACTGTGATTTTGATGGTGTATCGTCAGTTTCTATGCCGCCCCTTCTATCGGCTGCATCTCTTTTCTCTTTACCTTGCTCGAATTGTCTCTGAAGCATAGCAACATGTTGTCCCATACGTTTAATAGCACTATGTAATATACACCAGACATAGAAGCAAGTGAACTCCGACCGCATTTGCTCGCTAAAAACCCAAGAAGCGACAGCAGCACAATCAACAATCTGCGTCTTAAGCAGCTTGTCAATCAGGACGCAAACCATTTGCTCATGTTGGGACCAAATATCGTGGACGGAATGCAAGACACTCACTTGAGCATCTTCCGAACCAGCTAGTACTCTAAGTGCCTCATGAAATTTAGCTAAGGCAGCTAAAGAGTGAGAAAGAGATTTGGAACCAAGATTTAACAGCGTGCTAACCAAAATGTCAATTTTCTTTGGATTATAAGGCATTTTGTCGGATCCACCATTGTCTAAAGGATTTGCTACTTCCTGCAAAATATCCAAAATCATTTCCGGTGTTGCTTTCGACTTAATGGCTTCAGTAACTTTTTGTGCTACTGGATGACCATCATATTTATAGTGTGGGGTGGGCTTAGCTGGTCTTAAACTTTCAAGCGTATCTGGAGTAAAATCAACTACTCGCTGATGATAAGATAGTCTCATACATTTCCTGAGGACTTCTTTTACAAATTTAGCTTTTGGCCTGTCATTATCGTCATAAGTTGCAACTTCACTCCAATCATCCCAGCTCCAACGAAATTGAAAATTTGACAAGTGATGAGAGAACCAGTTGACGAATCTAACAATGCAAGATGTTTGCATGGTATCTATTCGGTCAAATAACATTTCAGTCGCTTGGGCCAAAACTTGAGGCATAGACGAAGGTTGTAGTTTACATAATTCAATAAGTAAAGTATTATAGAAGAGTTCAATATAAGGATTGCAAGGTAAAAGAAAAAGTTGTCCAAATACCACTTCAACAATCATATAATTTAGAGGAATTCTAGAACGAGACGAAAAATTCAGCAAAGCGGCAGCACATGCTTTCTTATCAAGGTGTAGAACATTTATAATGTAATGGAGCTGCTCCTCGACGACATATCTCTCTACTGCATGGGCACCAGGTAAGACAGGGCCTTCTGTTGGAACATCGGTATAATCAAACATTCGATATACGACCCTTGGCAAAGGATATTGGGAACTTTCTTCATGCGGAGGAGGTGTTACTTGGGGTAACGTATGTTGTAAAGCTTCGCAAAGAATACTATCGAACGATTCGTAAGGTCTAATTATACATCGCTCCATCCATTTGTTTCTTTCCAGTTGTTCAATTTGGGCCCATAAAGAATCTAAATAATCCTCTTGTGTATGTGGATCATCCGTTGACCAAACTTGCAATATTTTAACATGAACCTTTGATCTGTCTTTTAAATAAACTCTAATAACGGAGAGTAAACGTTGGAGTTCATTTTCTTTCTTTTCGTATAACGCTCTACCGACCCAAGGCAACGACGACAGAACGGCGTATACAAATGTATCTCGTCGCACTTGGGGAGATCCATCTTCAGCTGCTACTTCAAGCCACGAGTTGAACAACGTTAGAATGGATGCAGCGCTTAAAACGTGACAGTTAACTAAATCGCTGAGAAAACGTACGATACATCGTGCATCTTCCCATAAATACTTTATCATGTAATCTTTTAATTTTCGTATGAGAAGTTCAACGATTTCACCTCCCACGGTATATGCATCTGCGTTTATGAGACCTACTAAAGTTGAATAGACAGTTATTTTTTCTGGCATATCCACTACGCAATCGGCGATTATAGATAAGATTTTTTCCTTGTACTCGCTCATATCCGAGTGAAGAACTTTTGCCAAAGCATCTAAATTGCTCTCTAATGAAGATGTACTCTTCTCTCCTATCTTTAAGATTAAATTTTCTAATCGCTCCTCCATCTCTTGTGTGTCCATCGTCTCCGAGCGCATCCTCCCTCTTGGGGACTGATTGTCTAAGAATTGTAAAAGTTTTCATTAGTAAAGTTATTGATAATCGGTACTTAGATATGATGTTTAGTTGGTATATCAATTGAAAAAATTGGATAGTATTTTAAATATCATAATTTAGCGATCAGAACTAAGAACAGCGATATAAATTATGATATTTTTATTATTAGTTTCGAAAAATTGGACAGGATAGCGAAGTTTATGAAAAAACAGATTTTTTTATTGAAATTGATTTGACATGCGATTTCAAATTTTTATTACAAATAACAACGATCGGATATGATCGCAGATATATTTCGATGTATTTTAATAATTTAAACAATTACCTTCTTCATCATCACTACTTGCACGTCTTTTTCTCGGCATTTTGCGAAAAATATCTAAAGGAAGTCGACAATGAGCGATACCGCTTAATTCCAAGATGTCGCCGGATGATTGTAGTTCGGTTTTTAATAGCTCCGCATTTAATATTATACGATTACAAATTGTACTTATATTCTATTATTATTGTTAAACCAATGTTTTGAACATTTTAATTTGTTCAAAATATTTTTGTCTAAATATTCTATTTAGATTTTATGTTGCAAAGATTATAATATGTAAATAGACTCAAACTACTTTTTAAAGTTTTAGAATTGTAATTTTAGTCAAGTGTATTCTTCAAAAAAATTGAAGAGATGTTTAAAAAAGTTAGATTTCAAGTTACTCTCCTTCTTTAGAAAAAAATAGCAAGAAGAATGATAAAATAGCGTATTTGTTAGAATTAGGGCATTGTAATTTTAGTATATAAAAGAAATGCAGTAAAATCATGGAAAGTTTGATGTTAGAATATCTAAAAGAGATTAATACGGTGTAATAAAATAATAGTTTAAGAATTTTATACTTTTGGTCTCAAGTATTTCCCGCAATACAATTCATCTGTTCCATCTATACAGTCATTTTGTCCATCGCATCTCTTGACAAAAGGAATACATTTATAATTTTTGGGATCTTTTCCATCACAAGCAAAGGTGTTACCAAGACACTTATGACTGCAAACTTTCTCGTCAAGTGCAGTATGCAAACAATTGAACCTTCTATCACATAGCTGCTGCTTTGTAAGACAGACAGGTCCTGGAGTGGGATAAGAACCGCAGATGAACTGAGTTGTATCATTGTAACACTTTGCAGGTAAACCAGGTATACAATCAGACTCATCTGAACCGTCGGAACAATCAACATAATTATCGCATTTCTAATGAGAAAATTATAATGTCAAAAAGAGACATGAATAGAGCAGAATAGCGATAACTTACAAAGATTTTCTTATAACAGTAATGTTTGTGTGATTGAGTATTAAAGGTATGTGAAAAACCTTTGGAACATTTATAACTATCCTTGTCGCAAGTGCAGTTTACTTCGTCTGACCCATCTATGCAGTCATTCTTTCCATCGCATCTTTCAAGTTGATTTATACATTTGGTTTCATTTACGCATTTAAACGAATGAGGTTTATTACAATAATCATCGCAATTCTCTTCATCACTGTGATCTTGGCAGTTAGATTTTCCATCACAAATTTGTTGGTTCGGTATACAATACATTAGCGATGGATGATAATTACTGGCTGAGGGATGAGGTGGAGAAAAAACGAAACCAGTTTTGCAAAGTTTATATCCAACAGAACAAGAATAAGTACAATTTTTCTCATCTTCTCCATTAATGCAATCATTATACTGAAAATTAGTGCAATTATATCATATATATAAACAACTGGTGAATTAATCTCTAATTTTCAAAACTAACTCTATCACATTTAACTATCTCCAGATAACAACTTTTGCTATTATACGAAAGTTGAGATCCGCATGAAAGCTGCCTGCTTGAACAAGTATTATTACAATTTCTCTCGTCCGATCCGTCAAGACAATCCTCTATGCCATTACACTTCAAAGAAGAATTAATACAATATCCAATTCTGGGAGGTTTGGATACTAAGGAATTTTCACATTGGAAATAAGTCTTGTCTTTACAATGATAATTGCATTTAAATTCATCTGCACCGTCTACGCAGTCGTTGTACTTATCACATCTAACTTTCAGTGATAAACATCTACTGTAAATTGTACCATGTTCATTGGTAACATTACACTAAATAGTTGATTCAGTTGATTAGTTTACTTTGAAATCTTTTATCCTATGAATACAAACCCTCATTTCATCTTCTGCACAGTTGCTATAACAGCCATGTTGGTCAGATTTATCTCGACAAAGTGGGATTTCATTGCACTTATTGTGTGCAGGATAGCAATATTCTCTACCAGTTCCAGCAATCTTAAACAAAAGATGAGATAATAGAGCAACATATTTGTTGAAATGATAAAATCTATACCAGATTTCCCGTTTTACATGCTACGCTGTTGGCCGGGCAAGTATAGTTACAATTTTTTTCATCGGAACCATCGTCACAGTCTTTCACTCTATCACACCATAGATTCTTCGGTATACAATGAGTCCCCAAAGTTCTATATTTAGAAAAAACAATGTAGCCTTACTTTAAAAAAGAGCAATGCCATTTAAATATAAATCATGTTTTCCTACTTGGACTTTCCAACTTGACAAGCAATAGTATCATTTTTACAAGTTTGGCTGCAGTATTTCTCATCCGAATTGTCCTTGCAATCCTATATAAGTCAATAAGTTTGTAGTTAATAAGGTGAGTATACAAGTCATTTAAATGATAAAAAAATCTCTCTCACTGTTCTTCCATCGCAATATTTATTTTCATCAATACAATATTCAGTGTATGGATAATCAATTATTAGACCAGTTTTACATAGGAATTGATTTTCTTTTTTGCAAGAGTAGGTGCAGTTTTGTTCGTCGGATCCATCCGAACAGTCCCGAATTCGATCGCAACGAAAAGATTTGAATATGCAATGTTGAAAATTTGGTGGAGCTGTAGCAGTTTTAACTTAAAAATTCTATTAAATAATTAATAAATATCATTTTTCGTACTGAGAAGAGATATATCTGTTCCATTTACACATTGCCAGAGAAAACTGGGACACATATTGCAGTTTTCTTCGTCCGATCCTGTTAATATTAGAGATTAAAGATAATCATCCTCAAATTATGACTCTCACCATCTGTACAATCAATGACCGAATTACAATGCTGAGCCCTTGAAATACAGACTCCTCTGTGAGGCCATGATTTGGTAGTCCCATTTCGACATTTAAATTGAGAACTTGGACAAGTATACTTGCATGCAAATTCGTCAGAACCATCGCTACAATCTTCAACATTGTCGCACGTCTATATATTTTTTTGATAGAGCTACTAGTAATTAAGTCGCATTTATTGAGTTTAACACTTACGTAACCGATAGGGATACATTTGTGCCCAGAAAATACATCCAAACCTTTTTTACATTTAAATTCGTCATGTGCGCAAGGTTTGTCGCAGAACTTTTCATCTTCTCCACCACTACAATCGGGATGATTATCACATACTTTATCGAACCCAATACATGTTTGATTAGGACACAGAAAAGTTTCATTTGAACAGATGGTAGGACAATTAAGTTCATCTGAACCATCGGAACAGTCGTCACGTCCATTGCATCTAAATCTTAAGTTAACACATTTTCTGTCATGAGTGCTATGCCCCGCAGTGCAGTTAAAATGATCTGCTGTACAGGAGCTGTGACTACAAGTTTCCTCATCACTACCATTGGTACAATCTCTGTATAAATACGAAATGAAAGAATTAGTGCTAAATGACAAAGTAAATAAAAAGTATTCTAACTACCTATAATTATCACAAAGACTAGTTTTGAATATGCAATAACGGGTTGAATCTTTCCATATTAACTTTCCCTTTGGACATACTATTTTATCATCGTTGCAGCTATATTTGCAATTTTCTTCATCTGATCCATCAAGACAATCATTAAAATGATCGCATTGTTTTGAAGACTGAAAAGAATTAGTGCTTTTAATTAATTTCTTTTAACATTTAGCTATTAATTATTCAAATAGTTTACTTCAATACATTGATGACCATCAATTGACATTCCAGTTTTACAGGCGAATGTTGAACTATGATTACAATTTATACAAGGATATTCATCACTTCCATCCATACATTCTAGTATACCTAAAGGGAAGTAATATAATGGCTATTTATTTGCACAGAGTTATGGAATATTGATAATACCATTGCATTTCATATAATCAGGATAACAATATGGTTTTGACGATAACAAAAGAAACCGCGAATGAACATTGTGATTTTTACATGATAGATAATTTTCTGGACAAGTATAATTGCATCCCTTTTCGTCTGATCTATCTGAACAATGATTAATTTTATCGCAGACATTGGATTTCAATATGCATCTATTTGTGGTAGCAATTTTAAATCCCCTTGTACATTTGAATTCATCAGGCCCACAAACATTTGGACAGTCTTTTTCATCACTTCCATCTTGACAATCTACTAGTCCATCGCATCTAAATATATTCCGAATGCAATTTACTTCTCCACCGATTCTAGTTCCGGTAGTACATCTTTAAAATAAGAAATATGTGCTAAATTATTGTAGTGTTAGTGATATGTGAATTTTGTCCACTATACTTGAAATAACTATCTGGACAAAGTGTACAATTAAACTCGTCAGATTTGTCTATACAATCTGCAATTCCATCGCAACGTTCGTTTGGAAAAGTGCATACACCACTGTGATGAGTTGTAGTGCTATTTTCACATCTAAATCCTCCATCACTGCATCCAGTACAACCGTCTTCATCTTCATTTTCCTTACAGTCAAAATATCCATCACATACTTCGAAGTGATCAATACAAGGATATCCACTAGAATATTTTAGACCTAAAATTTAAATTATCATAGAAAGTGTAAAAAAAGCGACTAAGGTATGTGATAATTCGCTTACCCGATTTGCATAAATATTCGTAACTTGCACATTGAAAGTCAGTGACTCGAGTAGACGACTGAACAGTACCAACTGTCGTTGGATTCTCAGTACTGCTAGCAATTTTTGTTGAAAGTCTTTTCGTTGACATACTACTAGAAATGCTAGTTGATATGTAAGTTGTTAATGGTGTTGTCACCATAGGAATTGTTTTTTGACTTTCAGTAGCTTGCTTTGTAGTTTTTAACGTGGTAATTTTCTCGGTAGTCATTGATGTAGTAGATTTTTTTGTAGTTGTCAATATAGTAGTAGTTTTAACAGGCTTAATTGTAGATGTTGTTGGAAGTTCAGGCCTTTTCGTAAATTTCTTGAATTGTTGAGGATCAAGTTTAATTTGCTGAACTAATAAAAGTTTGATATCGAATATAAACATTTTCAGTAAATGTTTAAAACTTACGTAAACTAAGGTCAAAGTGATCTATCATGTTAAAAGATCCATAAACTTTGTTCTTTAAGGTTTCCTTCAAAGCGTCGAGGCTTAAAACTTTCGGATATGATTTGTGAGAATGCAGTAAAAGCCAATCATTAAAATACATTGTAAAATCAATAATTATGCTCCCTTCACTGTTGATATATCATTAGAATATAAATAGTCGTATTATAAACAAATAGAGGTAGAATTACTTGACAGAATTTATAGATAGAGAGTTATAAAGATATTTAAAATCAGAAGATTTTAAAACAATCTCCATTTCTTTTGAGAAATCTGTAGACAAAGTTTGAAATTCTTTAGATCTATTATTCTTATAGGCTTCTTTAAAAGATGAATATTTTCCATTCTCAATAGAAACAATTCCATTTACTTTCGAGAATATAATTAAAGATGATGTAGTATCGCTTGGATTGTGTTTTACTATAAAAATATTAGTATATAGTTATTTATCAAATATGTATATTATATGATTCTTATTTTAGATATACAAAGATTTTATATAAAAGAATAAAGTAAATAATAAAAAATAAACTTATACAAAATAGAAATAATGAAAACATATGTAAATACTGCAAGAAAACAAAGTTGTTCCGTGTTGTTTTCTTACCTCCAAAGAATATTCCTATTGCTATTGCAACCAGTAGAGCACTTATTAAGCAGCTAATAAATATCACTGCTATCATACTTTTTCGTCTGCATACTGATTTTGGCAATCTGATGTAGTGAGCATAGACTGTTAATAGAAAAGAGGATGGCATGCTTTACTCAATACACACCTTGTCGTAAAACTCTGTATTGATAGAGTTTCTTCTAAAACTTCGAATTCAACTATAGGATCTTTATCCACGTCGTATAGCGGATTAGAAAAGCACTTTGAAGTATTGCTCATATTTAAGTTTACAAATATAATCCCTTGTAGCTATAAATTATAATACATGCATATATTAATATATACGTATAGTCTGTAAAATATGCAATCTTATAATCTTATATGTGTAATCATTTCGATTAATTGGTTGAACAGCTAGCAACTCCTTAGCCAAAATGCTACTGAGTCACTGAGTTCGAACTACTTAAAGACAGCATATGGGGTTTAATACGCTTTACAACTTTCACACAAAGGTCTATGGGGCCTATTGTATACATTATATTCGTATCAAGTCTTTTTTGTTCCAATTTCGTACCAGAATTCACTATTGGAGAGAGTTTGAACTTCAATTCATGAATATTTAACTGAATTCTTACGTAATCGATACCTTAGATAGTCTCTTACGTAATAATTCTGTAATACCACGTCTTTACTCAACAATAAACTAGAGTTCAAGCAGTATTCAACTGTATTATTAACTGTATTTTTTATTTTTTTTCTTTTGGATAAGCGTTAAGAAGCTATTAAATAAAAAAAAATGCATTTATTTCTAATACTGAAATGTTCTTAAAACGGAAATACTGTATAACTGTATAAAAGCAATCCTTAATTTGCTTTTACATATGATGTGCAACGCTATAATTAGGCGGTGGGTCTGAATAATATGAATTCTGCCCTTCTTCAGGTGAGACAGATGAACTTCGGTTTCCACACATTTTGCCACAGCAGCATTTTGCGATAGCAAATATTATTCCAGCAACCATACCTAAACCGCCTAAACCTCCTAAAACTCCTCCAAGAATATTTGTTGGAAAACTTTTTCCATCACTTTTCTCCACTTTTCCTGCTTGAACGTCTGCAATCCATTTCCTATATTGTGCTACATTCGCGTATACACCTGGCTTTTGAGGTTTTGCACAACCATCGCCCCAACTAACCACACCGCAAAGTTTATCATTGGTGCAAACTAAAGGCCCTCCTGAATCTCCCTGACACGAGTCTATTCCACCATGAGGATACAATCCGGCACATAACATCATTGAAGTTATTTGATTGGCGTAAGATGATGCACTATTACATTGACTCCTATCTATGATGTTTACAGTAACTGCCTGCAAATAAGAAATAAAGATATGATAAACACTTAAATTGTATTTTAAATCTACTTTACGAATTCATTTCTCGAAAGAATTTCAGTAAACTATTACCCTAAGAGCATCTGGTGATGATCCTCCTGAAGAAGTATGGCCCCAACCGGCAACTCTACATTGAGAGTTGACGGATGGTTCAGAATCAGTTAAAGGAATAACTTTCACTCGATCATTTAATTGAGCAGGAGATTGTAATTTGAGCATTGCAATATCGTTCGTTTCAACGCCAGTAGACGAAGTTGAGTAGGATGAATGAACAAAAACTTCAGAAACTGAGAGCTTTTGTTCGGATCCGTCATTCAATTGGGTATCGTGTTCGCCAAGTGTCGCCGTCATCCCAGAAGCGGGTAGAGTTCGGGCGTTTTTTGTGACGCAGTGAGCCGCCGTCAGAATCCAATTTGAATCAATAAGCGACCCCCCGCAAAGAGAGCATCCACCATCGCAGATGACTAGTCTTGAGATAAAAGGAAAGGAACCCTTCGAAGCTTCACTACCTCCAACAATCCGTCCGTAAGGTTGCACAAATTTGAAACATAATGCTAAAGTATAAATAGTTATCTGAAGAATCTTCATTGATAAAAATGAAAGATAACTCCTAGACGTCAGTAGTATAAAGAATGAAGATTATTTTATTAAATAGGCCTACTAGAACGCGCGTCATATATTTTCCTTGGCTACACTAATAAATAACCCGAATTTAAATAGTTCACATACTAACATCAGGCACGTTCGTCTCTATTGTTTATTTGATTAAAAGATATAATCAATTGATTTTAGTCTCTCAACTTTATTTTTTCACAATAAATTGAAAACTTGGTAGTAATTGACAATTGTTTTTTCATATTTTATCACATAAGAATGTATAATATAAAATAAACGTATGGTATTTTATATTCATAAACAAATTAATTTTGCTTAAAATAACTTAATTAATAGTTCAAATGTTAATTTCTTTTCCCTATTTCAATTTTATTCTACTTCCATTTTTTCAATACTTTTCTCTTCATTCAACTCTTTACGTTTATCAGCTTTTGAATCTAGAACGCTCTTTACTATTTTAAAAACAATTAAAATTACTACTACAGAAACTAAAAAGCTTAATGATAATATAGCCATCGTATTGTAAATTCTTAAACGTTGGTTAGTAGCAGTAACAATATGTGTACATTCCGTCCGTTCTGTGTTATTATATTTTCTGAGAAAGGCGTCACTTGTATAGTTTCGTACTTGGTTGTTTAGATTATCCAATATACAAACTAGATAATTCTTTTCATCTGATTCTAATCTATATAACAATAATCTTTTTTCGTCATCTTTCATGTCGATCTTTAACTTTCCCGGATATGTTTCATAATCCTTTGTCAGAGAGTAGACGAAAATGTAAGCTTTCAGTTTAGGAGGAAATTCCCATTGAAAAACAACCGTTCTTGTATTTACAGAAATATTACTGGCTGATATAATCACATTTTCACATTTTGACCCATTATAGTAGTCTGTGTTATTTACTTTACAGTCGCATTTTCCTAACTCTTCTCTGCCGTTTCTACAGAAAGATCTTTGACTTGTAATTAAATGCAGTAAATATAAACTGATTAGTACTACACACTTCCAGGCTGCCATTTTCAATTCTGATAATTAGTTCTTTGTTACAGATAAGATAAAAATTATAAAACTTTTAAACAAGCTGATTTCAGGTAGTGAATATTTTTTTATCAGTCATATATTCAAGTTGCAATTATGTTGTTGCTTGTTCAAAAACTTACATTCAAGGTTAATTTAGTGCAAACAAGAAATTTACATGTTAGACAACGTTTAAAAGTTTTTAACAAGAGACAATTTGGGATATTGAACCCTCTAACCAATATGTTTTCATTTGTCCTTTTCCCTTAATCTCCATTATCCCTCTTTCTTCAACTATGAAACATTGAAATTCTTTTAGAATCTCGTAGATTGATTCGCTTAGATGAATTTTCAAAGGTAAGCCGCTACTTTCCATTCTAGATGCGGTATTTACTGTATCACCAAATAAACAATATCTGGGCATTGTCAGACCGACAACACCAGCCGCACAAGATCCAGAATGTAATCCTATTCTCAAGAGAAGCTGTTCAGTTGATAAGTGATGAATTTTGAAGGATTTTACAGCGTATAATAATTTCAATGACATTTCCGCAATATTTTTAGCGTGCATAATCCCATTCAACTTTGGTAATCCAGATGCAACCATGTAGGCATCTCCGATCGTTTCAACTTTATAGACGTCAAATTTCTCAATAATTCCATCAAAAAGAGTGTATAAATCATTTAAAAGTTTGACTATTTCAATAGGTGTACTCTTCGAAGATAGAACAGTGAAGCTTACGATATCACTGAAGTATATTGACACGCAATCGTAAGTAACTGGAGCTGCGAAGCCTTTCTCTTGGATTTCTTTAGCAATTGGTCTAGTGGAAGAGTAGCATATTAAATCTGTTGATTGTTAATGTGTTTATATAAATATAATACAAATTTTACATTGGTAACAATTTATATAGTAAATCTTCAGCTTTCTTCTTCGCTTCTACGTATTGAGATGTCCTCTCTTCAACCAAAGATTCAAGGTTGTTGGCATAAACTTCCATTCTACTAAGTAAATTTTCAACGATATCCTTATTTCCTCTGTAATTTGGAAGGACGTTTTATTAGAAGAATGAAAAATGATTCAATTGCTTTATTTACCTCAATGATTTTATAATAAGTTTAATTTTGTTAGCTTTTGGTCTCGATGCAGGGATTTCTGACCAACATGCGTTCATTATTGATAATATTGAATGAGGAAGTTGATTGTCTGATTTCAAATGAGTAATAGGTCTAAAGAAAGGAGGTGTAGTCGATTTGATTTTATCAATAATTTCTAGAGAAGGAACAATAGGTAGTAAATAGAAAAGTAAATGACAAAGAAATGTTTAAAGAAGCACCTTCTTCTATCATATTGTGTGTGTTAATGTTGAAAACTCCTTCTCTAAACATAATTTCGTGAAGAATTATCCCAAATGAATATATATCCGATTTAGAGTTTGGTGATAACTGAATCTGTTCTCGTAACAGTTCCGGACTAGTCCATAAGTTCTTTTTAAGCATTTCCTTCTGTGTTTTAAACATATTTGTGTGATCTGTTAATTTAACAATAAATCTTCCATCAACTACACAATTAGAACTTTTCATATTTCCATGATATTTCAATTGTGATGAATGTATATACGAAAGTCCCTGTAGTAAATATTTAAATTAGTAGCGTACATCTTACGGATAATTATTACTGTTATAATATCCAAAGCCAGAGAACATTTGAAATTCCAATCAAGGTTTATATTATCATTGGTTAACAAGTTACATAAACTTCCTTTTGAACAGTATTCATATACAATCCAAGTAGTACCTCGTATTAACGTTACTCCAAGATATTTGCATACATTCGAATGATTTAGATCTAAAAGCTATTGAACTTAAATTAGAATTCTATTTATAGAGCTATTTAAATTACAATCTTCATTTTCTCTAGACAGTTTCTATCGAGAAATTTAGTAGAAACTTTCCATTTTGAAGATTTCAAGATTACGGACAAACCCTATTTAATTGATATTATTTTAATAAATTAAAATCTTTAATTAACACATCATTAAAGATATTTAAATAGTTTTGTTTTGTTTTTATGTTCTTGAAAACTTTATCTTTAAAAGGAGAAAAAGTCATCAACAAAGCCATCTTTTCATACTGGAACCGATAAACTGCTTAATTAAGATATGTATAAAAACAGTCAAAGCGTATCTAATTAATAAAGTTTTTAACATGAAGAAAGTTGAAAGGATTCAAGCAATGGATGAAAACTATCTTGAATCGGATGTGGATGGAAAAAATTCTTGTTTGGATTCAATAGAGAAATCAATTGAAAATTTTGCAATGAAAAAGGATAATATGGCTTTAGAATTTGATAGATTACAATTTAAAATGAAAAGAAATTATTTGAGAATTTACAGATTAAGAGAGTTTGCTGATGTTTGTCAAGAATTGGCCGAAAGAAACCTTTTTAAAGATTTTATTGAGAGTATTACTTATTTCGTCGCTCATGTAGTTGACTATGTAAAACAAGAGCCAAAATTTTCAAGTTTCAATAGAAGTGTACATGGATTAAAGATGTTTTTAACAACGAACGATTATCTAAACAAAGAAGAGGATATATCTTATTACATGTTTCGTTTGAATATTATGCAAAGATTTGGATTAGATGAATCAAGTGAGTTGTGTTTGATTTAATGAAATCAATGCATAATTATATAAACAAAATTATAAATTATAGGTATTCTATTTGTATACTTTCTATGCGAATTGATAACTTGGGCAAAAGTCTTCCAACGAACGCAATCTGAATTGGATGATAAAGAGAAAACAACAGTCATCAGATGGTTGAAAGTCTCTAAAGATCGTTTGAATTCTATCGAATATGAAAAATTTCATAATTTTATTGCAATAGCCGAAAACTACCTTAGAAGAGAATGGAACGTAAAGAAGGAAACCTACTCTGAAATTAGAATGGAAGACTCGTGGAATCGTCATAAAGAAGAAGAACTAGAATATTGCATTACAAAGTTACACTCCATGGCCGGTGCTGCAAACTAGCAAATATTTAAACTATAAATAATACCTGATAAATACCCGTTTCCAGTCTGTAGCTACTTTCCTCTTCCAAAATTTTCGAATTAACTGAGATAGTATCGACAAAACTGTCCTCAGACTTAAAAATTCATATAAATATGAATAAAAATATATAAATAATTAGTTATTAATGTTTAATTATATATAAAGAAGTTTACTTTAGAAAAAGAAAGAGTATCATTCTTTACTTTATTGAATTTAATTTCACTTTTGTCTATTTTCCAACTTACTTTCAACAAACTTCTTTCTTGACTATATTTCCTTTAAGTTTTTCATTTTTTTTAAAAAACAAGCTTTACTATTTAAAATAGATGAGATACTTACTTCATCTTCCGAAAGAGTATTATGAAAACAACTACGGTAAGTACCAGAAATGTTGTTACAAAAATAATCAGAATTAGTGATGACGATGAAAGAGAGTCTAAAAATAATATATATGAGTATTTATCTCTAATATTCTCATTCTTGACTTTCGTTTACCATCAGGACAAATTTCAAAGTTATCATCACATTTTTCAAAGTTATCTGCAGGAACTTTCCCAGATTCCCATATAATATCGGTCTTCTCTATAAGAGATTCATTCATAGCCAAGAATTGAAATACCAGCTTTAATACAAAAACGCTTATTGCTTAATACTACTGTATTTATAATACTTGATAACAAATGAATAAATCAAAAACCTCTTCTCTTCCGCGTTGAAAGTGATAAACGCTATAGTCTTGAAATCTCACTGAAGCGTCATTGTAATATATATAACCAGATAGGCCTATTAATATAATAATGAATTAAAAAGATGAAATAATTTTTACTTCGAATAGTATTTTACCTTGCGGTATCTCCAAATTATGAAGGCCTCTACGTATATCATAAACATCTCCATAGTTTAAGTTTAACTTTGACGTTCTATTTATAGCGTGTGCGGATATCATAACGGAATCGTATAACAAGTAAGTTGCCCATTCAACTTTTTCTCTCTCGCCATATCTATAGTTGTAATTTTTCCAGGATAGTTCTTTCAACATCTCATTAAACTTTGTATAAGTTTCTCTTTTTTGAAAATTACCGAGTCTGACAAAAAACATGTATTCGTAAATATCTTTCAGTAAATCGTCCTCGGGTTTGACCTAATAAGAGATTTTAAATAGCACTATTAACTAACTAATACATAAATTTTATATGTATAATGTATATATACTGTCAAAAAACCTACCCTTTGCCAGGAAAATGTATCGAGTACTGCTTGTTTTGCTATTTGTATTACAATGAAAAAGTATCCTCTTGCTTTGTGTCGACTGTTTTTGAAAGAGCTTACAAAGTTTCTGAAGCTCCCAGCAGAGAGACACAAAACAATTACTGAAAAAGTTGTTTTATGAGGCTTTATTCCCTGTTTGAACTTTATATTTTCTAAATACTAACTCCTACCGCCTTGTACGTAAAACGAATCCTTTATGGGTCTGGGAATATACTCCACTAGATCAATAATTTCAATGCCATGATTATTCATTTCGTTTGATATTTTCTTTGTAATTTCGCTGTAATGTCGATTAGCCTTATCGACTATTAAAGATATTTTCATCCATTTCATTTTTATCAGAAGCTGGCTGAGAACCACAGGCAGTTTCTCGAAGTTGACATTTGTTTTAATTATTGACTGAACGAGTGTATGAGAAATACTGTATTAATAAATTACTTATATACTTTTACCAAACACCTTAAATCTTTTTTTATCAGTATACTGGTCAGGTTTTGTAAAACCAGTATATAACGGAATTCTTAATTGCGAACATATAGCATTTATGAATGAAGTTACTTTTTCGCAGTATGGTCCAATTATTGCAGTAGTATTACCTCTTAACAATTTTTCCGCAGATTTTCCTTTAAATATAATTCTAAATATTATTCAATATCTTATTAAATCAGAATACACAAACCTAAAACAACAACTGGGTCACAATCTGTATCAATTATAGTATACTTTACATCAAACGATGGTAAAATGTTTTCTCTCACGTTATCAAAGGCTAAATCAACTAAAATTTAATTTGAAAACTATTATTTAATTGTAAATAACAATTTAATTTAAATGAACATAAACAAGAGTTACCTGCGCCTGCACTTGTTTTTATGGTTATATCCTGTTCTTGTTGTGACATAGGAGGAAACTTTCCAGGAATCAGAACGAGAAAGTTAACAGTTTCTTTTTCAGAAGTATATTTATATAAGAGAAAGCATATTATTAAAAAGATGAAAGTCATCTTTTTAAGGTTTCTTTACTAAAGGAATAAGACAGAACTGGCTATGAATGTATCTTCTTAGACTGGTGTGTACAGTATATATATATATATATAATTTCGAAGAAAATTACAATTGATTCAAGATAATTAACTGTAAATAATTAAGTATTACCCAATAAGTACACTATTATCATATTCGATAGTCACATAAGTATTATGCATGCATATACTGTACGTATTACTTTAACTATATAACAAAGTATCTGATATAAAAGATATTAAAATAATTAATAAATAATTATCCTTAAAAGCAGAATTTTTTACTGGAGAAAGACCAATTGTTGTGTCTATTAATCGATTTAAGCTAAGTACATCGTAGGTTAATATTGGTGTTGTTATACTCAAGTTCCCAATCTTATATTGGCAACCAATAAATCTGTGGGTTTTGCACTGAACCTCAGCGCTTTTATAATACTTTTGAACAGTGTTTGTTAAATTTGAAATGAAAATCGATCTACTGTTTCCAAATTCAGAGGAGCATTTCAATTGGCAAGCTTTCCCTTTAGAGTTTATACCTGCTAATTCAGCTAAAGCTTGAGATTTATCATCTCTTTCCGTATATTTTTCTCTAACACTTATTCTAAATTCTTTATCGTTTATTCCCTTGAAAGCTTCTATTCGTAAACTTTGCCGCTTTTCAAATATTGCAAGATGAATAATTCTAGGCCATTTATTTGTAAATACGATGGATAAAGCGTCTATCCTTGGTACCCATGAACTATTAACAATAACAATATCGCTATTGATCAAGTTAATTAGTTTCAATTTTCTGTATTCAATTAGCGATTTAGCTTCAGTATCTCCTAAGTAGTCTACACGGATTGTTAAATTTAAGAGAAATGTACTTGTCCAATAGGTTATATTCTTTAAATAGCGACTAACTTTCACTTTTGAAACTTTCAAGTTTAAAAATAAATCCGTCAAGCTCTGGGCGTTCTTAAAAGCGTCTCTTTCAATAAAGTCTAACTGATTTTTTTCACCGCTAATTCTTAATAATTCAGTTCGTCGCCCAATAGAATTTTCATAAATTTTAATGGGTTTTTTATTTGAAATATCTGTGTAAACAAGCTGAATGACGCTTTTTGGTAGAGTGATAATAGAATCTTTAAATGAGCATCTTTTAAATTCTACGTTGTGCCACAGAAAATTATTTAGCCTATCTTTTATATGGTGAATATTACAGTTGTTTAGTATTAAAGACCTTTTAGAAATTCGAGAGAAAATCCAATCTTTAAACCAATCAAAATCTAAAACATCAATATCCATGTTGTTAATTATAACCTTTAAAGGGTGTATTCTTATACGTTATAAAATCCTAATTTACTTGAGTTTTAATGGATACAGTAGAGTAAAGAGAGGCAACTTTAAGAACGGGATAAGAACACACCCTCTTAAATGCTACTCTTGAAAATATTTCTTTAAAAGTCATTGAAGGTCTTCCTTTAAAACTTAAACGAATTTCTTTAAAATTTGAATTTTTTAATCTTTTACTACCAATTATAATAAGACGACTGCAATCTATGTAATCTAATCTAATAAGTTCATTCTCTTTCCATAAATCAGTATCAATTTTAACAATTTTACAGTTATCTATTTCATCAGTCTCCTTAAAAGTTAGAATTGGCGAAAGATTGCGAGTTTCGCCTTCAAAATCCTTATCTAAACACGTAATAAAATCTTCCTGAAAGCAGGAGTTCTTTCTCGTTTCGTACCAGGTACTTTTCCTATCTAAAACGGCTTTTGTAGGGTCGTTTGACGCAAGAAGGACCTCGTTCGATAAACAACTGGATCGACAGTCTAATTTACAAGATTCGTGAATAAATATTTGCAAATGATCTTTATCGCATTTTCTTTGAATTTTTTTGTTGGAAATTAAATTCTGTGAATAGCAGCCATACCCTTCGTTGCATCTATCAGATTATTACAGGAATGAATGATCTATTAAGACGTATTTGGTCTACATATAAGTTTGCCAAGAAGATATGAAAAGAGAAAACGAATTTCTCACCTGTAGTCATTAGTTACAACGTCCAAATCTTTATTATTAATGAATAACTTTATAGAGATAATTTTTATAGGACAATTTCTAATAACAATTTTTCTTAATTGTTTACTAGCAAATGTATTCTCAGATATTGTAAATATTCTTATATTCTCTAAATAAATTGTTACCAAGGCAACATAATCATTAAAATATTTTATTGTTAAATCTTTGGTATGAATATTAATTAGCTTTAAGTCTTTTAAGTATTTTTTCATTCTATGACTTAAGGCGAAATTTTCTAGAGTATTCTTTGTCACATTAAAAGGAGTTTTTAATGAGAATTTCAAAGATAAAACTTTTGCCGTTATATTAAACATAGAAATTCTATTAAATTCAATAATCTTATCAATTTCTAAATTGAAATGTTGAATATCAACATTTTTCATAAAGTTAAAATCAATTTTATGAATTGAATTTCCAAGAAAATTAAATCTGTTTATTTGCATATTAATTAGTAGATTTTTAATTATTTCATTATCTATTTGACAATTAACGATAGATAATTCTTCAATATTCATTAATTTAGTATTGGTTTTATTTAATTTATTAGAAATTAAACGGTCTATTTTGCAGTTTCTAAATATTAACTTTAGTTTTGTCTTTCTATCATGGTTCCAATTGAATAATAATGAAAAATCGAATGAAGATAATCTTAAATTTTCAATGATTAGCTGCAATATAAAAAAGAATTTATATTGAAATTAGTTAAACATTATAAACTTACCTCATTTACATAATTACTGCTTTTTATTATATTTTTTACAAATGTTCCAATATCAATATTTGTAGAATTTTTACCTTGACCTTTTAATTGTAAACCCAAAATTTTAATTTGATTTTTTTGATCAAAAGTTACTAGCTTTATATTACAATTAACAAGGATTTTTATTTTATGATTTTGTTTGAAATTGTTAATATTAACATCTTTATTATTCAAACACGGATCAATTGTCTGTACTATAATGTTTTTATACGAATATTCATGTGAATTATTATACAAGTTATATTGCTCTGTAACTGGAGGATTGTCTATTTTTAAAATTACGTTTGTCTTATTATTACTTGGCAATTGACCTCGATCCATAAATTTAGTCATTTCGTCATTGTTTGTTGAGATTTTATAAAGTAATAGGGATATTCCAATTAAAAAAAATGCTATAATTCCTAAAATAATACATTTTCTCCAGTGATTCGGCCTTTTCGACCATTTTAATCTACTTTCAGCAGATCTTAGAGGAGGAGCTGGATAATAATCAGAAAATGTAACAGACGGTTTACGTGTCATTTGAGTTGTTTCCGTATAACTAATTTCTGAATTATTGGTACCATCGCTAGAAACAGCTGATTGGAGGTTGGTGGTATTCTCTGATGTTGTTGTACGAAAAGTCGTAGTTGCATTGGAAGATAGAACAGTTGATGTTAATTCACTAGAGCTAGTCATTATCCTAGAAAAGGGAGATATTAAGATAGATTGTGCTATCTACTATTTATTTACAGGAAATATTTAAATTGTATCATGACTATTTTTTAAAAAATATAAAGTAAAATACATATTACTATTCTGTTTTGTTTGTTTTTTTAAAAAAAAAAAGAAAGAAAAAACTTATATTAATGTAAATAAATTACTTTGTTTTTATAAGAAAATCGATGAAAAATTAAAAAAATTTATATAATGAAAAAAGCATGTTTAATAGACGAATAGTATAAAAAAAAAACATATAAAAAACTTTTATTGACTAATCGGCCATAGCAAATGTCTCACCAGACTGACTAAAATTAAATTTTCTCTTTAATTTCTTTCTACGTAAGTTACTTCGTTTTAAATATACCAGTGAAAATGGTTTCTATGAGAGATAAATTTGTTACAATTTATCTCCAAATAGGTTGTCTTATCTTCTTCGATTCTTTGTCTTTAGTTGAAGAATCTGTTTTTCTGATTGGTATACGACACTTGGAAGACCGGTTTGCTCCGGATCCCATTACGCAAGTTCTCTTTGTTTGTGGAGTTGCGAATCGGTGACCAACGCCATCGGCTTTCTTCTTTGGCTCGGACATTGGAGCAAATTTTCTGATGGACGCTTTCGTAGGAGTATTCATCTGATTCATATGGGGTACCATTTTTCTTCTGGCAGCTCTAACTGTTACCCTTTCATCAGCTTTCATTGCTGGACTGAGGCCATACTTTGTGCTCTGAGCTGCATTTAATTGCGTCACACGTGTTACCACTTGAATCCTTTGATAAGGTCTATTTTTCAATATAGGAGACGGAATGCCCTAAGGAAATGTTTAGTGTAATTTAAATTTATACTAGAACGGATTAGAAAGTAAATTTTCAGTTTAAAGTTAAAACGTACATTAGTTGGTCCGATAGATAAATCCAAATGGCTCATGTCTTTCTCGGCTCTCTCTTTCATTTCTTGCTGTTACAGTAAATGAAACGAATTCATAATAAAGTAGATATCACAGTATTCCAATAAAATAAATTACCCTGTACGTATACTGATCCTCAATAAAGTTCATGTCGAAGAACAAACGATTCTCTTTGTAAACATCTGTTGATTAACTTGGCTAGTAAGAACGATTAGTTAACTTTATAATACAAATAACGAACCGTTCGTGTTCCAACTTCTTTGCTTTACAATTTCATTTCTTAGGTCAACAAACTTACTTTCTTTCTTAGGAGTCAAGTTTGTTTCGGATCTAGATATCGGTTTGAATGCGGAAGATAACTCCTCGAATTTCCTTAGATTTTCAACGGATTGCGTTGAAGCTTTAATAGGAATTGGTTTAACGATATTTCCTAGACGATTCAAATCTTGACAAGATGCCACCTTCAATTTTACAGGACTCGGTTTATCGTTTTCCTTGTCTTCTTCAAAATCTAACTGAACCATGGCACGTGACCTATAAAAACAAAATTGTTTCTCGTTGAACTCCATAGTTAAAGTGAGGTGAATGCACATTACCATTATAGTAAGCCTAGTTTAACATTAGCGAATATCACGTAACCGCTAACAAATCTTATATTACCGTAATATTATAGATTTTGTTACAATTGTAATAAGTTCTTACCTAAATCGTCCTCTACCACTGTTTCGAAAAAGAAATGGTGATACTGGACGCCGACTATCTATAAAGCTATCATCCATACTTGTGAATTTGTGATTATTGTCGTGTTGAGAATTATTGAGAAGATTCTCTAGAGCAGAACTATCAAGTGCATCGTTAAGAGCGTTCGAGGGTGAATATCTACGAGATTCGTATGTTCGTTCAACATCAGAAATTGACTTGTCACCGAATGCTTCAATGAGGCTGAATTCTAAACTCTCATTCATATTAGGCTTTTGTGAATCTTTCAAGGGTACTCGTCGTCTTTCAAAATAGACGTCATCCTTAGGGTCTCTCTCTTTTCTTCTGTCTTGCAATTTTTGCTCTTTATCTTCGAATTTTCTTCGAAAGTTTTTTTCTTTCTCGGTAACCGGCCCGAAAAAAATATCGGTTTCATCGAGTATCGACGATTCCATAGAGGCGTTACTGTGGGATGATGAGAATTTAATAAGGTTTTAAATATCTTTTCATTAGATAATTAGTCTATGGGGATTAATATCAAGAATCTTCTCTCTTTATCAATTTGTTAGTAGAAAAGTCAAAATAAAAATAACAAATACGCCTCAATCTACTTTGTGACGACTGGCACATTATTCAAGATATGGAATATAAATTAAACAAATCATAAACAAACTAAGCGATCATTCACTCAATGCAATAGTTTACTTATAGAAGTTTATAAAATGAAGAGATTCAAAAATTAATTACCTGATAAACGAGTAATTGGGATTCATTGTAAACACAAACAATCTTAACGGTTAAATTAAAAATCTCTCGTCGCGTGCTGTAAAGTCCAGCTGTATAGAGTAAATTTAAATGAATAAATAGATCTAATATTTAAATTTATAACTTATTACCTTGGAATAGATGTTTGAAACGCCAATAAAACTGTAAAATCAAACAAAGAAGTTCAAATTTTATACCAATAGGTGGTTAAATGACGGAAGAGGAAATTTCGTCATGACAATCAGCACCATCTAGTGGGAAATATTTGGGCGGAAAATGCGAAAATGAGTGTTTAACCTTGGTAAAAAATACCTAGGTAAACAAATCGCTGGAACGTTAAAACGTTTATCATTTTATAATAAATTATATACACGATATTCTACTGGAAATTTATACACTACTTTAATTAATTTAGAATAAAATCTTGGTTAATTTCTACAAAGAATTTCCTTTCTTCTTAAGCCATATCATGTTCTCCAGCGCTACTGGTTGATCGCTTAAATGAAAACAAAGTTACATTAGACCAAAAGAAACAGTTATCATCTCCTATAATCAAATTACAAATACAGAAAATAACGATCTGCATTTTTAAATACACTTTTAAGATATGGTGATTGGCTGTAAAAAATTAAATTAAAGACGATATATATTACAATAGTAAAACAGTTAAGACACATACAAGTTTGTATATAGTTTAATATTATACTGGAATAATAGTGGAGAATAACAACAAATAATAATTTTATTATCAAAGTTCCATTCAATGTACGAAAACAATGGGTATAACGTATGTTTTTTCTTCTTTATAATGTCATTTTGTATATTTAAAATAAGTTGTATAATATTCCATAATAACTTTTCCTCTCATTATGTGATTGTTGGCATAAAGTAAATGAAACGAAAAAAAAACACGTAAATATAGCTGAAACTTTGTCAAAGAGCTAAAACAAAAAAATACCCTGTTATTTTTTTAATTAATATAATAGTCTGAAAGTCAAAACGGAAACTTAGCAATAAAGCGCCTAATTACATCAATAGTAGTACTTTTCTTCTGTTGCAATATCTATTCATATGATATAACTAATTTAGATATATATATATATATATATATATATACAGTATATACTTCTTGTTGAAGATTGAAATTAGTAGAAGGAATATAATAAGTACATTGAAGAGATAGAGATTAAAATTAACTACCTTCTCTTCGTATTCGAGGAAATATAGATTTTTGAGAATATTAAAAATGAAGAGTGTTTGACGTTTTACATGTACTTGTGATTTATATAGTATATATTGTATATACACTGTATTTTCACAAAAAAGTAAATCAATATAAACTACGTATGAAAGGACGTACAGCAAAGTATCATATTTACTCTTTTTAAATTATTTATGACACTTACAAAAACAATCAAATTTTGAAGAGAAGGCCTTGTAATGTTGTATGTTTCTATTCTATGTTTCATTAACTTTATCAATAAATTGTGCTCTACATAACGTTTTTTGTTATATCTAACAAGATATGGCAAAACATTGATCATATTATTTAACTTAATTAATAAATCCACAGTTGGACTCCACAGAATTTTTCAACTAAATTTCATAAAATGCTGTCAAACTTGCAGGCAGAAAAAGAATAATAAATGCTATTGTTACTGAGGAAAATTAATAAATTATAATTATAAACATGAATCATAATACATATGAAGTTCTGCTGGATAAGCTATACGCATACAAGTATACTAAACTATTGTAACAGCTAATAAAGGCAAAGACGAAGTATTCCCACCTGCAAGTATAAAGATATGGTAGATCCTGCAGTAAATAAGCGGGTAGTACGCTTTTCGATAAGCTGTGTTAGGTGATAAATATATCTATACATAGAACTGCAGTTATATCTGGCTAAGTGGCATCGAACCCGGCATAAATAATTTCACCAAATAATTTGTTAACAGGCGGTTGAACCTGTCATATTACATGTTCAAATAAAGGAACAGCTGATCAAAAGAACCTTTATCTACAACCAAGAAAAGTTTACGATATTTAATATAAAATTTAATGAAAGCCCTCTCTCTTGTCTTTCAATCATTTGTTGTATTCACCACTGTAAGTGTGAAGACAATTTTTCATTTTACTAGTTTATTGAAGTAAAGCAATAGTTCATATCATTCAATGTAAATTTCAGTAGAATAATTTCCAGGTATACTAGAAATTTTAAGATAAAATTGCTTTTTGTCCAATTTTAATTGGGTTATTTCAAATGAACTTCCATAAAATGAAGTATTATATTTCCATTCGGATTCTTTATCATTTCTGATATAAATATTAAAATGACTAAGATCATTTAGAGTTGTACAATTAAAATTTCCATTGAAAATATAATGCCCTCCAAATGATGTCCAATTTTTACATCTTTCTATAACTTCTATTGTATTTTTGATATGTTTAGATTTTTCATAGAAATGAATATATCCAAGGAAACCACTGCCACTGCATACCAATATTAATTTTTGATGATTAGATTTTGTTTGAAATTCAATTCTCCTAAAAAAACACAGAAAACACATTTCGTTTTAAAAAATTACTATAATAATAATAAAGATTAAATTACTTTATTTTCCAACGTCTGTCATATTGACACTCCTCTTCGGAAGAAGATTTCTTAAAAGTTTCGATTTCTCTTGTTCTATTGTCTTTTTCGTACAATTTTAATTCTATTTGCTCGACAAAAGCAAACTCCAAAACGAATACTTGTGCAGATGTTAATTCTGTATTAATATCAAACAGATCGTGGCAGTTGGTAACTCTGAATGAATTACTGCCGCAGAAAATTGTCCCATCCGTTAAATTGGTATATTCATATGGTTGGGGCGATTGTAGAGATAAATTAAAAAATTTCTTTTCCTGTTCTAGCTTACCGTTTACATACCATTTTTTACCATAACCTTTGCAAAAATTTGTATAGAAAGGAATTTCAACTTCTATATTTTTATTTAAATCATTTTCTAATAAAGACCAGAACCGGTCATTATTATAATCAAACTTCTCGCCTCCCAGAGTTTCCAAAGTCCAACCAGGAGCAAATATGGCACATCCTAAATTTCTACTTCTCGCTTGTTTTACTGCCTGAATTGTATTGAATCCTCCTTCACCATGACAACTATTGCATCCTCTACCAAATACGTCTATACCTACAAAGACTTTCTTGTTGTCCTTCATTGAATTATTGAGATTCGCTTCCGTCCATGTGTAATTTAAGAATATCGCATCAGAGTATTTTAAGAAACAATTGTTGAGATCATTTAGTTCATTCTGCCATTCTAAATTGCCATTTGATATAATACTATCGTACCAAATAATCTTTGAAAATGTCTTTGAAATATGCATCTTCTGAGTTAGCATTTTTAGGAAAGTTTGTAGCTTAACTACAGTATCTTCCTGTGAAGAAATTGAAAAGTCAATGAACTTTGTTAATAAAAAGGTATCAACAGCACTTTCGATAATTTTATAAATAGATAACTTACTTGAACTTTAGACTCGATATTAATTAGCCATCCATCAAATCCATAATAATTGCATAGCTTAACAAGCATATCGACACTTTTTTCTATATTTATGTCATCTTTTAATATTTCATCTAGCATTTTTCTCCCATCTTCCCATTCAACAATAAAAGTTCCTAGAATCAGTGTTTGATTTTTGTGGGCGGCATTTATCCATCCTGGAGGTGGTATAGTTACCAAATTATGGCTAAAATAAATAAATATGTCAATGAGACACCAGCTATTTAACGAGTAGGGTGGCCATTCGTTAAATTCATTTGTCCCGTGAGAATATTTATCCTCCAAGTAGCCGCCTTTGTAATCATGACAAACTATTGAAATCAACTCCTGTTTGGAAGTTTTTAGTTTTTTTAGCGCACAATTGTGCTGAGAATCTTCCTCATTCCATTCAAATAATGCCTTAGGTGACTTGATTGGCATAATTTCCGTTGGTGAGAAATAGTTTTTTTCTTCACTCATCATTTATCGCTCTTTTTCTTTTTAGATTGTATCGAATTCAATAGAGTACATAATTGAAAAACCATTTTTCTAAGCTATTTATAATATAATCAAAAAAATAATCTATTTATCTATATCAATCAAACGTCATATTTCACTACAATCAAAACAAAAATCGAAAGAAAAATCAGATGTCAATCACATAGCGAAAAATTCCAAGGTGAAGGTCGTCAATTAAATTCAGGCGTAGGTGCGTGTAAGTAAATACTATATATATATATATTCATACCTACGAGGATATTGATTGTGAAATATTTTTTTTATCCCTTGGTGCCTATCTGATATATTTTGATCAATACCAGCCTGAAACTATTCATAAACTTTAGTGCGAAGTAAGATTTGCCTAAGGATAATAGTATTCCATTGAGTGGCGTTTGAGAATATTTTCTCGTCACTGTTCCTTCAGTTTTCTTGGGGATTATCCTCAGAAAATATGTTACAGAACTAATTACATCATTCAAATTCGATTATATTTAATTAGATAATGTAATACATACAAAGAGAAAGAAATAATTTGGACAAATTGATCAGAGAACGTCTACTCAGTACTTGTGAAATTAATAGAAGAGCTATTTATTTAAAATAGAGGGCGGAGAATCTTTATCGAACGTGGTTTAAAGTTTTTAATATCACGATATATCTTAAGTGATTATTACTCCAAGCTGCAGTCAGAATTACCAATGAAAGAAAGTAGCCTGTTCCGAATGTCAAATTCAAGTATAATTTCCTATTAGGATGAATTTAATCTGAAAAGCTTTTATTACAAAAAAGACGCCGGAAATATACAATGAAATACAATACATAAATAAAAACTACAGTTTTACAAAAAAAGAGAAAAAAAAGAATTATGAACACTTTCTTATCTATTAACATTATAAATAAATACATGTTGAGCATGTGAATTATATTTTCTAAATGATAACGTGTATGATTATTTGGAGTAAATAATACAATATCGTCGGGAAGTCTTTGTTACATTAAAAATATTTATATTTTTTTTGCACTATTAAAGAAAAGAAAGGAAAAGTACGATTTGTCTCAAGTAGTAGTCGCTAACCATTCTAGGGAGAAAAAAAACTTTTCTCTCAAGGTTAGTCAAGAATTATGATTGTTTTAATGTGTATAGTCCATTTATTTATATCAGCATTCTGTTATATTTATAAAATTTTTCATATACTATTAATTATTAGCTAAAATAAGATGAAAACATATTCTTAAACCAGTTTTGGTTGACATTTTATGATTGTAACAACTACTTACACTTTACTAGAAATAGGCCTCCTTTTTCTAAAAAGTCTCATTTTGGAAATAAAAAGAGAATTCTATTCTCCCAAGAATGGTTAGAGGACTATTGCTTGATATAAATCATAATTTCCTTTCTTTTCCTCAAGTGTGCAAAAACCAAAAATATATAAATTTTAGTGTAACAAAGACTTTCCACGATACTGTAGCTTATATTAGGTAATAAAAGCATTATACTCATGCTGGCAAACATACAAAATGTAAAATATTAACCTCGCACAATACATTATACGAACTTACATGACTAGTGTCCCAAAAGTTCAATATTTCAATGATGGCCACCAGACTTTGAATGTTGAATGAGCCATTGCAGAGTAATGTCTAGAATAAAAAATAATTAATTGATATATAAAAAGTATAATTTTAATGATGATTTTGAAATATATTGTATATTACAAAATCATCATTAAAATTACACATTTGCTAACCGATATTTTCTTTCTCTTTACAGGATATTGAATAACAGCAGATTTCACGATTTTGAATGGCTGACAAATTCCTGAAATAAAAACAAAACAAATGAAATTATTTTATTTTTTAAAAGTGAATCTATGTCCAAAATTACTTACAATCGATCAATCAACTGCTTTTCGTCCAGAGCTCCAGGCAAATCTCTTTTATTACCCAAAACCAAAACAGGAATATTTTCCAGTTGCGGCTTGTCTAGTAAACTATGCAATTCGTTTCTGGAAGCGTCCATTTTCTCGTGATCAGCTGAATCAACCATATAGCTAGGAAAAAAATTAACGAAAAAAATTAAACAGGTGTAGTGTACAGTTCAGTTTCAAGACTACTAAGAAGAAAGAGCTATTTGTAGCGGATTAAGTTCCCATAGAACTGCTTTCAACGAACTACCGATCACATGACAAACTAAGGCATAAGGTAATCATGAGAAAAATAATCTCACGTGATCATAACTCAAAATGTATGGCATATAATAGATTATCTAATCTCGATAACAAGTACATACACAATGGCGTTTACTCCTCTGCAATATCTTTCCCACATGCTCCTAAATCTTGGCTGTCCACCAATGTCCCATAACTGTTACAAAAAACAAAAGTTAACAGTAAATTCGAAAAGTTCTATTATCAATTAACCTTTATTGTAACGTTTCCTTTGGTAATTTTTCTCATATTGAATCCTACAGTTGGTATCATGTCCTCACTGAATTGACCAGACTGAAAATTACGAAAAAAAGGCACTTTACGATTTTCAATAATAATATCAATTTTAACAATAGCTTTGTTTTAAATTGTTTGATAATCTTTTATATTTAATTAATTCTTATGAAACATGCGATCTAAATAGCAGAAATATGAAGTTTGTTTACAAAAATACTGCGAAAAACTAACCGCTATGACGTTAACAAACGTTGTCTTTCCAGAATATTGTAAACCAACAAGTGTAAGCTCCATCTCCTCCTTCCAGAACAAACTCCGGAACCAATCAAGAATTTTTTGAAAAAATGCGATCATTTCGCTTGATTTTTTAATTTATTAGATATTTTCCTTCAGTCTTTATATCTCGGAATGATCATGTGACAATGACGTCACATGACCATTTAAAGAATATTTTTTTAATCTTTTTTATTACAAAAAAAAATATAATTATTTATGAGATTATTAAAAAAAATTATTGGACAATTTTGGATATAATTTATACTATTTTAAGTATTTCCCGACTTCCGTTTCCTGTCGCCATATCTGCTTGAAAAAGCTGGCTGAATCGACGTGGCAAATTTCGATTTTCAGTTCTAATTGCTGTCAGTTTTGAATACTTTTCCCTTTAACAACGTGTGTCATCGACCAACTAACTGTTATTTATAAAATCGACGATTAATATCAGAGAAACATGGGTCTGTCGTTAAGTAACATCTTCAATCGCCTCTTTGGTAAAAAGCAGATGAGAATTTTGATGGGTAAGATATTTTTTCTCCTCTGTCTCTCTCACTTTTAACGCTTTTATATCACACAGTCGGATTAGACGCCGCAGGAAAAACAACGATTCTGTACAAGCTTAAATTAGGTGAAATTGTTACGACCATACCAACAATTGGATTTAATGTAGAAACGGTTGAATATAAAAACATAAGTTTCACAGTATGGGATGTGGGTGGCCAAGACAAAATTAGGCCATTGTGGAGACATTATTTCCAGAACACTCAAGTACGTTACTATTTTTTCTTAACATGATTGATTTTTAATTCTATTATCTAGTCAACAAGTAGCAATGAAAACTAATTAAGTAACATAAGATAGTCCTATTCATTCAAATCCCCATCTTAAAATGTGAGAGTTTTTATCTTACTTAGCTTTTATTTACTGATGATTCATAGTATGTATATTTGATAAGTGAGTGATTACCTAATTTAAAGATTATCAAGTAAGATCTAAAAGTATAAAAGAATTAATAAATTGTTAAACAGTTGTGCAGATTGTTGTTTATAATTGAAAACTGGATTTCATGACGGTTCATTTTTCCAGAGAAAACAATTTTGTTACTCATTAACAAGTATAAGTTTGTTGTTTCGCAGTAATTCGGCCAATTTTATGCGTTTATGGCCTCAAGCCCAGTAAACTTTGGTCTAGATTTAAAACTCTGTATTAACTTTTATCGATTAAAGAAAAATATCTAACGAAATTGTTTACTTTCCGTCAGGGTCTTATTTTTGTGGTAGACAGTAACGATCGCGAAAGAATGCAGGAGGCTCAGGAAGAATTGTCAAAGATGCTGGGTGAAGATGAGCTTCGAGATGCTATCTTATTAGTTTTCGCTAATAAACAAGATTTACCCAATGCCATGTCCGTTAGCGATATCACGGACCAATTAGGATTGCATCAACTAAGAAATAGAAAGGTGTGTATATATTAGATTCCTGCTTTTCTTGAAGGAGCTGAGTAAATATTGATAAATATTTTCAGTGGTATGTTCAAAATACTTGTGCCACCCAAGGACAAGGCTTGTACGAAGGCCTTGACTGGTTATCGAACGAGCTTTCCAAATAGGATGAGAAGGATATGAATACATAGGATTAAAGGAGAAAGTTTTAAAATAGTTATCTGTTTCAAACTACCATTGTCGAGTTCAAAGCAGTTTAAATATATTCCTGAGTGCGTGTAATTTGTTAAATTGTCACTTGTGTGTTTTGAATGGAATGTATCTGTGCTTAAAAATTTAAATATCTTTCTTGTAATGGTACCTAACTTATACGATACGTACATATATAAATTCATAATATATAATATTTTTTCAGTATAATGATAATTGTTGTAAGGTCAAATAAACAGATATTATTTTAAGAATTCTCAATCTTAAAAAACCAAAAAAAATAACAAAAAAAATGAATCTTTCTTGTTTATATCTACTGTCAATTTCCAAGCAATTCTGCAATATACGCAGCATATGTTTATCTTTTGTATTACTCTTTTTCAGTATAAACCTATTAAAGCTTGTTAAGTACACTTGTAATCTGTTGATGATTAGTTACAGATTCTTTTGTTAATTATGGAAAAGTGTTGGTGCTTCCCCATCTTCAAGAGTATGTATACTCCCTATACATATATATATATATATATATATATATATGTGGTAGAACCGTCTGCACTACATGTTAAATTGAAATACACTATTTGACTATCTAAAATGAACAAACAAACAAAAAGAGAATAAAGGAGTAAAAAAGAATGTTAGTTAAATATAACATAAATAGGCCATTTTTGTTTTTCTATTGTAAAATTATATCTATTAATAGACAGCTGATCTTATGATGAAAAAGTTACTACCGAATAAAAGAGGTATAATTTCCGGTTTTTCTGTTAAGTTTTTTATTTAAAAAATACACTTGCTTATAATTGAGAGAAGATGAATAAAAATGCATTAGAAAACTGTTCTATCCTTCATTATTTTTCTTTAAGAGAGAGTGATTTTAGTATCTTTTAGAACTGCTGAAATAACGAGCTCAATAACTGAGGTTATTTAATATAATTAAAACTATTTTAGACTCTGATAGAAATTTATATTAATTCTTTAAAATTCCAAATTTAGATTTAATAATAGAAAAAAAATCAACTGAAAGTTTGAATGTAAAAAGACCTCACAAGGAAATAGGATTTTTGAAAAAAAAATGCCTTAGAGCTATATCCTTTAAAAATTGTATAGGATGATATACGCTCAAAGACTATTAGGACCTTTGATATTATTCTATCAAGCTGTTAAATAATTAAGATCAAAACATTAATAATGATATAAATGAAAATTTTTATCTAAAAGAGAATAGTTTTAGCATCGCAAGGAAGAGAGACATTTTAATTTCTGTTACGTATTCTAGAGTATCGTTTATCGATGGTAAATATGAATATAAGTTTTTTATTATTCGACTTTTTTATGAAAATACTAGGAGAAAATTTTCACCTAAACAGGGAATTAAGTTTGCCAAGAACGCTAGGCATGCAACACTTAACTTTAGAAGTATATTAGCTCTCTCTCTCTCTGTCTCAAAGCTGATGACTTTCCCTGGAAAGACTCATTCTCCTTTCTAGTATAGTTCCTTAGCATTCAATTTTAGTTTGAAATGAGAAAAGAGTATGAAAAAGTTTTTTTAAAAGATGAAAATAAGAAATCGTTTTCTTTATATTTAAAAAAGAGTTCATCTGCAAAGGTATTGTCGTGGTTAACAGAATAATATTTTATATCATATATTCGGAAAACAATCAACTTCTAATATTCAAGTGGGAAAAAAAGGATGAGAGTTTTATTATTAGAGTTAATATATGAAATGTTATTCTCTCATAATTTATGCGTAATGTAGAAAGATAATGAGATTACATTATTTATACTTTTCATTCTCCTAAGAGCTACCTGCTACCTTTTCTCGCAAAGCTCATTATAATGTCAATACTTTTTTCTTTATAATAGATATATCTTGCAAAGAACGCCACAACGATGGGTTGGTTAACTACTGAAGAAGATCATCATCATGAAGAAGAGGAGGATGGCCAAATAAAGTAATGTAAATTTAATATTTACTTATAACAGATAAAGAATCCTCTTCCCTTTAGCCGAATTTCTACTTGGAACATAGTTCTTTGTTATATTGTTTTAATATTGGTTTTCTTATTTGGTTCTTTTTTCTCAACAATTAATATATTTGGTATAAAAAACAAACTTAGTCAATTAGGAAATATCATAATTTTAGGTAAATGTTAAAATTGTATCTTATCTCATCTCAAAATATAGCTAAATTCTCTATTTGTTCATTGTCAGCTTCATGTTTCAATACGTATTTAATGTTACTTGTAGTGGCTATGATCTATGTGGGAATAGCAAATTTGGATTATGTGACAGAAAATTTTTGTTACGTTCAGGAACAATTAACCTATATAAGTTGGTAAAAATTATTAGACTGGCTATAACACATAAAAAGTTTCATTATAATTTATATATTTTCCATTACAGTTGTTCAAAATGGCTTGATCTTTCCAGCTTTGCTAGCTGGGGATAGATTAGATTTGGTTTACAATCCTCATAAAAGGATATTGAATGCAATGACAATTACTTTTCTGGTCATAATTGGTGTTGGAATAAGTTTAGTTATTACCGTTATACCTGTGTTAGGTGTAAAGTCAGGGTCTGGACCGGTTCATCAGCACGGATGTCATCTATGGTCTAAGAGGTAGATATATATTTGTAAACAATTACTACTATCATCTATACATCCGTCTTTAAAACTTTCGAAACTTAGGGTTGATGCATCAGTTTGGGTGCAAATTTATGGATTATTTGGTTGTCTAGTAGTTTCTATTATAGTTATATCTGGATGTTACGGACTAATATATAAGAAACTTTTAAACAAAGTTGCCAATCATTCATTAGAAAAAGGGTCCTCTATACCTTCAGAAACCGAACCAACGAGTGCGTACAATTTTAAAAAGATCATTTTTAATATTTTAGTTAATTAACCAAATATGAAAAAATCTACAAATATAACTTTCTACCTTTATTTAAATTTTCCCAATAAAGCTCACTCTCAAGTCAAGAGTCGGCCGAAGGCTTCACGTCAAAAAAAGTTACTTGTAGTGACAAGTATTATCATTCTATCATACATTGCCATCTGGTGTCCTTGGATAATCATAAATGTATTAATAAGTAATCGCTCTTCTCTTGTAGAAAATAACGTTGAATTACGTATAACCACTATGTGTTTTGGCTATGTCAGTCTAACACTGGATGGGATTCTGTATAGTTTTATCCTTCCCGACACGCTAAGCGTTTTAAAACAGATGAGACGATATCTTACCTCACGAAATTCTTAAATCGTCTTCTGGAAACTGATAAATATATTGTATTATTGTTTTGTCGAGTAAAAATTTAATATTACACATAGATTTTGTTTACATTATTAGAGAAGAAGATAAGAATTTCTCGATAAAGCTATCTTGTTAGCTACAAAGAGCCTTTGCACTTGGGGTAAGAATTAATAAAAGAATAAGGTAAAACTTAGAGCTCTATAAGCAAAGTACTGAAAATGTAATACTGGAATTCGTTTTCAAACGTCTAAAAATATAATTAAATACGATAAGAGATGCTTACAATTTCAATTTCAAGGAATATATTAAATTAATTATTTTAAGCTTTTCTTTGATAAGTTAATTATAAATGAAAAAACATCATTGGCAGTAAAGATTTATGGGAATAGTTTAATAAAGTAAAATTAGCAAAATTTGTTTATTAATCACTGATAAAGATTGAATAGTTTATTTAGAGTAAACGTTCTTATAGACTAACAAATTCAAGAAGAAAATGAATATAACATGTTTCTTTATGAAATAATGTTAAGATTGAGATTTTAAACCGATTGAAAAGTAAGAGAGAAAGAGAAGGAATAGGAGTGTCTGTATCAATGAATTTTACGATCTGTAACCGGTTTCACCAACGGTCATTGAATATTCTGTTGTTTTTTGGTTGTTTCTATGATCTTTGTCAAGACTATCTGGATAAATATTATTTCTTCGCTTCAACCAAGTATTCTTGACGAGTCTTCGGAAATGTCTATTATACAACACAAATATAAAGAAATTAGCTGCTGCATTAAATGATATGCAGCATACTGTAATTCCATAAAAGTACGAATATGGCTTTTCACAAAGTGTTACTTCTTCCTTGGATAAGATAACAACCAAAATTCTTCTTATACCATTGATTACTTGAACAAATATATATATTATATTAACTGTCATAAGTGATTTAGTCAGTCCGGTTCGTTTTCTCTGAGTTGTTAATTTTAATTTCTAGATAAATAAAAGTCATTTGTGTAGTGCAGTTTGAAAAAAAAGGACAAATAATCTAACCTTCAAGATCATAACAGTCATATAAGAAATGGTTGCAATAGGAATAGCCAGTTGAATAACCCAATATTGAACTGTTACATATGTACCGTAAGTCGAACTTCTTTTCAAATTAGAAGGAGCTTGAACCCATTGTCCCGTAGACGCTTTAAACGTTGGTTCGTATTCCCACGCTCGTGGTATATTTATACCAATAGATATGACAAAGAGTAAAATTTGCGTAATAACAGTACTTCTTTTAGCAAGTTTCCATGAACTATGCGGGGCACAAACAGCAATATATCTTTCCAGTGTAATAAGCATCGTATGCCAACTACTAGCCATCAATGATCCAGTAATTATTGGTGAGAAAATACTCCTCGTTAAAAACACATAATTGTAAGTATCCAGGGGTGAAATAATTTCTTGCGCTAGCTTAGTAGTATATCGAAATAAATAAATAAAACTGATCATAATACTTGCGCTAATTAGAAATAATGTATCTGCCAATTCTAAACCTATTAACAAAAAAGTGGTAGTGTTCTTTGCCTTATCTAAAGAAAAGGTTATTATAGAAATTAGGTTAAAAACTATCCCAATGCTATTCATTATAGTTAGAAGCAAACCACCAACAATAAAAGCAAATATTTCACAATGTTTCCAATCCGTGATAGCTACAGTTGAATTGTTGTAGTCCATTATTTGTCGCTTGTACTACTGTAAACTATTCTAAACTATAAGTAAGAACTTGTGCTTTTATTCGACTTACGATTTAAAACATATGACGTCACGTCAGAATGTAAAAAGTCTCAAGTCTATTAACACGTATGTCAGAAAATTGATGTGCTCATAAATTTAATTGGGTATTTATATAACTAAATAATTAATAGAGTATGCAGCAAGATGTTTGTAAGTATTTGTATTAGATTTTTATAATTTTATTCATTAGTTAAATATTATGTGTTTGTAAATAAAACACTAAACTCCTTCTTAATTATCTCGTAATTATTCAGGAAAGAAAACGCCTAATTTGATTTTATCTGTTGTTTTCTACTGAACTCATTTTTTCTCTTAAACTATCGATACAAGTATTTAACTGTAATAAGCATACACGTACACACGACCAATCTTATTAACGATTGAAGATAAATCCCTAATATAATTTAATAAACACACGAGTGTCTAGTACTCCAGTGATTTTTTATTCTTATTAGTACAAACTTGAAATAAGATTGTACTCCTTGTTAATAACTTCGTCATTTAGGTGAGGGTGTGGCTTATTTATTACTCAAATACCTCATTACAATTTAAACATATATTCTCTCTACTTCTTTTATATCACAAGTAAAAAGAAGTAAAGAAAATACTGAATCAATGAGAAAACAATAGACTAAAAGTGCAATCTTTTAAAGTTCCCGCATGATTAAAATATGGTAGTTTGAAAAATATGGCCAAAGTTGTAATTATGTTGTAGCAATTGTACTAATATACAGTATATATATATGCATGAATATGGAATTATAGTGTACTATAGTAGTACGAAGGCTGAAATCCCACCTTCTCCAATAGTTCTTATATTCATTATCACTACTATAATTTTCTTAAAGAAAGGCGTCATTCTTTCTTCAGTATATTGCTAACAAGTATTGAAATCCTGCTAAACGAACTGCTTTCTAAGTATAAAATATTAGCTGTTAAACAAAGAGAGATAATAGATATTTAACACAAAGTTTTAGCTAATGTCAATAAATATAGTAGAATACTATTAAATATATATTTCTTTTGCTTTCATTAGGTAAATATCCTATCCTCAAATAAGATTTAACTAATGGATTATATTTTTAACATGTTTGTAGGAAGCATATCTGCAAATTAGATGTGATATTTTATCACTTGTCAGATTTTTGACAAAAACGAAAAAACGAAAAGTTTTAAGTTTGGTTTCTTTGGAAATCAGTTTTATTTTAATTGAAAAGCTTTCATATTACATCCTCACTATGTTTTATATATATATATATATATATGTATATACAGAAAGAGAGAAAGAAAATGAGTGAGAGAGAGAGAAATTGATAAATATCTATCATAGTAAAAATATACTTGGAAAGCTTCATTCTCTAGTTTTCCTATTTCTGTGAAACACACGACTTTTCCCCCTCATTTTCACCACTCCAAGATTAAGTCTCTTATATTTATATTCATATTGACTATAAAGTAAATATCCTACTCTATTTTTCGAGAAATGGAGTAAAATTTCAATAATAAATAAAAGGTGTCAAAGAATTATGTTAATTATGCGCATATATATTTTTTAATTCATAAAATCGTGTTAAAAATAAAACTAAATTTAAATTGCAATTTCAATAAATCAACGATATTAAAAGAGATAAGAGATTGCAATGTAGATATTGTTCAAATATTTAAAAAAGGGTAAAAACAGTAAAAACGTGTGGTTGCTATTGCAGTTTCATTATATTACCTAAACTAAGCTATGTGAGCTCATGACCTGTTATATACTTTCTATCGTCTGCTAGTTTATCTAAATCGTCTGATATATCGTTTGCAAAATGTTGAACATATTGCTGACTTGTGTGGACGAATATCTGATAATTAACTAAAATAACGTTTATTTGAAAGGTTTACTTTTTGAATTTCAATAGCTGAAATGGTTTTCTGCAGGAATAGCGAATCGGAAATTACTATTCATCTCTGCAACGCTGATTTCAATTGTTTCGCCGCTAATTTATTATTTTCCCTTATATTCTTATTTGGCATAATTTTCATTATATTTAGGAATAAAAAGAAAGAATTTAAAGAAGTATGGAGATCAAAATACCACTCAATGAGATATTCAGTTACTCTCCTTCTAATTTATTTCAACTCTTTGGAATTGACCGAAGGAATTATTTCAGATGTAGAATTTACTGGAACCCAGCCTCATCTATTTCTTACACCCAGTCTCTCATTAATTAGTACCATCTTATCATTAGTTTATTATGACAGAGTTGAGTGTTCAAGATCAAGAAAGCTTCTGATAGTCTTGATCATTTATTGGCCAACAACAATAATACTAAGTTTACTAAGACTCATTACCTTAATACAATTAAATTTAAACTTTCAAAATGTTCGATATACATTAACAGTTATTATTATTTTACTAAGATGTCAACTGGCCATTGTGGAAGGTGCATTATTGGTTTACGACAAATATATTTGTAATTCTTACAAGAGGAGAAAAACTTTATACAAAAAAGTCAAAGGATTTTCTTATTATTACGCAAATTTTCTCTCAAAAATTACACTAAACTGTTTATCACGTCTATTGATTATTGGTTATAAAAAAGATCTAGATATTGATGATTTAGGAGAACTCAATGAATTGGAAAAATCAGAGTATAATTCAAAAATAATGGAAAATGAAGTAAAAAAACAAGTTACCAATGACAATGGAAAGTTTAGTTTGTGGAAAGCTATATTTAAATGTCATTGGAAATGGATGCTTTTCGGGCACGTGATTTTTAAGAAATATTAATTAATATCCCATGAATTTTAATTATAAATTGAAAATTATGATTAATAATAAAATAACTTAACTCGTTTAATATTCTAACAAATCAAAGAGTTATATTTTATTCTAAAACTCACGTGCACAGTGGAACGATAAAGATTATTTCAGATTTATTATTATTCTTTAATCCCTTCATTTTGGACCGTGTAGTTCAGCACGTTAGTGTTTATACATCTAATAAAGAGTTCTTGGGAAACTATTCGGATTCTATTCCTATAGCTTATGACAGGAAATTCGCTGATTTCTATGCTAACGTTATAGATTTTGTAAAAGATTACAAACCATTAACAGAACCTGTATATCCAACGTGGAAACAGTTACTAAGAAACGGTTTTTTCCTGGCTGTTTGTGGATTTGGACTTCAATTATTACAAAATGTTTTTTGGCAAAATAGCTTCTTCTTTTCAATTAGAGAAGGAATAAGGTGTAAAGCAGCTCTCCAAGCATTAATTTATAAGAAGAGTTTACGTTTAAATCTATTCTCTATGAATGATGAAATGTTTACAGGAAGGGTATTAAATCACATGACACTCGATACCTATTATATATATATGCTGTTTTATATGGGAAACTTTTTGTGGACCATCCCTTTTCAAGTTATTACTGCAATATTTCTATTATATTGCCAATTAGGTGTATCAGCAATTATTGGAGCAATAGCTCTGATTCTTATTCTACCTTTACAAGTTGCTTTAGCTTCACTCTTATCTAGATTTCAAAAGAGAGCAATGGAGTTTACTGACAAACGAATAAAACAATGTAATGAATTATTACAAAGTATTAAGTTATTAAAACTGTATGCTTGGGAATTAGTATTTCGAGACAGAGTGGAAAAGACACGCAACTTGGTAATATTAATTAATTTTTCTTAATTAAAATCTTTTTAACGCTTGTATCAGTTAATCTATTGAAAGAAGCACTATTAGGTTGATATCTTTACATTTATAAACTGTCTAAAAGGTATCTTATACGATAAAAATAATAGATAAGCTATTTTTTATATCGTTTTTCTATTCCTAAGTTTACTTTCCTCGTGTTTCTTATTTGAGATTTTATCTAATCATACACTATTCAAGCTAACATCTAATTGCTTGAAGAACGTCACTCTTTCTCTACTATTAATCATTTCAAACTTTTCAACAGGAATTGAAAATGATACTAAAGGCTGCTTGCTTAAGGGCTCTTTCGATTGTCGTGACTGAATGCATACCCATCATAGCTATTATGACGACGTTTCTTATCTATCGTTGGATTGAAGGAAAAACACTGACTGCTAACAAAGTTTTTTCTGGAGTTGCCCTCTTCAATATACTCCTAATACCCTTATTGGTTGTATCTCTTGCCGTAAATGCTCTTAGTCATGCCAGAGTAAGCTGTCGAAGAATGAATACGTTTTTGGAAATGAACGAAGTTGAGAGTGTATTCATTCCACTGACAAAAGCTGACAGAGAATTAAATACACTTTTAGAAATATCTAACGGTAATTTTAGTTGGAAACATTCCACTGATAAAAGCGAAGATCAAGAAATAATTCTTTCGAGTATTAATTTAACTATCAAAAAGGGAAGTCTAACAGTTATTGCCGGTCCTGTAGGAAGCGGGAAATCCTCTCTTTTAGCAGCCCTATTAGGTGAAATGAATATTTGTTCAGGATCTGTTAAAAGGTGCTGTGATTCTAAATTAGCCTTTGGATCACAGAGGGCTTGGCTGTTAAATGCAACCTTAAAGGATAATATTTTATTCGGTTCATCTTTGATTGAAGAAAAATATGAAAGAGTTCGTTTTTTAATATTCGTATGAAAAGAAAATAAATCTTATATTTCTAAAATAGGTCATAGCAGCTGCAGCTTTAAAACAAGATATAGCGGCTCTACCTGGAGGTGATAATACTGAAATAGGAGAGAGAGGAATAAACCTTAGCGGGGGTCAGAAGCAAAGAATCAGTATCGCCAGAACCCTTTATGCTGACACTGATATCGTATTATTGGATGATCCGATGTCAGCATTAGACGTTCACGTTGGCCGTCATATATTTGAAGAAGCTATTTGTAGTTATTTGATAAATGAACTAAAGCGGACTGTAGTTTTAGTTACACATCAGGTATTTTAGTTTAGAAACAAAAAAAGTGATTTTTGTAATAATTGTATATAATTTCAATTTGGCCAGGTTCAATATTTACCAAAAGCTGATAATATAATAGCTATGGAAGGAGGTAAAATAGTTGCCCAAGGAACTTACGGAGATATTTGTGATAACTATCCACATTTAGTTAAATCTTGGGAAGAAACGGAAATGATTAAGTATATGGATCCGAAAAAAGTGAAATCTTTAAATTCCTCCGAAATTGATTTAAATAGGGGAATAAACTTATTCTCAAGCAATCTTACAAGATCTTCTAGTATTGTCTCACTGCCTTTATCTAGAATATCTCTAGATAATTTTGAAGATATTCCAAGCGTAGTACCTCAAACGAAACAAAATGAATCTGATAAAGGAGAAGAAACAGGAAAATTGATTGACAGTGAAGAAATAGAAACAGGATCAGTATCATGGAGAGTTTATAAAAAATTCATTTTGGCGGCTAGCATCCGATTTTCTGTTTCTACACTTTTGGCCTATTTTATAAGACAGTCCTTAAGAGTCGGCTCTGATTTTTGGTTGGCCCACTGGTCACAATCGTCTACAGAATTACGGCAACGAAATACAACAGAAGCTGAAATAATATCACACCAATCTCATATGATGCTTATTTATGTTCTAATCTGCTGCTGCTTTGTTATTTTTTCGGTTGTTAGCAGTTTACTGACAGAATATACTTGTATAAGAGGGTCCAAACGCCTTCATTCGACCATGCTACATAGACTAATTGACGCTCCCATGCGATTCTTCGATATAACACCTATAGGCAGAATAGTTAATAGGTAAGAACATAGAAAAATGTGAGAATATAGTTAATAATTCAGTAATGCTTACTTTTTAGATTTACGGGAGATGTTATGATCTTGGACGAACGATTGGCCCAAGTATTAGACGAACTTTTTTACTGTTCATTCTTTTCCTTGGGCGGTGTTATAGTCAATGCAATTTCCAGCTACTATTTTATAGTTGCTGCAATACCCCTTGTTGCTATTTATCTACTAGTTCAAAGATTTTACATTCCCTCCTGCAGAGATTTACAGAGGTTAAATAGCGTTAGCAAATCCCCAGTCTTGTCTCATTTCGGAGAAACTTTAGGAGGTTTATCAACAATAAGAGCCCATAGTAGACAATCTGCTTTTTCTAAGAAAAATAATGAAGTTGTTGATAAAAATAACAATGCTTTTTTCAATTTACAAGCAACTATTCTTTGGATGGGAATTAGATTAGATTTTGTTGGATCTCTTACCGTCTTCGCTTCCATTGTCTGCGTCTTATCGTCTGGTCTCTCAGGTGTTGCATCTGAAGGCGTCGTTGGTCTTAGTATTGCGTATTCGTTAATGATTTCATTTAGCTTAAACTGGATGATGAAATCTGTTTCCGAAACGGAGATGAACTTTAATGCAGTTGAAAGAATAAGCCATTATATAAACATTAAAAATGAATCTTTCAATGCAAATGAAGACGTTGGTAAGTAGTCTTATATTTATATAAAAGCTTATTAATTTTAAAATTTCATTATATGACATGTCCAATAGACAAAGATTGGCCTTCTGATGGAGTTGTAAATATTGAAAATCTATCTTTACGCTATGACGAAAATTTGGATAATGTAATAAATAACTTATCACTGTCAATCAAAGGTGGTGAAAAAGTTGGAATTTGTGGTAGAACTGGCAGTGGAAAATCATCTCTAATGTTAGGACTATTTAGGTTAATTGATATTAGCGGTGGAAACATTAAAATTGACAAAAAAGATATAAGTGATATTCCTCTTCGAAATCTACGCTCTCATCTGTCAATTATTCCTCAAGATCCCGTATTGTTTGCTGGAACCGTAAGATTTAATGTTGATCCAGTCGAACTCTATTCCGATGAAACTATCTGGAAAGCTTTAGATATAGCGCAGCTTGTACCAATTATAAAAAATAAAGCGGGGCTTTTGGATTCACCGGTTGCCGAGGGTGGTGAAAACTTTAGTGCCGGACAAAGGCAGTTGTTTTGTCTGGCTAGGGCTTTACTAAGAAATTCTAAAATATTAATTATGGACGAAGCTACAGCGTCTGTCGATATGACAACAGATAAAATTGTTCAACGAGTAGTCAATCAGCATTTCAAAGATAAAACTATATTAACAATAGCTCATCGAGTATCATCAATATTGAACTATGACACAATAGTTGTACTACAAAATGGTAATATAGTTGAAGCAGGTCCTCCTAGTGAATTGAAGAGCAAAATGGATGGAATATTTTCAAGAATGATTCATGATAACCTATAACTACTGGAGTGTTCTAGTTTTAATTGTCATCTGTATTTCTTGCTTTGAATACTATGTTGTCACATGTGGCCATAAAGATTTCGAGTAATTAAACAGTCTTTCCTTTAAGTAATGTATTCAAGTATATCCTCCAAATTATATATTTGCCATTTAAATTAAATTCTTATATACATTAACAGTCTTATTTCAAGGGAACATTTTAAATTATACAACAGTATAGGTAGAATTATGTCTTAAAGATTTAACCCATTTTAATCTTGATGTGTGTAAGTTGAAATTTTTCCAAACAAGTAGTTGAATACCACCACACAATATTGGTACTAGAACAAGTAGCTTAAATGCAGCATCTTTGAAAGCATCGTGTAAAGCTTGTGGTAATAAAGTGGCGTCTAATTTCAAGGAATGATTATCAACTTGAGAGAAAATGTCATTTCCTGTAAGAAATCCTAATAAAGAAAGACCTATCAAAGGGGCCAAAGTTTGTCCTGGTTTAGCGAGTAAAGCTGCAGTACCATAGACTAGAGCAGAGACAGGCTGTTTGCGGTTCTGAATAACAGTATCTTCATCAACTAAATCGGATATGATAAGACCCAGTAATTTGCAAGTTCCTTCTGTAAACATCCGATTTGTAGCTATAAATATTCCAATGATTACATAAGATCCATTTGGTCCAACAAAGAAAAACATAAGTATTGCAAACAAAACTTTAACCCATAGTAAATTTCTGATAACGGAATAAGTTCCGTATTTTCGGCAGGCATTTAAAAAATATAAATTATTAACATGGGGAGCAACAAATGAAAATCCAAGAATAAAAGAGGCAGTAGACGCCGATACATTATTGCCAAGTAAATGGTAAAGGAATAGAGGAAAGAAATTGGAATTAAAATGGCAATGAAAAACTTGTAATAGATTTAGGGCAGAAAAAAGATTAAAATTCCTTTGATTAAACAATTGTTTGGCGAATGAAAGTGCAGACGGATTTTTCTTTTCGTTATCTTCAATGTATAACTTTCTTTTTGTTCTAAAAATTAAAAAGAAATATTATAAATATATAATGTACGCTAATAGTTAAGTATATAAGATTTATTATCTTGAGTTCATCATACTAACCGATTTCGACGAAATTCTGTGACACACCACGACGATCCCAATAGAGATATTACAGCAATAAATAAACAAAATATTCTGAACGATTTTAAATCTGACCAGAAAATGTGTGACAGGAAAACAGAAACGGAACCAGCCGCCGATCCAATAGCAGAATATGTATTTAATTTTGTTCTCTTCTCGGAAGAAACTTCTAAATCAGCCAAAAGTGAACTATGCTGTAAATCAACAACCGTTAAAAAAGAATCGTATGTGCATAAGCAAAACATCAGCTGTGCTCCAGTCCATATTGGCCATTCAAACCAAAATAGTAAAAAAGATCCAGCAAGTAATGGAACAGCTTTTTGAAGTGCTGACAATCTTCTATCAACTATGTCAATACTACTACTAGTATTCAATAAACCTTTATCACTTATCCAACCAAAGAGAGGATCGTTGACTGAATTCCAAAATAAAAATACAATTTCAGCTATCCAGAATGAATACTTTTGAATCTTATAAACTGATACAAACATTTGTACGTGATATAGAAGAAACACATTATGAACTAGAGATGTGAAAAACGCGATTCCTCCATAATAAACTCCAATATTCGTAGCCATTACCGTTTGTTTTTAAGTGAAAATGACATAAAAATCCTCAAAAGACTCTTTAATAGCTTTGTCTCCTTGTACAGATCTATATCTAATCTAAAACGTAGACAAAGGCTGTCTAATAAAGCTGGAAATAGATAAAATCGTTATTAAAACATTTTAGAATTTTTGGGTCAACGTGTTGCCTAGAACATATACCAGTTTATCTCTGTAAAATATTCCATAGATATTGTATCAATGGCGGTAAACTCTCAATGGAGTACCTATTTAAATATCTCATTTATCAACTGTTATGACATCAAAGCTAATAGAATTCGGAGTAAAATTTTAAAGATCATTTAAAGTATCAACAACTGATTCTAATTTTTCTTTTTTACGTTTTTCATGCTATTTTGGCCTGCTCTTTCATTTTTTCTCTAAAAGAACTATTCGATTCTTAAAAATTAGTCATGACCTTCATAACAACAGGTAAAATGAAGAATTTTCTCCAAGTTAAAGTCATAGTACTATTATTATTCTTACTCGAAACAAAAGAATAAACCTTTGTTTTTTATTTAATTAGTTAGCATTCGTTTCGAATCACTATATTATGTAAATAATAATATAATAACAATAAAAAGTGTATTTTGCTTATTAAATCAGAGGAGTTTTTGATAAGAAGGGCACTTCTAGGTTAAAATATAACAGACGAAAAAGGATACCTCAGCGTGAGTCATCTGTACACAGTTTATACAACCTCTTTACAATGGAATAAAAAGCTTGAATATTTCCTAAAAACATTGGCACTTTTCTCTTATCCAATTAGTGAATGGTCTTACATCCGCATAGACGCTTGGATAACCAAGAGGGAAGCATAAAGTCGTTGTCCATGAGGCAATACCCAAAAGAATAACCGTTTTATCTTTTGTAACTTTAAATAATGGACCGCCACTATCTCCAGTGCAGGTCTTAGCTGCTTGTTGTCCAGCAATACATATTGAATGACTTTCAATTAACCATTTAAAAGTGGGAAAAAAAAGATTACATTCTTTCAAAGGTAAAGTGGTCGCCGTTGCTTCATTTAAAACAGAACCAACTTGTTGATCTAAACCCTTTCCACCCCAACCAATAAACGTTAAACTTTCTAAAGGTTCGGTCAGCGTCGGAAGACATATCGGTTGAACAAATTGATTAAAAGAGAATGCTTTTTCTAATTGTACAACACTAAAATCATTTTCAACTCTAAAAATGTTGAAAAAGTAAAAAACTTTTTATCAAACTTTCAAAATTATAATATTAATGGAATTTTAAAATGTTTACCTGAATGGTGATGCTATATGCGTGAAATTTTCGTGCCTGTAAATAGCTTTAATTGTTGATATTTGCCTATTTTTTTCTGCTTCGTCATCGAGATTCAAAGCCCCCGCTATGACGCTATCACCCACACTAAAATTTGAATAAATATCTACTATATTTTATTTTTAGGTTGTTTACAACATGTGTAAAAAATTATTATTATGAACTTACCTAATCCCGCAATGACCGGCAGTAATAAACCAATCTTTGGCTATTAGTACTGCCCCACACCTTAATTCTTTATCTTCTCTAAGGATTGCTATCTGTTAGTTGAAAGATTTATGATCTATTTAGTATTTTTTAGTAAAGCTCAACAAAAGAATATTCTTTTATTGAGCTATAAAAATGATCTGTTTATCAGAGCTATCATTGCAATTATTCTCACCATAAATGGCCATTTTCCTTGAAATTTAACGTCGTCACCCTGTACTAGTTCATCGTTGCTAAACTGAGTATGAATTTGACCACACCCTATGGAATGCAAAAAATTATTTTCCTAAATTGTTGACGTAAGAACTAAAATGTATACTGGGCACGCGACTAACCAATTCAATATTAACAATAGGATAATTTCTATAGCAGATTTTATATATATATAGAATATTCAACATAATAGAAGGCAGTACAAAAAGAGGAAATTACTACTAATGTCCCGTATGATTGAGTGTCTCAATATTCATTTTAGAATAACAGGAATTTCTTCTTGGAGGGGACAAAGATAAAGTATTGAATAGTAATAAAAAAAGCAAACTTACTATGGCATTTTAGGCTAACATCCTTTAAAAAAACAGTGGAATTAAGTGACGAATCTATCCATTGTCCACCATCTTCCGGTCTTGTAGCATTACTCTCTAATTCTAAAAAACCCGTACCCCTATCATATTCTTTGCCAAAAATCCAACGCGCCTTAGACGAATGGTAATAGATATATGCTTCAGATTGAATATGTTTGTAAACTGGTCGACCAAAAAGGGTTTTCTTATGATCTGCATATAGACCTTTATACTCTTCTGGAAGAGTATAATTCACTTCATTACTGGACTTTAAATTTAGTGAAAGGTAGTCGCAAGTTCTTTCTGAAAGACATAAGAGAATAGACCAAACGTTAATACGAATTTTTTAATATTTATTTAACAATTTTTATCCCCTACCCAAACATTTTATTTCTACGTATTCGCTCGAAAATATTCCTAGGTGAGCGTCAAATTTTCTCCAGTTCTTTACGTCTTCCAACGGTGTTTCGTAAGTTGAATTTGCCTTGAAAATAGCTGTGCATGCAGCACCTATTAATTCCCCTATCATCCATTCATTCGAACATGGAGAATGATAAATGTACATATCGACCCCAACATTCCTATACACCGGTCTAAAAAAGTAAGAAGTGTTCCAATGATAGATACCAGATATTAATCTGGGACGATCTCCAGTATTTAAAGATGGTGGAACGGATAGAAAGAGCTTGGTACAAACTATAATAAAAGAAGACTTTAATAATAATAAAAAGATAAACAATTTAAATAGGTTATGCTAACTCCTATTTTATCGGAATTATATCAATAAAAAATATATTATATAAGAAATAACAAACATTATATTCACTAAGGACTGATCTTATACAGATTATGTCAAATACGTAACATTCCATACGCCTCACTACTAGGTCATTTACCGACAATTTTTCTCCTCGTACTACCGGAAAATGAATTACCTCTATTCAAACAACTCTTCAACAGACTTATGTTAGTAAAAGTATTCATCTTTTATTAGAAATTAAGAAAAGAATCTGTTAAAAAAACCTACAAGGACTCTTCCAACGTAAAGATCAGCATTGTTTTACGTTTATTAATTAATATATATATTATATTAGACATATTTTTGATAAAGCTATTTAGGAATTATGATTATTCATAATTCTTTAACTATTGATTATATCAAGAAAATAATTTTTTATATAGCTTTGTCTCATTAATAAATATATTTAAATATTGTTTTACTTAACCTTATTTGAATTACCTGAACAATTTACTAAAATAAGTCGGAAACTAGCAAATAACCATAGGTAGAAAACGTTCATGTTTGAACACTGACTCGTTCTTTTCGAATGAATAGAGTGTCTCGAATACGAGCTTTATTGAAGCAAATCGTAGGCGACATCAAGATTGACAATATCGTAACCAGACATAACATTAATGATACATGTTTAAATACAATTATTACATAAATTTTACGTTTATATGTACTTTCTCTATGTAAAAACTAATGAATTTAGTCCTATAATACACATTTATAAAAAATATAAAGTTATTTGTCTATCTCTGCATTATTATCTGACATATTCGATTGAGAATACAAATCACATAAAAGAGATGTTAACCTGCTCTATTAAATTTTCATACAGTAATACAATATGATCTATATAGGATACTTTAAAAGTATTTCATATGTACAAGAACCTCCTAGATGATATCTTCACCGTTAGCCATAACTTGCTGCTGTGCAATATATAATCACTGTATTGATGTATGTTTTTGAATGAAAAATTCTAAATGATTTATGATAAAAAATTCTCTTATAATGTTATTTTGTCAGGTTGGTAAGCATTTACCTTAATAATTCATATATAATTTTGTTTTGACAAAGATATACTTTCTCTTTTTCCCTCTTTATTTTTTATATAAATTTTCAATGCGTATATTTTGTTATATTCTATAGTGAGTTTGAATTTTTTGTATGTTTTTAACCTTCAGTTTTAAAATACCATATATACTGTATATATATGAAAATATATACTTGTGTATACAATACAAATTATCAGTTATATTTGTTTCGTCCTTGACTTTCACAGCGAAAAATTACAGTAACATTAGAAACATTCATTTCTATTCATAGATATAATCATTATCGTAATCTCTTACATTTCTTGTTAATTTTTCAACTCTGTGAAAAGATCTTTTTCTCTTCCTTACAACTCGAATAGTTACGATAATTATCAGAATTAAAATTGGTAGTCCTAAAGACCCTCCAATAGCAAATCCGACGAGTTTAGCACTGAGTTTCTTATCTATAGAATTTTCGCTGATAATATACTTATATTTAGTAGATTTGGTGGTTTTTCCATCATTTCTCTTACCAGTTATATTTTCACTAAGATTTTCAATATCAGTTTGAATAGTCGTAAATTGCGTTTGACTTTGTAAATCCTTTGTAAATTCTCCAGATGTCTCTTCTTCAACCTATTGAATTATGTATTTGAACGTTTGATCAATATACAAAAAGAATAATTTCTTTAAGATACCTGTAGCAATTGAACATTGGGATATTCTTGTGACTCAAATTTTGAACATTCAAAATTAAAAGTTATGTTTTCGAATAACTTTATACAACAATAGCCTATTCTTATGTGTCCCTGCGAAGGGAAATATAGGGAAGAATCACAAAATGGGTTAGCTAATGATTTCTTATTCGTAGGTGATATCATCAAAAATATTCGGTATGATACATTTTGGGGAAATTTACAAACAAAATGCAATAAAGATCTTTTTTGTGATAAATTAGATGAAAAGAATTCAGTACAATTCTGTTTATTGACATCAATCGTGGAATTTAGTTGAATGCAATCAAGTACTTGTCCATTTAACATTTCTAAAATTCTATCGGATGATCCTTCTATGAATTCTTTCGTCTCTAAACAAAATGTTGATTTCGATAGTTCCTGCAATTAACGATGTATGCCACTGTTTTTTTTTATTTGTTTTTAACTTAAAGAAGATAAGTTTGTCTTTATTGAAATCAAAGTTATATTTACTTAATATAGTTATTATATATAAAAATATAAAATACAGATATCAATATACTGTATAGAGATATACATAATCTTTTTTTTTGTTAGAAATATTTATAATGCTATATTTACATTTACAAACAAAGTTGATGGTTTTTCATCTTCCCCAAATAGACGAACAATACTAGAACCCCTGGTTAATAAATGTAAAAGAATAAAAGCCTTATGAAACATTTCCTTAAATGTCGTCTAATTTTTGTTTTTTTTAGAATTTTAAATACAGTTATGATATCACAAAGGCCTACAGTGTCAGCCTTGAAAAAATTGCAATAATTAGTGAAGTTAGTTAAAGAAAGCGAATGGAGAATTCAGTTTAAAAAAATACAAATATAACCGATTTTTAAATTGACTAATTTATTAGTTTGTTCAAGTTGTATAATTATTGATACATTCCCAATGACAAGAAACAAGTTTTTATTAAATACATTAAAAAAAAATCAATTAATTCACATGCAAGATAAATCTATGAAAAAAAGCAGTTATTTCATCTATTGCGTTAAGTTTTAATGAAAAAAATAAGACTTTTAAACAGGCAACACACACTATAATATAATCTATAACAACAACAAATCGCATTCCATGGAAAATCTGCTTGTAAACGATCAACAAACCATTCTTCACAAAAATTTCGAAACTTAATTTTGCATCGAATATTATCGTGATACATACAAATTAAACAAGAAACAACATCAAACTGATTATAAAACAGCTTAAATGCGTTCTTTTTCTGGCGATTTGCTGTAAGAATCTCTATGTCTCTTAAATTTATCATCTCTATCTCCATCGAAACTTCTCTTCCTATCAAGAGTAAATAGTCAGTAAATTTTCATCAACATTCAATTAAATCTTGTGTTATTTACCTTTTGTTGAAAGGGGACACGCTAGATCTCGATCTAGACCTCTTCTTACGATCCAATGAGCTCGAATACGATCTTGACCTTCGTCTTAAAATGAAAGTAAATGAATTAATCATTATGCCAAAGCAAACAGTTGGCTGGAAAAAACAAGGGCGGCCGATTGAGATTTAGAATGAGACCAAAATCGTAAGAACGACATCCACAGACACTATAAAAAGTAGATATCGTTGCGAAAAAAAACGCATTTTCAAATTATCCAGCCACAGTTGATCCAACCTCATGAGGATGAATAGTCGCTATTTTATAAGTGGCGAACGAAAAAAATAACGTACTGAAAAAATATAATCTACTCTATATTCATAGAATATTTTCCTTACCAATTGTTTTTTTCAGTTTAACAACTACGCGACAAACCAATATTGCGTGACATTACTAGACATTAATCAACCGCACCCAAGCACCCAAAATTTGCCAAGACTTTCTCACACACGCCTATAACCAATAAGCCAGCGATTTTTTTCGCCAAATTTTTGTTAACTACCATTGATTAAATTTTTGCTTAAAACTTTAACACCAAAATACGAGACCCAATGTGCGCCAGCGGAACAAAAAGATTATGTTTTCTAGCCACGAAGAATATGCCTAGAAATTAGTAAACAACATTATAAAATAATATCGAAGGATACAATCCGTTTCCTAATCAAATGGTAGTTTTCCCTCTTGGGCCATTGTTTTTTTTAGCGGAAAGAAAAAAATAGAGAAACTCGATTCCTGAGAAAAATTATTTCCTCTTAAGTCTTTTACCTTCTAATCGAATCAATCGGTTTGTCACAGTCTCGAGCAAAATGTCCTGGCTTTCCACATCTATAGCATGAAAGTCGACTGCCGCCACCGCCTCCTCCTCCTCCTCCTCCTCCGCCACCGCCGCCTCCGCCACCTCCGCCACCATATCTATCCGATCTGTACGAAAAATTCCTGAACATATGTTAAGTATCGAAGTCGAAATATTTACTTATACATACTTCCTATCTCTCCACCCGTCTCTGTCTCTGTCTCTGTCTCTATCACGGTCGCGACTTCTATCTCGACCTCTATTGAAGTCTCTGTCGTCACCAGGGTTTATATATTCTCCAGGATCACGACTGCATTCTCTTGCGAAATGGCCCGTTCTACCACATTTATAACAAGACGAAGAACTAGGGGGTCTTCTATTACCTCTTGGTCTTGTTCTCGGTCTTGCAAATGATACAGATATCTTCGATCCATTGAAAAAGCTGTAATGCCAAAAGTTAATGTTTTGGTAAAACTAAATGCTACACAAGCGTCTTACTTTCCATCCATTTCTCTAATAGCATCTTCAGCATCTAGTTTTTCCTCATAGCTTACAATAGCAAATTGAGGAAAGGTATTAGCCAGAAAAACGTCTCTAATGTGTCCGAATTTACTAAATTTTTCTTCTATTTGCTCCTGAGTAGTCTTTTTTACGACATCTCCAATATGAACTCTATAGCCGACTTCCGATGGATCATCTCCGCCCTCCCAACGATCGTAGCCTCTTCCGCCTCCACCTCTATCATTTCGGCGATAGTTATTTCTTCTATCGTAATGTCGATCGTCGTAAAAACGTCCACCGCCGCCTCCACCCCCTCCTAGTAAGAAATAGTACTTCTTTATTAATATAACCAAAAGTACATCTGTTTGCTATATTGCCCCTTTTGATATCAAACATGTTAACCAAGATCTCTGATGGTTCTTATTGTTGAGAGAAATAATAGTTCCATATTACTATTTCTTCTCTCGAATCTTTTTGCCAGATGAGAATCAACAAATAGTTATTAAAAATAAGACATTCAAGAACCAAATCCAAATTCTGCTTAATTTTTATGTAGAAGCATTCGTTAAAAGTATTGAAGGCTTAAATAGACGGTTGCTACAGAGGTGCATAATATGCTGTTTAATGACAGTAGTTTGTCTTCAAGCCTTAACATTTTTACACTCCCTATTTGTTTAGTTCTTTCGTTGTCTTACTGATCCTCGGCACCGATATCATACGAAACTTTGCTTATTTAAAATTTTCCATTTACCTCCTCCATAACCTCTTTTCCTCGTCACTGTTGGGCTAGGTGTTCGCGATTCCGACGACCTTGACCTTCTGCGGCGTCTAAAAGAAGATGAACGCGACCTACTTCTATACCGCTTGTCCGCCATTCACCTGAAGTATATTGATTATCAGCCTTTGTTATCATATCCCATTAATAGCTAAAAACATTATTGGTCTCTGAACCCATAATATATTGAGCATAACTTACGATTGCTGTTTGGTCGATATATGAAGTAAATATTTAAAAAAATCAGAGCGTCAAATGCTTCTTATACCGGATACAGGCTATTCACTACGCATGCGCGCTAATAATATTTACGACAAAAGCATACGGGCTCTCGTAAACGGCGAAATATTCCGATTGTTATATAACTTTAAGCTCGTTTCTTTAAAAAGACAAGTCAAACTTTTATATAAAAAATAAAAAGAAAAAACCTTTAACCAATAAAATTCAAATTCTAACCTCCAATGTTTATTTGTTTTCGAGTAAATGTATAGTTTGCTTTCAAAAACCACAAGTAATCAAATTTGAAATGTTAGCGTAAAGTTATATTTCTACACAGCAACTAAAGTATTTGGCAATTGCGATACACTCAAATTATTCTTTGCAGGTGTTTCTAATAGTATTGAATTTAAGGCTGCTAATTCCTTCTTACAATATTCTTCTGAAAATTGGCACTTTTGCTTTTTACAATAAATAATTTCATTAATTTCTTGATCAATTGGAACAGTAAATACAGATGGGAATTGCTTCTTTAGTTTGGAAAGAACCTCAATTTTCAAATCTTTATTTCGACATGCCATATTCATTATTATAACACCTGATGAATAAATGTTTGTTAACAATAAGAGAATATAAATGAAAAAATTTCATCATTTTCATGCTACCTTCTTCATGAAGAATATTATATAATTTTTTTAAGAAATTTTCTTCTATAAACTGCTCAGGTGGAGCAGTCATGCCTTGGCTAATGTCTTTAGCGTCAGCATCCAACATAATAACCATTCGTTTTTCACCTGTTACGTAATTTTTACTTTCAATAACAAAGTTTGATTATGTCATGAAGTAATTACCCTTTTCTGCCAAAACCTCCACCTGATGAACTCCATCATCTATAATAACTTGACATTCATCCTTAGGAAAGGCAAACCATTTCAATGCTATTTCTAGTAGGGTTTCATCAATCTCTACAGCCAGTACGAGAAGCTAAATATATATATATGTACATATAGTTTATATAATCAAAATACAAAAAATTATCAATATTTTGTTCAAGTTTACCTTCTTAAAGAACGTGTGTAAAAATAAAGTTAAGGAGCCTCCGCCGAAACCAACCACCAGAGTTGGAATATCTCTTTCAGCGCTTTTTTCTAATAAGAATATTTACTTTCAAGTTTAGATCTGACTTTAAGATTTATGTTAAATTTCTCACTATAAACTTGTTGAAAGTTTTCTATAAAAATTAAGCCCGCAACCATAAATTGATGATATGAACAAGTTAAACTAGATTTGTCAATTACCAATTCTTTCTTCTTTCTGCTCACATCTTGGAATAATTTTGTCAATAATTAGTGTATATTGCATATTTGTTTAAATATTACTTTTATATACTAATTTGGCTTCTGACTGAATCATATTTGGTGAAGTTTCAAAGATAATTCGACGATAGTTATCTCCAGAGCAGCTAACATCTTCTACAAAACCAGTTCCACTTAATTTGCTGTTAAATTCATATCGAATCGTTCGACAATCAATATTGTCTCCAAGTGTAAGAAAAGGTACATCTTTGTCCTTAATACCATGAGGAGCAAGATCCATAACCTTTGACGATAATTCTGCTTTTATACTATCCATACCTATATTTCAAAAATCAAAAATTTAATAGATAGACATAAAATAAATGTTATGCTGACCTCCATACTCATGCTTTCGCGACATACTTACAACAAGTAAACGACGACAGTTTGCATTTTTCGCTAATAACTTTCTACCTTCGAAAGTTGAAAAAACCCATTCTATTTCTCGTCCTCTTGGTACAATAAACACACCCATTGACAATCCTTTAGTAAATTCACTATTAATAACCAAATGAATTGTATAACGTGGTTCTTGATGAGCTTGATTGTGTAACTTTATAGAGACGTGTTCATCGGCTATTTCACTGGATTATGAGAATTATTAGCTTAATTTCAATATGTAATAAACTATAGTCTTACTCTGAATTTTCAGCTTTCTTTATTAAAAAAGCGTAATATTGAAGCTGTTTGACCTGTTCAATTAAATTCTCAGGTGAATCGAATCTTTGAATAGAATCACAAAATGAAGAGAATTCTAATGGTGTCTTTAAATTATTCATCATTTTGAATTTAGTGAAAACAAATGCAAAAACTGGTAATCCGAAAGTGTCATTTTCTGATGTTTCAATTCTACAAATACGAACTGGCCAATTCCTGAAGATGATTTATTATTTAAAGAAATAATATTACTACTAGAATAAACTGGCTTACTTTGAATGAAAGAATGAAACAATATTTTTAACAATATGATCTTGAGCTAGTGATATACAAATATATCGTCCACCAAGTTTTAGCACTCTGACTATTTCATTATACATTTTTTCAATAACTTCAACTGTATTATCATTAGTATCAGTGAAGAGAGCATCTAGAGTTCCCTTATCCAAAACAACTGAATAACTTTCATCCTCAAAACTTAACTGAATACAACAGGAAATAGTTCTTAGTTATTTAAGATATATTTTTTAAAAGCATATTAATCGTTTTATTGTTAACCTGTGTAACATCCATCTTAACAAACTTCATTTTTTCTCGTTTTTCATTCTTTGTTCTCATATTTTTAATTACCAAATCGCTTATATCAATATTCATGATATTCTGTATTCCTACATCATACAAGTTGGCGCTCAAATCAGAATTTCCACAACCAATCATCAAAACGTTATCTTTGGGCTTAATATATTTATGAATAATTCCGCATAATTGAGCATATTCACCATACCTATTTAGGAGTTTATTCCAATAAAAAGTGAAATAAATAAAGAAAATGCAAAATATACCATTCAAAAGCAGATTCACCACGTTTTTTGAAAAAGTCTTGCCAGTACTTTGCATCAGCAAATTCCTGAGCAGTTGTTGGTAAAAGTTGATTATTTTGAGCCATTTTTTGACTAAAGTTGGCTCTTAATTAGAAATCTCAAATTAGTTAGTTATAAAAACACTTTTAGGTAATTTTTATTCGATCCTATAATATCGCTCATTACAATAAAACAAACTCGAACAGATTGTGGTATCCACACTTAGCGCTGCCATCTTGTGGCTCCCTTTAATTTGCCCGCTATATTAATAATTCCGGTGAAAAAAGAAAATTTTTAACTGATGCGTATGTTTTACATTTAATTGATATTTTGTATGAATGCTTAAATTAACAAAAATTCTTCAGTTTACATCGTCAAAACGTGTATTCAGAAATCGATCGCTAACATTTACTTCTTCTTGGACACACCAACAGTTCTGCCTCTTCTTCCAGTAGTCTTAGTGTGTTGACCTCTAACACGAAGACCCCAATAATGACGAAGACCACGGTGAGCTCTGATTTTCTTCAGGCGTTCCAAATCTTCACGCAATTTGTTATCCAAGGCATTAGACATAACTTGGGAAAATTTACCATCCTTGATATCTTTTTGTCTGTTCAAGAACCAGTCGGGAATCTTGTATTGTCTAGGGTTAGACATAACGGTAATGATCTTTTCTTGCTGAAATCAAAAAATGATAATTATAAAAAAAACAATTATTGGGATGATTTCTAAACGATGTAAAAACGAAGGTTATTTTAAATTATATACAAATATTGTAAACTGTAAAGTTTTCATTTCATATATTAGATGAAATTAATATGAATTTTTCTTACCTCGTCTTCGGTCAATTCTCCAGCACGCTTTCTAACATCAACGCCGGCTTTTTTGCAGACGACGTGACTATAACGACGACCAATTCCCTGAAAGATCAAATTTATAATTACATCTCAGTTGTCATGTAATTTATAGCATAATGTGCTAGAGAAACTATTAAAATAATTTAATACTGTTGTAATACTGATATTATTTTAAATATAATTGTCTAGCCGGGACGGGAGTAACAATTTCTCAATTTTATCAAACAGAAATATCCTCTAAATTCTGGCGAAAAAAATAAAACAAACCTTGATTGAGGTCAGAGCATAAGGAATTTTGCGTCTACCATCAATATTGGTGTTCATAATACGCAAAATGTGCTGAAATTTTTCAGGTAGCACGAGTGATCCGGACGCCTGAAAAAAAATTAAAAATTTTACCAAATATCTAAATTTTCACAAACAATTAATAAACCAACAACATGATAAAATAACAATCATTCATGTATTGTTTTAGGAATGTAATTTAATTGTAAATAGTTATAGATATTTGAAGATTTTTGTAATCCAGAAAACATACCATGTTTACTGCAAAGTTACGGCGGAAAAGGAAATATCGTGGCGAGCGCATTTTCGTATTCGGTACGTAAATTTTTTTTTCTCTTTTAAATTATCTATTTATCTTATATAAATATTAGAAGTAATTTTACGAACATTATTTAATTTAACAATAAACATGGCTGCTCCAGAATTAAAAAATGTAATTTAAGTTTTTTCTACTCTTTTTAAAGACTTCTTTTATCTGAAATTTCGATGTGGCTATAACTTTTACTTATCATTTTTTAGGAATTGGATTTAGATTTAGGAAATTTAGACTTAACTTCTGATGAGTATCTATTAGATGAAATAGATGGTGAGTTTTTATGACTTTCTTTTCTTCTAACTACTAAAATTCACATTACTTTTCAAAGAAAAAAAAATGACAATACAGGAAATATAAATTAAATTTTAATACTACAAAAAACAGCCTTCTAGGCAACATTTTATACAAATACGTTTTAAACATATTTCAACTTAAAAATTATTCAACAGTATATATTCAAGAGAACTTGGAGGATCCAATTGTAAAAGAGGCCCTTGAAAAGGGCCTCGATCTTCGGCATTATTCAAAGCAAGTTGAGACGGAATTATTGGAAGTAGAGAACAATTCCATTCAAGACTGTAAATCTTTTTTACTTGTGTCTAAATTTTTTTAAATCTATCATTTAACAGATATTAAGGAGAGCAAAAACATAGCAAAACTTCACAAGCAAATGACAAACTGCGACTCGATTCTTGAAGTATGTCCCAGTTATTTTTCCACTTGATACCATTTTTATTTAATATTTTGTAGCGAATGGAAGGTATGCTCAACGGATTTCAAACTGATTTGAGTTCCATAAGTTCAGAAATTCAAAAACTTCAAAGACAAAGTGTTGAAATGAATGTTAAACTAAAGAATAGACAATCCGTACGAGGTGAATTAAGCCAATTTGTGGATGAGATGGTTATACCGAAAAAAATGATTGAGTAAATTCACTTAAAAGGCGCCTTTAGCGATTCTTCAGTGTCTAATTTTTCATTCCAGACATATTTTGGAAACTCCAGTTACTGAAAGAGAGTTTCAAGAAAATCTAATGGAACTTAATCATAAAATAAATTTTGTGAAAGAACAATCTTTTAAGGATGCTAAGTCATGTTTAGATGTTAAGGATACTCTTGAAAAGCTAAAAATAAAGGTAAAACATTCCCAAGCTACTAAGAAACTGAATCCAAATATATCGTACTTTAATGATTTTAGGCAATAAGTAAAATTAGAGAATTCCTCCTATCTAAAGTTTATCAGTTCAAGAAACCTTTAACTAATTATCAAATACCTCAAGATGCTCTACTAAAGTTTAGGTAAGTTATCTTGAATATTGCGAGAAACTCTAACGTTTTTTCACTTTGATTGAAGATTTTTCAACGAATTCCTAATTGCCAATGAAAGAGCAGTGGCAAAAGAAATAAGGGATGAGTACATTGACACCATGAGCAAAATTTACTACTCTTATTTCAAGGGATACTCTACTAGAATTATGAAATTACAGGTTCGTTTTATTAATTTCAAGAAAAGAAGTCCCGACTATTTTCACCTTTGCATAAACAGTATGATGAGGTAGCAGACAAAGATGATCTTATGGCCGTTGAAGACACAGCTAAAAGAGATATCCTTTTGAAAGATTTTTAACAGTTTTCAGTCTTTTCATTACAATCTCTTCTTCCTCTTGTAAGAACTATCCTTAACAAAATTTTTTACGAATTTTCTCAAAGCCCATTCTCAAAAATCGATCAACAATTTTCACTTTGGGAAATCGAGGAAGTGTTCTGACTTCTGAGCTAGAAGCTTCAATTATTGTACCGCACGCTGCTAAGACGACTGATCAGCGATATTCTTTCGAAAGTTTGTTTAGATCTCAGCATTATGCCTTGGTAGACAATGGCTGTAGAGAATATTTATTTCTATCTGAATTCTTTTGCGTGTCCGGAAATTCTGCTCAGGATCTATTTAATGCTGTTATGCATAAAACAGTTTCAATGTTTTACGTAAGATTTTGTTCATGATTGAAAAAAACACGTATTTTTACAAATTTTCTTTCCAGAAACAAACTGAATCTTACATTATGGAAAGTTATGATTCTATAGCTATGTTTCTCTGTATACATATTATTCTAAGATATCAGGTTTTAATGCATAAAAGGAGTACACCAGCTTTAAATAAGTCAGTAATATATAAATATATAGGAAAGTTTTTAAATATAAAATCATATTTTATAATTCATAAGGTATTGGGATTCTCTCTTACACCTTCTATGGCCGCGTTTTGAGTTCATTTTACAAATGAATATTCATAGTGTCAGAGAATGTGACCCCGCAAGACTTAGAAATATCGATGAACGACCTCATTATGTAAGATATTTAATTTTTTGGTTAAATTGCAAATCCCATTTATAGATTTTTAAATTAAAATAGATAACTAGAAGATATGCTGAGTTTTCAGCAGCGATTGTCGGATTAAATGAGTCATTCCCGTCGGAAAGAGTTGAAAAATTGTTGGCGGGCCTACAGGTAACAACTAGATAAAAGTTATTTTTTAAAAGATTTCTTATGCTTATCCATTTCAACAGGCTGAAGTAGAAAATTTTATATTACGGATGGCAGCAGAATTTCCAGACAGGAGAGAACAATTAGTTTTTCTTATCAATAATTACGATATGATGCTCTCAGTGATTCTAGAGAGAACAACGGATGATTCGAAAGAGAGTGAGACCTTTAAGCAACAATTAGCAGCTCGCACTCACGAGTACATAGAAGAAACTCTTATGCCACATTTTGGGGGTATGATTATGTTTGTGAAAGAGGCAGAAGATATAGTAGAAAGAGGAGGATCGGATGGTTTAAAACAGCAGGAAGCAAGAATTAATCAGATAGTTAGAGGATTCAATACTGATTGGAAAAGAGCTATAGAATCTATTAATAGTCAAATTATGAAATCGTTTACAAACTTTAAGAATGGTACTCAAATTCTACAGGTGTGTTGATTGTTTTACAATGTAATAGCTGCTAATGTTATCTTTCCATTAGCAGTAATATCAATGAAATATCATTAAATATATATGCTTTTCTTATCCAGGGTACACTAACGCAAATGGTGCAATATTATGTTCGTTTTCATAAAATATTAGGAACAGGAATGCTTAAAGCTCTTGGAATTCATAAGGAACTGCTTAATATTCATCAAGTAATGGTTGAAGTTAAAAAACATAAGCCTGTTTTTTAAACACTCAATTAACTTATTGTATTTAATTAACATTCCAAATGGTACGTATTGATACAGAATAAACGAAGTTGTTTTGTATACATTTTTTAGTTTCATTTGATATTTAGAACGATTTTTCCATTTGTTCCCTTTTTGTGATCTATAACTTCTTTGTGTGCTTCTTCTGCATCACTAAGATCATACGGGACATCTATGACAGGTTTAAGCCACCCTTTTTCCATTCCTGAATATAGGAAGTCTGCACATTCCACCATTTGTTTCTGATGAATATAATTTCAAGTATTGAATGGGATTTTAATGTTAAAATAATCTCTCTATTAACAAACCGAAGTTGCTCCAAAAACAAGAATTCCTTCTACTTGAATCTCCTTTAGCATCATAGGGAATGGATCAAAGTTGTCAACAGTGCCTCGACATCCAATAATCTGCAAATACAAAATGCTTAAGAGATTAAAACTAAAGAATCTATATTATTTCAAACCAAAACTTTTCCCTTTCGTGCAGCCACACTCAAATCAGCATTTAAATTGGTATTAGCTAACATCTCTACAATAATATCGAAACCTTTTCCTCCAGTAATAGCCTATTTGCAATTGTATTATTCTTGATAAAATTTATATTATAATGTTTACCACTGCTTGATCTATATAACCAGCTTTTCTATGATTGAAGCAGTGAGATGCACCATTTTTTTTTACCATATCGATACCTTCATCAGTTCCAGCTGTTCCAACAACGATTAAGCCTCCTGCCGCAGCCATTTGACAAACAGCAATTCCTACCTATGGAGAAGGTTTTATTATTTTAACAGCGGCAAAGTCTTAAACTTACAGCTCCGCTAGCCCCATGAACAAGTATATGTTTTCCTGCTATACCCATGCCTCTGTAATGGAAATTTGATAATCTAGAAATGAAATGATCTTATGTAATTTATTTACTTAGTAAAAACAGCTCTAAAAGCAGTGTAATATGGTATAAAAAGACTAGCGCCATCAGCAAAGGACAAGTTTTTATGAAGTAGGTGGACGTCGGCTTCTTCTACTAAACTATATTCTGCATAGGTTCCAGTAATGGAATTTGTGGTGTAGACCCTATCGCCTTTCTATAAATATTAGATGAATACTCTATTATGCTCAATGTGTAAATGTTCAAAAAAAAGGGTCAGTTAATTGATTTTTCATATCATACCTTAAATTTGGTAACCTCCCTGCCAATATCTTCGATAATACCTGCACCATCAGTACCTGGTGTGTAGGGTAGTTTAGGTAGAGAAGGGAAGCCTCCTGATCTTATGTATGTTTCAAGCGGATTAACACCAGCTGCCTTCATACGAATAAGAATTTGCTTTCCCGAAGGTGCCGGTTTCTTTAAATCTTTGACATATTTTAGGACTGATGGTTCTCCAAAGCTTTCCACTCTTATTCCATTCATGATTTGTAATGATGACAATTCAATTCAAATCCTCGATATTATACAATGACTTCTAGAAAATTGTAATCTGCAATATGATTTGTCCTACAAAAGTACTCTATTTACTCTAAGTGATAAGATTGTATAGAGTGTTGATTACTTTGAGACGAAAAGTTCAATGAACAGTTTTGCATGACTACTGAAATATCAAGAGGACCTCTAACGGAGTTTTTATGGAAGCTATGCTCTATCATTCTTACGCGGCAGAGTTTTGTTTTTGAGTAGGTCGTAACCTTTCACTAGAGTCCGATATACGATTACTGTTAATAACATTATCAATTTCAGAGATATTTATTTATGAAGAATAAAAGCAAACTGATCAAAAATAATATTAAAATATATTTGTTATTCTAATCAATCAATTTGAACAACGATATTTCCTTTGCTCCCTCCAGAGTGTTCTATAACTTCAATATGAGCTTTTGCAGTATCTTTCAAATTAAAGGTCTTATAAACAATTGGATTTAGCAAATTTTTTCTCATTCCTTCATCCAAAAACTTAGCAGCCTCCTTCTTTTCATCCTACAATTACACGAATATTATAAAATATTAGCGAAAGCTAGTAAATTGATTTAATTTAAGAATTTACTAACCAAAGATCCATGGGCTAAAGCAATTCCTCGAATTGCTAGTTCTTTTGGCATTAAACATCTTGGATTGAACTCTAAACTACCTCGATTCCCAACAATCTTTAAGGAAAAATTTACTCTTTTGTTAGAAAAGTTTAATGTAAACATATGTTATTATTTATTACAAGAATTATTCCATCGTCTGTTAAAACTGTTGTATCCGCTACAAGATTCACATTTGCAAGCATTTCAACGATGATATTGAATCCTCTGCCACCGGTTGCTTTCTATTAAGGTTAAGAGTCTTAAATTATTCAAGAAAGTAATATCGTTAATATGTTTAACCATTAAATCCTCCATATAATTTTCTTTTCTATGATTAAAACACTCAATGGCGCCGTTCTGTTTGACTATTTTAATTCCTTCTTCAGTTCCTGCGGTACCGAATACTTTAAGGCCATTTGCAGCTGCCATTTGACACGCAGCTAATCCCACCTAATAACATTTTAATTAATTGTAATACTTATTTTATGAAGAAAAAATTACTGCGCCGCTTGCTCCATGAATAAAAATATTTTGACCAGGCTTAGCTCCGCCCCTGAATAGAATCGAAAGTAGGAAATATTTTGATCACTAGGGGACATCTTACTTGAGAAAAATTGCTCTATGAGCAGTATAGTAAGGTATTGATAAACAAGCACCTTGCTCAAAAGTGATATTTTCAGGTAGAGGATATACATGATTCTCTTCGACTAAACAATATTCAGCGTAGGTACCAGTTAGAGAAGCTGTTGTGTATACTCTTTGTCCAGGCTGTTGATCAAAATAGTATATCGAAAATAGAATGGAATTAAAAATGGAATATAACAAAGCCTTACTTTTAATACTGCTACAGTATTTCCTACTGATTCAACAATACCGGCACTATCAGTTCCAGGAGTATAAGGCAAATCGGGTTTCCTGGCATATGTGCCACTGCGAATGTATGTCTCAACAGGATTTATGCCAACTGCTTTGATCCGAACAAGAACTTGGCTACCAGTTGGTTTTGGTATCTCTAAGTCCGTAACGTAATTTAGTACGGATGGATCTCCAAACTCTTCGACTCGGATACCTTTCATAGCAAGTGAGTTAACTTTTGTTGAATAGAAATGCTAAAAATAAACAACTCAGTTAATAAGCGATAGTAGACTACAATAGAAATATGTACTAGATTAGTAGATTGACAGATTGATATGGATGCTATGAATCTGCTACGCGACGTTAACAAACGAATTGTCCTGAACGTAAAGCCTATGGGAGACATTGGTTAATAGTGACCTCTATGTATGACCGAAAAATTAAACTTTTGAATTGTCCGCTAGGGGAGTAATAGAAAAAGCATGATGTAGTTATTAAAGTGTATATAGTACATTTTCAATCCAAATATTGATTTAGCGAATATTTATTGTTGAACACAAAAAGAATTTATTCAAATACTTTATAACTAACCTAACCCAATTTTAATAACTGGTAGGTCGGGCAGATACTTTACAAGTTGAAGCGAAATATTCCTTCAATAACTATACTTTCTGATTCAGTGAAACATTGGATGTGTATGCAGGTTTTAAAAAGACCAAAAACTGGGTCGAGAACAGATGCTTATTTTAGAAAGTCATGTAAAATTGCATATTCCAATCTTCTATTATATTTTAGATAAACAAATTACTATTAAGAGTTCGAAACTGAAATTTTTAAAGTTATATATAGTACTAATGTAAAATTGAATAAACTATCAAGGACAACATATGTAATTTTGGCGTTTTTAAATAATCAATTATCTACTCTTTTTAAAAGCATATACAATACTAAAAAAATGGTAACAGTTTGTGTAAAACAGCAAAATGGTCTATTTCTCTCCCTCTTTTTTTCTACAATACAGAAGACGACCATGAATTAAGTATTATCTTTGTATTTTGTGTTTGAGTGAGTATATTGGAAGCATCTGTGTTTTATACATATATATATATATATATATATATATATATATATATATTTATATATGTATATACAATTGGTATAAATTCAAGATATAGTGTAAATATATGGATTAGTCTTCAGAAAGTAGCTCCTGCTCGCTCTCTATATTCGCATAACCTTCTGTAGCTTTATACAGAATATAATGTTGAACTATAAATAGACAGTCAAATAGCACAGAAAATAATCCTAGACCAAACTTGGTAAAATCTCCAAATATAGTTGTCCAATCGTTATTGTTGTACGATTGCAGGAACATTTGTAAGATGCTTAGGGAACCGCCAGTAAAATCTAACAAAACATTACCAATACTCCAACCGTCTGTACTTTTCCGGCGAAAGTTCATCCAAGCTTGTGGAATATATTTGATGAGAGTAACTACTAATTTTACATAGGAAAATATTTGGAGGTAAACCAACCAAGTTATTTTACCTCCAACAGCTACAAATAGACTAATAACTAATGCTACACTAGTAAGAGAGAGTATTACGAGGGCAGTCTTAGATATTCGCTGATCTCCTCTATAATAGATTAGGCATTGAGTTACGGTTATAGTGGTTGCGACTACGGCATGTAAAGCGAACACAACATCATTTAATAGAACAGGATTAACACCAAGTGGATGAGCTAGGAAATATTCCTTCTTAACAGTTGGAATCCAATATAAGCCTGTAAGTAAAAAATTATAATGTATTAAACAAATTAATAACTAAAACTGTTAAATTTACCTATATTAAACATGGAATAGCAGAAAAAACCAAGAAGATTAAATGATACAAAGTCAAAATTTAAACCAACCACGCTTTTTCTAACAAAATTGGAATAGATTTGAGGATAAAAAGAGACTGACCAAGCTAAAAAGTAAAGCCATCCTATTATAGCATTGAATATAGAGAGAACTGAGCTATGTATCACTGAAACTTTTACAAAGTTAATATCTGTCTTTTGAAGATCTAACTTAGTTGCATTGATTGTTACATAAATCCTTCCGACTCTGTTGCCAGTTATTTGAATAGTCTTTTCCCTTATAGAACTATTTTTCCACTGAAAATTTTTTATTTGTGATATAATTGAGGAGGGAGGTAAACATTTTAAGGGTCTCTTTTCTGCTTTAACGTATAGAAATTCCACTTGTGCTCCTTGTTCTATTTTCGTTTTTACTAACAAATTAGTGGTTGCATTTTTTGCAACTTGTACCTGAATTTCTGCAGGAGAGAATTCAATTTCGTAGGCGTTGCTATGCAGAACAAACAAGAAGCTAAAAAATAGTACACCAAGCATGATAATTATTCCAATTTTCCAAAGATAGTATCCAGTAGCATCCTGTCATTGATTCAGCGTCATCTCTTTTAGTACGGCGACTAATAACTATCAGTTTAAAGCGCAGTACATATGCTGTGCTAAGGTCGGGCAGTGATTATGACTAATACGAAACTAGCGCCATCTCTAGTTTATATAACCATTAGAGATTATTATCGCTAAAGATTGATAGCAGATATTACCTATCAATTGCTTTATTGTAAATTCTTTTTGTTATAAGGAAATATAAAGAAAAAAAATTATTTTAGACATTAAAATTACAAAGATAACTAACGTAGAATTTAAAAATATGCGCGTGAAAAACCAACGGAAGTTGATCAAGCTAGCGAATGAGATTGGATCGACAATAACACTTGGAAAGCATAAGTCTCTGTAATAAACGAACGGAATCAGCGGTACTTTTATATCATGTAATTATATTTTTTATTATACAATTTAATAATTAAGTTATTAAGAGTAAGTAAAAATTGTATTTAAAAATAAACGTATTTGATTGGTGATTGAAACTTGAGTCTGATTAAAGTTGTAACATTTTTAGAAGCACCAGATTATACTGGTTAGTGATTCATATATAGGAGGGGTGATATAACTAAACAAGTACAAGGGAAAGAGCGATAGTATAAACTATATTAAGACTGGAAATACGAGCAAATAAGATAAAGTTGCTTTATAGAAGTATTTCGAAGATATTTCTTGTCTTACCTAGTATATTATCAATTAATATAAAGTAACAGAAAAGAGATATGAATTCATAAATCGATTCTTTTTATTATATCTCCTAAACAACATAGTACTAAGATTTGTGTAAAGATCCTCTTTCTGAAGGAGGAAAGATGTTTTGTTTACTATGAATTTAACATTAATCTGCCTGCTAGGGTAATAAATAATAGGCCATACTTTCAATAGTATTTTGAATCGTGTGTTTTTGTGCGTATTCAAGTATTTAGTTTCTTGTCTTTGCTCAGATGTAAGAATTGATTTTTCTTGATTTTTCTTGAATTGAAGTATAATTAAAAAACTTTTTACCACTAAATGCTTTCAATAGAGATATTCACACTTTTCTTCTTTAAATAGATACTTCAAGACGAGAATATTCTGACAGATATGAGCAGATATTCATATAGAAGTGGTCATCCTTCGGCTCAAGATTTTGAGGGGCATCGTAAAGAACAAACATGGCGAACTAGTTATAATGGACATTCTAAACATCAATCAGAAGTTGTAAGTAATTCGTTTGAACATAATATCATTCAAGAATCACGATATGACCGATATCCATACAATTTTAATGATGAGAATGATGAATATAATGAGGCTGATGATAGGTTTATCAGTGAAAATACTAACCATAGTTATAAACGTAGAGGAGCAATTAATTATAACTCTAAGGAATCAACAAGTTTTCATTCAAGCGCTTTGGGAAAATTTACTAAATTTTCTCGCGATATCGATTATAGAAAGCAAGATGATAGAATTTGGGGAACGAAAAGAAAATATCACAACAACGGATACGTTTATAAGCGTAGTAAAAAAACTTTTACTGATAGTCATCCTTACAAAAGTGGATATAGCTATGGAAGGAAATCATATGGTCGACCAAATAATAACTATGAAGATGCCTATTACAAGACGGAGAATAGAAAAAATTTCTCCGATTTTGAGAGTAATGGAGACGACTACGATATACAAAGTTTGAGCGAGACATTCGCGTCTGGATACACATCAAGAACTAACTCTCCACCATGGCCTACATACGAAAGAGAGCAATTGGACAGAAAGAAAACTACCAACCAACTATCAGACGATGAATGGATTCCAAACCGTAATAAATTTCGCGAAGAGCAGTTTGACTCCGTCCAAGTCAGAAAAAATGGTACCAATCATTCAACACAGACACGTTGCTCTGTAAATTATATATCCGAATCGGGTTTGGACTATAGTCGGAAAGCTAGTAGTAGTACAAAAAAAGATACGTTAAAAAATTCAGTTTATAGGCGGGAATCACTGAATCACAATTCAAATAAGCTTAGGAATTTTAGAGAAGACGATAAGCTCGAAAAGTCTGGAAAAAGTTTATCTATTGCAGTAGAGAGTGAATACGATTCCATAGATAGAAATTCTAATTTTAAAATAGCAGAAACTATATTTAATCGTGTATTTTCAAATGATAAAAAGAATACTCCAACAATTACTGAAGACTCTTTTATGGATGTAGATTACCGAAGAAGAGAGGATAGTAATACTAATATTAAATCGTTTCATTCTAGTTTGAAAAATAATAGAGAAAGTAAAAACGCAAGTCATATTTCAAAGACTATTTTTAATGATAAAGATAAAATGCTTTCATACAAAAAATCACAGTCAAAACATAAAAAAGGAAAAAAATGTGTAAATTTACAGACTGATACAAATAAGAAGAATCTAGATATTGATGATACAACAAATATTTCAATTGAAATTGATAGAAAAAATCGTCAAAAGGTATATCGTCCATATGATAATAGTCTACGTATAGTCAAAAATAAAGATTCAGATATTGAACATGAACGGAAAGTGGAGAAAGCAGAGCCAACTGCAGAAAATGTGGTTATCGTTTCACCACCAAAGACAAATGAAACCTTTGGGGAAAAGATTAAAATTTCTAGAAAGTATGATAAAGATACTGGTAAAATAACAAATGAACTAAAGTCTTCAACTCTGGGTAAAGATTCCCCAGTTGAAGTGATTTTATCTCCTTTTAGTACTGCCAATTCTGATGACTACTTTTTCCAATCCCTTGTAGAAGAATCAAATTCCTTAAAAGAGGGGAAAATGTCAAAAAGTAGCGAAAATAAAATATCGCAATCAAACGTTTGGAAAAGACTTGGCAATAGAAAAGAGAAAGCAGATATTGACCAGAATAATAATAAAGCTTATAATAAAGAACTGAAAAAGGAAGAATCATATAAAACTTTTCAGAGCTCAGAAGAGGACGATTCAAATGAGAAAGCGAACTTTATTGATTTGAAAGATGTCCTAAAACGTGATCAGATTGAATCTCATGAGAATAAAATACAGAAATTAAAGATAGATTCGCTAGTTCATAAAGATCTTGATCTGAGATGTGAGAATGTTACATATTCTTGCACAGAAAAGACGAAATATGCCGAAGAGAGCAAAACTGATGACATTTCAAAGAATCTTCAAAATGATAATACGTCAAGAACAATTGAAAACTTGTCGAAGAACAATAAGTTAAAGAAGCATATGATATATAAATGCATTAATTGCGAGTTTTATACACCGAAGATTGAAATCATTAAAGAGCATTTAAGGACGACGAATCATTACTCAGCTTCAACTTATGAAGCTGAAGATTCTTTATCAAATCTGTTAATTTATAGAGTAAAATCACAGTTTTCCGCAGGGGGAATTTTCGAAACCATTGATCATAATACATTGGCTTGTTTAAAAGGATTTTGTGAGGAAGGTGATTATCTTGAATATCCCATTCTACCGGATGTTGAGTTTATTATACTCAGCTGTGAGAAATGTAACTTTATTGAGACAAATATTGATAAAGCATCAGATCATTTAGAAGAAAAAGAATGCGCAGATGCAAGTATAGAATGCTTAAAAGTTGATAAGAGTGGAAATTCACTTGAAACTTTATTCAAGTTGGATAAGAAACCTGCTGTACTTACTTATAGATGTCAGGAATGTAATTATGTTTCTGAGTGTAGAAATGATGGAATTCAGCATGTTTTAAGTACAAGACACGAAAGAATGAAGAGAGAGTTGAGGAAATCCCATTTGGAAATGCCATCAGACACCAAATTAGGATGTAATGTTATATTCGCAGAGTATCGTGAGGCACTGCTTTTAATTGTTTATAATAGGCTGAGAAAAGAGTTAAAGGAAGTGAAGGCTGATGAATCAATAAAGGTTGCTTATAAATGTCATTGTTGCAATTTTTTCTCAGGTAGTTCTCAATCTCTTTTAAATCATTTAAAGCAAAATTGTCATGTTTCTGGATGTGAGATGATATGTAAATTTGGTGAAAAAGGACCAATTCCAATATTTGCGAAAAGAAACATATTAAATGTTGGTAAAGAAAACAAAATGGAAATTTTCTGTCCCGAATGCTATAAGTTATTTAAGTGTATTCGAGATTGTTCAGATCATTTTCTAACACATCACGAAATTTGTGATATTAACTATCTATTTGGTTGTTATTCAGTTTCTCTTAAATTAGAAGAAAAAAGACTTGAATTTTCATCAAAAGCGTGTGAAACTTGCGAAACACAATTTGAAAATCATCTAAAATTGATTGAACACTGGAAGGAATACGAGGATCATACACCAGTAAATATAAATAGTATTCTCAAACCTTTAAATTCTATTATTAAATATTCCTGCTTGTATTGCTCTTATGGAAGTGAAGATTATACTGAAATAATTTTACATAACACCAATAAACATTCTTATTCCTCAATGAATTTTATAATGAAAAGGTATTCCATTCCATATGAAAGATATTCCTTTATACCTGAATTGTCTGATTTAATTAATATTATTGATTGTGGTAAAAAGAACCAATGCTCATATCCAAGAGATAAATGCGATCATTTAAAAGAATCTTTTTTGACCGAATTACATAAATTTGAGGATTTGAAACTTGATAGATATTTAATGACGAGGCAATAAATTTTACTTACTAAATATTCATTTAAAAGAAGAAATTAAAAAAATATTCAACAGCGAATGAAAAGCTGTTGAAGAAGTTATTTTATATATATTTTTTTATATTATATAATGTAATCATCAAAATTCAAAGGAAAGAAGATAATTTTCAACAGTTTAACAAGAAACAAAAAGAGTATATTTTCTTACTATATTGTTTCTAGTATAAAATATTTGTTACAAACAATCATAACTACAAATACTTCTGTTTAATACTTCAATGTATAAAAATAGAGCTTTTGATTTTTCAATTTTCTGTTTTTTCCATATTTGCTAAGCTTGCCTATAAATTCTATATATATAAATTTATATATATATATTTACAGTATATATAAAGACAGTTTTGATCTGCATCCTAGCTTTTATATATATGATTTGTTTAGAACAAATGTTGAGAAAATTTGGATTCTTTTGGAAAAATATTTATTCTACGACTTTTAACGAAAAATGACAAACAAATAATAACAATAATATTATTAAGAGGAAAAAATGACCCTTTTTGCATAAACAACAAGCGTCTTTTAATTTAACTTAATAGTATAATAGTCGTTAATTTAATGTGTTGACCTTTTTGTAGTAAAAAGTATGAACTCTTATGAAAGTTTATTGTTTTTTTGTACCTATTTTTTAAATACAATTTCATTACACATTTCATCATATCAGAATAGATAAGTCCGTTATATAATTTCCCTTTAAACTTAAACACTATCTATTTTAAGGGTTTCAAGTCAAATATCAATGGAAAAGTAGAATTATGGCAAAAGAAAGTTGATGAACACAAAGAAAAACAACTTATTAATCCATTCTCTGAATGGGAAGGTGCTGGACACAGAGAAAAATTATCTATCAATGACGCAAATTATGGTAAGCCAGTAGAGGGTTCGTTTACTGAGAAACGGGCTAACCAGGCCAAAAAACTTATAACATCTGAGGTAAATTTTTAACCTTTTTATTTTTAAAATATATAAAAAAAATCTTAATCATCTACAAACAGCAGACTCGTTTTATTTCCGCAGTGAATAAACATACTTTATTTTTCTTTTCACCAGAAATGCGGAAATAGTAGGAGTTTTATTAAGTACATTGACATAGTTGTGTGAAAGCATTCGTTAGATATGTAAAAAATAAAATAAAGAAGCGTTTAAGTGGAACAAGACTTATTAAATATAATTCTCAACAATGGAATGATGATCTAATAATATTTCTTTATTTCTAGATAGAAGAACTTTGCCTGATGATTGAATCTATTGGAAATCAATATCCCGACGGTTGGATTATTTCGTTTCGGGCTATATTTGAGGCCTATACTAAGATATCTAGCAAAGTCGTAGGTTTATTATTAAGAGCAAGGAAGCAAGGGTTAGTCAGATTTGAAGGGGAAATGCTCTTTCAAAGAAGAGATGATAGCAAAGAAATCAAATTAGTTGAAAATTGGCAAACTCTACTGAAATAGAAAATACTTTAGCATAATAGTAAATTATTTTTGCGGTGCTATTTTATATAGAAAAAATTTATGTAAATAAGTAGGTACCGTTTAAAAGAATTAATATTTAGTATTAATTTAATTATCAAATAAACGAACTGCAATAAATCAACACTCAACTACGCATTAAAAAACGAAAAAAGGGAAATTGTAAACAGCTTTTTCTAGAAATCGTGATAAAAAAAGAAAACAGGATGGGCGCTCTCTCTCTCTTGTTGCCTAGTAACCTATAAACCTTAAAATGATCGTAGTTTATCATTAATTCATAATACTACTGTCGTTTTCTTTGTTAATTAATCATCAAATTTACTATGATTCAGTCAGGAAATGATGTTGAAATTTTACAAATTGTTTTGATATGCAAATGTCTTTATTAAAAAGTATGACTGATTAAAATTTTCTTTCAATTGTTGAATAATACAGAATGAATGAATATTATTTAATACTTTCGGAATTAACATAGAGAGGGAGAAGAAAGAGAGAAGGAAGAATAAAAGAAACATGACAAAAAGAGAAAAAGAAAGTAGAAGAAAAGAAAAAAAAAAGAACAATTGTTTAAAATATATAAATTTTTATTAGTTTAAGTTTTGCAGTTTTATTTTGCGAACATAATAAAAGAAAGAGAAATTTTTCTCTCTTTGTTTCATTCTTTGGTTGTAAATAGGATTATAAAAGCATAAAGTAGAAAGCAAAAGGTAAATGTAATACAGTACTTTTAGTGTATAGGAGAAAAAAAAGAGAAACAATTTCCTTTACTGTTTTTGCTTAAATATTTTTTTTGGCTTTGTTTTTTAATGCAATTTTTTTCAAAATTTTTGTTTTGGCTCAACTGGAAAAAAGAATTTTTAAGCTAAACAACTAAATTAATTAGGAACATCTGTAGGAACTGTTTTTTTCCCCCCTGAAATTCTTATCAAAGTTTTAGATAAAGTTTAGAATAAATATATAACGTTCTAAAAGTAATCGGGCGCTTTATGTTAAAGCTCCTCTATATCCATTTGCCTGTAGGAAATTTCTCTGTTCGCTGGTCAAGAGAGATACAATATCTATTGGAAGCTCCCAAACTTTTAAACCATCTTTATGTTGGAAAAATAATAATCCTCTTGTTGCTGGTTCATGGCTGACGTGTACAGTCCAACCAGCAGCAAGATTCGATTTTTGAAGTCCACATTCACAAACTTCCTCTTTTATTACTTCCTCCTTTTTATCCAAGTTCTCTAATGGCGGTGCTGGCAAAGGTCTGCTAACAGTTGCCGTGTCAATAGAACATTCTGAAATTCTCTGGAGCTTTGTTTGTTTTTTAGATGTTATTGGGAAAATAAACTTCATGTTTGTATAATTCTCACAGGGAATAGCCGAGTTTGAATAATGTGCCACTAAGCGTTGAATAGACGGGAAAGGCGTTTGATCAACGTCTAGATGGTACTGACTTGAATTAGTTTTAAAGAGTTTCACGTGTAGAATAGAACCTTGATTTGTTACCGAGAATGTGCACGCATGATTCTCTGACGAGCTTGGTCGTAAAAGAAAACATCCATCTTCTTTTATAAAATCACATAATATTTTTTTCGCTGCTTTATTATCCAAATCTGCATGAAAATAAGGCAACCGACGAACATCTTCAACCAGACTTGTGCGAATAGTATGCGTCATTTTCTCTTTCTGTATGAGAGGAACATTTTTCATAAAATTACTCTATTATCGATCATGACGAAGTATCACAAATATGATTTTGCTACTCTTTTAAAGAATTAGTTTAGATCTATAAGCTTTTTAAGAATAATTAAATATAATATAATACAACTTTTAAATATATATTCACAGTAATATCAATTGTATTAAGCGATTATGCAACTTTTCTCTTTTACAAAACAATACTATTTAAAGCAGGATAAAGGCCAAGGATATTTAATATACTGTACATAATAGTAAAATTTTTAAGGTGAAAAAAGCAAACATTTTAGCCGGTTTTTAAGTCAACATTTGTTATATTTTAGCACATATTAATTTAAGCATTTAATTTAAAATAATCTATCTAACCTTCATCACGATGTATATTCAACTATAAAAGATTTAACAGGTGCATCTCAGACAAACTTTGTTTTCCCAATGAATCACTTGTTTACGAAAACAAGTTCTACTGTCGTAAAATATTTTTTTATAAAATACTATAATTAATTTTTTATGCAATTTTTAATATTAAAAATATATTTAAAATTAGTTAGATATTAAAATAAATGAATTTTTATTATTTTCTTTTTGTCACGTGACTCGTTGCTAAGAAGAAATCAATCTACTAAAAAACACCGCTTATTAAAACTGTTCAGCAGAAATTTAAGGCTTGAAATGCTATATATTCATTTGTTTGGTGTCTTTTAAAGGTAACTTGTCAATTTATTTATCTTATCAATTTGATAGTTAGATAAGAAAAAGTTTTTATTACTTGAATAGATGTAAATAGATACTTAAGTTAGATAGCGAAAAACAATATGAGATGGAGTGTTTTCTTTAACATTGTATATGGTAACAATAAAAAGATTCAGTTTGAATATTGTTAATAGGAAATTTTAATACGAATAATAGACGTTTAGATAAAGAAATTAAAAGTGAATAAGTTAAATAGTTATGTTAGCGTGATAGGGAAAGAGGGAGACGATTTTAATTGAAACTATATTTATAATTGATGGACTTTTACTTTTTTTTATGCTGTACCGTATGGTTACTGACGTTCTCTTCCATCCTTATTTAAAATTCATTGACTTAATATTGATCTATATTCAATTTTTCTGTAAAATTTAATAATTTTTTGTTTTGTTTGCTAAGGTCGATAGCTTACGCAGGTGTAGGCCTAACTAAGAAGAATTCCAAATACCATTCAAAACTATTTATGGATCAGTGTTCTAAGCGCAGGCGTTTCTTTTCATGCTATTTCTCGGTAATCTTTCAGCTAAGAGCAATATTTATAGTGTTATTCGTATTGAAAGGTTTATTGTAAATAGTTGAAATATAGTTAGTTTGTTTAAAAAGGTACTCCCTATCTTACTCTAATTACTTTTCATCGTTTTCAATCGATGAAACAGCACTCAGGAAAAAAAAGCCAATACGGAATTAAATTAACTCTCTTGTCTCAGTATGAACTTTTCTTTATCCTATAGTACTTACCTTCAATTTGATTGAACCTGCATTCCAGACATTACTTGCTTTAGTATTTCTATAGATAAATGTATTAACTATTACTCTTTATATTTTAGTAAATTACCTCCCAAAATGGGTTGCGGTGTTTCTTCTGAACCGGAACAGACTGTTAGGGGGCAAGCACCCCAGTCGTCTAATTCTCAACGCCCAAGAGTACTTCCACCCAACAAGTCGGAATTTGTCAAAGATGGCAGAGCGACAATTAAGCAGCATAGAGAATCCGAGAATCGAAATAGTAGAAAAATGAGAGCTGCTGTACTGGGAAGACGATCTGCTTGTACCGTTCTTATAGATAAAAATGGATTTTCTGTTCAACAATTGCGGATTTGTGAAGGACAAGTTGTAACTTTTAAATGGGATGAAACTTCTAGTGATGGTCAAGGATATAATGTTACCCAGGTAAGATACTTTTTGGAATTTTTGTCCATATCATTTAAAATAACGTATTTGCTATCATAGGTCGTACATGATGGAGAGAAATTCAAACCAGTAATAGGGGGATTTCATAGTGGTCAGATTTCAAGAAAAGGATTTTACGAAGAGCAATTTAACCTATCCGGCTTCTACAAATTTGTCAGGTAAATACAACACTCTTTGTTCAAATATTATAATATACTTTGTATATTATATTCTGGCAATAATATTATGCTAGAAAAGTGGATCATAAATCTTTGATACTTTGCTTTATTCAACTTTATCATTGTGCTAGAAGTTGAAAGATAATAATTGTATTTTACACAAAAGTATATTAAGTATATATTTAAAAGTAAATTCTGGTTCAGTAATTAAAATACCATAACACTATTGACTTTTCAAAAACAAGTTAAAAAATAATATCCTAAAATATTAAACTTTTACATATTTACATATTATATTTATTTTCAAAGCATTGGAAGATATTTTGAAGACTTTAAAGCTGGGTAATTAATACTAAAACCACTTAGTATATGATTACTGGAGAAAAATTCATTTTGTTGCCCTATTGATTCCATGATTTTTATTTATTGAACATATTGATTGAACTATTTGACCATTTAGTATTGTTTTTTCTAATATTAATTAATTTAAGTAACAAGAGAGCAAAACTTCCAAATATTTTCCTTTTATTTATATTGTAATTGTTTAGATAGTTGATTTTTTTTTCTTTGGCCTACTGCGTAGCTTTATATTTATTTATGTAAATAATTGTTCTCTTTATTCGAATTTTAGTCTCGGAATTAAGTGTACACCACTTACTATAGAAGTATATGAACGAACAAATATAGAAGCTGAACTTGGAGATGAAGGCTTTTTCCCTAAAATTCTTCGTATTGACGAAGGCAATACCATTGAATGGAGATGGAAAAACTGTCTAATACCACATTCTATAACTGAAGTAAATTTTTAATTAGCAAGATGAAACTAATTATAAATAACTAATTTATTGTTTTAAGGTAAAATACTTTCATAGATGGGGCAAATTTATAGCCAAAGACGATATTAGTGGACCTAGTTCAAGAAGTGGATCTTGCAAAAGGAGTTTCGAGTAAGAATAATATTAATTTTCCTGTAATTTTAATAAATACGATTTGTTTTAATAAAAGCAACCCCGGTCTATTCTACTTCCAAAGTGAAGGTTTATCACCTGGGGAAAAAATCTTTTGTGGTGTTCATGTACGAGAGAGGCAAAGGTGAAATTTTAAGGCTTATCACATTTCTTTATGGATTAATAGAGTCAATTTAACAGAGAACATCAAATAGAAATATTGGATAATGAATTTCAACCCCAAATCTTATTAATTGATGAAGGAGATAGAGTATGGTGGGGTTGGGATAAAAACAGGGTAAATTTTTTTATTACATTACATATATAGACTTGATACAATATTAAAAAAATTATGAATTATGTATTTGATGAATTTTATTAAAAGAAAAACATTTTACATTATTCATAGACAAAAAAGCTACATTGCGTTTACGAAATAGAGAGACCCTCTGCAAATTCTCGCAGTGATGACTCCTACAAGCAAAAAAAGAATGGTTTTCAATGGCCAAAACCATCGTAAGTTTTAATATAATTCTTTGTTTTTTTAGTTCTTCTCTATTAATAAGTTTTATGAAATATTTAATAGAAAATGTGGCCTTTTATCTCATGAATTTCACGAAGCTGGAGTTTATTATTTCTCCGATTATAATGCTACTCAAGCTGCAGAATATGTGGGGACAATTGTTGTTAAACCGAAAGAAAAAGAACATTTTATTGAATTATCGCGAAATGATCAATTTTCACCTGGTAAATTAGAAATTAACCTTTTCATTTTGTGATAGATTTATCATTATCTCTTACTCTAGGTCTTCAGAAAGTTAAAACTGGCGATAGGGTGTGGTTTACATGGAAACCGAATGAAATGGAAAGCGGGTTTCTTCTACGAGAATGGGAAAAATGCAATACGATTGAGGCCACTAGACCTGGAATTGAAAATGATAATAGTGGTATGCTTTAAAACAATTAATTATTGCTTAAATTCTAATTGGGAACTGTAATTATAGATATAAATGAACATGCTTATATGGATCAAGAATGTGAAAAACTTAAAGCTCAAATTGGCGTAGACACTGTAATATTTGGTACAGTTGGAGTTTATCACTATAGAGTACCAGATTGTCCAGATATCATTAATTCATGCTCTATCATCTGTGAAAATGGGCCAAGAGTAAGTTTATTATATAAATTAATTTTTTCCCCTACAATTCAAAGCTATTTTCCATTTAATAGAATTATACTGTACATGTTACTGACCAAGGTTTTGAACCTAAACTTGTAACGGTCAAGGCTGGTGATAGAATTTGGTGGATTTGGCAAGAATCTAGTCGTAAAGCTTTGCCTCATAACATAGCTCAAGTTACTCATAGCGGAAATGTAATTAAAACTGGTTTCTCGAGTGGAGCCTTATTGGACACCCCCTCTGGCTTTGTTCATCGATTTGAAAATTTGGGATGTTACTATTACATATCCGATTCATTGCCAAAAGCATTTGGAGCTGTTGTTGTATCAAAAGCTCCAAAGGTTCATGAAGTTGAAGTCGAACCGGGAGAAAGTATAGAAAATGATCCCGTTGTTGCCAACGTTCATGATGTTGTTGCATGGACTTATCGAGGACTTCAACATTACGATGTTAGTCAAATTACATCAATTGAACATCTCCTTGATCCACAGATAGAAAATACGGAACAAGGTCCCCGTTATTGTATGAACAGAATGTTCTCAAAAAAAGGAATGTATCACTTTACTAGTAGAGGATTTTACAATTATAATCGCGGCGCTCGTAATAGTTTGGAAGACCAAAGAGTGAGCACTGTTCTCGTCGACCATATTAATGAACATGCACAAATTCGTGTGAATAGTAAAGGATTTTGGCCACCAAAAATTTGCATTCAGAAGGGACAATCCATACTATGGAGTTGGGTTGGATCAGAAGAAGCTCATAACATTATTCATGTAAACAACAGCGATAACTCCAACCCTCTAAGTCGTGTACAAGGTTCAAAGGCTTTTAATTCCGGAAAACAAACGCCTAATAGTTCTTTCCTTCATACTTTTGATGAATGCGGAGTTTTCAGTGTGATATCGCAGGGAGCTCCTGGCTTTCCATGTGAAGTCCATGTTTTGGAAGCACCAGCATCGAAGACGAGTAAACCATACATTCAAGGTGGAGAAATGAACGGTGGAACAGTAGAAAAGAATCATGTTGTGTGGTTGAAATGTGACACAGCAGGTGCTAAAATTTACTATACTGTAGATGGAACTGCTCCAGAACTCCATAAATTAAACGTCAAGGTACAGATCGTCTTCTAAACTAATTTAACTTGATTATCCATCACTTAAACTTAGATTAAGATAAATATATCATCATATTTTATCAACATATTTAGCAAGGCAGAAAGAGAGGTTATCGAGCTCGACCAGAGGTTACAATAATTGTTTTTTAACAACACTCTTTTCGTTTAGTGATATCTAAATTGCACAGGATAACAACTTTCGTATTCTACCATTCTAACCAAAACCCAAATACTATTTTCTTAAATACTACTATGTTGTTACTAAAAAATAATGTTTTCCAAATTTACCCTTCTTTAGCGTTTATCTTTCCTTAGTTAATCAAAATGTTTTACTTTTTTATAGAAGTATGATGCCAAAAAGGGTATTACATTGAAGAACTCTGGATTACATTATATCAGGGCTTTGGCTGTATCTGACAACAGAATAAACAGTACTATCCTAACATCTAAGTAAGTTATTCCATCTAATGCTATCAAATGAAAAATTTTCATTTTTTTCCTGTTTTTTAGACGTTTTTGGGTAACATCTGATGGTGAAGATCGCTCTGAATCGAATTCTGAAGTTGAGGAAGATATGGATGCTTTACAAAAGAATACAGAAAATTGGAAAAATTGTGTGCCTAATATTAAGAGTCATTTTGTTGGGCCTGGTGTTATTGAAATTTTCTGGGAAAATCCACCTTTGGAAGCTTTAGCAGAATTGAAAGGTTATAAAGTTCTTTTGAACGACATCTCATATGGAAAGGAGATTGCTCCAAATTGTTGTAGTGCAGTGGCTGCTGATCTTGCTGCTGACAGAAGTTATGAAGTTGTTCTGGAAGCCATACCTAAATCTCGTCATTTTTTATCTCATAAATCAAACAAGTTGATTCTTAAATGTCCAAAAGTTGTGGAAACTGGCGGACCATTGATCTCTCTTGAAGTGGCTGAAAAGAAAGATTCTATAGCAGTTGTGTGGAAGTCAATATCCACGGAGGACAGTCCAATTGAATATTATTCGCTATATTTGAATGGGCAAAAATGCGGAGACGATATTCGTCCTGGTGATCAAATGGATCGATGTCGAATAGTTATTGATGGATGTCAAGAAAATAACATGTACAGAGTAATATTAGTTGCCGTTGGTAAAGATGGAAGACAACATCATTCGAATGAATTAGATGTCACCTTACCTCTGGTCATTAATGACATAAAACTTCCTCCTCATGATGCCAGAAACTACGATGATGATTTGTATAAGGAATATGTAGAAGTTCAAGAGGGAAAAGCAACAATTACTAAACGGGAAATACGTTATACATCAGGTAAGATTAATATTTAATATACTCTATACAAGGAATTAAACTATTTATTTTTATAATGTCGCCTCTTTTACGTTTGATTATCTTTCATAAATTTAACAAATAAGTATATAATATATTCATTAAGAAAATGAATCAAATGATGAAGAAGATGATACCAATTTGGAGAATAAAAATGATAGTCAAAATAATCGTAGTAACGATACGGAAAATGATGAAGAAGACAATTACAATCATTATCCAAGCGATGCTAGAAGCAAAAATAAAAAAGGAAAAAATTCCGGTTCATCAACAATGGAAGGTGTGTTTAAATCACCATCAACTAATAAGTTACTTAAATTTCACCTTGGAAAGACTTGTCCGAATAAAAAGAGCATGAAACCAGGTTTATACTCAAAATAAGAACAGTTCACAGAATAAGCTTTTTACTAACATATTCCATCAACAAAAACCCATAGCTAAAGTATATACATTCGACGATGATAATAATTTAAGAGAACTATGTAAAACTGGTATGAAAATGCATATCTTATGAGCTTATGAAATGCTTTACCTTTTACAGTTCTTTTTTTATCAACTTTTAGGCTTTATAGCGTGCTTTGATAAAATATCGTAAATATATTAGATAATATTCTATGCTAGCTATTTCTAAAGTTATAAAATTTTGAGTGAAAAAGATGAAAAAAGAAAATATTTGATTTTTATCTTTCACATTTACCAATTTGATTAATAAGAGCCGGACAAGATTTTTAATATTTCAAAATGATCACTATCTTTGCTGAAAGAACGCTTTCAATTATATAAGATATCTCATTATCAGATACAAGGGGTTTTCAAGAACCGGAATTAGCAGAAGAACTTGTCGAACAGATTGAAGAACAGTTAAGAGGCCTTAAAGCTGAAATTAGGCGACAGAGTTTGGTTGAAAAGAGTGAAGATGATGCAGAGTATTCTGTTCAGCAGAAATCAATAAGAGGTCTTAAAGTAGAAACAAGAAGGCAGAGTTTGATTGAAAAGAGCGATGATGATACAGAATTCTCGGTTCCATCAAAATCAATAGAGAAGCAGAAAGAGAGAAACTTTAAAAAGCCTCCACTACCTTTTAAGACTAGACCTTATTCACCTAAAATGAATGAGGAAGAGGACGAAGATAATGATGATGATGATGATGATGAGGAGGAGGAGGAGGATGATGACGATGAGGCAACCGAAGAAAGGGAAGGAGGGAGGGTTTGGCAAGAGGACGGAGAGGAAACTGAATCAGAATCCGAAATTCGATCCGTTGAAGATGAAACTAAAATTTATTCTGATTATGGTATTATGTCTGAAGTCCTACGATCATCGTCCCATACCGATAAGGTGTTTAAGTTAAAAGCGAATGATGTTAGAAATTTTCAAATAGCAAATCCGGTAGACAATAATAAGACTGTATATCAAAGGCCGGTGTCTCTCGGAAGACCACCTAATTGGAAGAGCATAACAGAAAAAATAAAAACCGTTTCATTATTTAACACTTTAAAAAAATCCCGAGAACAAAATATTTTAAGCAAGAATGTTAGGAAATCAAATGATCTAGCAAATCCTCCGAATGATAATTATAGTGAAAGGATATCAACATGTTTATTTGATAAGGCTGTAAGCTTTAGGAAGCAGGAAAATGATTATCAAATTATTGATGCAACAATGGGTAAATTTTTAGATGAATTCCTTATTCTAGCTAACTTCCTATCGATTACTTAATCAATAAATAACACTATAGGACCATGGAAAAATAAAATGAGACCCGCAGCAAAAGTATCAACTCTCATAACTAGATTAAATAAATTAATACCTCACAAAAACGAAGTTGTTGTTCAAGAAGATAAAAGTGACACAAGCGAGCAATTTCTAGTAGAAGTAATGTCGGATGCCGAAAGTAGTGATGATTCAGTCAAACAGAGAGACGGTAGACGTGCATGATTATTAAAAAAAAACTGTTTGGAATGACTATTGGAAGAATCACAAAATGTCATAATAAAAAAATGACAGGAATGAATCAAAACATTTTTGCAAAAAAAATCACTAAAATGTAATTTTTTATATTAAGTAACGATATCACAGTGTTCTCCATAATTAATGAAGATCAATATTCTCTTAACTTAGTTAAGAGAGAAGCACTATCACTAATTAATATTTTTATTGCAGATTTGCTTTATTTATTCAAGGAAAATCAAGCTTAGAATTAGGCTTTTTGGCCTTTCTTTAAAGCTTTTTCAATATTTTTGAACGCTCTGTTTTTGTTATGAAAAAATTTAGTTAGAATTAGCTTTTATTATTTTCTGAGATTTTCTGATTTGAAATAACTTTCTAATTTGTGCAGATCGATCGAAGAAACCGAAGAAAAAGATGAAAATGGCAAAGGATACCAAAGTAGTTGTCAAGGCTGATAATGTCTCTATCAATAAACCAAATGATACTCCGCGAGTAAATAAAGTGACGTCACAAGGCTTACCTCTGCAAAGTTCTAATAAGACTTCACAGGCATCTGTTAGTTCGGAGTTGCTGCCAAAACCAAGGATTAGAGCGGCGAACAAGGGAGAAAACCGCGTTCTGATATCATGGGAAGTAGACGAGTCATCTGATCCAAAAATGCGTCTTCTCGTATATGTTGTTCACGTCCTGGGTCGTCGATTTTTGAAAAAGGTCAACAGCAGTATGAGCTATGAATGTATGATTGAAGATAAAAAAGAATCTTTCGTCGGTGTACACCACATTTGGAATATTACTTCTGGAGATTTAGAGTGCGAAGTTTCGGGGCTTTTCCCCGCTGAAGAATATCGATTGTTTGTTACAGCCCATTATACAAGATTAGATTCTAGCCACTCAGCCGAAGCTCAAGTTCAATCTGAAATTTTGAGGTAAAGATAACACATATTTCCCCAAACACAAACATCAAAATTTTAAATTCAACAGGTACACCGCAATTGGACAGTTAACAGCACCTACTCTAAATATTGTTAGTACGGACGTTTATCAGGCTTGCATTGAATGGGCAGAAGATATAAACCAGCGTCAGGATGCGAATATTGTTGGATACCATATTTTTATAGATGAAAAGCGGGTAGGAGAGCAGCTTAAAAGTAGCATTCGTCAATCCTTGATTGATAATCTTAAACCCGGAAAAGCCGTTCGAGTCAATATTCGATCATACAGTGAAAAATTTGGAGAGAGTGCAAATTCCAACACAGTTGTAATTAAGTGTCCACAGAAACCTCCAGCACCTGAAGTTGTTCAGGAGCCGGCCTTCAGTGTTGGTAAGGCTATAGTTAGTTGGACCAGACCACAAAATATAAGAATCTCAGAAAGAGGGGAGGATATTTTATTCTATAGAGTCTTTGTAGACAACGATATGATTGGTGAAGTTCGTAGTAGTTCCACCAGCAATAAAGCTGGGTATCAGTTTTCTTGCAGTAAATTAGCACCTGGTAAGGCATATGACTTAGTGGTTAGAGCATATGCTGGAGAAAAGATTAACAGTGGCCAACAGGTTAACTCTGTTTATTGTTTAGCGGAGAGTGATGATACGAATATGATACAAGTGACTTGCTCTGCTCCACCAGAATCACCTACTCTTCATATTATGTCTATGGATGTAGATGGAATTGACGTTGGTTGGGAGATGCCACAACAGTACGGAGACGCTGCCGTTTCAGGTTTCCAAATGATTAAGGATGACCGTTTTTACGGAGAAATTATGCCTAGTGATGTATATAGTATGAGAATCCAGGAGGGAATACACTTGGGCGATAGAATAACTCTACAAATTTTGGCTTTAACCGATCATCCAGTTGGTCGTGAGACTGATGCCGCACCATCTTCTCAAGATGCAATCTCTTCTATCCCGGAAAATGATATTGGCCTACTGGAATTATACATAGGCGGTAGATACAAAGCTTGTAAGTTGGGACCAAAATTAACTATCTGGTATACTGGTTTGGTGTCACCTCCTATCAAAGTTCATGCTGAGAATGTAACTGGACATTCTGCTGTAATAGCTTGGAAAATTTCAACTAAAGAAAAGAAACATTTTGTTGCCGCCGAAAATTATATAGTAACCTGGTGGCCTGGAAATGATGCCAAAGAACACGTGCGCAGCGCAACGACGACCAATGATCATTTATTGCTTGAGGACTTAAAGCAAAACGTTAAGTATACGGTAATTGTTGAAGCAAGAAGAATAGCAAATTATGCAGATACTGATAAAACTTTCATACTATCTGGAAAATCTGAACCATTATCTGTGATTACTGCCAAACCTCCAGCTCCAATCAATAATATGGGAATTGTCGCAACTACTAACTCTGCTATAAAAGTAAAATGGGATAGTTTGCAAGCGACTGGAGTAGATATTATTTGTTTGAGAGTTGATGCCGTCGCTTTGAGACCTATACCTGATCATAAGCACTCTTGCACGGAAGTTACGCCTGATTCAGTAGAAGCCATTGTGGAAAATTTAGCTGAAAAGACTGAATATCTTATTTCTGTAACAGCAGTTACAGAAGAGTACTTTTCAAACCTTCCCAGTGGTGATCCTTTGAGAGTTCACCATGCTTTTCCTAAAGATAGACCACCACCAGAAGATAATTGGCTACCCAAAACATCCATGACCGGTACAACTTCTGGTACTGAACCTCCTTTCGATGTCCATGCTGTAAACATTACACCGACTTCTATTGCTGTTTCTTGGAAGCCGGCAACAGTGTACGGTTCTTGTCGACTACAAGGGACGCTGCTCAGATGGGCAATAGCCAAAAACGTTTCTGGAGATTCAGAGGAAGGAGAGATGGCAAACTATTCGAATATGAGCGTTGATTCTGAAAGAGCTACAATAGAAAATCTCTTACCAGGCGTTCAGTACAAAATTGTAGTAGAAGCAATAGTAAGCGCTAAGAATGCAGTTTCCAGCACTTCCTCTGATCACCCTGAGGCTGAGAAGATGGACAGAAGAACTCTTCATGTAACCTCAAAACCAGTTGTAATTAGAACTAAAGCGCCATGTGAACCGCCAAGAATAAGAATGACAGGATTCACACCAAGTACTATTGATATTAAGTGGCAAAAGCCCGTTCTAACAAGGGAGGTTGGAAAAAATCCGTATGGAGTACCAGACTTTATTAAACTTAATTTAGAATGCTATCGATTAGAGATTAACGATAAACCACATATGAGATTATCGCCTAATGCTCAGGCCTGTACTCTTACTTGCTGTAAACCTGGTAAAAGGTATAAAATTGTTCTAGTGGCTATAACTTGTCCAGAGGACGTTAAGAAGATGAGAAAGAAAGATCAAAAAAAATTAGAGAATGTTTCGGTAAAAGAGGATTCAATGAATAGGAAATGGACTACCTTACCTATTGATGCTGAAAATGATGAATCTTTCTCAAATCAAATCATTGAAACACTACCTGTTGAACAGTCAGGTCTCTTGCAAACATGTAACATTGAATTCGTACCGCCTGTCCTATCAGGAGATCAGGGAGAGATGAAACTTAATTGGACAGTTCAAGGTAGCACCAATCATTTAGAGCAATTTGAAATTACTTGGATTGACGGCAAAGGGCAAGGAAACAAAAAGACTGTTCCAGCATCATGTAGAGAGGTTCTACTACCTGTAACAGGACAAAGTATCATTCAAGATGTCAAGATAATGCCAATTCTGAATAGAGGCTCTTCTGAGAATACTGCTCAGGTTGTCCAGTGCCTCCTTCCTGGAAAACCTGATCCTCCTGTAATATACTCCAAGGGTGATGTTCGCTCTGATCAATTCACAATTGAATGGGGTGAGCCAAAATTATGGGGTCATAATATTGTAAACTATCTGTTGTATCTAAATGGTAAAAAAGTGGGCCGTGAACTGGAAGCAAGACATAGGAAAGCAACTATCCCTTGCTCTATCAGTAAATCTTACAAAGTTCAGCTTCAGGCCGTCACAGCCAATCCCGATATTGGAGCCTCAGATTTATCAAATGTTTTGGAAATAATTCCAAGTCATGGCAAAGTCATTCCGGGACATGCTCCAGTTGTCGCAGAGGACGAAGACGAAGTTAATGAAGATTACATTCCGCTTATAGTCGTAAAAGTTACAGACTCAACTATTCACCTTGATTGGAGTCGCTATTTAGAACCATCCTTTTCTCATTATAAACTTACTTGGAGCAGCGTTGCTAATCCTGGCGATAAAGATGTAGAACTCAGACCAGGTGAAAAAAGTTGTACAATCCACAAATGTTATCAAGGAACAAATCATTTCGTCAAATTAACTGCTGTGGATGAATTGGGCCAAATAGTTGACCAATCTAAACAGCTTACTGTTCAAACTTCCGCTCCTCCAGATGCACCGAATTTAAGTCTTAGGGCGAAAAATTTTAAGTATATAACTATTGAATGGAATAGACCGAGATGCTACGGTGAAGGAAAAATTATTGAGTACAAAATCTTTATAAATGGCATCGTTGAAGAGAAAGTTGGACCAGATCAGTTTCATTACTCATTCACCAGGGGATATTGGTGTAGTGAATATGCCTTCCAGGTTCAAGCTGTAACTGGAATTGATCGTCTTGATAGTCGGCCATCCGATCCTTTAGTCGTTATTTGGCCCGGTGTTCAACCTCCAGTTCTACAGAGAGTTCCAGCAGTTGGAAAAAGCTCAGTAAGAATTGTTTGGAACGTTCCTATTACAACTGATGGAATAGGTAAAATATTTAAAATTTTTAGTAGCTGATCTCTAACAATTTCAATTTTTATAGACATCAAGCAGTACAAGCTAGTATGTAAGGATGAGGAAACTGGAAACATTGCCCAAATTGTTGCGCCAATTCACCCATCAACTACCGAAGCAGAAATACATAATCTTAAATCTGGAGTGTATCAAGTTTTCTTAGAAGTTCACGTTCATGGTACTCAGGAAGTTGTAAGATCTGACACCCTGAGAATAGTTCCAACTATATCCCCTGATCCACCTAATGTATCAGTTAATGTAGTCGGTCTTGAGGAAAGAAGACAAGTCGAAAAAGTCACATGTGATTTGATCAATAAGAGAGACAGGTTATTGAATATTCTTGCTAGTGGTGCAAGTATTGAGGATTTTGTGAGTTTTATCAACTAGATTAAGATAATTCATTACATATTTATTTAATCACTCTAGGCTGTTAAAAGAGCAAGCGAAGAATTGGGTCAAATTGAGCATATGTTATCGGATTGTCTTAATTCTTTGAAACATAACACTGGACATGTAATTGCTCACATGTCCTGGACAACTCCTCAAAGTAACCCAGACGCTATAGTCTCTGGCTTTAAAGTTCTTGTTGATGGTAAAAAATATGGCAACACATTGTCAGCAGGAGCCAATAATGTTCGAGTAAAGCTTGGAGTCGAGAAAGAAAAACACAAATTATCTATGGTTGCCGTCTGTGACAGACCGAAATCCTTGAGCGCTCAATCAAACATCATAGAACTCTTAACTGAACCGTTTCTACCTTTTTCTTTCTTCTCGTTCCTAGAAACAATAAACAGCCCATACCAAGAAACTTTGGCAGTAGAAAAGCGCTTACCTATTACAAAAGCCATAAATGTCGGTTTACTAAGAAGACAAGTTCAACCTCCATCCTGTGCTGTTTTAGATATATTTGAATGCGAATTTAGAACCCTTATTCCTCCAAGTGGGCCTAGATTACCAACTGCCCTATTATTCTGGTCTACATCAAATCGATATTCAACCAAACAACTTAGCTGGTTTGTAAAATACGCAAGAAAGAATTCATCCAGAGTAAGTTCAAATTTTACTTAAAGGTAAACTTTTGTCTAATTATTACTTTCAACGTAGTACGAATTTATTGCCGTTTCGTGTATCACGGATGATTTAACTGATGAAACTCGCCAAAATTTGGTTCAAACGATATCTGATAACGGTTGGAGAGATGAACAATGTGTGCGTCATGTGACCTCTGTAACGTCGAATTCTCCTTCCCTATCAACAACAATTGTCCAAAAAGGTATATATCACATTTACGTATAAATGAAATGATCACCTTAACTGAAAAATTAAGGAATGATTTTAAAAGAATGCCTATATATTATCAATTAAATTACCAGGAGGAACAATAAGCCATCATATTGATCACCACGATCCTAATTGTAAATTTCCTCACAGTAAGCATGATATTACAATTAACTCAACTTTAGTTCAATTTAGTATCTTAGCCTGTCATATTTAACAATAATAATAACGCCTTTAATCAATCACATAGATGAAAAGCATGAATCTGGTGACGTCACTTCTTACTATGGAGTCCAGGGAGTGCCTAGTATTGTTATTATCCATCCAGATGGTAAAATCTCAAAAAATTTTATCATTCATTCTAATTAATTGCATTTTCTAGATTATATTTCATGGAAAGGCAGATATTGCGCATTTGATTACCATTCATTCGATGCTTTTATAACATTTATATTAAGGCAAAGTATCAACGAATCGACTGCGGAAGATCCATGGGATAAGAAAATAGAGCCTGAGCTCTTTAGTAATTATATTTAACACAATAAATTTCCATTATAAAATCCTTTTTTTCATAAATAGGCTCCGATCTGAATAACGACACTACACATGTGCTTGTTCATCGTAAAGATAGATCCCATTCTCCAACAGGAACTTTCCAAACTCGTGGGAATACTGCAACTATTATCCATGCCCCATCAATTAATAATAAAAAATCCCGTCCAAGATCCCCAAAGCGTTTATTCCAGAAGTCTTACAACAAAAAAAGGTCATCGCAGAAAATAAGTGTAGAAAATCGACCATTCTCAGCTCAGAGTCCTTATACTCAAAAATTATTGGATCCCTATCAACAAATACACACTCAGAGTAAAAAGAGTAAGAAGCCGAAAAGTATATATTAAACTTTAGAAATTAAGAAAAAAAACTCTGTTGTTCTTCTAAAATAAACATTTCTAACTTATTTTCTCTTTTTCTCTTTAGAAATACTCTTTTCATGTCCAATAAACTTATCTATAGAAATAACACTCTTGATTACAAAATATATTAGCTTATTACTTTAATAAATATTTTATTAGTACTTTATAGAGTATATTTATTAAAATAAACGATTTCATTATTGTCGTTTAAATTCATAAATATGTGATGTTTTCTATTTTTTCTACAGAGAAAACATTTGAAATTTACCAGTTTATATTTTTTTATATGAAAACTGGTATATAATTTGGTTTGTTTTGTGTACATATTTTCGAAATATGATAAATTTTATTTCTGAAAGCTAAAATTTTGAATAAAATGTCAAATTAACAAGAAAATGGACTGGGATACGAAATTTGCCACCATAGTTGATGAAACGGAGTCAACTTTAATGAGAATAAGGGTATACCGGTTGTTTAAAAAACATGTTCGAACATGTTCTCCAATTTTTTCTTTCTTTATTAGGAAAGCATAGAATTCGGTAGAAGTTTAAAATTGCCTGATTCAATAAACGAAGCCAAATCAAAAACTATTACAACAAGCTATGGAAACAAAAATATTGATTTATTTCGCGATTTTGAGAATGACAGACGGAGTGCTTCTAGACAAGATATTCCGGCTCTCATATCTCTTATGCAAGACAGAATCGATACTCAAAATAAGGTTGAATATTCTTTTTATAACTTTTATATATAGAAAATGTTAATAATTTCAATTCCTCCGATTAATATAGACTATTGACCACCTTTCAAAAAATTTATTGAAATTAGAAGAAGATAGGGATACTCAACAAAGACAAATGAGAAATTTTCGAGGTAAAAATTATAAAATAAAAATTGTTCTTCTCTAAAAAAAACTTCTATAAATACTTTGCAGAAGAACTATCTATAGTACGAGAGAGACTGAGTGAAAGAGGTGTGGATTTACAAACCGAACATAAATTCGAACAATGGAAGAGGGAGTTAGCATCTCAAATTCAGATGCTTCAGGGCCGCATGTCTTTAATGTCGCATTCAACAAATGATAGTCCTTTGTCATCAAGTATACACAGAGATTTCATAGATTTGTAAGTAAAAACCTATTATTAGTAATAAAATATCTTGTTTAATTTAACAATCTCTACAGAAAAAGACATGTTAATGATGAATTAAGGTCGTTACGTAACGAAATAGATACTTTGAAGGCTCGATTAAGTAATGAACAATCGCTCTTTCAACAATGTCTCATTCACGTCTTATTTTGTTTTTAAAAAGGTGCTTGTGAAGTACATGTTGGTGATGCTTTTACCGACAAACGATTTGCCGATAGATCTTTAGACCGATTGGAAAGGGTAAGCTAGGAAATCTTATAATGTTTAGGCCTTGAAGCAAGTGCATGCTCCTATTTATAATCGATACAGAAAGTGGAAAACGGCAATATGCCGAAAATATGTACCGATGATATGGTACGAACTGTTTTATATAGTGAAGATAATTTTATTTGATTGCCTTATTTATTTTCCCGCAATTAAGGAATTTTATTAATTAATTGATCAAATAATCTTAAAAGTTTTTCACCTTGGATACTAGCCTCTGACAAACTTACCCACTGAGGTTAAATTAGTTCCTCACTCTTTTCACGGGTGAAAATATATTTATTCCTTCCTATCTCTTTTTGCGGATTGTAGCAGTAGTTAACGTTAACTATGAACCTTTATATATATATATATATATATGTACATATATAATTTTTATACAGTATATATATATATAACCATCTTTTTACGCTAACGATTCCCTTTTCTGCTTTTTCCAACGTGTGTTGTGGAAATCAAAGATCATATCTAATTTATGTCTAATTTAAATAATTTTTCGTTGATTTGTAAGATTTATCATGTCTTAATTGTTTGACAGACTATAAGAGATCTTGCCGAAAGCCAAAGTTATACCAAAAGAACGCTAAATCGATTGCAAGATGAACAAAACTTTGACAAACATCAAATCAATTTATTAAAGTTTGTTATACAACTTACTGATGATTTATTCTATTAACGTATCTGATTTAAATGAAAACTGTTGTCTTAATAGGAAAGATGTAAGGATAAACCCAGAGTCCATTTCGCCCTCGATTCTGACGAGTTAGTTTTTTTTATTTTATTTCTAAAATTTTGTCACTTACAAATAAAATTTGAACAAAAACAGGGAAGAAACACGTTTCTAAGAATGAAGCAGATATAAATGAATTAGATTTAGATGAAACTGATGATACTCTCGATACAGATTTTGAAATTACCGATACAGCTGATTTGATTGATTGTACAACTACGTTTAATGAGTTTAACGAGTCCAAATTGGATGAATCAAAATTTAAGTTAGGAGATGATATAACTTTAAATGATTTGGATACAACAGATTTTAATCTTACTACGGATATTGATTTATCTATGACTCTTTCTCAATAGAGATATAAGATAGTTTTTTTTTCTTTTATTATAATATCTTTTCTATTAAATGTAACTGTTTGTCTATTTTACTACTCGTTTTTGTGCTGCATCATCGCTTATCCGTCCAATTAGAGCTGCATATACTTTAACAATAATTGTTTTTCTCTTTTTCTTATTAACTAGTTGTTTTTTCTATTAAAAAATAATAACAAAAATGAATTAAAGTATTATCAATTTCGTAATGTTTTAAATATAATTATAAATCTGACTATTTTTAACTTTATTTAACAAATAAATAGCTTTACAAAATAGGAGAAAGTATAGATTATATTTGATATTTTTAATAGGTTTTAAATTCATATTCTAGAGATGTGAGATAAGTGACAATAGCTGTAAATTGGAAAAAGCAAAAAAGTCATGTGAGCGAAAATTAAATAGACGATCTCGCTCAAGCGCTACCTGCATGTAGAATATTCTAGATAGCTTGAAAACTTTATTACCAGATTACTTATTCTCGAAGATTCTAGAAGCAATCAATTCATATCATTTTATTTGCTATCGCACTGTGGACTTCACTCTTAAATTTCAATACTAATAAAAAGTCAAATTTATCATCGCATTCAACCTTCAGATCAAATAAAAGGAAAACTATGGAAATTTTAGGAACAACACTCTTTGGAGTTGGAAGGATGGGCAAAATTCATGCAAAGAACATCAATGAACATCCACAACTGGATTTGCGTTATTTAGTGGATGAAAATAAAGAATGTAGCAAGACGGTAAAAGGGAAAATCAACAAAATTACAGCTTTATTTCCAAATGAAGCAACTATTGCTTTGGAAAATAGTGATATAAAAGCATGCATTATATCTACTCCTTTTTCCTCTCATAGGGATATAGTTGAGCAATGCCTAAAATATAGAAAGCATATTTTATGTGAAAAACCTTTGACACCTACACTTAAGGAAGCTGAAGAATTGTTTAAAATTGCTGAGACTAGAGGTTAGCAATTGTTCATTATAAATTCTTTATCAATATCATTATTGTTATTCAATTTAATGTAGGCCTGAATCTGATGGTGAATTTTCAAAGAAGATTTGATCCCCAATTTAGAGAGATATATGATTTAGTTAGAAAGGGAGAAATAGGGAACGTAAGGGTTATCAAGACCACTTCAAGGGATCCGCCAGCCATGGTTTCTCTTGATTATTTGAAAAGTTCTCCTGGCATATTTTTTGATAGTGCTATTCACGATATAGATATAATATGTTGGCTAGCCAATTCTAAGCCTACTTCAATTTATGCAGTTGGTAGCGCTACTGATGAATTGTATGCAGAACAAGGAGATGTTGATAGCTGTTGCATCACTATAACGTTTGAAAATTCAATCATTGGTAACATTGAAGTGAGTAGAAATGCTGTTCAAGGCTATGATCAGCGATTAGAAGTGTTTGGTAGTAAAGGTACTTTACAAAGCGATAATAAGCGCCATAAGTTGGTTAAACATCTTAATGAAGAGGGAGAAAGAATTGATCCCATGATACAAGATTGTACTGAAAGATATGCAGAGGCCTATAAGGAAGTTCTAAGTCATTTTGTAAAAGCTACTAACGGAACGGAGGAAATAATCGTGAAACCTAATCAAGTTCTCATGGCAACCCATTTGGCCGAATTGTGCAAAAAAAGTCTAGCCAGCGGTAACAAAGAATTTGTTACCTTGAGCTTTTAGAACTTTACTTAAAAATATTTAATCTCACAATTTTCTCTGATATAACTGAGATTGTTGTAGACCTATTCTGTTATTTTCTAAATGATTACTTATAACTATATAGATATATATTTGTCTATGCACTAAAGGTGTTCATTTAACTGGTATGATTTTTCAAGTCACTTATGATAGAATTTTACAATCAAAAATAGAATTCATATAATTAAAAAAGCATTATCAACAGATAAACTTAGTACGAGTTGATGTTGAAATTGGACCATCATTGATAGTCATCCCTTCATTCTCAGCGGTACGATCTTTAGCAGACTTTAATTTGCTTCTTTTCGATAAGATTTTCGATCTTCCTATTTTATGAGAAGAGTAATCTGTTAATATTATATTTAACATTTTACTTTAAATTAATTACTGGCTGATGCAAAGTTATTGTTAAATTTCCAAGGATTTGTCATATCTTCTCTACCTTCAGCAGTTAAAACATACGACATGAAAGTTTCAAAATGTTCATAATTCTGGGCACAATATCTTCCTTTCCATACAATATTATCTATGGAAATAGATGATTATTTACATTTTTTAATAATCAATTAATAAAAAGAGACTACCTTTTGGATGTATAACAATTACTGTTGGAACACCTTTCACACCGAGTGACAAGAGAATGTCTAGAATGAAAAGTAATATTATTATCAATGATTAACACACCGTACTATTTACCTTTGCCACAACCTTTATTATAAGTTGAGGAATTTGATGCAAAGTGATGTACATAATTGTCATTTCTCCTAATAGTTTGATTTATTTTATGAGCAACAATTTCTCTTGCATAATTGCTAATGATACTTTTCGAAGAAAGTATCGATATGAAGCTTGCCTGTAGAGTTAAAATTAAAGAATTTGTATTTATTAGTCTGCTCAAATACTCAAAATTAAAAAAGAAATACTCTTAGTTTAGTTGATTCAGCAAATTTGGCAAACCATTTTAGCATTTCAAATGAATATGGATTCAAATTTGACCAAAATAATAAAGCTGTTGGATAATTTGATCCTCTGAAAGATGTCAAATTCTGTACATTTCCATCAAAAATGTTTACTGCCAAAAGAGAGGTTAAAGATATACTCCATTTAGCAAATTTTATCTGCATATTCCTAGATATTGGCATATGCTTTTCGATTTTAAGGCTCTGTTCAAAAATACTTCCCAAATTGTCAAAAAAAGCAAAGTAGTGGAAAGGTAAAAATGGTTTCGTTAAAAATTCAATAGCCTCTGAATGTTTGCTTATACATTGCTTTTTACTGCAGACGGAGACCATTGATATTTTATACTTTAAGGTTTTTGGGCTAAGCTGTAGCTCTATATGATTGACTGTTTTATTTAATATAGAGCCATATAATTTTCCATTGACTACTACTTGATAACCGGAGACAGGAACTTCAGGATTATCTTGAGGTTTTACCCATCGAAGGCGAACTTTAATAGAATGTGATGACAGTCTCAAAAACCGTAAACATCTCAATAATTGAAAATTTACATTGATCAAGTATCCTCTCGCTCTTGTTTGAACCTTTATAAAATAAAATTAATATCATACATAAAGTAAAGCTAATAGTAAAGATATAAGGAAAAATCACTTACAAGATTTCTATGCGAGCTATTAATTACACTTATTAATTTATCTCGTTCATTTATTAAGTCGCAGCATAATTTCTTACAAGCTAATCTCTCCTTTAGGTCAACTAATAATAGAGAAATCGTTGGAGGATTAGGCCTAATTCCTTGAACAATTCTTAAGATTCCAGATTTAAAAATTTTCTTCGATTCACAAGTTTGAATTTCTAAATAAATATTAAATATTCCAATACCCAGATTTTTTAGTTCTGCTTTTGTTGTGAAATTGTCGAGATCAGAAATAACTTGAACAACATCACCCATTTTTTCATCTTGGCATATAAGTTTAAAATACTTTATTTCTGTCGAGAATCAACAATTAAGATAAAATACCATATATATATATTAATAAGAACCTAGATTTTCGATATGAGGAGGTTCCCAGCAAACTATGAAAGTATCCCTATCAAAAGGAAATGAATCTTCTAAAAATGGAGGTTTAAACCTGGGCAAGGTAGCTACAACAGTATCTGATAATTCACTATCCGAATAGTTTCCTGCTGTCACAGCTTGAACTTGAAAGGCATACTGCTTTAGAGGATAAACTTTGCAATAAGTAAAATATAGTTGATCGGATGGAACAGCTTTTTCAAATATACTATTAACATATATTTTATAAATAATAATTTCTGCCCGGCCGAAAGTCCTGCATTCATCCCAACAAACTGTAATTGATTCTAAATTTATTGATGATATTCGCAACTTGGGCTTTTCTGGAAAAGCTGAAGTTTCTATACAAGTCTCAACCGTTTTACTCAAGATATTGTCTGATTTATCAATTGCGTATAGAGTAATGTAATAGACAGTTCCAGGATGACATTTATGAATGACGCAATTTTTTTCTCCTTTTCTGATTCTTGTTTTTTTTGTTATTAGACTATCAAATTCTTCATTCTTCCAAACAAGCTCATATTCATGAAAATCTGAACCTTCTGAATAAGACTTCCAGCTCAAGTCTATGGCTGTGTCGGTAACATCATCTACGGATATGGCAAATATCTCTGTTGCAACAGGGAGAACTTCTAAGATGTTTGACAAATACGAATTCTCTATGCCTTCAGAATTAGATATTGCCTGTAACTGTACTCTTTGCAGTTCTTGGTTACGGTTTATTGATAGCATCCTTTGATCCAACTTCAGCAGCGGTTTAGTTTTCTCTTCATTTATATATAACTGATAAGTATTGCTTTCAAGATCCCAAAGCTCTGGTTCATTCCATTCTATCAAGAATTCATCGGATGTAGTATTGCTAACAAAAATAGTTGGAGAGAAGAGTCTTTCGGGTGTAGCACAGTGAAATTTAATAGAAGATGGTTTTAATTTGTTGTTCTTTGAGTAAAGAGTTACAACAACTTCTTGAATACATGATTGCTCTAATATTGGTAGTATTTCTACCGATGATAACGGATCAAGGAAGATTGTTTCCCTTTTCTCTTTCTCTGCTAAATTACCGTAAGTCACTCGAACCTTTTTGACATTTTCTCTAGAACCGTAAATATCCCAATTTAACTCCATATTTTCGTTATTTACATCATCAGTATCCGATTTTAAATATGATATACCACACTCTGAAAGTTGTCCGATCTCCTTCTGTGGTATAATAAAGTATAACTCTTTGGAGAAAGATTCAACACAGTCATTCTCTACGCTTGAGGATAACGTAAAATTAGAACTATTGTATTCCTTGTCAAGAGATCTCTCAGAATCAGTTGACGACCTAACACTATTCTTATCATTTTCCTCCAGTTGTGTACTAGTAAGTGCAATAAGAACGATTCTAGTCTTCTCTCCTTGCTTGCATTCTTTTACCTTGAATTCTTGTTTGGAGGGTGGCAAAATAACAGGTGGCCTATCATTTATTCTCAGTTTATAACCCATTAGATTCAATTTTTGATATCTCGGACTTCCGTCTTCACCAGTCCCGATATCTACAAATAAAATAGGCTTCCTCCATCCAACGGAGATGGAGGTTGCTGTGAATCCAGTGATAAAAGGTTTTGGGGATGGACAAGTAATTTCCATCTTGAAAGAGTATACTTTCGATTTTTGGAGAATTGTATCTCTCTGCGAGTTTTTATCGTCCAAATCTAATTTAACGCTTATTACGGATTCGACAAAGACTTTATAATAAGCAGCTGGTTTCAAATTGGATATAATCGCGTTATTAGATTCAACTGCCATTTTAAAGTAATCTTCATCTTCATTTTCTGATTGAGTATCCCCAAATTGATCTACTTCCGCCCACTTAAGGAAACTTCCTTGGTGTCTATAAGAGCCATATATTGTAACCGGTTCCCACGAAACCATAATAGAAGTTAGTGTAGCTTTAATGAAGTGAATGTCCGATGGGGGATCAGCACCGGAGGTCATTCCCAAGATATTTGTTCTCGGAAGCCAAACATCTTTAGGCGGAGGCTCATCGTTTTCAAGTATTTCAGAGGAATGCACTTCAGAATAATTCTCCATATATTCCTTTGTCACAACTGTAAATGAAATGAGATATTTCGATTTTTCTTTCAAATTAGTGATTAGTGCTGTCTCTTTATCAGAGTCAACTATTAACGCTGAAACTTTCTCGGATGAGTTTCTAAGAGTGGCATCAATTCTAAAGCACATAGGATGAACTGGTGAATCAAGCATATTTCTCCACTGAAGTTTAATCGATGATGAGTTTGATTCCACCACTTCCAAATTCGTTATCGGTGATTTCAAAGTAATCATCTGAAATTTTAATGGAGCTGATTTTTCTGAATAGATTACTAATTGGTCGCTCATTTGTGTATTGAGTTCCTCCCTTAACGATTCAACAACAACAGTATATTGTAGACCTTGTATTAAATTGTCCATCATAAATTCCCTATCCTCAGTATTGGAAACTTTTACATTTTCCTTGGAATACTCTCCAGGCCACCACTTAACTAAAAAATTATTTATATCAATAAAATGTTTATTATCGTCCAAATTTTTCGTCTTCCAAGTTATTTTAGCAGAATTTTCCGTTAAATTTACAAGTTTTACGCCATCTATTGGACAATTTAAATTAGTATAATTAAAAGTAATCTTTTTTCCAAATCTGCATATTAGAGGCGATCCTCTTATGTAAAATTTTATAAAGTCTTCAGGAGTAGCTGGTATTGAGGAGACTAAATCATATGTTTCATATTGTTTACAATTTAAACTATTCTTAGCGAATATTTGAATGAGTTGTAATGATAACGTTTCCCCCAAAATACATTCAGTTAGCTCAAAGGAAGTTTGTTCAGGCGGTAATATTGAACCGTGAAGTTCATTATTCTTTATCAAATGAAATCCAATAGTTGGTGGATCGCGAGCTGCTTTATGTACACTCCAGTTAATAACAATCCTCTTTGTACTGATTTCCTGAATACTTGTTACTGGTGACTGTTCGTTAAAATTTAGGAATGTAACTGGAATTATATTCGAGTTTTCACTCTCGGATATACAATAAACTTTTTCCCGACTATCTCCAGTTGTAATGTTCTCTCCAGCATATGATCTGACATATATATCTGAATATTGTTCATTTCCGCTTTTATGTATCGGAAATTTATAGTAATTATCATATGATATATCAGCAGCATCAACTTCTCCAATTTGCTTATCACTCATGAATACTCTATAGAAACAAATATCTTTTTTTTTCTTAACTTTCTGCATGGAATAAGGTTTTTTCCATCTTATGGTCATCTGAGAAGCTTCATCAATTGGCACAGTTTGTATAACCGGAGGTGGGGGTTTTTTCGGGCATTTTATAATAACTTCATTAGATATTTTAAATGTATCGTATTCTGAGTAAAAGCTTTCAATTTTCACCTTATTTACTGAATTAGGTTTAATACCGGTTAAAGATATTTCTCTTGTTTTAAAAGTATACGCTTTGGGTTCATCATCAATGATAAACCTATAAGTCAAATGATCTATACTTCTCTTTAAAGAGTCACCTTTTATCTTAATTTGAAATGAAACCTCATAAACATCTGTTCCAATAATCCTAATTTTACATTTATCATTCTCATTTGCACTGTTCATATTTAAAAATTTTTTTCGTTTGTTTATTTTTTTTCCCTAGTAACAAAGTAACAATCCAAAATTATGTATAAATTACAAATTTTAACGAAAAATAATTACCTCACTCTATCAAATAATTATTTAATTTCCCTTTAATACCGAAATTCCATTGTTAGCGATCAGTATTTTTGGGTTTTTTACCAAAAAACATCAAATAAAAATTCTCACACAGTAATTTAAAAATTTTATCAGACACTCGTAAAAATAGGCTGATATGGATATATAAGCACACGTTCTTATCAGTAGCAAGCATTATTAAGACAGAATTTCTTCGATGTCAAATCTATTTGACTTTATTGATAAATTAGTTGTCTAATATGACCATAGAGCTTTGTAAGTAAAGTATTTTATATTTAAAAAGTTACTGATATAAAATATTAATGTGCATTACTGATGAATTTCTTTATCTAGATTTTCACACATATACAGTATATATATATACTAATATATAGTATAATACCTTATATATACTATATACTGTATATACAGTATATATATATATATATATATATATATATATATCTCAATTTACGATTGAAATTCTAAACAGCTATCAATTTTCTTACTCTTTTCAAACTCTGTTTAAATATACAAAAGGTAAGGGATATGACTCATTATTAGCAATGAATTAAAAGCCCGCTTTACAGCACGATCTAGCTGTTATTGAATACTTTGCATTAAATTCTACAGATTGTCGTCTTTAGTAAATAATACAGAATTGAAAATTCTATTTATTTATCTATATGTTTACAAATAATTTCATTAATGAAATTTGTATTAAAATTTCCGGGCCAGAGACTGATAAACAACGTTCAAGATGTTTTTTTGTCTAATACGTAGAATTATAGAATATCAAAAAGGATGAAAGAGATTATTTTGAGTCAATTTTTATTAAGAGAACATTCCCAGGAATTCAGCAACTGGACCAAGATATTTTGTTATTAATTCAGCCGAGTGTTCAAGTGGAAAAGCGCTTGTCCAATTTGACATCCATCTCAAAGGAGTAAATACCAAATGACCTATTTGATGACTATTAACAACAGCATAACAAGATGCTAGGTTACTATCTACTACGATAGTTCCATCATCAGTCAAGGGAGCATAAATGCCTTTTTCCTCAATTACATCTATTTCAGTGATTTTTTGTCTTGATTTTCTACCAAATTCATCAATATTTATTAAAAAATCTCTTTTGGTTGTTTCATATGCTCTTTGATATTGAATTTGACCATCTTTTTCAATTGCTATCAAGTGTTCACCAGTGACTTTTAAATTTAAACCTAATTCATTTTTTAAAACAAAAAATTTTTCAAGTTTCTCTTCATCTCTATGGAGCCAGCCAATCACTTTACTAAAACCATTTTCTGATTGAACAAGGTCTCCAATATCGATATCTTTCATAAATTTTGTTTCATTCTTAGAAGTCCTTACTAGACCTTTAGGGGAGAAGCAGCTATCTCCTTTCTTTGGTTTTCCTTCTTTATAGCATTTTTTTGTAGGGTTACATCCGTACAATTCCTCAATGCCTTTCCTATCATCTGTTTCTATATTAAAATTCGCTCCCTTATATTTATATGAGGCGTACATGATCGCATTTTTATCTGACGAATGTTTCAGACCAAGTCCATGGCCAATTTCGTGGGCTGCTACTTGAGAGAGTAGGATATCATTGTTACTGGTACTCCATAATTCATCATCATCGAAATGAATAAGACCAGTTCGGGGGTAGAAAGCGTGAGCAAGAACGCCTCCCTTACCATCAAAAGCATAGCCATCTTGGTGACTTCCCTTATAGAACGAGAGCTCCAAGTTGGCTTTATATTCTACCCTCTTAAACTTTAACATAGAATGATCGGACCATATCTTGAATCCCTTTTCTATTGCTGACAAAACCTGACTTTTGCTAAGGTCATTTGTGAACGGACTGACACGATATGTAAGAAAATCAGAATTCCACTTTGTACTCGAGAAAGCATATCTACGACGGCGGCGTCTCTTACTAGCAATGGCATCATATATATTCTGTTCATGGGAAAAAACATGATTTCTCATAAAAGAATATAAAAAATTTTCATTAAAGATATAAAGAAGGCCTATAATTTAGGTGGTACGGGACGTTACGAAAATATAAATAGGTTTAGATCATGGCCTGTGTTACAGATTGTTTAAATTTATAGGTTGAAACGTATTCTTAAAAAAATATAAACTTGAGAGAAGGATTGTACAGATCTAGGCAAGTGGGAAGTAAATATTTTTGTTTATCCTATCTAAACTGAAGGTAAAATATGACTTATCTCTTACATCGGATCTTGTATTACCACATCTAGGTAGGCTCATAAGCTCCAAGGTTTCTCTGGACAAATCTCCGGTTACCACCAATCCATTGTCTCTTTGATAGTCCTTTATGGCTGTTTGCATGCTGCTTGGAGATTTTTTCAACGCTGATGGTTGTTGATTGTTCGTTCTACTATCTGTCATATAATTGAAACGAACCAAAAACTTCTCAGCAAAAAGTTGGCTTTCGATTGAAGCTCCATCGAGAGAAATTACAATGCAAATTAATATAGTGGCTGCTAACTTCATTTTTGCTAGTTAACTCAAGTTTAAATAATCGCTAACTGATTGAATCGTGATCGAAAGCTCAACGGCCTCTCAAAACCAAAAGAAGGCCTGTCCTTTTCTATTAGAGAGAAAAAGGCTTTAACAATTGAACATGGCAATGTTACTTGAACTAGGTGGTCATGAGAGAAAGCACTATACCACAAAGGAACATGAATCATACAAAATAGAACCCTCCTATCTTATTTCTTAAAATTGAACATAAAAATCAGGAATTAAAATAATATAAACTTCTCTATTTTACAGTTTCGGTAAAATTTTTATAACAGTATCCTTGTTAAACGTTTACATAAAAACACGTTTGTTAAGTGAGTAATGTTGGCAGTATCGACACATTTAACAAATATTCGTACAGTTAAAAGTTGGTTTATTCTTTAACAATAAAAATGTATCCTTCTTATTAACATGTCCTAAATATGTATATATATATATATATATATATTTCCTAAAGAGAAGCTGGGACTGTTTCTAGACAAATTTTCATAGACAAAGGGAAAATATATCAAGTTCTTTACAGTTAAAATAACAATTGATTTATTTCCAAAAAGTACTTATTACACATTAATTGACATAATACTAATATATGTTTAGAAGAAAATGAATTTTCAATGCTGATTGTTGTATTCTTAACAATATTCTTTATTTTTGCAGTGTGAAGTATTATTCTAATGCTGAAGCGGCGGAGCTTGATAAATTTTAATATTCAATTTTTTTAAATAAGTTCACTTTTTCATTTGTTCTGAAAAGGAAAAAAGCAAAAACAAGCGATTATAAGCACAAAACGGTGATAAAATGTGATAATTATTTAAATATATAAAAAAAAGCGATAGTGATTAACTTGATTGAGTTTTTTTTCAGTCTGTCTAATTAATTACAACATGGTTTATTTCATATATATATACAGTATATATGACTTGTTTTTTTTTTAAAAAACAAGTTTTGTTTACTTGAAGCGTAGATATATTATTGCCTATTTAAGGTAGGATGATGCCTTTCACTGCCGCTTGGCCAGCAATAAAAGATGCACTCAGCCTACGCTTTTCTTAACAAATAATAAACCATGGTAACTAGCTATAATGAAAGTAAGTTATGATAAATTTATAAAACAGCAGATAATAAAATGCCTATATTCTACTCGGATCTTGTTAGTACTAGATTAAGATATTAATATTCCTTGAAAGAATCGTAATATCCTCGTATTCCTTTGTATATATGTATAAGTATTCATAAGTATAAATTTGGGCCTATATATGTTAGTATTTAATATATTGTATGCCGGGTAAATATTCTCATATATTTTGCTAATCGCTATCGCTATCCAAACCCCACGCACTTGATGCAGGAACTTTCTTCACGTTTCGTTTAGCCTCGCCTAAAGCAACTTGGCGAGCATTGGAGCCAAAGGTCATAGTTGAGTTTGTTTCGCTTAAATTCCTCTCTGCAGGTGAAACTGTAACAAACAGACACGCTTTAGCGTCCCCTCCCAAGCACGGTTGTAAAACGTGAGTTAGCTTAGAATTTCGATAAGGAATGTGAAGTTGGCCATTTCTCAATGCTGTAAAGACTTGTCCTAGGGACGTTAATGATTTGTTTATTGCAGCTGCTTCGATTAGACGTTGACCAGTAGCCTTTTATTTAAATATAGGTTTACTCGTCTTAAATTAAATGTCTTGTAAAATAGTTCCTACCTCAGTTTTGGAAACTCTCTCTGATCCAGCCAAGTCGCAGAGGGTCAATTGTCCTGTGGTCACTGACCCTGAAACTTTATCCCTACCTTCAATTGTTATAGTAAATATCAAGTGTGATCTTGAACTGTGAGAATTCATCTTGGTACTGGCAACACTTCTATTCTGATCTCCAAGATCCATTATGTGTTCTATATCCTCCATTGATTCTACAAACATTTCCGATAAACCTGGAATAGTAATCTTATTGCCTTTAGCGCGGATTTCTAATTGTTGCAGATCATCTGATAAAAGGTCATGAACAGTTTCATTATAAATCTCCATCATGGATGCTTTTAATGTAAAATCAACACTAGTCTTTTCAGAACAAATATTTAACAATTCTTTAACTGAGCGTACATTGACTCCAGGATCCTCTGGTGGACCCATCATCGTGTAAGTCTTACCAGATCCTGTTTGCCCATAAGCTATTATGCATACATTATAACCATCAATACACGAAGTAATAATCGGTTTAGCTTCTTCAAAAACCTTTATAAAAAGAAATAATGAAAAATTATAAGCTTAAAAAGTAGAAAAACATTTTAATAATTACTTCTTCTTGTTTGGAGGTCGGCTCAAATACTTTGTCGAAAGAATACGGCTTCTTTCCACCTGTAGAAATTTCGTTGTCTCTGCCAAAGTCCAGACAGCACAAAGAATTGTCGTCATGTCTGCATCTACAGAATACTCTAATATTTCCTCTCATCTCCTGCAATTTGTTATATAGAAGCTTTCTTTGCAAACATTCTCTTCTATATAAATCTCGAAGCTCATCAACTTCTTCACTGGATCCTTGATTAGCTAACGCTAATTTTGTAGATCCAGCTCTTGCCTGTTTTATCAATTCATCCATCTTCTGGAAATTTCTTACGGCCTCTATTCTTAGTTCAACGTGTTCTTTATGAAGTTGGGTAACAACTTTCTTCAAAGCCTTTGCCACATCAGGATGTAAGCCAGCCTCTGTTAAAGTTTTTACTTTATAAAATATTATAAAACTTAAAATAACGTTCTTACCGGATTTTATAGAACCTCTTCTACCTTTCGAACTTTGTTGAAAAGCTTCTAATTGAGCTATAGTTGACGATCTCTCCGCCTCCAAAGTACTAACACGGTCACGTAACTGTGCAATTAGGTCTTCAGCATTTTTTCGTTCTTTTTTTTGTTCTTCAAGTTCTTGACCTTGTTTATCGTATCGTCGTTTCTATAAATCGAATTTAATTAGTTAATTGTTTGAAGAAAGAGTTAAAGACTAAATAGAATGATTTATCTTACCAATTTTTTAAATTTCGTTGTTAATTCTATTACTTTTCCTTCCTTTTCTTTGAGAATCTTTGCATCCTCATCATTTTTTAGAGCTTGAATATGACCCGCTTCGCCCGCAGCTATAAATAAATAAAAAAAGAGACTCTATGGATGAAAGAGTTTTTGATTATGATTTAATATATGTACCCATGTAAGTTGCTATGGTATCATGAGGATCGTAATTACTTGCTCTGAGCGCTGCCAGCATATCGTGTTTGTCCTTCCATTCAGGTACTGCTTCTTCTACAGGATTTAACAGCTTGCTTACTATTTCCGATCTTAATTCCCAAGATAATGGCATTTTTATCCACGTTCCACTAGTATCGTCGTACCAGTAGTGAACATTTCGACTTTCCTAAAAGTTGTTAACTTTAAATATGAACTAAAGGATATATTCCAACTTTAAAACCTCGAAGAGATATGTTGATAATTTTCCTCTATCCGGATGGTCTAAGCTACCCTCGCGATCGTCTCCCATACCTCCTGCAACCTGTCCTGGAGCCTGTGCAATATTTATAGAATAGAATTAGATTGATTAATAACCTAATAATTGAATGATAAGGGTGAAGTTTTGAAGAAGAAAAAACAAACCTTTCGATTCCCATTTTGTTGAGTTTCTAAATACTAGCATAGCGTGATAAAAAAGCACCATTAAATAGCTCAGTGATAATAGAATATTGGGCCGGATAAATTGAAATATTTACCTGCTCTTGTTCAGTGACAAGTACACCTTCCTCATACCATTCGTTAGGAAATGGTTGCCAGTCCATAGTTTCCCAAGAATCGAGATAATATCTCTGTCCAGATTGGTAAATACAAGAATAGCTAGTTCCCGAATTATGATAAAAAGTTTCCATAACAAGTTCATCTTCTGGCTAAATAGATTTTAAATGGATATCAATTAGTAAACAGTTTACTATTCAATAAACAAAATATAACAATATCAAATTTTAAAGGCAAACAATCATAATAAAAATAAATAGAATGGAAAACCAAAATTCTAAAATAATTAACATTTTTTTTTTATAAAAAAAAAATTATGAAAATAAGGAAGGAAGTAAGAAAGGAATAAAGGAAGAAATTGTCACAACAATCAGATTCTCGATTTCTTTGGTCTATAGGTCTATAGACTATTTACTTACTAAATTCTTATAATTTGGCATCGAAGATTTCTAAATAAGGAAGGTTTTTTTGTAATCTCTTAATTTAATTTTAATGAACAACTTTGCAATAAAACCTGTAAAAATTAACTGCTGTTCAGAAAGAAAGTAGACACTTACATAATCTTTTGCATTTGAATTTTCATTGAGAGATACTCCGTGCTTTGCCAGAATTTCATTATAGTCTTGTCCGTCCGTTACCTCGTCAAGATGAGATTGCCATTTTGACGTTTTCGGCCGATTTGATGCCTGTGAAGTAGATCCTTTATCGCTAGAAGTAATTTCTACTTCTTTAAATCCCTTAGATCTGCTTGACGAACCATCGGAACTTCTTGAAATGATCTATTAATATAAATAAACGAAAGAAGTAACGCCAATTAGAAGGGATTTTCTATTAAAGGTATTGATCTTCTACTCGTTAGGAAACATACATTTGAAAAGAGTAGTGACATTGATTATAAATAATAAAGAACTCTTAGAGAAAAGATAAATTGTGGTTAATAAAGGTATTAGTGTTTAATGAACACTTGTTTACTATATCTTTCATTCATAATTAAAAGTATTCATGAATTAATCAAACGCATATTCTCCTATTGATACAATTACTACAACAAACAATACACTTTACTTTATCTTTTTTATGCGACAAACAAGAAGAAAATCAGGGAAAACGCTCATAAACAACTGAAAACCCACCTGATTTCTGCTCCTATTATTTTGTGATTGTTGATTTTGTGACTAGAAATTTATTTATAAATTAATAAGTGAAAAAGAATCTGTGAGAGAGCTTCATAATTTATTCATTTTACGATATAATACATATAACCTATTAGAAATGGTTAAAAATGACATACCTGTACATTATCTGGTAGTTGAATCTGACTCGGAGAACTACCCATACCTAAGTAACGCACCTGAAAAAATTTTGCAGTTTTGCAGTCACGTTTGCAGGTAGTAGAAAATCAATATAGTTTTATAATGTCATTTAGGTTGTACACACTTTTACCCGATTTGAGTAAATCTTTTGGAACTTACCGTCTGTTTCTAAATTATTTGAAGACTTCTGATTATTTGGGAACTCAATTTACTAATTTGGTAAGGAAATCCAGATTACGTAACACAATATCCCTGTGCTTATGTTATTTACAAATCAATAACAGCAAGAATTTTCTTTTTATCAAAAGATATTGATTTCTCCCATTTTAAAACTCACTGTATACTTGAAGATTTCATCAAAATTAATTTTAACGTTAAAACTCTCCTGTTGATTCTATTAGTATATGACAATAAACGATATTTTCGATATCCTATTTATTATGACAACCGATAAAAAGCCTGAATCCACATATTCTTTATGTAATTTAATGTTTTGGTTATACTATACCGTTTAGTTAAAAAAAAATCAATGAATTTCTTCGATCTGTTTTAGTCTATGGTGTTAGGTGACTGTTATATTTTCTCTTGTTTATCAAGCGTTGTCAAATCTTTTAGATTAGTTTCGTTGATAAGGAGTTCTTAATAGTACTAGTTTTCATGAATAATCAATAATCTCTCTAATCAACAAAACATAAACAATAGCCAATTTAAGGAACTAATTGCAAAATTACTTGAAATCGTTGAAGGAGAAAATATGGTAGGTAATAGATATTTAGGGTCAACGTAATATAAAACTTTTAAATACTATTTTGTCATTTTAATTGTTAATTTATTATCGAAATATATTTTCAAAACGAACTGCACCTATGAAACGTCAAATAGTATCGCTTTTGATGCGGAAAAAACAATAACAATAAATAAATGTACAAAAGAAAGTCAATCGAAATGCACTTAATTAGCCTGTAATTTCTTGAAAGCAAGGTTCGCAGACACGAACTGGATTTTTGCTGGAAGTCGTAACGGCAGATTTATTTGAACATTCCTGATTAAAAAAAGCACAAGATAAAATAATATACATATATAAACTTATTATATATTATTCATAAGAGAAATTACTACTATAAAAATATTATAAAACCATTAAACAATAAAATATTTAATAAAAATATAAAGCTCACCGCACAAAATATATTTCCACAATTTCTGCAATGATGCCTTCTATTCGTTATGGAAAATTCTTTACGGCAAGAGTGGCATGATTTAACTTGGCTATCGTTGGCCCACTTTCGATTTTGTACTTTACTTGTTTGTATTTGTAGTGATTGATTTTCTCTGCCCAATTCATGTAAAGCTGCTTCTAGATCTTCTTGCTTTCTTCTCATAGCCGATGTCTTATCACGAAGTTGTCTTAATTCATCCTCGCTGGCTAAACAGCGTTCCAACAAAACTTTTCTATCATCACTGCTAGTCTCCAAGAGAGCTTGTTTTTCTTTTTACAAAAGATATAATATTACATATATACTTCTTTTGAAAATGATAAGAAGAATATAACGTACCTAATTTCTCAAGCTTAAGCTTTTCACATTCATTTGAAAACTCAATAACTTGTGCTTTACTCTCTTCGAGTTCCTGCCTCAAAGATCTGAGAGTCTCATTCACCGCTCCAACCTAAACATTTAAATGGTTTTTAAACTTTCAATACTTATTAATCACTTCACTGACCTCAATTAGAAGCTTTCCTTCCATTTCATCTCTAATCTTTTCAAGATCCAATTTGGCAGCAATTTCCTCTTCTAATCGCGCCTGTAAACAGCTATTATCGTTTCGTAACATGTCCTCAGCTTGTTGTGTTGACAATTCTAAAGAAGAGTACTTAGATTTCACTTCAATTAGTTGATTTTTCTCCTTTTCAATTTCTTCCAATAGGTCAGTTATCTTATTGTTAAATTTAACTTCATTTTCACGAAATTCATTAAATCGTTCTTCATACATATCACTCTTTTCCCTTAAAAGTTCTTCTACAGTTTGTAATTTTCTTTCAGTCTCCTTTAAATTATCGTTAGTTGTGGATTTTATACTTTTTTCTTCACCTAACTCAGCTACTATAACTTGATACTTCTCTTCATGACTTTTAAGAGTTGTTTCTAATTCTTTAATCTTGTCCATTAAAGCTTGCTTATTTTGTGTCTCTTCCTCGAGGACTTTTTTCATATTTTCTAGATCTGTATAATAATTATAAAATTTGTCTTCTGCTTCCTTAAGGCGACCTCGGCACGATTCCAAGTCTGATAGCTTTAATTCTAAGGACGCTTGAAGTGTACGATTATTTTCTTCGCTCTCTTTTAATTTGACGCATGATTCATCCAATTCTTCGCGCATAGCTATTACTCTTGATTCAAGATGCTTCATCGTTTTTTGATTACTTTCGATTATTTCGGCCTCTTTCGATTTTCTAATTTCAAACTTTTCATTCTAAAAAATTTTCCCTTTATAGTTATGTAAACATTTTAGGAAATAAAATTTAAGACTTACTAAGCTTTTTATATCATTGTTCTTCTCCGAAAGATCCTTTTTTAAACCATCCAAGGCTTGTTCATAACCGCCAATTCGTTCCTCATAATCACTATTACTTTTCCTGAGATTATCTATTTCGGTTTTTAACTTTCCTTCTTTTTTTTTCAAATCTTTTAATTCTTTTGTTCGATTTTTATCCTTTTCCTTTAAATCATCGTTCTGTTTCTTTTCATTGTTCAGTTTTGTTTTTAAATCATCAATCTCATTAGTCAATTTAACTTGAGATTCTTTTTTATCATCCATTTCAGACTTTACTTTCTCCTCATATTGAATATAAACATTTTTTGATTTTACTAATTCAGTTTCCTATTAAAATAAAATACAATATTCAATTAAAAGATTGAAATATAAAATAATATTATCAAAACTAAAGAGAACTAACAAGAACATTAATTTTCTCTTCGATTTCTATACGGGTCGATTTCTCATTTTCCAACTCACTAGAGATTTTGTTTCTTTCATGTTTTTCACCAGAGACTTCCTCTTTTAACTGTAAAGAATTTTAATTTAAACTATTATAAAGTACGTAAATATTTTAATCAAATTATAGATCAACTATAACTTTTTTAATCAATTTCTTTTATATGTTATATAATAGAGATTTAACAGAAAAACTGTTAATTTCAATAGTAATTCGATTTAATAATTCATACATTTAATTAATAAAAACAATATTTTTAATCTATATATTAGTAAAGTAATATAAAGAACTACAAATGAGCATATATAAGCATGTAAACATAGCATCCAACAGATTTTTTTACCTTCTCTATTTGTTCCTGCAATTGTTTAATTTCCTGTTTTCCAACTTCTATTTGCTCTTTCTTTTCACGTTTCAATGTATCGTTAGAATGTTTTAACTTATCCAAATTTGATTCCTTTTCAATTAAAATAGTAAATAATTTATATTTAATATATGAAATACAAGTCAAATATTTACATTTTTTTTTAATTCAGTTTCAGCGTCTAATAACTTTCTTTCTAAATCATTTTTTTCATCCTTAATTGTTTTTAACGTTTGATTTAATTTTAATATTTCAGCTGATTTCTTTTCTAAATTATTATTTATCTATAACAAAAGTAAGATTAAATGAGTATAATATATAAATATATTATTAATATAATATAGAAAAGAAAGTACTTCTTACATTATCATTACGTTTCTCTAATTTTTTTATCTCTTGATTTTTTTCACCAATTTCTTTATCTTTTTGCTTTTTAGCTTTCTTTGAACTAATTTCTAATTCATTAATTTTTACTTGTTGATCCTTTAACTTTTGACTCTTTGCAAGAAAAATAGAAGAATTTATGAAGTAATATATATTCTAACAATAGTATCTACAATATTAATTAAAAAATATACCAACTTGCTTGGCAATTTCCTCCTTGTCTTTATCAATTTGGGTAATTTTATCACCTATTTCCTTTTGTAAATCCTCTAAATTAATGTTTAAATTAATGTTTCGCTGTATTTCTGCTTTCTTTTCTTTTTCAAAATCTTCGAGTTGATTTTCCAGAGATAGTAATTTATTTTCATAATCAGATTTTAAACTTTCTTTAGTTTTTTCAACAGTAGCTAACTTTTCTTGAATAGAATTCTTATATATAAAACAAAAAGTATTTATAAGCAAATGATAATACGCTTGCAAACACGACAATTTAAATAACCTACATTTTCTTGTTGCAATTGTAATATGGCTGTTTCTTTACCTTCACCTTTCTCAATCTATATTTAAAAATAGAGAGTATTTGTCATAGTTTATAGCAGGTAATAAAAATTAACCTTATGTATGAGATCGTCTTTTTCGTTTTCCAGTCTTTCTGTATTCTGCTTACTTTCGGTTAATAAATTTAGTGTTTCCTCTTGTTGCTTTTGACTAAATAAAATTAAACATTAACTTTATCATCAATCTGCAAAACAATATAGTAAAATAATTTTAGTATACAATACTTACACATCTCGTAATCTTTTCCTAAGATTTTCACATTCCTGACTGGCTTCTTCTGTTGTGGATTTCAAAGATAATTTCTGCGAAAATAACAACAGTACTTATTAATAATTCTATTGTTTATTTTCTTTTTTTATGAACAAAACAAACCATATTTTCCAGTGTAGTTTCGACAGACTCCTTTTCAGAACATACCTTCTCTAGTTGAGTCTTTTTTTGCTCAATGTCTAACATTAACTGTTTTAATTATATATAGATGATTTATTTACACATAATTTTTAGCTAAATTTCTTATAATTCTTTATTTTTATCTACCGAATCTAATTCTGTCTTCATCCTTGTTAATTCCTTTTCTTTCTCCTCCAATTTTTCGCTCATGGAATGTCTTACATCATTCAATTCAGTTCGACACTTTTCCTGTAATTCCTCACTTTCGAGTACTTTAGAAGACATCTACAACATTAAATTTATCATGACAGTAATTTCGAATGGAAATTATACTAATAAAAAGCAATAAACCTGATGAATCATTTCGTTAAGATCATTATTCTTTTCTTCCAAAACTTCTTTGGCTTCACTGATTTGTTTTATCTCAAGAGTTTTACTGCCAAGTTGTTTCTCTAATTCATCTTTATCAATGCTAATACTCTCTAAACTAGCTTCGCTGACATGAATATTCTCTTTCATCGAATCACTCTCTTTTAATAAAAGTGAAAATTGTTCCTTTATCGATGATAAATCTTTGGATAGGGATGAATTTTCCTCTTTTAAAATTCGAATTTCATCTTCCTTATTAGAAAGAGAGGTCGATAAGGAATCTTTATCATTAAGTGAAGTGTTTTTAATGAGAATATTCTCATTTTCTAAATTATTAATTTGACGCTGAAATTCCAAAATTCTTTCTTCAAACGATTGAGAAATTTCTGAAATTTCATCGTTTTTTGCCAATAAGTTTTCTTCCAAATCAGAATACTTTTGTTTAACATTATTTAATTCCGATTCACTAGTTTTCAAAGCCTCTTCCAGTTTCTTTTCATTCGTTTCTGAGCTATCGCTTAAGGTTGTTTGAAGACTGGAATATACAATAGAACATTTGATGCACTTTTTTCAATTAGCTATTATTTTAATTGAGTAATACTTACTATTCAAGATTTTTGTTTTTATTTTCAAGAATTTCTTTCTCCAGCGTCAGTTGATCAAAGGCGTCGAGTAGACGCTTTTTTTCTTCAGTAAGCGAATCACTTTCTGCTTTTAATTTGTTCAAAACATTAGTCAATTCCGAATTCTCTCTCTTTAAACAATCAATTTCTTCTTCTTTACTTCTTGTCAAATCATCCATTAAAGTTTGAGCATTAACTAATTCCTTTCGTAGAACAAGAACATCATCAGCACCAGGTCTTAATAATTAATAAATAATATTTTTATATTTACTATTTTGAATATCATATGTTACAAATTCATATACCTTTGAGCTAATTGCGATTCTAAACTTGATACTAATCGAGATTTCTCGGATATTTGTTTCTAGATTATATGCAAAGAATTATAATTAATTAAAACAATGAAGAGAAATAAACCTTCAAAGTTTTTAAGTGATCTTCCAAGGCCGCCTTACTACCTTCGCTTTCATCAGCTTTTGCCTTTACGGCGGTTAAATCACTAGCCTTGTAAGGAAAAATATACAATAAATATATCTAACATATAAAACCTTTTAATAGACAACCATTTTTGCTGCTTTCTCTTCAATTATCAACTTTTCTTCGTGTAAATTTTTCATTGAATCGAAAGTATCAGTCAATTGTTGCTTTAGAGTAATTACTTCGTTATTCACTGTTAAAGAATAGAATATTATTTTTATTGAAAAACAAAATATTATACAAACATATTAATCTACTCTCCTCCGATGCTTTCAACTGCATTCTCATTAAATCTTCTTCACTTTGGTCCTAAAATTTAAAGAGAGAGTAGTTTATTTTATTAAAAAAGTTTTAAATTTAGTTAGCTATTAGATTCTAATACAGAGAAATAGGATAACATGAAAAATAGCAAAACTAAAACAATTAAGAGAGATATAAACTAAGCTTATTACTTTCAATTATAAAAATTTGAAAAAAATGAGAGTAATATAACAGGGAAATATTTAATGCATAGGATTTAGATTTTACCTCATGAACGTAACGGTTTCTACTGGAATTGCTTCTCTAAATGCAATATACACGCACATATAGATTTATTTATTTATAAATATTGTTAATGTATGTATTATATTAATTAATCAATTAAACATTCAACTTACAATAGAATGTCTCCTTTCTGACGATGATGATGCTGCAGCGTTGGAACTATTTAATATTTAAAGGAAAAAGTGTTAACATAGAGATTGTTCATTCTATTCAAATTAATTAAGCTTAAGTAAAACTAACTTTTCATCTTTTCGAGGAGAATTATCCTGTTAATAATAAAAAACATTTTTCAAATATTTTTCATATATATAATAGAAAATAAATATTTATTTCAGTTTATACTTACTGAATTATTATCAAATTCACTATGTTTCTCTGTAAAGTGGCTTTGCAATAACTCAGGCTGATTAAATATCGTGTGACATATTGGACATACAAAGCCCTAAAAAAATATGTTTCGTTGTTGAGTTGTGAATATACTTTTTATGAAATTTATGCATTCAATTTTAAGAATGATTGGTTTTCTTACTTCAATTTGATTGGGCTCATCATGAGATGAATTGTTAGTAGATTGCTGTTGGGGGCATACTTGTGCATTATCAAAAAGAATTATTATTTAAAAATATATCATCTACTATGCATTGTTAAAATCAATGATTTATTATTTCAGCTCTAATAGTTGATATGTCAACAAATGTGTTCAAGCTATTATTTAAATTTTAACTTACAGGTTTTGAATCTTTCTTAAATATATTCGAGAACATAGTTAACTAGAGTTTTATTTATTGAAGAAGACAGATTTATCAAAACCGGAAGTGAGGCGTAACTTTCGCATATTCGTATAAAAAATCTCGCTTTATTAACCTTTTATCGCTCTTATTAAATTTTCTACTGGGAAAAAATCTTACTAATAATATATACTATAAAGTTTAAGAGAAAGTTTATTATGGGTTTGAAAATACATCAAAACTCCCGCGCTATATTCGAAATTCTATTTATGCAAATAACCATTATTCATCAACTTACCTAATAAATTTTTTTAATCTTCAAGCGTGTCTTATCTCTTAAATATATTATTTCCTTCTCAATTGATTACATTATACAACTTCAAGACTGAATTTTCAAAATAAATAAGGTTAATAGTATATCGTGTATATTAATAATATAAGAATTAGTAATGTGAGACTGAATAATAAATTAGGCGGAATTGAAAGATTCTTAGTGAAAAAATTTACATATTTTGCTTGTGTTTAGCTATTAAAGCAATGATTTTATATAACCATGTATTTTATATGTTAATATAGAAGTGTATGTTTACGTCTTGTATAGAAATTAGCTACATTAAAGTGATCTAATACGTACAGTATTTATTGGTAAAATGGAAGACACCGAAAAATAATTTATTTATGGCAGAAAGATAAAGAATGCTAAAAAGCTTATTATCCAAGGCTGATTGCACAATTTGTGAAACATTCCTAATGAAATTTCAACAAGGCAAAGCAAGCATATAATGCAAAAATTTGCAATAGATAGATATACTAAATGTTAACTAATAGAAGATGAGATGATAGCTAATTTCGATCTATTATAAATTGCATTCTATGTGTGTGATTTTTCATGTAAATTTTCAAACATATTCTGTTTGATTGTGCTACTAATAAAATGTTCTAAATGACCTTTTTGTTTTACCAACTACTTTCGCTAGGTTTCTTTAATGAGGAAAGACTGCAGCTGGTCTTCGAAAATACATTTGTATTTAACTAACGATCGTAATACAAGGAAATGAATATAAATTATGTGCCTTCTATGTGTTACTCTCGAATTATAACCTAGTTTTCGAAGATCGTGACACAAATCCTACGTTACATTAAAAGCACAATTTGTTTAACTTCAACATTCTGAACCAATCTCCCATTCTTCAGGCTAAGCAAGTGTTGCAAACACGTCTGACACCGTTAACTAAAGCCTATTCACAAGTATAAAGTTAAAGAAGAAACATTACAGAAGTCTTACAAGAACGGAACAAAAAAAAAATAAACACGGCTAAAGATGTTTTCGTTAAAAATAACTTATTTCTCGCTAATTCGTTTAGATGCCTTTTACATACTACCCTGAGGAAATTGTTGAGGGTAAGGATCTGCTGGAGGTTGTGCAGCCTGCTCCGTTGGAACCGGTGGAGGTTCTGAACCGCGAAAGAAACTAGTTTCTTTGTACAGAAACCAGCAGTTAAAACCCCACACAAACACATTCAGGAAACCAAAAATCTGAATGAAAAGAAATCAATATTATTAAAATATTAGTCAGTGAAAAGGATTATATTTGATTACCAAAGAAACGTATAGCTTAGCAAATTGTCCTGTCTCTATCTGTTCAACTGAACAGCTAGACTTGGGACATATGAGATGTTTTTCATTACCCGCTATAGTACTCGGATCAGAATAGTGTCTCAGCTACAGAAAAACATTTATCAAGTTTGATGACTGGAAAGAAACGATTAAATTTTTAAATACTTGAGTAAATTTGTCCGCCCAAGCCGATGAAGCTATCAACCATAATAAACACCAAATAACAGTTACGATTAAATCTATTAATGGTAATTTACGATCATCATCATAACGATCACTGGCAAAAGTATATATGCCAATCGATGCCAGAGAAATTAGAAATGCCATAACCCCAACAAACACGTAGAATTGAGAGGCGGCGGAAAAATTTCCATAAGGACCTGCTAACGTGTCATTACCTGCACATGGATTCAACTTCCAACTGTTGGTTGTCAAATCAAATGGATAAGATATTTTGACAGTAAAATCTATATCTCTCTTTGCGTTGTTTAAACACTTCACATGAGCACTAGTTCTAGTGGTCAATGATGTCGTTGTAGCGAAAGCAAGAATGGCCAAAACCTGTTAAGATTATTAGTTAATTGTATTTAAAATATATATATAAAGCTTTTTATATCAATCCTCTAGTTATCAATAATTCTTCCTTTGATATGCCAATATATCAATATAAAATACAATTTTACTAAAAAATAATAGCAAAACTATCACTTACAAATAGAAGAACTCTGATGAAACCCCGTGGTTCTTTCAAGGCTTCGATTTTGAGATTGTCTCTTATCTGTATCGGAATAATAAGAAGAAATCTTTAGGATCAAATTATGAACATTCTTCATTATCACATGACCATATGTGACTGAATTTTAAATTAATACCGTACAGAACACTATAGAGAATTAGTTAATATTTTAAAATGATTATCTAAGTCTGATATATTACCATATCCATAATTAAGCTGTATTTGTTGCAGAAGTTGGAGATAGCCAACGAAATTTAGTATTATGGCCGGTAATCTACTCTGATACAAACCGGAAGTTGTAACCTCGCAGTCAAAGCTATGACATATATTTACTGTCTAATTTTTTTCTTGGAGTACTTATATATTTTTTAGAAATAAAATTTTATTAAAATATCAATTATTTATGAATTTATTTTAACCAGTTTTCTCAGAGTTCTATTTTACTCCTTCACAACAACTTCCGTTTTGCGCTAGCTTGCATCATTGCCGAATAAAACAGTCGATTTAGTTAACAATTACTAGTTGTTCAAAAATGACTGACATTCAAGATCAAGTTTTGTCGATATTATCATCAAAGGATAATATAGATTCCTTAACATTGGCGTCTGCCTTGAATTTATCACATACCAAGATTGTTGGTGCACTGAAAAGTATCCATGCTTTTGGAAATATAATCGAAATGAGTCAACGCACTGAAAAAAGTTGGGAATTAACTGAAGAAGGCAAAAAAGTAGCCCAACATGGCAGCCATGAAGCCAGAGTTTTCAATGCTATCCCATCTGAAGGTGTTCGCAGAGAGGAACTCATGAAAACAGATGAAAATGCTAAGATCGGCTTTAGTAAAGCAATGAGCTGTGGTTGGATTACCTTAGACAAGGCAAAAGGATTAGTTTTGAAAAAGGTATATATGTTCTACCTAAAAAGCTTTCATCAAATTGATTCAAATAATTGTTATTTGCAGGTGGACTCAATTGAAGATACAACCAAGAACACGTGTGAGCTTGTCAACCAAAAGCAATTGTCAGATATTCCTGATGCAGTTATGAATGATTTAAAGAAACGAAAACTTGTTTCTCAGACCAGTGTCACCATATTTGATGTCAAAAAAGGATCGCAATTCACTTTAAAACTCGAGAAACCAGAGACAGACTTAACCGCTGATATGCTTATAAATGACGCCTGGAAAACGAAAAACTTTAAAAGTTATAACTTTAATGCACTTGGAATTATGCCACCAAGCGGTCATTTACATCCATTACTTAAAGTATTTTAAGTTTTAATTAAATTACTTTTTTTAATTAACCTACCATACTCATTGCTTACATAGGTCAGAACTGAATTTCGTCAAATTTTCTTGGAAATGGGATTCACAGAAATGCCAACAAATAATTGGGTTGAAAGTAGCTTTTGGAATTTTGACGCCCTCTTTCAACCACAACAACACCCTGCTCGTGACGCTCACGATACTTTCTTTATATCTGATCCAGCAAAATCTTTGAAACTGCCAACTGATTATCTTGAGCGTGTAAAGACTGTTCATTCAAAAGGAGGTTATGGATCACAGGGATATAAATATGATTGGAAAATAGAAGAGGCTCAAAAGAATTTATTAAGAACCCACACGACCGCAGTAAGCACTAGAATGCTTTACAAGTTAGCCCAACAAAAGGAATTCAAACCAGCAAAATATTTCTCGATAGACAGAGTGTTTAGGCATGAGCGAATTAACTTCTTACTAATATTATAAAAGAGTTTCTTTTCATATTATATAAATGATAAATGTTTAATATTTAACGATAGTAGAATAATCTAAGATTTAATTCGCCCATGTGCAGAAATGAATCAATAGACTCTACTCATTTAGCTGAATTTCATCAAGTTGAAGGATTAATCGCTGATAGAGATCTTACTTTGGGAAATCTAATGGGCGTTCTTAAGGAGTTCTTCTCAAAATTAGGAATAAAAAAATTGAGATTTAAGCCTGCCTATAACCCTTACACCGAACCTAGTATGGAAATTTTCGGTTATCACGATGGCCATAAGAAATGGGTCGAGATCGGAAATTCTGGCGTTTTTAGGCCGGAAATGTTGTTACCAATGGGTCTACCTAAGGACGTAAGTGTCATTGCATGGGGACTGTCTCTAGAACGACCCACCATGATAAAATATAAGATAGACAAAATTACCAAACTTTTTGGCCCAAAAGTTAGTCTGGCAGCAGTGTACAAAAATCCTATATGCCGGCTGGAGAAACAATAAAACTCTTAAAAATTTTCATTTGTTGAAATTAAAGCCTATACTTATGATTTGAATATATATTTAACGAGGTCGAAAGTCTAAGATGATTTTTATTTAAAAATTCTATATGGCAAAAAGCTAAGAAAACTATTAAAAGGTGGTATATTAATTATAAAATATAGCGAAAGATTCATAATATTTTCTGGGCTTCTACTCCCCCATTACTGCTTATAAAATGTCTTCGGCTTCATCACTCGTTGAAATCGTGACTCTTTGCTTCTCCTCTATTATACGATTTCTGTTTGATTTTCCTTTGTTTTTACTGAAGGATAATGATAAATATCTTTAAGCTATTTGTTTGGAGTGTGAACGCAAAATGATAAATCTTACTTTTTCCAGATGAGAAATAGAGTAGTTAATAGTATCAAAGTGAGAATAGCGCACAATATAGCGAGGATATAAACGTCTCTTCGTGGTGTCTCTGGAGCCATTGACCTCCTTGTCTTATAAAGATGCTTAACCTTTCCATCAACGAAGGGAATCAAACCTTCCCAAAATGCCACCTTCTCTCCACCGTATCTCAATTTGTTCTTCAACTCTCCTGTTCCACTATCTAGATAGAGATAATTCATCTTTGTGGGATCTAAAGAAGGCCAGAGGCTCTTGTTTGGAAATTGAAAGCGAGCAAAGTCAGTCCAAAGCTTCAGGAATCTATTTGAAAATGCAATATCATAATCTGTCGAGTTTAAACGCTCATCCCTTTCGTCGACTATTTGATCAGTGAAAGGTGTTCCGAAAACATAATTAAGTTCTACACTATGAAAACTTTTTCCAACTCTGTCGACGTAATAAAGGAAAACTCTATTTTCTCGTTTCTTCGATAATTCCTTTGCCATTGCAGATGTAGGTGCAGTAAGACCTGGTCCATTGACAAAATACTACTTTTGACGTGATTCTGTTGAAATTTAAATGGAAAAAAGGAACAAAATGTAATAACGTAACTTTGGTCAATTGTGAATATTTTGCCAATGACCTAAATCCGAAATAACGGAAGATCTATCATAGAGGTGCCTATCGTTAAAATCTCCTATTACACTCCAGTTTACATATTCGTATCTAATAATGTCGGGTACAAAAGAGTGAAAATAATCATTTAAAAAATCATCAATCCCTGTTGACATCTTCGTATCATCACTATCTGTATTGTTCTTTCCGAACTCTGTTCTAACAGTTCCGGTTATATACGGCACGTTTCCAGGTAGTTTATAAGCGGTTCGAATTAATTCGGGGATGTCGACTGGAAACATTTCATTCCCCGTTATTGGTTTAAAAATGGGATTGGCTACATTACACTTAACCTCCTTTAAATTATCACAGATACGATCATAGATTAAATTTCTCCAATCAACTTTTTTTAAGCAAGCCATGTCATCAAGAGAACAATTTAGATAGGCGCTGATTTTAGATGCTCTATTTATCAAATGCATCTTTGTCTCGAAATGAGAAGCCCAAAAAGCATTAGCTGTTCCACTTTGAGCTATAACTTTTTGGAAAATATTTTTCTTTCTAACGTAAGGCGATAAATACAATAATCCTACACTACTCCCACCGGCACTGCTTCCGAATATAGTTACTGAGTTTGGGTTACCACCAAAAGATGCAATATTCTCCTTTACCCATTCCAAGGCCATTACCTGATCATACAAACCGTAATTTCCCAGTAACCTATCGTCTCCGCTTGTCATAAATCCTAGAGCACCTAACCTGTAATTCATTGACACAAATACAACGCCAAGGGAAGCCAACACTGTTCCGTTTAATCGATTTCCGGTTCCATACAAGTAGGAACCCCCGTGGATGTAAACCATGACAGGATTCAGGACATTAGACTTAACTGTATAAACGTTTAAGCACAGACAGTCTTCATCTTGAAAATTTTTTGCTGTCATTCTGAAAACACCTTCTTGCTGGGGGCAGACATTACAGTACTTTGTAGCATTAAAAGTCTTTTGCGATTTCCAATCAAAAGCTTTAAGTTTTTGCTATAGAATAAAAAGAAAGAGTAAAGAATTAGAGGTAAAAGTAACATTTAAATAAAATGAATTATTTATAGTTCTAACGAAATAGATACTAAAAAACAACTTTTAATTAACATTATCAAAATATACAGAACTTCTTTACTTACCTGAAAGCGTTTATTTCCGACTGGCGCTTCTGAATAAGGTATTCCCAAATACTCTTCGATTTTATTGTAAATCCCTTAAGGAAAAATTATTACATTCTTGTAATTGTAGATATTTAAAAAGACAAAACTTACTACTTTCTACTCGCTTATCATTAAACTCTATTGATTTGCCGTGAATTGTTAGTCCATTTTTAAGTGTTACCACCTGGGTTCCTACTTCTACCAAAATGGACGAAGTTATCAATATTACTATATCTAAAAGGAATTGTATAGAGTTTAATAAAGTAAATATCAAGACAAACACTTTATATTTTCTTTCGTAACTTACCGAAAAGCATTTTCCTTACGACATTCAAGATTCCTTCAAAAATGCTTAAAGGTTCTTTACAACTTTCTATGTGAACTTTAATGGAAAAAGCTTTCAAAAACGTCCTTTCTCCTTCGCAGCGCAAAGTAGTAGGAAACTTAACATATTTCGAATTGTACACATAGGTGGCGTAGTTCAAAGATATAAAGAAATTTTTTTTATATATAAGTAGCTATTCTTTAAGCTAACCTGGATTTTGAAAAAGAGGAACTAACACTTTTTCAACGCCCCATTTTAATACTAGACGAATAAATACATTGAAATAAAATTTAATAAGCTGTAGTAGTAGTTTTTTTTACATCACCATGACCTTTTAATTGTAAAATATATGCTCTAACACGGTGAGGTTACAACTGAACTATTTAAAATTGTTATTATTAGTCTAATTTTATATTTCATTGAAAGTTTATAAATAAAAAAAATCTCCACTTTTTCAGGTTGAAAATTTCCCATTTTTTACTAAAACTGCAGATGTCAGCCCAATCAGTATGAATAAGATCTTTAAAGGCAAAGTTTTTCAATAATCTAAGATGAAATATTTATTGAAATAGAAAAGATATTTCTCTTTACTAAGGAAAAAGACGTTGAATTTTCCATCCAACTTTGGAAAGTCTAAAAACAAATCGATCGTGCAGACGGTCCGTTTGACCTTGCCAGAATTCAAACTCTTTAGGTACTAATCTGTATCCTCCCCTTAATCGAATAATCAATCATCACAGATAGAATTCTCATTGACCTAATTATACAATTTACCAGTAATCGGGCTTGGGTAATGTATCAATCTTTTCAAATCGTTTATTCAACTCATTTCTTCGTAACTCTAATAATTGTCGACTTTCAACAGGTAAACTTTGTTTTTCACTTACGTAAACTGATATTTGGCTATCTTTAGGCCTGCTTTGAAAATACTTTTCCGATGTATTCTTGTCAAGTTTCTCAACCTCACCATCTACTCTGACCTATAAAATTTAATAATCTTAGTAGTAATTAGTATTATGCGAAAATTATTATTAATGGGTATTATATGTTTTTACCGATCGCATTAAGGCGTCCCAATAGAAGCATAGACTTGCTTTGGGATTTTCCTCCTGATAAAAATTATCAAAGAGTTTTAGGCTATTACAAGGGATGAGTATTAATGATACGTTTAAAGATATAATCTTTATAATTTCCTTACCAATTCTTGAGCTTTTCTACTTTCATAATTCGTATAAAATAGAAAACCTCTATGGTCTATACCCTTTAGTAGAAGTATGCGGGAAGATGGTTTACCATTTCTGCATTAATTATAGAGATTTAGCTGTCAGTATCGATAAAAAGCAAACAAGATTAATCGAAGTATTTTACAGGCTACAAGTTGAGAGGCACATTGTATTTGCCTCATAAATTTTTGGACATTTAGCCGCTTCTTTAAACCAGCTATTAAACTGTTGAAAAGGATCAGTGGAAACAAATTGGTCTACGGATAAAGTGTCATCAGCAGATCTATAGCTCTTTCTCATATCTAAAAAGAATAATAACTACAAGTTAATGCAAGTTTTCTTTATAACCTATTAATTTAATGAATAATCCAAGGTTTTGAGGCCTTTTCCCTTTACCTGACAAGTCACTGGGTGGGAAATTGCATGCACCTCTATGTATACCAGGTTTTAACCAACTCAGTTTGAAAGAGCGTAGTTGAGTAAGAGAGCGTTGCATTATTCTCGACATTATACTTTTTTGTTATTCACTTGCTAGACGGAATAGCAAAAATTAGAATTTTGATAAGAGCGATTATCGTAAGAAGATAGCTAAAAAATAGTATATAAAGGCTAATACGCTTAAATAGTCAGTGAGAGTTTCTTTTATTTATCTAAAGATATAGTTATCAAGCAGTATAGAACATGTTATTGTTTCGGTGAAAATCCGGCTGTGACCAATTAAGAGGCTTTATAACTAGCTTGCTAAGTTCTCCCGCTGAGCTAATTTCGCGTTAAAAAAGGCTAAACTGCGGTGATATTACGACAATAGTATTCAGTCTTTTCCTAAACCCCTTCAACACATATCTAAAGGTACAGTTATCATGATACTATGGGTTCTTTATTCCAAAATAGCTGTCAAATATCACAATAACTTAACAGGTACGACATATTTTGGCATATTATGATCTCACTACTTATTATATGAATGAAACGTTTGGCTTAAGCGGAATTAAATTCAATATCTATTATGTAAAGAACAACACAAACAAGTCTTGAATTATTCAAGATAAATTGCATGGCAAAATGACAAAAAGGCCTACTGTAATCATGTTTAAGCCGTATTAAGAAGAGTTGGTTTACAGTAGTCGTTGCAGCCAAATAATGGAAACTTCTCGTGTTTCTTCAAGGTGAATTAGTAAAGTTTTTAATTTATCTAATCTTAAGACAGATTTCAAATGCCTCTTCATTAATTAATTTCAAGGACTAGACGTAATAGTTACTGGTTTAAAGATAGTCCTGCGGCTGGACTTTATGATATAACCAATTGCACGACTAATATGATCTTACTTAATATTCGCCATGGAAAGGTTCGAATAATGAACCTCCTTGTTAGCCATTCTTATCTTTGTTTTTTTCTTTAGAGTGGTAGATTGAGAGGACTTGGAACTCCGCGCGATCCGATTGTATCACCTACTCCTGATAGGCATTTCTCACCCACTCAATCAAGTTACGAAAGACATAGAACATGTTTATTGGACTATAGTCCTTTCGGAAAGCAAACAATTAATTTTTCATCTTTGAATAGATATACGGTAAAGAAATATTTAAAACTTTGACACAATATAGTCATGTATAATTTGACCAACGTAAAACATTAATCAACAATATAAATATATGAAAATAAGAGAATAAAATCAAAAATATATTATTTATTGATAAATTTCAGACGAAATTACCAGAGATAAAACGTTGAATAAAACTATTCAAAAAGTTGATTTATTGGCTGTGAAAAATAAAAGAAAGTACAAAAGGGGAAAAATAACACTTTTTTAAAAAGTTGCTTTCTACATTTGCACTTTGGTTTTTCACACTTTTGGATTTTATGCACTTCTGTTCTATTTATTTACAACTTTAATGCTTATTTCAATAAAAACCTTGACAAAATGTTATAACTTGATTTTCAATATTGGCTTAATTCTGAAGAAAGAGGAAACAAATGCTTTTTTTAAAATGCTGCAAAGTTTGCCCTCAAGGATGATAAAATATAAATTGAGAATGTTATCTGTCAGAGATATGATAATTGTTGGTTGCCTAGTTGTATTTGATTATATACAGGCTCGCAAATGTGGAATACAACAACTTCTTGTTTATTAATATTTCCAAAACAAACTTATTATAAAGTCGCTATTTACAACAATAAATTTGTTGTAAACATCAACTACTGCAAGAATAATCATCATTATTCTCTTTCTCTTATCTTTTAGATAATATGGTTGTTATGATAGCAGAGTAACGACAAAAAGTACCACAATTAATCATTTATATATTAATGAGAACATCTGATACATCTGCGTATTGTTTATAAAGCGAAAGAGTAAAGAGAGAGAGAGAGAGAGAGAGAATCCGTATACAAATATCCATTCCTACGAATTTAAATAGGAAAATACGAAGAAAATATCATTTTCAATCAGTAGTTAGAAAGTAAATAAATAGTATCGCCTTCCAGGAGGAACTTTAAAGAGTTGTTCGTTGTAAAATATTTTATAGTACAATTTACAAACACTGTTCTTTCGATTCTTGTTAAAAAACGCAAATAAACAGTTGGTTCTTTTCACACATTCCAATAAGCACTGAGCTTTGCATGTATTTTTCTTCTGATAAATTTTTCCATAGTTTTTACTTATACCAAAATGTTCTGAAAATTTAAGTAAACCAGCTCGAAAATTATCTAAAATAAAGAATAAAACTTAATATATAAAGTATTGATTGATTACTTTTAATAGGCTTTTTATTATATTGTTTTAAAGCTGTAATACCTTTGAGAGTTGTTAAGTTTAATCGATTGGATGATACTATGATATGTAAAGGTGTATCATTGACGCATATGAACGGATGTTGAACTTGCTTCACACTCCATGAGAGCAGAATAGAACCCTTGTTCAGAGTAAGGCCGCCCCTCGAATTGGTAATATTAACTAACTTACCATTTAAAAATTGTGGAAGAGGTTTAAGAGCATTATCAAGAAACGTTCCATACGTTCCTTTTTCTCTTACTGTAAAATGTAATTGATTAGTTTTATACTGTTTTATACCTAGTTAGATGCATAAACGATACTTACGTTGAAATTCCAAAAGATTGTTATAATTGGACCACACATCTGAGGCTTTTAGATTTGATAAATCTCTTGTAAAATTAGATAAAATTTCAAATTCCTCTTCAGATTCAAAAGTGGCTAATGTCTTATTCATATCAATGCATACTTCGTTTGCTTGTCTCATAAATCAAAGATAAGAATAATGTTATCCCGCCCCTCTTTTAATCTAGTTTTTAATTTAATCTATCAGAAAATAGCATTTTACCATGTAAAAGAGTCATTATAAAACTCGAATAGTCGAAATTTTATTTGTATACTTGCAAGAAGAGTTAAAGGATAAACTGTATTATTCTTCAATATAAGTGAAAAGCTAATTAACACAAGTATACCAGGAAGGTACATGCTGGGGAAACACACAAAGTCAATTGGAAAAAAATCTTATTAATAAGCTAATTTATATCCGCACCAAAATATTTTACATAATTCTTTTATGTTGCAAAAATATTAAGCCTTTTTCGATATGAGACTTCTTTGTGCTTACGGGAAAAACACAGATAATTAGGCTTCATTCTTGTTGGAAAACATAGAATTTCTATAGAATAAGCCAATAGTCTAATAGATTTTAGTATTTCCTCAGAGATATTCTTCATCTTTGAATCTTTTGAATAGAGAATGACGAAAATAGTTAATGGGAGAATTTATCTTGACTTGTTCAGTGTTTTCCCATCTTGTATACCCTCTAATTTCATATAAATAGTATCTAATATTATTATCACATCTATTTTTTAAAACAAAGGGGAAATATACGTAATAAACTGCTACAAAATAAATTAGAGCTAATTGAATTTGATTTGAACAGATTTCTCTTTTAAATCGATCAGTATTGGCTCACTTTGGCCAACATATCCGAATTGTATATGTAACATACATAGCTTTTGCGGTTCACATAATAAAATGTTTCCGGTTTGGGACTTACTCGCTTGTTATGGAATTGTTCTGACATTTCTTACAACAATATGGTTCATTCGACATATCTGGAAATATCTTAGGAGTTTTATGTGCCCAAAAAAATTTAACTTTCTCGAAACTGGAAAATGGGCAGGTAAAAAGAGAATAATTTTTTTCATCATATTTCATTCATCTCTCTAGCTTTTCTTTTTTATCCTTTTCTTAATATTCCCTTTTCGTTTGTTTAATCAATTACAGGAGATATATGATGTATATCTCGGTAACTTAAGCTTAATATACAAAGCTTCGTCAATGCACTTTAAAGCCGTTTTTTGTTACTTTTACAGTTGTAACTGGGGCTACTGACGGTATAGGTAAAGAATACGCTTTGAATGTAAGTTTCTTTTAAGTAGAAAATTAATTTTAAACCAAAATCTATTAAAAAATTTATTGTGGTAACTCTTATTAAAATCACTATTAATTGGCACAGTTAGCGAAAAGAGGAATGAACATCTGTCTGATCAGCCGTAATGAAACGAAATTAGCAAGTGTTGCAGATGATATCAGTAATGTTTTTCAATTTGAGCTTCTGCTACAAGAGTCTGTCCGTAATGAACAATGTGAATTTTCTCAATTATTATTGAAATTTTCCAAACAAAAGAAGTATATTTTTAAAGAATCCAACTGTAAATTTAGTTAATTTATTACGGATAGCTTCTTGAAAAAGATTTCATCTTTTTAAATATCAAAATTCGTATCAGAATAATTAAAATATTGCTATTGATCTAAACAGGTAGACGTCACGAAGTGAAAACGTCAATAATAGCAGTTGATTTCTTTGACATAACCGAAAAAATTTATGAAGATATCTCTCTGCAATTGGAAAATTTGGATATTGGAGTTCTTGTTAATAACGTGGGTGCAACTCATGATCAACAGTATTTTCATGAAATTAAGAGTAGAACCTCTATAAGAAATATCGTTCTCTGCAATATATTTCCGCCAATTATGCTCACTCATATGGTCTTGCCAAAAATGATTGAGAAGAAAAGTGGAGTTATTGTAAACATCTCCTCTATAGTAGCTTGCCATCCGCATCCATTCATTGCTATATATACTGCTTCAAAGGCTTTTGTCGATCTTTTCTCTAGGTCAATTCGCGAAGAAGTTAAATCGTATGGTATAACTGTTCAGACTGTTCTACCATCATTTATTAGTACAAAACTTATCGGAAACGCTAGACCAAGAAGACTTATACCAAAGGCATATGAATATGTTGGCTCAGCTATCAAGACTGTAGGAAATGAAAGTCGAACTTATGGATACTGGAGTCATGCTTTACTGGCCTATTTAATAGACTATGTTCCCGTTACCTTTCACCCATCTTCCTTTGTTAGTCCAATGATAAGTGTGAGGAAAAAACTATTGAAAATGAAGAAACGCTAAAATACTGATAGTCACGATGCGATCATTTTATTTTTATTAATCATCAATAAAACTATAAATAGAATATAAACCAATAACAAATGTTTCCGTGTTTTTCGACATTTGATTAGTTCAATTAATGGCACGTGGTGTCTCCACTGTTCGGGTAGATTAGCTATGCCCTCTACCGCCGTCTGCAACAACTCTCTAAGGAATAATTAAGAAGAAATTGTATGGAAAGTAAGTCTAAAATAGGCCTTTAATCGTCCACATATGAGCCTACTTATAGCCAAATCAAAAACGAAAGCAAGAGAAAATCGTCCGACTTTGGCGTGCGCCGTCTCTAACTTCCGGCCCAAACGACGCCCGGAAACGTGTGACATGGCGTCTACGCACGCTACGACATCCTGTCGACAGTAAATTGTGTCCGATGACGTCTAATTGGCGCCGTCGCTATTGTACGCCCGTCAACAGGTGCTCAGAGACTCCCGGCGTAAGTCACGTGACACGTGGAACTTGGCTCTCTTCTGTTCTAATGGACGTTAGCTGTGGGCGGTCTTGATAAAATTAAAGAGTTTATCGATAGATGGCGTATAATATATAACCCAAAAAGAGTTTTTTTTTTTTTGCAGCTTAGAATTTTTGTCTCGAGCAAAAAAATATTTTTTAGATAAAACAAAAATGTAAATTTCAACAAAAGAAAGATAAAAAAGTTGAAAAAAAAGTGATTGAGAGTGAGGAAGAGAAGTGTGGATGAAAAAGTTGAGAGAGGAAAATGAGCAGAAGATAGGAACTGGAATTGAGAGGAAGGTAGGGAAGAAAGAAACCGATAGAGAAAGTAATAGATAGATAGATAGACAGATATACAGGCAGAGGGGGAAAGAGTAAACTAGTAGAATTAGAATAAAAGGATGAAGAAAAATTAAAAAGAACGAATAAATAGAAAATTAGGAAATAGGAGAAAATAGAAACAAAAGATTTTATATTTTTTAAAAGCTGGAGGAAAAGTATGAGTTATTTTTACAGAAAAATGTTTTAACGAGATAATAATAAGCTAAATGCAATAGATCTTAGTGCCTACACGCACTTTTAATAATTTACATATAATTATGTAATTGAATAAGCAAATACTACTTTTAATGTAGATATCTCACTTCTTGGAGAATATTGAACAAGCTTGTAAAAAATTAAGAAAGTCAAACTAAATAATAATAGCATTTAGTTTGTGAATAGAATATACTGATTTTATCCTCAGCTTGATATGTCTGATACTGTTAATTAATTTTTTTCTTAAGAATACCTTCTTTCTCTCCTTATATAGACTGGTTAATTATATAGGAAGCCTCTGGCATCTACCCTACGTTTGGAATAGCAGCTGAAGGCGATCATTTATTTATTCCAACTCCCCGGAAATCGCGTAAGCGTCGCCATTCTGTCGACTTTGCGTTGAAAGTCTTCTTCCATTTCCAATCTCGTATAGACGCTTTTTACCTGAGGGTCATCGAGCATCAATCCATTTTTTACTCTACTTTTTATAGAAATTCGACTTATACGACTTTCAACTGACCTTTGATAACCTCTTAGACAATTTTAAATTATCCTTTTCAATTCGTTTCTCTTCCGCTATCTTCTCTAAACGTCTTTGCTCTTGTCTTTTTTCCCTTTTCCGTCTCTCCGCTTCATTTCCTCGTAAGTCATATTGTTTGGTAGAGGCAAGAATCTTTGCCACTTTTTCTAATAATTTTCTATTTTCTTCTTCTAACTGTTTCATCGTTTCCCTTCGAAATCTGGCCTTGTCAACAAAATCCAGAGCCTTGCCATTTATCCTTGGAGGAGTATTGTCAATTCTTGATTTCATTACTATTTCATGTCTATTTGATCTTTTAGTAAACATAGCTGAGAACTTGTTATTCTTTTCCAAAAAATTTTAAACGAACCTTCATATCATCAATTATTTAAATAACAAGGGTAAGATAGACGTTTAAAACTAGATGCTTGAACTGATGAAACGGACGATAACTAGCTTCATTCTTACTTTGCCTCCGGCTTGTTAAATATATAAGCAGAAAAAGAGAGATAAACGCATAGAGGGAAAGAGAGAGAGAGAGACAGGTTGAGTACAGATGTGGCATCGTCCATTAGAGTAATTTTCAATTAACCGCATGAAAGCTACAACTAAATATAATGATATTTTTTATCGTCTAGAACGAAGTTTCGGTCATTTAACGCCGGATGCCCGCCCAAGAATTTTCAGGAAGAGTAACCTGATCGAAATTCCAGTTGGGTGGTAATAATAGTAATAAAACTACTAATGGAAAGAGCTATAACAATATTTCGAGGAGAAAACCGTTTATGCTCCTGGTAATAACTTTTAGCAATTACGTTTGTGTAGTACATAATTACAAATAAGAAATTGTATTGATTATGATTACTTAATTAATTACTTTAGATAAAAAAAATGAGAAAGTCTTCTATTAGTCGTTTTAAGTAAGAGAATAAAGGGAAACACTACTAATTTTGCTGTTTTGCATTATAGTACAGTTCGTGAAATGCGTTTAAATAAGATCACGCTTCAGAGATATATTTTGCATATGGCTCTATGATCTAAGGGTTCGTAATTTGTGCAATCGTGGCACACTGATTTATGCACACATACTTATGCAATATGTATTTATGGAAACAATAATAAAAATAAATATAGGCGGATATTTAAGGAAGAAAGAAGCAAGGGAACCTTTGACGATTGACTACTGTGAACAACCAGATCTAATAATGCTTTGATCCTACTATAGAGCGTAAAAGAATTACGCATTCGTACTTTTACAGTGTGAAACTGTCGTAACCTTGTCTCTTTTTTTGCCAGCTCGGTTAATTTATATACGAATACATGAAGAAAAATGAAAAACTCATCAATTTGTCATTTAGAGGCCAAGTTTTATATCAAAATTATCATAACTAATGATGCAATCAGAGTTGGCTTTGGATTTATATTCATATTACAAGTTTGACAATTTGATATCGAAACGAGAAAATATGATATATTGGCTAATAGCTAGACAAAAGAAAAGAGTATCGCGAAAGAAAATCGAAGGACGAATCGTTCCCAGAGAGAAGTGGAATTAAAAATGGGAATTGGACAGCAAAAGGAAAAAATAGACAGAGAGAAACAGAAATAAAGGGACAATTAGCCGCAAATATACGGTAGTTGCCGTGAGTTGCCTGGCAACACTTTTAACGCGACTCGCACATAAAATACAACAATTAACCCCTACATCAATACAGCACGGTACTCAAAGCTAAACTGTATAATTGCGTCTTGCACAAAGCGTCGAAGCGGCGTGTATATGAAATCTCTATTACATAATGTATCGTCTCGAGTAGCTCTCTAATCACGCTCTTTGAAAGATGAGAACATCGAAGCAGCCATGCGAAAATCACTTTATCTAAACGCATTATCAATATTTCCTCCTTTCAACAAAGCCGAATTTCCCTCTTTTATTAAAGGGAAGAAAAAATCGTATATCCTCTCTTTCAACAATAGGAATGAATGGAAAAAAGAAAAGGGTAGGGCTCTGTTGAAGAAAAGCACTCTCCATATCCTCCTTATCTCTATAAAGCATTTTATACAGAGACGACCTACAAGTGTCTTTTTTCTCCGTGCTGATAAACACGACAAATGGCGTTGCTTTTTTACCTTTATTGATAAATTAGTCTATTTCTGTCATTTCATTAAGTTTCCTTTTTTTTATCTTTCGATTAAAATTTTTTGTGAGATCCTCTTTTCTTAAATTTTACCTAATCTAGACAGGCGTTGTAATGTGAGTTATGTTCTGAGCAATAGATGGCATCAGTAGCGCTGAAGTGGAGTTAATCACTGTTGACCCGACCCTATGATGACGTATGGCAGTAATTTGTAGTGAAACTTCCTCATCAGTCATTAACTTTCCAAATGTCCTTGTATGCTAAAGTAAACACATTAATATCCGTCCGGCTACCGGCTATTAATAAGCTTATTTGCCGTCAATAAAGATAAGGCCGTCGAATGCTGTCGCCTCTTCTTTACGCTTGACTCTCCTTGCTAAATAGGAAACGATTTGAAAGTGATTGACAGTGTTCAATGGCGGATTTACTTGCATAATGTATTGCATCACAGGTGTAGGGTGTTATGATTGCTAGTGGCTATTCAACACAAATGTTGTCTTTTGTATTTGGGTTTTTTTTAATTGTAGTCGTTCTACGCATGTCAACTAGACGCTTTAGGCTATTGGAAACTCTTAAATATGGAGTATTCGGTTACACTATCTATTCAATTAGTTTTAAATTCGTGAAAAATAGTAATTCTTCTTTCGTTCCAATGATTCTAATTCCTTCCAATTTCTTTCAATTTCTTACATTGCGCAATAGACACGCAACTGACATTGATGCTATCATAAATTAGATGCTGTAATGGCCATTGTAGTTATTAGAGTCTATAAGAATTATAAAGGATACATATTTCAAATTTCCATAATTAGATCGCCAGATGGCGGCGAAATTTTCACTGCTAAAAATGATATTGCATGTACAAAAAAAAGAAAACGTTATTGAGAGAAGCACAAGTTAATTTAGGCCTAATGTCATCGGATTTAGCGAACGGAAAAAGGATGAATGAATGGACGGATGGACGGACGGACGAATGAATGGATAGACAGATTGGTGTTTAGAGAAAGGAGGCATAGAGAGCCAATGAGCAACGAGCGCCTAGTCCTTCAAAATAGGCCTTTTACATCTCTTGGAGCTTTTATGAATATAGTAAATTGTTGCATGTTCCCATTTCCTAAGCGGAAACCAGTCTATTGATCCGGAAATGGGCGCCCTCTTTACTGTAATCACTTTACAAGAGTTCAAGAGCAGTTGCTTTGGAAAATTAATAGGAGATTTCTAAAAGACTCATCAAAGCTATAACTAAACGCCGTGTATTTCAGCGGGCAATCCCAGGAGACTACTCCATCAAGAGCGCATTTACTCCACTCCCTTTCATCCGCTCAATTTATATGCGATCATCGCTATAAATCGCAGTTTGCCACTTTTTTAAAGGAGCCAAGACGAGAAAAAAAGGAAAATATTGTAATTCTGCCCTTTAATTAAAGTATTCATAACGCATGCATACATAAATATAACCATTCTTAGTATACATTATATTACATTGTTGAGAATAGTACATTTTAAATTGTATCCGTTGATTTCTAAAGAAAACATAAAATCTCAGTTTGACGTTGTCCAATTCTCATATAATATATGCATTCACCCGTGAGCATGCATGCTTGCATGCATCCATAAATTTATTTGTTTCCAGTTTACACACATACTTACTTTTGTGCATTACCTTTTATATGTTTTATATTCTAATCTATATTATATCTATATAAATATATATATACTGTATATGATATATATATATATATATATATGTATATCCTAAATATATATTTATTTAGATGCATCTCAGTAATTGGACTAATGAAAACAGTTGACGATCTAAATTAAGATTAAATGCATTATGATAAAAGAAAACTTCACAATGCGCCATACTATTGAATAGATAGTCTATAAACGTCAAATAGAAATTAATATATATAAATAATATTAAATAGTTACAACGTAAATATTATTCATTTAAGATTTGATTGATCCGGAAATTAATTGACAAAATGTAAAAAAAAAATCCCATCATTTCGAAAAACAACAAGTTAATTCATTCATTTTTAAGGATTTAGTAAACGGATCATCTACAGCGAAAAAAAACCCCAGAATACAAACATAAGTCAATTTACGTATCCTACTAAATAGCTTAATAAAAAATACGACTTAAAAGAGGAGAGCATCCAACGTCCTCTAATGGAAGACTTAATTGAAACATATATAAGATTTCGAACCAATCGATTTATATCTACAATTATGTACTTGGGCACGTGGCAACAGTATACATTAAGACTGACTTCCGCTTAACAAGTTCTCCCGTAACAGCAATACTGCGCAATAGACGAGTAATAAAGAAAAATCACGTGACATATTATATAAAAGCTAACAACAATGAAGGGTGAATAATAATGGCGGTGTAATGAAGCTTGTAATTGCTTGCTCCGCGTTGAAATGGGTGAAAGAAGATCAAAAGTCCCCCGAGAAAGGTGGGATGAAGTTAAGTATTAGTGAAATAGAGAGAAGCTTAGGGAATTTTTTATGGTCGACCCCAACGATTTACAAAATACACTGTCTATATACAAAACTGTACCCTCCCTCGAACACCTCCTTGTTTTAAAACTACTTTTGCTTCTCGTCCAATCATTATTCGTCTCTCCGCCACCAATTGTTTACAGAGAGACATTCGTTTTATTGAAGCGCCCTCTATTCAGACCGCAAAGCTCTCCCAATTATAGAAAACATGGAAATCACTAGAAACATGAAACTAGCGTCCGCCTCTCAGGATAATAAAGAGGCGATTAAAAGTACTCTAGACGCCATTAAGAGCGTCGTAAATAATTGAATAGTGAAAAATCACGGCGCCTGCATAAAGAGTGCCGGGGAGGAAGGGTAAAAAGGGGAGGGAAGTACTAAAAAGTAGGAGGGAATCGGATTTAAATGAGTGTTTATCATAAAAGAAAAATAGTTAGGAGGAAAGAAAAGTAAATTGTTAACAAATAGGAAGGAGACAAAGTAAAAGAGGATACAAAATTTCTTCGAATAAGCCAGAGGCATTTAATGCGGGAACAGGATAAGGATACAGGGGCTGTAAGGGCAGAAAGGTTGCAAAAGGAAAGAATCTTTAAGAAAAGTATAAAAATAAATTTGAAAAATATGACGGCACCAGCACGAAGGGCGTAGAGAAGAGAAAAGTGGGGGCAGAGCCTGAGGCGTTTGGCGTTTAGATAATTGAGTATAGTAGGTATAGAGAAGAGAGAGAAATTTTCAAGCAATTGGCTGCCGCTCTGTAATTGGCCGTTTCGGAGCGCGACGCTCGTTAATGGCTGTAATATGATATGGGTGACGCTCGGGCGACGCCTGCATAGTGGAATTAGGTCGGGAAACATTCAAAGGATTGTGTCTGAGATCACTATCTATAAGCTTCGATCTCTTAATGGCCGATTAGCGGATTATTAAATAATTTTTTTTCAATAGATAACTGTCAATTTTGTCTGGTTGAGTAATTTCAACAAGTATTTATTTATGGAAGCTTAATACCAAGGGAGACAGCCCAGGCTTTCCATTCTTCTTTATTAACTATTATAATCATCTATTATATGAACTATAGAATTGATGTGTGCGTATTGTACCTAATACATTAAATGTGCATACAGTAATTTACATAGCCTATATTTCTTAGTATTTACGTATATCATTTCTCCTTCATTCTCATCTCATATTACATACTATTAATATTTTCTAATTGTTCTCATCCTTTTTCCTCATATCTATAATATTATTAATATAATATTAATAATAATATTATAATATATATCATCATTACTCTGCTCTTCGTTTCGTATTATTTATTTATACATAAGATAGGGAGCATGGTGTTAGCTTTAGAAGAAAGAACACACGCTTGCTCCTACCGCACCATCAAAAAATTATTCTGTAATTGAACGGCCATATTTCACGGCTAATCGCTTATGACCGAATCGCAGCGTCTAATGGACGCCGCCGACGCGGGCGCACGCCCGCTTCATTCCGTTCTATTAGGCGTTGATGGCGACGGCGGGCATCCAATCAGTCTCGAGGGCCGCATTCCAGCCCGACCTACGGCCCTATTTTATCCACATAACGCCCCCTAGCGGACGCCTTTCAATCTGTTAATGTTTTTCTTTTGTAATCAAAGATTTACGCTTACGAAAGAGCAAAAAGAGGGCTTTTTATATCTTGATTTTGTTTCATAAACATGAAAATATATCCGTCAGTAAATAAAAGATTTAATGAGTGCATACGTTCTACATTTTTGGCGTCTAGTTTATAAAGACGGTAATAAATCAAGTAGAATGAAATGGGGGTGTAGGGGAGATAGTCAATATAGAAGAAGTACTGCATATATATTATATTGTTGAGGAAAGGAAGAGCAGAGAGTGTGACAGGAGAGCATTTCGTATAAATGTTATAATTAGGCAAAGATTATCCCCTCTAATCCACTTCCATTTGATTACTGCTAATCCCTTGTTCTACCGCTTGTTGCGTGTTGAGTGCTTTCGAGGGCTGTCTACAATATTATAAAGTATACATTATTCCATACTCCTAAACCTTATAGAGATTTAAGTAGAATATGCTCACAGTATAGTGTGCCTTGCATCGTACATGAATATAGCTTTTATTAGATATAATGTAACCTGATTACTCGTAACGCCCGCTTTCAAGGCACAAACGTAATTTTATTTCTGGCTCACTGCTTATCAAACAAAACTTTTTGCAGCTCTATAAAGCCCATATAATTTCATGCTCCATCAACAGCAGGCCAACCGCAAAGCTGCAAAACGCTTCCCTAATTAGGCGTCCGTCTCGGATTATCCGAGCTCACTAATCCTTTTGCGGCGTTTGACAGCCGACTTGGAAAAGCTCGGTAATTACATTGATTGTCATATGTCGAAAGAATAACTTATGCGGTAGATTTTATGGTGGGTGAGGGGCGGAGGAAAAGTAAAATTTATCCATGATTAATTTTATAACAATCTTCCTTTCTATTGAAAAAGTGTAGGAGTTAAGAGTGATTGTCCCTCCCAGTCTTTACCCTAATAAAGCTATCTATTAAAACTATCCATATTACAAAATATAATTGTGCACAGAAGAGAATTTCATGTTAAAAACAGATTAAAGTGCATTGTACCGTCTCTCCCAGACTCTGTCGCTCGCGGCATCTCTTTGAAGGTAGAAACAGCAAGTTTTATAGTAACTAAAAAAATTGTTGCGGTAAACGACAGCTCTTAAGCTATATAACAAAGATTGAGAGCGTTTGCATAGATCAAAGCATTTAATTAACAGCGCGGAAATGGCGTTAAGATGGAGACGCTCTTTGATTGATGCAATACTAGACGGCGTCGCGTGCTTGACCGAATTGGAGAAAAAGTCGAGTGCTTCTTTTATTCTTTCTTTTTCCAGACTTTCAATCTCTTACTTTTCTCTTTTGGCAAGAAATTAATCTATCGCTCTTTCCAATCCCATTTAATAAACAAAGACTGTTGACAAACAACAATCTATTGAGCGACCGTCAAATTTAATAACGAATGGCTAAGCCTATTTTTAATCCTTTCAGTTTGAAAAATGTAATAATAAGCTACTTACTATTCTCACATCAAAATTATTTATCTTGTTAGTAAAATGCGTGGTTATTGCATGGAATGAAGACCATGCTATTTCAACTCTTTGTACAAATGAATCCGGATACAGATGACTAGGAGAAGTTTTCCACTTTTATTAAAATATTTAATATCGAATTGCAGTATTACGTTCTAAAATACATTTGTGCATTTGAATTAGTTTTTACTTTTATTGCCTGCACCTAAATTAAAAAGCAACTAAATTTGTTGTTTGGAAGAATCAATATTATCGCTTGCATCTGACCTACTGCGCATGCGTACACTAGGATAAAACGCTAAGCGTAAACTCGTGTGTGCGGCAGGGGGGCGGCAGGTGGGTACGAATTAAATGGCGGCTCCGAGCAATTTTTACACAAATTTATTATGATTATATTTACACTGATACCCACAAACTCATCGACAGAAAAATTGGGATGAAAGAACAGCAGAATATCTTTTCCCTTCTTTTACACCATCCAACCAATTACAGATTTAGTAGAGCAATTAGAATCGCGTGACTTATCTATACGCTCTCTTTCACCCACAAAAACATTATGACTAGATAAACAAAAAGAAAAATTAGTTTACAATTGTTCATCTCTCTAGTGCATGACAGTCAAACTATCGACGGTAAGCTGGGCCGTAAGGCCGAGGTATAGGCCTGCACCATAGGAGGGTAGTAAAGGGGAAAGGAGACAGCTTGGGGGGAGTCTGATGGTGAGGAATTCGAGGCTGTAGTTTGAGATTCACTAGTAGTTGGGTGTCCAGTATGAGGAGGGTAGAGGACGGGGACGCGAACCAGTCTGTGGGCTGCTTGTGCCATGTTGGCCGCTTCCATTTCGGCGGCTAATTGTCGCTTCCATTTATTTCTTCGGTTCTGTCCAGCAAATTCAAATTCAATTAATTAAGTTTTCGCACTACTTAGAGAGAAAAGAGTTTCTTTGCACAGATTTTCTCTTAGCTTATGTTGCCTTAGCAACAACATTTATACTATAATACGATTGCTTTAAGAATACATACAAATTATATATACAGTATTTTGTCTACATATTTAGCTTGTACTAGATAGGGCTTAGGTTGTATGGGTAACATTTTAACAGACTACGATTTATTACCTGGAACCAGATCTTGACTTGAGTTTCTGTTAGGTGCAATGACGCAGCTAATCCAGCTCTTTCGGACGAACTTAAGTACCTCTTCATGTCGAAAGTACTCTCCAATTGAAACACTTGACTTCTGGAGAAAACAGTCCTTGTTTTCTTCTTCCTCCTCTTGTTGTCGTCAATACTTGAGGACTGATTGCTCTTTTCCTGATTATCGTCATCTTGAACATCAATCTCCTCTTCTTCGAGGAGACTCTCTACTGGGGAAGGGCTTCTTGCAGCAGGCTGCTGAACTGGCGAGCCTATAAATGAACAATAATGAATGAAATTGGAATAAGATTGATGCAGAGAAACTGTTTAGTGCGCGTGCATGTGTGGGTGTTTTTCAAAGAGCTTTTCATTTTTTTTCAAATGGAACGCCTCTCGATATTTTTTCCGAAATGAGAAGCCATTTAACAAAATTTGATTAAACCCCTGACAAAGCGCCAATTGCACCAAAAAAGGGCAAAGTAATGCGTTGCACTTATATAAATTGCGGCAAGCGTCGAGCCTCAAAGGCCTATAGGCGCTCCCCGCCTTGAAGATCATCAAAAAATTTCTTTACTCATTTTCTACAATGAAGCTAAGCAGAAAAAAAGATTAAAGACGGATTTAAGTGCACGACTCTTAATTATATCGCAGGTGGGGTGGCGTTTTATAATGGCGTCAATTTTCCAGTAGCGTTTTTTTTCACTTGTTTGCTTCATTTATATGCTTTGGAGTATAGAAAAACTTTCACAGCAGCCATGCGACTACCCATTGAGTTGATAACTGGTTTACGGCATGCTTGAATTTAAACCACAATAGGTGATCAAGACCCTACCTGCGCCCTTTATACACTAATCATTTGCTACCAACAACTATATTCTTTACATTATAAATCCCCAAAGTAGGTTTAATTTGTAGAGGAGAAAACGAATAAATTGGGAATTTGTACGTGACTCTCAAGGCAAGTCTTTTGTCCCTATGCCAATAACACAATTAATTGGTTTATTCACACTATGAAGTCGTGTAACATCATGTTGAGTTAATAGACATCGCCAACCTATTTCTACTTCCTAAAATAAAAGTACTAAATTATTTTCTCTTGAAAGGTAAGTGACAAAAAGAAAAGTTCCTTTTACTTTTTTTTTAAATGCAGCTTGCACAAAATATCTTAAAAAGCTTAATTACGAATTACTTTACAAAGAATACTATTTATCTTACTTGATCTCTTTTGAAGAATTCTTTCCAACTGACTTTTAACTATTCGCTTTATTTGTTTCTCCCTCTCTCTCTCTCTCTCTCCCTCTCTCTCATACACACACACACACACACACACACACACACACACACACACACACACACACACACACACACACACACACTCACCTTCTCTCTCTCATTTAATATTTTAAAATTCATTCACCATTGCACCATGATGACTATTTTATACCTTTGAATAATCACGTTATGTTTTCATATTCAGTGCTATTTTGTTGGCAAACAATTGATTATTCTCTGATTAATGGCACTTTAAGCTTCAGTTATGCAGATTATGGATTCTAACATAAGTAGTTTTATTCGATCATATATTAACATATATATGCATATAGATGAGATATATCAATTAATACTGTCGTTTGTCTAAATGGAAGACCTACTTAAATGATAAATTTAATAAAAGAAATAAGTAATGAGCCTATCATTATTTTCTTTCTGGTAGGGTACTGCTAAATGAGTAATGAAAATTACTTATAATATTTAAAGTGTAGGCACAAAGAACAGTCAATAGCATAATTGAAAGAATAAACTCTGCTTCACACCAATCACGTGACATCCTACAGAGTTAATAAACGCCCTTATAAGATCGCGAGAGTGCGAAAGTTTATACCACAAATCACAGCTGGCCCCCCACCTTTAGAAATCGAAAAAATTCTCCCTCACTTCAAGACGCCCAACAGAGCACTAAAAGCTCCATTCACCTAAGCGATTAACGCCAATAAAGACATAATTAAATCAAGAGAGGAAAAAAAGAACTGCTTGAACAAAAAAAAACTAGAGATGAAAAAAAAAATGCAAAGGAAAAAAATGCAGGTGGTGCACGGCCGGTAGGGTAGCGAGATAATGAGCGGCGCGTGCGGACAGGTGCGCTAAAGGTGCGCCTTTGTGTGTATACATTTATACATATACATACAATGTATACACTTGACGCTAACTAAGTGTGGAAGAAAAGCTCTTTGACACTGTTTCTTTTCTATTGACGTATTAAAATAATTGGCAGAGATTAGTATGGATATAAACAGGCAAATAGCAAGCCGATTTGACAAACAATCGTTAGGAAAATGCTACTTTTTCACATTTAGATTGTCTGGTACAGTATCTTGCACCCTCCACGCTTCATGCTCTTTTCCCTCTAATATTCTCCAACTCTGTTCTTTTCATCGCACTCATAAATTGCATATATACTCGCCCTTAGTCTATAAATACGCCTATAAATAAACTGATATACCTCACGTTCTTTTCCCTCAACTGTTTCAATTATTATAATTATCCTTCTCAATTGACAATACTCCTTGTCGTAATTTGCATAGCTTCTGCAGCCTTCAGATGATTTTTTTTTGTACCAATTTATCAACCTATCATCTTTCTTCTCTTTAGATAGCTTCATTAATTAATATAAAACTGAACTCTTAAAAGTTAAATCAACCTTGTTTGATATACTTTCTCAATTTTCATTAAATTTATAATTTTTTTTAAATCATCCTTATTTTCTCTTAACTGTTCACACTCATGAAGATATGTATATAGATAACAGCTCCTATTAAAGATAAAGATGGAAGAATAGTTGTATACATATATATATATATTATGATATATATGTAGCAAAATATAGAGTAAAGAGAGATTAAAAGAAATTAGCGCGAATTTATGTTGACATACGTATCTAAAAAAAATGATCTGGATTTTTCGAACCATTTTTAATCGCTGTAAAATTGGCTAATTTTAAGCTTATTTTAATGTAGCAATTATAATCTTATGTTCTTTTCTCACTAATAGTTATAAAAAAATCTTTGTTAGGTATATTTTTTATATTATATCAATACTAATATAAAAATAAGTTACTTTTATTATTAATCTCCACTAAAAAAAAACAGGATATTGTTTTTCTTTTACTGAATCACTGCTTTTTAATTGATCAATTTATTAAAAGTGAGTCCACAGAGAAATTTGACAGCATAAAGTCGCTTTTCTTAAAGCATCTTTCTACTTAACCTACTTTTTAAGGAATGCGGATAAAAAACTAAGCTCCTCCCCAATCTGATAAGACAAGGCAAAAAACTATCACATACTCGCGAATACTAATTTATACATTTGTACATATGACTAATATACCTGTTTTTATAAAAGTTCTTGGAAAAGCGGTAATGTAGTTGTGCAGTACTCATCGCTGCGGGGGGTCTTGTATAGGATAATTGACTCGTGCTTTTAATAGCCAGTGTAAATTGCTACAATAATTATTCAACAAATGTCATCTAATCGGTGTATATATCTGCATTGTACTTTATGTTATATATAAATATACAGTATATATATATATATATATATATATATATATATATGAGCGTATGTATGTGTTGAAGACTGTCTGTACAAACAAATATAAAGCTTCTGTTAAGAAGCGTTTAGAGATAAAGGCGTTTCTACAGAAATTGGAATAAGGCCTTTGAATCGAAGCATAGTTTTCATGCAACACACATAGAATATATAAAAGGGTTGCATGACGGAAATGTTTCTATTGAGAACACCTTGGAAATTATATTATTTTATCAAGGTTATTGGGTCATTTAAAAAGACTGATAAGAGAGTTTAAGAACATCTTTAGAATAAAGATGTTAATTTCAATGAGGAGAAAAATGAGGTCAACCTGTCCATTAATCTAATTTTTCAACAAATTTACTGGTAATTTCCGAGGGCTATTCACATGTCAACAACAAGAGATGCTTATCTTTTGGCGGGCAATTTGTAGTGATTAGTGGGTCGTACAAAGTATTTTTTCCGTGTTCAAGGTGGGCTTTGATTTCAGGAGAGATGGAATTAATGGAAATTTCTAGTAATTTGAACCATTTTAATGTACTACTGCACGTACGAAGCTTAGAAAATTATCAAAAGATGATTAAAGCTATAGAAAATTAAAAAATTTACTTTATTCCTTTTAGTCTCTTTCTGTACACGAGAGGTGGCTAGATTTCTTATATATTTATAGAAGATAAGTTTTCTTTGAGAGGATTGACGAGGGCGTCGACGTTATTAATGCATCCCGTGGGCATTGTGAAAATGCCGGCGTTAAATAACAAATATAATCGGTTGCCTCTTTGTTTGCTTTCAGAGACGGTCTGTATTTGCACTCTATTCAAAACTTTGTTCATTATATTAAATGGATTAAGAACAATGCATCTTCCCATTCATTTCCCTAAAGCGTAAATAAGAACGTAAAGGAGGCTAAACTTAAGGCTGAGTGCTAATAGTCTTCGTGCATATTATGATGTCAACAATGTACATGTTATGTAATCGTTTTGCTCATTTGCTCTTGAAAATGTTCAGTCTTCACGCTGATTGCTTGCGCCTCGCTAACACGTCAATTGTTACATAATATGACTATCTCCTTTCTTAATAATGTGCTTAGAATAATTCCAAATAGGCATAATATTATTTTTTGTTATTCTATACTCGTCTTTTATGCTCATTATTACAAACCATTAATGTTAAATATAATTTTTAATGAAACAAAAACCTTTCCTCTACTTATTTCAATAACATTTTTAAATATCTTTGGATTCAATTGTGTCCAAATGTATTCATTGTGAACATGACTCGTTATTCTAGCGGATTTTTTCCCCTTTATCTTTTTTTTCTTTCTTTCTTTTTTACTTCTTTAAAAGAGTTTTTAAGTGGTTTTCTTTCCACTCTTCTCCCAATACACCCGTCTAAACACCCTATTCTCTTTTCTCTTATATTTGCCAAATTAACATGTTGAAATTGTATAAAAGTATCCGTAGCAATGAATATAATGTGTAATCATCTTAAAATATTTCCTTACATTTCAGCGTATAAATGCTCATTAATGAAATGTCCGTTAAATGACTCTGCGCATCTCAAGGGCGTTGTAAAAGCTGAGCACGATAACTCCAACTTAATTACATAACACTTTTCGCCCCCCCCCTCTCTTTCAGAACCAAAACATCCCTAATACAAAGGAGAAATTTGCGAATTTATATAATCATATCTATTTAATCAGTCGTGAATAAAATGAGATTATACAAAGAGAGAATTAGAAAACAAAATGTATACATGACCTTTTCTATAAGGAATTAGCAAGGGGAAATTCGTATGCAGACGACAACAAAGAGACGCGAACGTATAATGATTACAGCGATAAGATCGAACAAGCGTCGAATTTAAGGGAATTAATAGACATCGCACGTCGCTGACTAAGTGACTACATTGAGAAATTCGTGACCAAGTATTTTGTTTCTTATTTTTGTCTAGGCAAAAAGTGAATTTATGTATCACTTTACAGAAAAACTGATCATTATGAAAGACTTAGTTAAACGCTTTCAGACTCTAGTTTTTGCTCTCCTTCTTTCCCCTTTTTCATCTCTCTCCTTCTTATTTACAGTAGTCATTGTAATAAAGCTATCACATGACTAGGTCTATTTATGTAAAATGTCGTGAGAAGTGACGTCATTTTAAATCTTTTAGCTTGTGTCAACTTTAAAAGGCGTTATTATCGAAAGAGTAAGAAGAAAACATCTATTCTTTATGAATAGACAAAATAATAATCTACGCTAATAAAAAAAACGAAAGGAAATGACCATGAGCTTAGAAGGTCTACCAGTTGCTTAAAGATACCATCTTCTTTTCAAAAGCGACCATTAACCTACTTATATGTTCGCTTGGTAAGTAGTACAGGTAATCTCTTTTCGGAATGTCGACAACTTATATCTTGTCTGATAAAGACATCTATATAAATTCCGTCTATTCTCACTCATTCGTCAACCGTGTAAGGCGACACTGGAACGCATTAATGCTTGGGTCAAAAGGTCAATATTTCTATACATTTTTCGACGGTCGTCGATTATTTGAAAAACCTCCTTCGTGACTATTGCCGTTTGCATGTGTTACATTTTCGAATCTATGATTTTCAGAGCATTTCATATACCCGTAGAGGTTACATGAAAAATTATTTTACATTTATGGTAAGCTGCTTCAGTTCATTTCCGGTGAGCTTATAAGGAAATTGATTGCATTTCCATGTTTTCCTTTATCAATTTACGAGGCGACTTTGATATAAAGAAAATTGCTTTATAAGTTGGCAATATATTAATCATTTACCTGAAACAGGTAACAAGTAGTATTTGGCTAAAAATCATAGAAATAAGAGTTTTAATGAAAATTTTTCAGAATCTAATCTTACAAAACTCTGTGTAATTTATTCTTAAGTTCCTCAATAACGTTTAATTTTCTCTTTTCAGTATTTCAAATTTCCTTCTGACATTACACTTTATTCCTTTTAATTTAAATATTAAGGAAAAGCCTATTCTTTATTTCTATTTTTAAACTTTTTCCAGTATGAATTTTTTCAACCGAAAAATATGCTGATCTTTTCTCCTTTAAGATTCTAATTATACACAAACAACGTAAACAAACAAGCTATGCACTCGTCAACAACGCAATTTTCGCATCAATTCAACCGCAACACGCCCAAACGAGCATTTACGCGCTTAATCACGCGTGATATTAATTTGGCTATAACACAACTTCTTTTTAAACGCCATCTTTTCAATTCCAAATAGGTCTATAATCACCTTAAACTGATCAAATTTCAATGCCGTACAATAGGCCTAGTGATATTTGATCTCCACAAATTATCGTTTTGTATGAGTGAGAAAAAATATTTCTTTTTTAAAAAAAAAAATTCCTTATGATTAATGCATTCGGCGTCGAAAATCTTGATAAAACGATAGGGGAATAGTAAAAAAAACAACGTTATTCATCGACCATTAGAAAAAAAAAGCTAATTGGCGCGGGAGTCGTATACTAAATTCAAAGAGCACAAAAGCTTGAATTAAATTGTAGTGCAAACAATGTAACCGTCCAAAAATCCTACTTTCGTGTAGCTAATCGCTCGAGAAATCTCTTGTTGCAATTATTCACGTAAGAATAAATTTTTACTCGCTCAATTCCCCTACTCTCTTTACACAAACGCTTACAAAAAGTAAATTTTTTATACCTTTCCTACACTATCTTATTCCTTTCAGTACTTACAATACAATTATTTTATTATAGAATTATTCAATGCGAATAAGTAAAAATTGTATTAAAAAAGTTATATTTGTATATGTATAAATAACTTTATTAATAAATATTATTATGTATATCTCATATATAGTAATCTATATATACTGTCTATGCGTGTGTAAAGGAGAGCCTTTCTCTTTACTTTATTTCCATCAATGGTCACTTTTAAAATTATAGAAAGGATTATATTAAAACATTTTCTATTCTTTATAATTATTTTCACTTTTCCTAAGTTCATTATCTCTTTACACTTTCATCTTTACCTAAATATCATTAAATTGCTTAAAATCTTTATTAAGGAGTCTTAATACATTTCTAAAAATATTAATTGCTTTTTTTCAGTTTATTTTAAGACACTTTTCTTGTTTAATTATCGCTTTCTTCTGTTTTATAGTTACTTTTCGTAAATAACTGTACGATTTACTTGTTAATGATCTTATTTACACCTTAAAATAAGTTGAATTTTTAAAAACTGGTTGATATTTTTTAAGTAGAAAATATATTTATTAGCTTTTCAATTAATTAAGAAATGAATTAAATTTCGGGAGAGTCACGATGTAAACAACTCATTTTCATAAATATATAAAAATTGTCTAGTACAATTAAATTTTTCTTAATATGCATACAGTATATATATTGTAGATAATACATAAATGACAACATAGGCCTTAAGAGCTGAACTGAAGCAAGCTGTAATCGGATATTATAATGCTCTAGCTGCAGGCGGGGGCCGTCTATACAAACTCAGCGTTTAAAGTAAAAAAATTAGACGCCCAGCGTCGATTTATAACAAGCCGCTTTTTGATCTCAAAACTCGCACATATAGCAAACGATTAATTAGAACGAATTCTCTTTAGAGTTTCTGGTTATATATTTATGTCTACGTACTTTGACAAATATCTTTTTTTTAATGTTTTCTATTAGAAATTTACTGTATCATTTATACTTTACAGAGAACTTTCAGACTATACTTAAGGATGCATTTTAAGAACTTGTTTTCAATTGAAAAGAGGTGAAAATGATTTGTTAATTATTTCTAATCTGTTTTTCTATTACTATTGTTTCTCATCGTTATTGCTATTATAGTTTTTCTTTATAACTGTTATTATTACTATCATTCTTACTGTTGGTTACTAATGTTGCTATTGTTTTATAGTTGTTGATTCTCTCTCGTTTTGCGTCTAGTCTTTTTTTTCTAAAGAGCCTACAATAGTTATTATTTAATTAACAAGGTGATTATTTCCATAAATATTTTCATTTTCATTTTGTGTTGTTATGCTCGAGTAAAAAGGGATTTTATCAGTTTAAAAGTGTTTGAAATATATTCTATTTGTTAAGTTAAACAAACGGAAAAACTAGCAATATCCTGTGAAAGTTTAATACAAATTGAAGTGCACTCAAATCAAGTTTTTCGTAATTGTTATTGCGCAAACATAAAAAAATCTTTCTGTCGTGAAGTATTTAGTGAATTACTTACGGCGTTCCTGATTCAGAACCGGAGAGCTCAACGGTTGAATCCAGGGATACCAATGATAACGCGATAAAAGTGGATGTAGAACCGGATGCAACGGCTGGCTTGTTATTCTCGCTTCTTCATCTTTTTTTTCGCACTTTTCATTGTCTTCCTTACCCAAAATATCGGAAATAGAAAAACTTTTTTTCTGCACGGGCGGTACACGTTCGTCCATTTTATCATCAACGTCTGACTGCTGCATGATCACCGTGTAAATAGTCAAGTGCAAAAACTTGGCAAAATAAATCGTTGACCACACCCGCCTATTATAGCAGCCAATGAGAATGCCAGAAGGCGGTGATTGGCTGAAATATTTTACTGGCGAGAGTAAATCGTGCCTTCTATATGTCTATTAAGGAAAATTTTGTATATATAGTTGGCGCCATGTGTTGACTGGACAACGACTACATACACATAGTAGGCTTTATTAAGAGACTGTATAGGCCTATTACAGGTGCAGACGTGCGATAATTGATCGTATTTGACGCAAATGGGAAGGTCATGTGACTAGGGTTTTCTGTTTATTGGTTAATTTTCCTTTGTATAGGTGGTTTCTTACACGATTTTTTCCAGTACCATAATAATTTCTTTTGAAGTTATGAACTATTTATAAACTGTTTAGTTTTATTTTTTTGCTTTAACAGATATATTTATGAAAATAAAAAAAATAAAACTGTTTTTTATTTGTTAACTTTATTTCATTGATAATTATAAAAGTAACTGATATTTCATTGTTAATTAATGTTAGTAAATAATTTACAAGAAATTTGAGTGAAGAATAATGAGCTGTTGACTAAAAATAGTATTTGTAATTTATACTTGAAAAATGTTTATATTTTATATTTACTACAGCGATTATCGAATAAAAGCTGAGACATGTGAGGATTATGACAGCTGAAACTCATACGGAGACTAGGTATTTAATAAATGACAACACGTACAAATAGTATTATGAGAGAAAAGGAAAAAGGCGCTATTTGGGAAATCTCATTTGAGAAAAGCGCTTTTAATTATCTCTTACTGGATCTCCAGCAAAAAAAGACATTTTACTACTGTCTTTGTAGAGTTTCTCTTTTTTCCACCAAAGCATAATACAGTTTTACTTGAGGGAAAATTATGCCCAGTAATGTACGGATACGGGCGACTAAGCGTCTAAAGCGCTAGGGACGCCGTTCAAAGCGGCGTCTAACGACTAATTGCCGTCGTCACCTGTCGCCACAATCATCTAATGGTCGAGGCGTACGAGTCGAATACAAAAGCGACGCTCCGTGACGCCCGCCATTGCGTTAGCAACAAAAAAAGCCGTTACCGTGTTGACGCTCTTCTACTAATTGGTGGTGGAGAAGAAAAAATTTTCTAGAGAGAAAAAAATCTTGCGGTAAAAGGGAGAGAAAAGACTACTGCATTAGACGCCGCAAGCGTTGCCATTGGCCGATCTGCAGACGACTTAATGAACGCCAGCGTGTCAAGGTAGTCGTTCGATTTTTTTCTTTTCTACGCTGGAGTTAATTAGCGTTTTAGGGCGTCTATATTATATAGGCGGATTTGTAAAATGGCGGTAATTTGTTTTTATACGTTGCAAGACGGCTGTAAATTCTAAGAGCGTCTAATTCGAACGAATGGACTCGTAGTCGATAACGATCTTGTTGCACGATAAAGAGCGCTTTATCGTACCGTTACACATCTGTGTACTTGAAACATTTGTTGATGGAATTAAATTGTCTACTCCAGCATCTTTTTACTCGCTTCGACGCTTGCCTCGATACGTCCTTACTCATGTAAGTAAACGATCCGCGTCGGATTTTGGGTGAACAACAATTCAATTAAGAAATGTGAAAGGCAACAGATTCGAGTGGGTTGAACAATGAAGGGGTACAATCAACGACACGTGCATGTAATTTGATTTTCATTTAGCATTGTAATCAATCTAAACTATACTTCAAACGTTATAGCTCATTCAGTGTAAAGCTCACTTTATAAAAAAAAGTCAAAGCCATACAAATTCTCGAAGGCACGCTCCTGAACGTCTCCCGTTAAACGTGTAAACGCGTACGCGCCCATTGAAGATAGAATAGAAAAAAGCGAAAAAGTGCGCGACATTAATCTGACGCGTAAAAGGCCGAAATAAGCTTAGTTACGTACAATAGACGCTATCAGTTTTCATCAATTTTCAGCTTGAGTGCCGCCGTCTACATTACTATTGACGCCCGCTAATAGGCAGTGCATAGTTTTATATAGACGTCTATTTTTTCCCGTCATAATCACTTTAGCTCCTTAATTAGCCAAGTGTTGTAGCTTTGCTGTACTTTCTATATTTATTATGTTGACGTATACGCACATAACAAAGGTTGCATGATGGGAAATTAAGGGGATATGTTATAAAAATCGTGTTTTTACATTTAACGCGATTTCTCGCTCGTTTCACGAAATGCCAGTGGATTAATGACGATAATGCTATTTTCTTATTAATCAGCACACGCGAGCTAGTTGTTTTCTATGATTGAGCTTACCATTTCGTGCTCTTTCTCTTCAGTGACATCTATCGACTCTAATTTTCCATTACCCTGCCTCCTTCTCCTCTTTCTATCAAGCTGAAACGATTACCCCCTCCCTCCTTCCTGTAGCGTCTCAATTCATAAGCTCAAACGCATTAAACTTAAACCAGTACCGCCACCTATAGGCTAAGATGACACGATAATAAAAAAAGATAATTGTTCTTATTTGGTAAAATCTTTAAAAAGAGAATGGATAAAAGAAAAAAAAAGAGAGAAAAAGAAAATCGTCCTAATCTAATTACACCGTATTTAACTATTTAACTACATAATTACAAAGACTATATAATCTTTTTTTTTCAATATTATAAGTGTACAGGTACGGTTTGTTTATGACAGGAATATGGAGATTAGTTTTTGTCGATTATCCTAAGTGAATTGTAAAACTTGATATAAATTATCGATTGTTTAATATCGAGATAAGGCCAATATACATTGTTAGATATATAAGTACTCATTTCGGCATAGAATAGGATATTTTAAAAGAAACTTTTTTAGGATAGTCGTAGATGAGTTCTATAGAATCAGTTTGTTCTGCTGGGAACTTGGAGGAAATTGACAACTTTATTACTTGTGATAAAATAAATCTTTACGACCAGAAAGGTTTACAGTTTAAGTTACAGTTTTTTTTTAAATTAACGACAGTTCTTTCTGGCATTAATTACGTTCTCTTAGGTTACTTTGAATTTCTAGTTAATATTGTTTTTGCTTTTTTTCTATTTTTCTGCTAAGGCTTTGCTCCTATTCATTACGTTTGTCAAAGGGATACCTATGATGTACCTTCTATCATTGAATTGCTCGTGTCCAAAGGATGTAATATCAATTTGACAACGAAAGATCGTAGGGACAACGCCTTACAACTAGCTATAAGAAGTGACTCATTTATGCAGCATGTAATTGATGTATCTGTTGTCTTACTCAAATTAGGATTGGACTCGTCGTCTAGGAACAATGTAAGTTTAATGAAATTTTAAAATCGATTTAATTGGGAAGTAAATTTGCATACATTTACATATATTTCAATAAGCAATTACGATCGGCTTTCGATGAGGCTATAGACGCTAACTATCCTCCTCTAATAGAAGTCTTATGTGGATCAAAGACAATCGAAGAATTGGAGATTGATAATAAGTTACATAGGGACGAATATTATTGCGTAATATAACATTTGCCAGTTTTTTGTGTTATTGATATTTTCAAAGAATCATTATTTCTTCAGAATTTACTAATAGAGCACATTAAAAAAGGTATGAGGAAGGCATCTAATTACACCTTATTCTTTATATTTTTAAACAAATATCATTGTAATTGTTATACTGATCTGGTTAATAGTTTTAATTATAACAAGGAGTTAATTTTTCATTTATCTACCTTGTATACCTTTTTGTCTTTTTTTTACCTGCTTAATAATTAGTTTTGTTCATTCACAAACATTTTCTGATAATGATTTCCGATTGACATCAATTAAATAATAGGCAAGAACGAAGCAAGATTGTATGACATTTTGAGGAGAAAATTCGCTCTAGACACCCGAGACAAAGTAGGTACAGAGAAACAGGGAGAGAAAGATATATATACTAATATATATATGTATAACTACATCTAGCATAAATGAATGATATTTTATATATCTATACTTATACAGTATATATAAGTATATGTATACATAAGCATATAAGTAGTAATATATTAATATTCTTTCCCAAAGAACGGTTCCTCTCCCCTTCACTACGCTGTTGTTCATTGCATAAAATTCGCAGATCCTTTGAAAATATGTCAGATTTTAATAGAACACGGAGCTGACGTTAACAATCAAAATATAGTAATTATTTTTTTCTTGAGTTTTTTTTTATATTTAATATTAATACTGCACAATACTTGTGCTTCTATAGAAAAATAGTATACAACATATTCTAAATAAATGACATTATTAAATTAAATCTGGTAATTCCTTTCTAGGAAAACGACACGCCTTTGAACTTATCCATTAAGCTAGAAAGTTTAAGGAAAGATAATATTATGCTAAAATTAGTTGAATTCTTCCTCAAATCAGGAGCTGATCCGTCTTTAATTGACATTGTAAGTTTATATAACTTAATATTGAACTATTTACAGATGATTTCACCTATGATTGACATTATTTCACCTACAATGATCCTTTCTTAGTCTAATCATTAAATCAAACAAACAACATATACAGTATATATTTGTATAGTGTTTACAATAAATTTAGTTGCTATTCGTCATTATTATAATAATACCATTCAAGCTCTCTGTTTAAAACATCAATGATTAAGTTATATTACACAGATTGATATCTAATATATTTTTATAAAATTACTTAATAGGATGATCACGATGCTTACTATTTGGCTGATGTAAAAAAGTATAGAGATGTACAAAGATTATTACACAAATTCAAAAATTCTAAAGAACCTGAAATAGTTGAATGTGAACCTCTACAGTCTGCAGATTTAGAATCTCCATCAGAGACACCGTCAGAATCTCCGCCATTAAACGGTCTAGAAAAGGTAGAAAATGTTCTTTTCTATATAAACTATTAATTAAATATAATGAACGTATTTTATTAAAAGTTGAACGAAGCACTTTTTGACGCCATTGCTTTTGGAGAATTATCAGAGGTTGAAGAATGTTTAAAAACAGAAGCTAATCTGCAAGAGAAAACTGATGTATAAGCTTTAGAAACAATTTAAAATTGTTAAATAATTTAACAAAACACACCTCCTATTACAGGAAGGTTACGGCGTTTTTCACTTAGTCTGCATAAGAGAAGATGAACGAGATCGAACAGAAATTTGTAAGGCTTTGTTAAAAGCGGGAGCACCTGTAGATATAATTGATGAGGTACAGTAAATCAATTTTCCCCATTACAGTTCTAATGGCTACTACAAACTTTAAATTTATATATATATATATATATATATAGAAAAAAGAATCGCCACTGTTTGAGGCAGCTAGAAAGAATCTTGATGAAATAGCACATTTAATTTTAACTCAATCAAATTCATATGCAGCTACAAATAAAGTAAAGAAAATACTAATATCTCTAATTATTAATATCAATTATATATTTTTCTTATATATAATGGAATTTCTTTTTAAGGATGGATTTACAGCTAAAGATATTGCGACTGAAAAGAATAGTGAAGAGACTCTAAAAGTATTTGAAAATTATGAAAAACGTAAAAGGGCGTTAAAAAATTGGAAAAAGGCATCAGACAAGGCAAAAACGTGCTTTATATTATAATACTTTGATTAGTAGATTTAATATAAAACTATTTTCTATTCTTTTCAAATATTGAACTTGATTGGTAAACAAAATACAATGTCGCTTTTTACAAACATTTAACTAATCAAGCATGATAAACAGTTCGTAGACAACCTAGAAAGATCAAAGGGAAAGAGATAAGGTTAATCCTTTTTATTTAACAATATCCCTAGAATATTAATAAGGGTAATATAGCCACCTCACTTTTTTATATTCTATTCTACTCTAGCAGCTCCATCTATTGCATATGCGGTGATACTGTGTGAAATATTTAAGAATTCCTAAGTTGCTCTATAGAGACAGGGAAAATTGACAAAAAAGACTCTCATGCAAATAAGATTTAAGCAAAATTTTCTTATTCAAAGTCATTTACTTTCGAAGGTGAAATAGACAAAATCTGTTTGATCAGATTAAAAGTATAAACAAATATCCTACTATTTTAGGCCTGACGCTGATATTTTGCAATTCTTTTTATAGAATAAATAGAGTTAGCTTCTAAATAAAGGATTAAACCATCTGTAAAAGCTGCCATAGGAAACAGGAATAGCTAGATCAAAAATATTATAGATACACTTTGAGTGTAGAGAGGACAAAATAAGTAAATATATAGTGTATTTTATAGAGTATTTTATCAAACAGAATACTTTATTTAATACAGTATATTAAATAGTAAATTATATTGTGAACATTATTATTTCTCTGATAAATGAGAATTCATTTCAATAAACGACTCATCTTTCACATTAAAACTGATGGTTGATGTTATTCTTATTACTATTAAACTAATAGTTATTCTTCAAAGAAGGTGGAATATATGAAAATATAAAGTAAAACTTACTTTATGACTCTCTCAATTAATTATTAAAAAGCTGTGCAAACCGTTGTAAATTGATCAACGAAGAACAACTTATTTTCCTTTGAAGTAGAAGGGAAAAAAGGACAGATATCATTAGACAGTTTCTATAATTGATTATGACAGGACAGACACGAATGGCTTCCCAGCAAACTACTATAAAATAGGCATTTCAAAAGTATACTTAGACATGATAATTTTACCCGATTCTTTGTACTTGGAAAAGCATACAATGCTTTTATATCTTAGTCAAAAGCGGGTGAAAGAAAACGAAGGGGTGTTTTTTTTTATCTCCATCTCATTAAAGGTAACTAATAAATATTCATTGATTTTTTGTTCATACAAATTTCAACGTTATAAACTATAGACGGGAAGAAGAACAGTTAAGCATCAAATTTATGTACAATGACTTATTTTTTTGCTACATAAAAACGAGATGCCAGCTATAATTATATAAAAAGCCTGTCAATAGCTCGCCTGTACGTTATTCTATAGATCAACAACGTTTATAATTAGCCACCATTCATTAGCGAAGCAGTTTCCTATAAGAAGACAATTATAACAAAGACAACTTTCTATAAGCTTATCACATCGACTTTCTAGGATTTATTAGTAAAGTAAGTGATAAGTAGATTTGATTTTTTACTAACTAAACTCTATTTTAGATCCGCATAATAAAGCGTTTGATTTGTTTACGAATCACTTATAAAAATCGGACGTTCTAAGACGACTACAGACAGCAAATTACCAACATTTTTTTCTATTCTCAGCAGTGCATCTTATTTATTATCAAGCCGCGACCCTTCTTTATTAAGCAGAATAGAAACTCATTCAAACATTCTACATCCAATTTATCCTTTATAAGGGGTAAGGGAACGGATGAAGCGTCTATATACTGCATAAATTTTATTTCTGACAAAAATCAACAGAGTCCTACTTTGTAAAATACATCTTTTAGTTGATAAATCATAAAGTATATACGTATACAGAATTATTTACTCTTCTAGTTTTCACTGCCTCCACCAGTCTTCACCCCTTCAACGACTCTCATTTATCTCTAACCACCTACGCTCTATAGGGCAAACAGCATCCATAAGACTATATATTCTTAACACTATTTTTGTTTTTTCGTTTTCTTTTTTATTAAAAACAATTCATTTTCATTGTCACTAAAACAAACTAATTTGAACATAAAATAGTTCTCAACAATAGAAATAAGACTTTAAAAATACAGGAAGTTATTCATAATTTTCAATAAAAGAAAAACAAAATGTAAAAAATGTTTCTTTTGTTTTTCATAAAAAAATATTGATTTCATATTTGGGTATATTTCAGTATATGAATGTGCGTATGAACGTATGTATGAGTGTGTTCATGTGTGTAATGTAAATCAGGTAGTGCGTGTGGATAGATACATGCAGGTTTATATACGAATACAGCAAAGAAAGAATAGTTGAAAGTAACATTGGCAATTAGATCTTACTCGTATCAATATCGTCTGTTCCAGTTTTACTAAAATGGCTTAAAAACCTTTCGATTCGTCTAGGTTTCTTTTTCTTAACTTTAACACAGCGCACAGGCTGCTCTGCTGAAAGCCTTCCGAAATAATAGACAGAATAACCAAACGCAAGGAAGACTATTACGTTTGGAATTAGTGCAATGCATTTTACCCCTAAACTGTACCCGACAAATTTAGCATTCATTGCCCAGTCATCTTCTACAAATGTCGCATTCGTTAGCGGATTTATATGAGATTTTCTGTATTCATACGTGAGATTATTGGTGAGATATTCAACTTTTGTAACTGTGTATATTCTACTGTCTTCGCCTACATATTGACCGAAATCTAATGGTTTATAAAATATTTGATTCTTCCACATATTTAAATCCAGCAGCATGACTATAAAAATAATACCATAATTGAACCATTTTCCACTAATTTCAATCCTAGATAGGTTAGCCGGTAGAGTTATTTTAAATTCAGATATAGTAAGACCAGGTAGTTTGACGTCTAAATTTGAATTAAACCTTGGAAAGTCCCAATCTTGAACAACTATTACCAAATCACAGCAAAGAATAAAAGAAGCTAGAAAGGCTCTTGAAAGTTCATTGGTGGGAAGAATATTCATGTTAAACTCATCCCATCTAACAACATCTGTTGCTATAATAGTGACGACAAACAGCGAAGAAATAACAATAACCGTCCAAAATGCTATTATTCTTCTATATTTGGTCGACCACCAAAGCCTTAAAGATTGAGCCCACGAGGGATAGAATTTTTCTTGAAGCATCACGTCAGTGACCATCCAAGCAGTAAACAAATCTCCTGCCCAAGTACCCGATGCAGCTAATTTCATAAAAACTGCATTTGACATCCCCATATACTTTGAAGACATCCAACCCTCAACTCTTTCGGAGTACATAGGAGCACTTTTCAAAAACAGATTGTAAACCAATGAGCCTAAATAGGCCGAAAAAATAGTAGTAAAAAACATGACCATAAATGATCCATGATTTTGTCTAAATGCCGATAATCTGTCGATAAATTATTAGTTGTATGAAAGGGAAAACGTAATTATCATAATTTTAGGTAAGTTACAATCATAAATAAAAAAAAAGTAGTAGTATAAAATATAGTAAGATAGCATCAAATAACATAATTAATTCAGTAAGTAGTCTATGTGAATTTTATAGAGTAGAGTAAAAGAACAAACCTTAAATAGCCACTAAGGAATCGTTTGTGAATAATGTATTTTCCAAAAATCATACCACACCCAAGAAACAAAGTTGACATAAAAACTTTTAAAATAGCATAGCCAGCAACGTCAGGCCATCTAATGATCACGAACGAAAAAGCATTACCCAAAACTGGAAGAGAACATTCAGATACGCTGTGGGCGACAGGATCTTCGGCGTAAATAAGGAAATTACAGAAAACAACAAAATATGCCACAAATATTCTAAAATATGGATGTTGAACGTAGTATCGACTGTCTCTGAGCATTTTTAAGGTGTAAAGACTAATAGTATCTACCATATCTAAACCTCCCATTTTATAACTCGTTCCTACACCTTCTAAATCAATGCTGTCGCCTTCAGATGGAAGGATCCTTCTTTCCGGCAGTTGATTGTCGGATTTCATTTTCCTATCGTAATTATCCACTGATCAGCATATCTCAACGTCGTGCCAACAACATTAATGACTAATAGTTCACCAATTATTTCGTAGTAATATAAAAATCTCACATTTTTGTAAAAATTACCGGACGTTTCAGAGAGATACCTACTGTTTTATCAAGACAATACAATCATTTAAGATTATAATTTATCCTCAACAATGTGAACATATTGTTATTTCTAGTTTCAAATGAATACGGTGGCTCTTACAGTTTTCACTCTTCAGCCTACTGGATCAATATTTGTGTGTAGCGCTCCCTAGTGGGTATTAGCTCGTAATAGTACTGTAACTGTGTTCTCTTTCATCTACGATATTATACCAACAATAGAAAACAATAGAATAACTAATAGCTTAGATTGGAATTTTAGCTAGAGGTAATAGAATCTTGGGGGAAGAGTTGATTCTAGCAATAAGAATAAGGGGGTAAGGGTTGCGCTTTCCTGAGCGTGACTCCTAAAGAAAGAACAAATGAATTGATTCAAAAAGAGAAAGAAAGTGACGGAAGTAAAGCCTTTTCATATTAGTCTTAGAAATTCTCGAAGGATGCAAATAGAAACCCGCAAGTCGAGAATTTTCTTCCATTACTAAATAATAGAGAAATGGTAAAAACGTTTTAAGTCAGTCTTAATTTCTTACTTAATTCTTATATTAGCCTTCATTGCGCATATAAAATCATTAATTAATGAGATATTAATGTATAGTTTTCTGAATCATCAATAATAATTTGCTTTATTTTTCATTTATGTGCTTTCTTTAAAACGTAAAAAAATATATTTAATCTTTTGTTTATCAAACTACTTATACTCTTGAACTATTCATAATAAACAGTATAGAGTATGAGCCATACGAATTTTCATTCAAATATTCTTTGAGGCCAGAATATAAATAGCGTACTAAAGATTTTATTTCGAATAATTTCAAAGTCCCCGCTTAGCGGAAATAGTACTAGACGACAATTGAAGTCACAGCATTTAACAAACATAGTTGGAAATTCAAAATGGCGCTATGAAAGCTTATGTGTTAAGACGTCGACCACTGTAACACAATCAACATGTCACTTTGAATAAACAACATCTAGGACGGGACATAGCATAAATGTCGAATTTTCTCGTCGTGGCCACGGCGTAATGGATATATACCGAGCAGAGGCTTCCTTTGATTGGCCGCAAAAACCAAATTACGTATTATCATTTGAAAAATCCGATCATTTCCAATTAATAGACAGCAGCGAAGGAATTGAATGGTGGGGGGTTAGACGATTAAATGATAACTCCATAGGATTCGTTCCAGCTAAATATTTAACTCTTGTTGAAAGAAAATCAACGATTTTCCTACCTTCCGACCACCAAGTTAGTAATAATTATTTTTATAATAATTTAAGAGAAAAAAGAACATTTTCAACATTTTTCCATCAGACGGAGATTTTAATATGGAAAAAAAATATTTTATCAATATTTTAAAACTTAGATAGAAGATGATAAAGATAATTGTTGTCTTTCGCTATACTGGACAGTATCTAAACTTGCATAACTAATCGAGTATTAACCAAACAATCGGAATTATATAAAACGCAATTAAGCAATAATTGAACCCAATGTATAAAGTATACAATTTTGACGCCAGTTACATTATCGTATAATGCATATGTACACCATAAAAAGCTCTTAATTATAATATAAAAGCTTTTTTATATTAAAATAAAACAGAAACAAACTGAAAAATATGCCAGACGATTGAGATCTATGAAGAAATCCCAGGACTTTAAATTAGCCGATATCTATTCATTGCCTCCTCACATGATACAATCTTTTGATTCATGGATGGAAGGGAATGAACCTTTGCCAGCTCCTCCAGTTGGTAAGCTATATTTATTCAATAGTTAGTTTTGTCAGAGTTTATTTGAACGGGTATCATTTAACAAGTAAACCAGTAATATAAGCTAGTAATTTAGCTTCTATGCCAGACTATGAAGATAGAGACGATAGTAACGAGGATGATTCTATTCCATTATCATTAAGTGAATGGAATGCCATTGTAGAAGCTGCAGGTACTGATCCTGAGGTTATCTTTTCTACTAAATAGTGCCTCTTACACATTTTTTGCAATAATAGAATGTTTTCTGCTTATGATAAAATTAATGTTAGTAGGGTTAAAATCTCTAGAAGACCACTTTAGATAGAATGTTTTTCTTTTTCTCTTTCTCTTCAATTCCTTGCGCTTAAGAAGCTCACTTGAATGAAACTATTTACTAATCTCTCTTACTTGAATTAAAAGCAATGGAAAGTAATAAAGAAAAAACTTAGTAAAAGGTCTATGGACTTTTTGAATAACTAAAGAAATAATATAAGTTAATGATAAATTATAATAATATCTATATCGGATGCGCTTCTCTTGTTCTGCGAATGGTTTGTGTAAACATTTGTTTTTAATATTCATATAGAAAATATGATATATATATATATACATACATATTTCTCGATATGAATTCTTTTGTTTGTTTGTGTTCTAGACTAATAACTTTTGAATGATAAATACTTTGATAGTACTATTATAATATGAATTTTGATTGATATTTTTTTCTAACTTATTTTTCCTTTCATACTTCTTTTGTCAGACTTTACTAATATTTTTTATACTAGAATCTTTATATTCACCTTGTTATCATATACAATGTATATATTTATAAATGTGTATATATATATATATATCTATTAATATTTACATATTGTTTATACTCTTTTTAAGATCATCCTGAAAAATATACTGACTTCCCACCTCCTCCAGAAGGCCTATTACCTCCACCTGACTACGATACTGATGATGACGAAGACGAGGAAGGTTTAACTCCCGCTCAACAAAAGCAGAAATCTATGGTTATCAATCCAAAATATTTAAAACCAGCTCCAGAGCAAGATCAGCATTTGATTAAAGCATCTAAATTGAGAAATCCCATAAAAGAAAGCCAAAAGCACCAAGCTTTACACAAAGAATTAGCGTTGAATGCTAAACAGGGTTTGATGAATGTCCTGAGAACAAAAAATGAATTTCAAAGAGAAATTGATAAGAGGAGAAGAGACAAGAAGTGTCAATCGGCTATTGTTGATGATAATCTCCGGGAACAATGGAGGCGATTAGAAAATCGCGAACAGAATCAATACTCTGGAGAATCTTCCAATGATTTCGAATCTGTATTGTCTAAATTCCGTAATGCTCAAATATCCCCTTCTCACACTTGAGAAGGTTCTTTTATGTGAGAATGTCAAAACTACGAATATTATTCCAGTTATATGGTAAAATTATTTATCGTAACTTTCAGGAGTATACGACAAAGAATGAGAATATATTATGGGTTATACACCAATGTAATTGCTCTTATGCTCTTGGGATTTGCCCTTAAAATTTAATGTTTCTCACTTGTCAGAAATCTGTAAAAAGAAATAATATCTATATGCTTTAGATTTACTTTCTTGTTCGTTCTTTGTTTTTTTTCCTCTCCAAATTTATTTTTGCTTTCTGTTAATGCTTAAAAAAATCGTACGCATTCCGACAGAAGGCGTTTCTTCACCTTCGTCAATAAATTTTGAATTTATTCAATTTATCAGATGGTTTAGGGCAAATAAAAGTTTTAAACCATGTTTAAATAATAAATAATATATTTTTTTAAACTCAGACTATGCTGAATACATATTGTGTATTGTGCACATTTAAATAGTATACAATATATTTAATGTAATAAGATGAATATACAGTACATACTGAGAAAGTATACATAGTGCACTATATGGTTTCCATCATACAATCATAATATATGGATTCATATTTAAATACATCTTTATATATTTTGTACATAGAGATAAAATGATTGTCGAGGTATGAATAGTTTTAGTTTCCCACTCTGAAGTTTGTTTAAATTAAGCGAGAAAGAACTGAAAGAGCCTTCTACGTCGTAGAAATCAAAGGCAGATGAAAAAACATTAAGATATATTCTATTTGACTAGCAAATAGAAACCATTAAACAACTATTGTTGCTTACTCGACTGGCATAAAAGGTTTTAAAACTGAAATTATTGTCTATGAGATAAGTCAAAAATAGGAAATTTCATAAAACCGTTATCTAGATGGCACCAGAGTAGGACGAATAAAAACTGAGAACGTGAGCTGGCGAGTAATTTTTAAGCTACCTGCCGTTACTATAGAAACAGAATAAAATGTAGGTTAGAAAGCCGTAAGTGACATCTATTTGGATGCGAGAGGAGAAAGATAGTCCATGGACGTCTCCACTGTAACAGATTAAGGAAATAATTTTTCGTGGGACATAGGCCTGAAGGGAAAAATTTGTAGAGTGTAACCGGCAGTTGGCACTGCAAAGTATACGGTGGCTGGTTGTTATTTCTACCGCAAAATTGCGGTTGTTTCCGGCCTGTATACATAATCGTAATACGTTTCGGCACATATATACGGTTTTTGCAGTCGGCTGAGGAATGTGTTTATCCGCTTCTTTGGAATAGGTTCGTATTAATTTATTTATCTCGTTTCCTTTTGAATTTCTTAAGGTTAAATGAAAGGTAATTCAATTCATTTAAGACTTCCAATTTGAACTGAAATCGATTTTGCAAAATATTGTAATATTTTAGCTATGTTTGTCTAGCCATCGGTAATGGTGAAAATAGAGAAATAATGTAAAAGTTTTGTTTGGTCGTCGTCTCACGGGATGTGATGAGACAGGCGGAAAAATCGATGTGGATAGCGTCTTATCTGACGTTGTTTGCACTCTGAAGGAAAAATTTTTGACATAATTTCTGTTACAAGACCTATTTATTTCGGAACGAAAACCAACATAAATATCATTTATGGAAGGAAATAATCGATGGGAGTAGGGTGTACGGTTTATGGGTTTTTTCGCCTTTGTTCCGGTAGGTTAATGTTTTAGGAGCTCGGATAAGCTTCAATTGATAAGAATTGGATGAAACAATGCTAGATATTTTTTCTATTTGCCCTTGATACTCCTCATCCAACGGTCGAGTTCATTTTAACAGATTTACTGCGATTTCGGGTGATAGGTTAGGCTGCAATCGTTTTTAGATTGAACAAGAATTAAGGGATGAAGCAAAACTAGTAATAATAGTTATTTTACCTCATTTCATCCAACAGACTCTAGAAATATTCCCACCATAACCAATTTTTTGATTACACTCTCCACTCCATAATGTAATTATATTATTATCTTTCTCGTATAACTCGTATTTTGTTAACCTGGTAGTATTTCGACAAAGTCAGATTATGTTAATGCAAACGCCAAGAGCTGGTAAGCGAGAGAAAGAGAGTAGGAGGGGGGTGGAGGGAGTTTGTAAAAAATAAAGAAATATACAATATGATGTAAAGGGATAGATAAATGGAGAGGGAAAAAAGGTAAAAAGGCAAAAAAGCAAGTGCAAGGATGATGAGCAAATTTTTTTTCAGTCCGATTTCCCATGTTCTAGATTTAGTCCATAGTTAGCAAAATAATGGAAGGAGTAAATTAACAAAAACAATTTTTCGTTTTTCAACGTCTCTCGTTTACTTTGAAATAGTTTCAAACACTTTAGCTCAATAAATTAAAGTAATCATTGCCTATCTGAAAGAGAGATGTTGAGGATTAGTTGAAGTTCATAAGATTTAGAGGATTCTCTATAGTCTACAATATACGGCCTTAAGGGGAAGAAGAGATTTTCCTATAAAAAATTCATATAGCTGTCACTTTTCCGAGATATTATTTTTATCATGTTTCAACCATCAGTTGTAGCCTACTGCTTTCAATTAGCATCCTATATAGGCCAAACAATTTGAAAGCCCTCTTTCGATAAGCAAACTATCGACGATTGTGCTATATTATAGTGCATTACGCTGTAGATGCCCTTAGCAGCAACAGTTATTTATTTATTTATTTATTTAGTTACTTGGTTTTTGTCCGTTTCTGATCTCGAATTGATTACATAAAAAGTCGTCCGATTAGGAAGAGTGACATTTAACAGCATCTGAAGATTAGTTTATGTTTTTATTCTCTTTCAGAGAAACAGGTGAAATGAGATCTTTTTGATCTAATTACAACGGCACTGCAATCGATTTCTGTAGGCAAAAGATGCTTCGAATTACGCACATTCTTTTGTCGTTCTACCAATTAAGGACTTGAAGAATTTTCATTACACTTATTACACTGATTATAACAAAATTATTTGTCGTAATAGGCAATACAAATATGGTGGGACTTCTTCTTATGTAGTGTAAAAGTAGGTGAAACACTACCGATATGAAAAATTAACTGTACTTTCGGTTATCAGATAAACGGCAATGAATGATGCGATCGAGAAGCGGCGAAGAAGCCGATCAGTAACCGTCAAAGTTAGAATTAACATGCTCTCAAATCGCACATCCCCGACGGAAGCAACGACAAGAACTGGAATTCCCATGAAGCTCATTTGGCTACCATATACAATCTTCAGTCTCATTGTCGTTGCTCTAATGGTAGCCTCTTTCGTTAGTTATCACAAAAAGAATGGACACAAATATAGAAGGCGACGGCAAGCTCTTTTAAAGAATTTTAGCCTTCAGACTCTAGTTGAAAACATTCACCAAGTTCGACGGAACACGCCAAATTTTAATCGACCTCCGCCTTGCCTCCCTGTTAATCATACGGCAGAACCCCTATTGTCGGCCGATTTTCAAGGTAGTAGTACATTTCTTAGCGTTTCTAACGTTATTGTACTCATTCATCATGCATTATCATTTTTACTCTTAACAGGCCGCGACGTTGTCGTTCAGCAAGTGGAAAAAAAGCGAAAGAAAAAAGAGAAGCGAGTGGAATATTTATCCAATTCGAACGGGTCGATGATTGATTTAAGTTTGCAAAAAGACATAGCAGCCACATTCGGCACAAAAAGAGCTCATATTAGGCCTAAACAAACTGCTATATGGACTTTGCATAATGTCCATAAGTAATAAAAGGTGTGTGTGATATATGTAAAGAGGCTGAAAGGAAAACTGATGAGAAAAAGTCAAAAAACTGCAAATGTTGCTGTGCAGTCTTGTGTGGTTTTTTTTATTCTATGACTAAGCAAATTTTTTATACTTTCTTATCTAATTTATTTATTCATTGGAAATTGTGGAAGTTATTCATATTCTTCCTTTCACTAATCGGAAATATTCTATTTAATACATCTTCATTTAATAGCGGGTAAACAAGAAGTATCTCAATATGTAATATTCAAATATCCCGCCAAAAGACTGTAGCCAATCATGAATTAGTATGTAATTTAGCGTAATTTCGTGCAAATCCTAACATTCAATCTATCGGAGATGGCTGAAAAACGACGTCTTTTTGGCTCTTTCCACGTGTCAAACGTTGAAGATCTCATTGGGATAGAGGAAGTACTATTTCCATTTTCTTTTTAAATTATTAAGGGCAGAGCCTAAAAAACTTTACTCTTAAGATAAATAATGACTTAATATAAAAACAGTCGGTCTACTCTGCGCCAAAACTGCCAAAAGAAATACCGGAAACTAAAGTTGATAAATCGGTTGTGAGAGAGTTTGGAAAGGAGGTAAAGAAAAAATACTTTCTATTGGAAGATGATTTTACCTTCTTAAATCACGGTGCATTCGGGAGCGTAATGACGCCTGCAATGAACGCAACTCAAGCGTGGCAATTGTTCTGTGAAAGGCAACCGGTAAGGTTCATCGATCGACAACTCCTTTCGCAGATTGCCGACGTTACGAGGAAATTGGCTGCTTTTATCAGTCAGTTCTTTTTTTTGTTTAATTTGAATAATTTATTCAGAACAATTAGTAAGTTTGCCCACCCCTGTCAGATTCAAATCCAAAAAACGTCGTTCTCGTTGATAATGTCACTACGGCCGTCAGTTCGGTCTTTTCAAGTTTAGAATTGTCAAGCGAGGATGTTGTTTTGCATACAGCTTTTATTCATGGTGGTATCCGAAGTGCATTGCGTCGGACCTGTTGTAAGACTGGTGCTAAATCAATGGAAATTCCTATTCATTTACCCGTAGTTGATGAGGAAGAAATTGTCAAAACTATCGAGACTAGCTTACACGAAACGCCGGCGAAGCTATTAATTATTGATCATATTTCAAGCGTTCTCGCTTTTATTATGCCAATACAGAAAATCATAGATATGTGTCGTCTTAAAGGCGTTCAGATTCTGATAGATGGCGCTCATGGCTTAGGTAGCACTGCTTTAGATATGAAAGCGTTAAACCCTGATTATTACACATCAAATTGTCATAAATGGCTATGCGGTCCTAAGGGTACGGCCTTCCTGTATGTGAAGGATGAGCACAGGCAAAATACTCATTCGGCCGTAACGTCATATGGTTACGGTTACGGATTTAACTCAGAGTTCTCCTGGGTAGGAACAAAAGACTATTCTCCCTTCCTAGGCCTTAGCCAGACATTAGATTTTTGGAACATCGTTGAACCAGAGAAAATCCGATTGTACATAAGAGATTTATTAAGAAAAGCATGCAATTTGTTGATTAAGGAATGGGATACCGATTTAATCGCTCCCTTAAATATGTTAGGTAAATTTATGATTGAATTTCTATTCCAAGATTCAATTAAGAAATATCGAATAAAAATCCTTGTTCTATATATTTTTTTTTTCACGCAGCTGGTATGGCTTTAATACGACTTCCTAATGAACTTTTCGAAGGGAAGGAAATGATACGATACGAAGATGCGGAAATCATTCAGAACTGTTTATTCAACGAATATGAGATCGAAGTGCCAATTAAGGCTGTAAATAATCAATTATACGTTAGAATATCCGTACATATTTATAATGATTTACATGATTATGAAAAGCTAGCTACCAGCATAATGGATATATGCAAAAGTAAAACAAGAGCGCTTTAACTATTTTATTGCGCAAAAAGAGCATCTGTCTAATAATACACAACGGTAAAAATAGGATGAATGTTTTTGTTTTCATCGGACTTTTTAGGCCTTTAGTCTTCTTTCTCCACTGGCCTTCCAAGCCGAAGGCGGACAAACTTTCCACATGCAAACACTTGATGGGTTAATATTGAAACGTTTAGCTTTATTCTTAAAGTACTCAGAGAGTCCGTAATATTTTACAGGAACATTGATTGTCTCTTGTTGCTATTGTACGAAAAGTTATTTGATAAAAATCGATAGATTTTTTACTGATAGGATAAGTAAGGGAATAAAAAGATAACTTACGAAATCTTTCCATCTCCAAAGCTTCCTAAGCAGGTCTTCCATCCTGTTTAAAGGCTTCCGAGCAGGATTACCAACTTCTAAAGAGCAATTGACCGTCATTAAAGTAACGATCAGACTAAAAGCTATCAGATACATTCTCGAAGTCAGAATGAATTCAAAAAAGAAAATGTGAGTTTTTCAATGATCATAACTGCTGAATTTATTTTATCGTGTAAATTCAATTACAAGCAGGCTGAGATTTTCCCTACATGATATTATGATTTCGTTCCTGACATATAAAAATATCTTGACAATCTTTTTCTGAATATTATTCATGTTCAATTTGCAACTGCCAATTGAATGTAACATATCATGAACTTAAAGCTTTCAACATCAACATAGAACTGCGTCAGCCATTTCCTTTAAGACACAAGTTATTTTATTTTAATTTCAAATTATCGTCCCATTGTCCATTGGAAGTTGATATACGAATGTAATAAATGTTTGCTCAATTATTGTTCTGCCTTTCTCTTTGATATCATTTCTATATTCCTTGGGAAGGAGTATTAGGAAAAGTGAGAGTATTATTCGATAAGCACCACAACAGGCATTATTATATCTATTGAAGAGCTTTCAATTTCCTTTTCTCTAAAGGTTAAGTACCTCCAGTAGAGCTCAAATTTAAGCATGATGTAATTTTATCTTTTCGCTGACTATTGTTAGCAAAAATATCTTATTGTTTTTGCCTGACTTTAATAATTCAAATGGGATAAATTGTTTTATTCCTTTAGAATATAGACATTTTATATATATATATATATATATATATGTAATTCACATACTAATGCCATTATCCGTACCATAAATAACTATGTACTGTATAAACTATATGTATATGTACAGTATTACCATAGGTTTATAATTACCATCCTATAATTATTTTGGAATGATGTTACTTGCAAGGAAGAAGGGACTTTGTAAAAATTAGTTAATACCATTATATAGTTTTACATAAAAATGGTACCATTTCTAGTTTTCTTTATAGCAAAGCTGAATCAGAAATGATGTGTATATAGGCCATTTTTTGCTTTTCGGTCCAGTTTACTTTCCGTTGGCTTCGTTTGCTAGTACTAAATTAATTGTCTGAATAATTAAGTACACAAATAGTGTTTATTGTAACTGAAATATGGTGGAAGGCTGGGGAATTCGGTTGATTATTCTGCTATTTTCCTTATTTGTTCTCTCCAGAACGAAATATCAAAGTATGTGAATTTTATTTAAATAATACTGGATTCTTGGTTGATTGTTTTAAAAAGATTTCTATATTAAATATTGTTTTTCTTTATTTGAAATAGAGGAAGTACGATTCCACGAGCTGGAAGGCGATAGGATCTTGTTAAAATGTCCAGAATCTGGAGAGAAATGTCGAATATTAGGAATAGAATTAAGATCAGATGCATGCCACAAGACCTTGATTAGTATTCCTACTAAAAGTAACTCTTGTCATATTTCTGCTAAAGTCTTTCCCTTCTCTGTACAAAATTGCACTAATATGCGACAAAACTCGGCAAAAGTTCATTATAAGTGTATTTCAAAGGATGATCCTGTAAAAATTTGGTCCTATTGTTATAATACTGAAAAAATGCCCAAACGTATTAGCTGCTCAACTGAACAAAACATACAATTAAAAAAAGTCACCATTTCCGAGTCTACAGGAGGAGATTTAGATGGAAAGCCATCGTGTTTACCAACAAAAACTGATTGGTCATATACTGACAATGATTTAGCTTTTCTAGATCCATTTCTATGTGATGGATTTTCAGAGTGCTCGAGTTCTATGAAATATCCCAGACAAAATCCAATTATTGCGCGAAAAGGGAATTACGATAGTTATCATGTTATTAGTTACATTTCTATTGAATATCTTTGCGTAAATAATCAAAAATATCGAGGTAATGGAAATCAGAAAGTTTGGGTTTGTAATCCACACAAATTTGATGAAATGAAAGTTACCGCCTTAACTATTAACACTAAGAATATTCAATGTTTGAATGGTATGTATTAAAGAATATTTTCGATTAGAAATGTAATATAACAAGTGTTTCTTTATAAATATACAGCTATAGACCTGAATAATCCCATAAAAAAAGAAATTACAGATAAAAGAGAAGCTTTTATAAGATTATTTATAACTGCTAAACAACATTTGACTCATGGATCTGGCAAAGAATATTGTTGCTCCTTACAACCAAACTCATCAAAGTCAATGAAAGCTTCATTCTCATCAATTAGTCACTACGGCTCTCGCTTTACTAAAGATGCAAACCGTATTGATATTATACCAGAGGAAATACAACCGAATGATGGATACGTATCAGTAAACAATCTTATAAGAATATGTTATATTTCAAATAGAGAAAAGATTGAAATTATGCAATCATCGTTTTTATACGTAACATCATCTGGTAATCTAAAAATTCAATGTCAATCAGTTAATATTGGGGGTGGACATTTTGGGAGTAGATCAACAGTTAAAACTGTAAACAGTATGGAATTTACTACAAACAAGCAAACCTCAAATTTATTCACTCAGTCTTTTAATAATACTAAGAATTCTGAAAGAAATATCAAAACATTTAGCTTAAGCTTAGGTAATAATATTAATTATACAATATGCTTTAATAAGCGCAGTTTTTGGATATTATTTGTTTACTATTATTTTCTTTGTTTCAGAAATCTTAATTGTATTAGTAATAAGCATTGCAATAGGCCTGATCATTGGTGTTTCTACAGTATGTTGCATATTTGCTTGTATAAGGTCAAGAATAGCTGCGAAGAAAAAACGAATTGCGAAACATGTGACTCTACCCAATTTAAATCAAGTGTGCTACCAGGAGAATTTTCCTTTAAAGGAACAAACTGCAACGCATACTATCGACAGATATCGACCTTTACCTCGTACTAGAGAGGAAAGACCTATTTCCGAGCACGATTATGAGACTATACCGGAACCATCTGATAATTATGGTGGTTATTTGGAGGCAACCGACTTTCAGAGTACGTTTTTAAGAGAGAACCATATTATGGACATGGTTGACAATCCACGCTATTTGAGGTCGACTGATGCTGTCTTATCAATGATATAATTGATTTTGAGAGAGAGAGAAAGAAAGAAAGAAAGAAAGAGAGAGAGAGAGAGAGAGAAAGAAAGAAAGAAAGAGTTTAAAAAGAGTACAGACAGAAAAATAAATTTGTTTCATCTATCTTTTTTTATAGTCCATTCTATCAACAAATTAAAAAATTAAAAAAAAATAATATATATGTAACATTATGCTTTTCAAAATATTCATTTTCAACATGTAGCATGCAACCAATATTATAGTAGATTAATCGGGAAAGAGACGGTAGTTACAAATATATCCGATAGATGTCACTAAAAGTAGAAGAGTGTTTGAGGTATTACTGTCCGAGTTTGAATCAACATTTTGCCTTTCAGGGGGAAATCGATCTACAGATCGAACAGGAGGCGTTCTGTGAGTGATTCTCCTTATTTCTCCAATTTTTATCAATGATAGTTCGGCATCCATCAAGATAATAGGTTTCCTTTGATTGATGGCGTCTAATAGAAATCTGACTCTTCTTAGGCATTCCTCCTCTCGTGGTTTTATCGAGTAAACAAAATTTGAAGGCATTGTATGAAGCACTTTTAGCCGACACTTTTCCGGGCCGTCTCTGTTAATTATAGTCACTAATTTGTCCATAATGGAATAAGCGTCCACATAAATATCGTCTCCTAATAGGTCTCTTTCCTTAACGCTAAGACCGAGATGGAAAAACAGACCACTTCCGGGAGTCGTGAAATTTCGCGGTCTTGCACAAACCGTTTCCGCCTGAATACACTTGCACTGACCACGAATACTGTCCGTAAAAGATGTTCCACTATCTGAATTTGTTTAGAATATGTGAGGTATGGAATAAAATAGAACTTTTGTATGATTACCATATGAACGATCATCGCTCATTTGACACTTTTTGTCCTTACTCACTCTTGAGCAATGTAACGTTTTGCAGGATAGACTTCCATTAGAATGACATATGCATAGATCTCCGCAATTTGATACTCTATATATACGAACGTACTTAGGTACGCTCATGTAGGGAGGCACTTTTGATGCGATGTATTGCTGACACTCTGTATGTAATGCACATATTTCGCATATTAAACGCAGCTTATAGCTACAATAATGCATAAGAAAAACTTTATGCCTTTGTCACTTTTAAGTAAAGTTCCATTAATCATCAAAAAGTAGCCACTAGGCCTATTCTTAAAGTAATTATTTACCGAATAGTAGACGTTTATAGTAAGAGCCCTGACTGAAAAGCTGGCCAACAGCTAAAAATGTATTTTTTAAGTGAAAAGTCATTTGTATTCTTCTCATTTCTATACCTAATCTATTTATGAATAAAAGAAAATCCCTTGAAAGTAATAAAACTCTTCAAATATTTTACTTTATCATCATTTCCCATTTGAAAAAAGAAAGTGATCTTTTAAAGTTCTCCTAACATTCCCTTAGATAATATAACAAAACCTAACGCTTGTCCTTTTTGTGTAACAGTTGGAAATAAACATATTTTGTGCAATGCATATAAATCTTTAAATAGCCTATTGTAGTTTTACATTCAAAAATCTTTACTTTAATTAACGAGTCGAACAAGCAAATTATAGCTTTTGATAATTTTTTTCCCCAACAAACAGTTCAACTTGAGAGTACAAATATTATATAAAGGTGCGTTAAATATAGATGATTTTCTTTCTATCTGACTCCCCTATAGATTTCTCTCTCTCTCTCTCTCTCTACATCTCCCATCAATATGAATTTTCTTACCGTTGGAAACTACTTGGCCTTGAGGTGGAGCCACTGTAGAACCATTTACCCTCCCTAGGCTAAACGCTAATTCTGCAATAAACAACGAATTAGTATCGGCATATTGGGAATATGTTTTCCTGATCAGCGCCACCTATCCATCGATATTTAAATTACAGTCAATAATTACGCGCTTAATCAAATTCCTTCCGCCAACCTTTACAAGTGCTTTTTCCAAATAATCTCTTTCTCGCTCGAACGCATCTACTTAGAACGTCCGAATGACCTCTATTGTAGCATGTGCAGTTCGTCATTAACAATGTGCCCATCGCTTTTTCAATAGCATCTCGACATTTCTCAATCGAGCATCTTCGAACGCTTGAGTCATCATCTCCGCAAAATTCATTTAAAGACTCCAATGTCTTCCTAACAGTTTTATTTGATAAAAAGAAAACGGATAGTTAAATTCATATGAACATATTTTCTTTTACCCGCATCCTTCCATCTTCTCACAGTCGTCCACTAGCTTTTCACAACCAATGGGTTTTGGCTTTGTAACCTTTTTAAGGGTGAAGACCATAATTAATGTCATATTGACTTTGTATCACTTTACTCTTATTCCAAGAATACTTTCATAAAATATCATCTTTAAATATACTAGTATTTCTTATAAGAGTGACAGAAGTGAACAAACAATGATTATATTTATGTAGATATTGCTATTTATAATATATATTTTCTATATATAGTCATCATGTGAACTGTACTGTCGTTCTGTATTCTTTTTTTTTATCTTCTCTCTCTTTTCTATTGCTTTTCTTCTTTTCATATAACGGTTGAGTAGCTATTCGATTGCATCTTAATCTTGAAATTAAATACTTCTACAACTATTTGAGCGCCATCTTGCGGTGATTTAAATACTTTAGATACGGTTAATTTCTTACCTTCGCACAACTAGGGGTTAGAATATTCTTGGCGAATAAGCACTTTCTGTCCGCTTTATTCGGGCAATCGCAAAAAAGTAGTGGCCGTCTAACTTGAACATCCAAAGACGATACAAACATTTTGATCGAATTTAAACATTTCTCTCTTGACGAGCACGGTGAGCAGGTCGTAAAAACTCTATCTAATCTTGCTCTACATTCAGAATTTCGGTGACAGTTCCGAAATGCAGCTGTACAGGAACCATCAGATATTCCGTTGAGACCGATAAAATCAGCTAGATCATTAAAAGTGCCTCCTTTAAATTCCATCGACAATGAGAAGACGTAATAAGGAGCATCAACTGTTTTAATTTCGCTAATTAGTTGAAGATTAATCATATGGAAATTGAATTAATTAGTATTACTCCCAATCGAACTAAGCTATCAAAATTGCACCAACAGCCATTTCTGAGGGTGAGAATTTACATAAAAACAACATAAAAGTAAACTTTCTCTCGTTCAATTTCAATAAAAAGTTCGATATAAACCCAGTTTATTGATTGAGCTAATTAACTAAAAGACTTTTAATCAGAAAATTTAAACTTCTACTTACCTAAACAAGTATTATTAGCTAAACGGTTAAAAATGTGTATGCAACGATCCAACGTCTTCTTCTTTCTCATGGGACAGGTGCAATTGAAGAGCCCGTAACCCTCCAACTTGGCGATACTCTTCAGGCAACTGGAACTTAATTATAAAAAAAAACAGTTTATATAAATATATATATATACAGTATATACAGTATTTTTAAAGGAATATGCTAAAGAGAAGATTGTTCACATATACAGATAATTATTAAAGTAGGATGTCTTATAAGGAAATCTCATTGAATTTGGGATTCTCTTTCAAACTTAACAAGATTACGAAACCTAAAAAAAGGAGTAAGAAAATTTCGTTATCTTTTTCTCGATTTTTTTCTTATTCTAAATGAATAAACTCTCCATAATAATTTTGAAGGGAAGAGCAAAATTAGTAAACTATTACTATTCAAATAGCGTTTTCTCTCTGTTTTACCATCAGAAATATTCTAGCACGTTTTTTAGTTAAGCCTAGATATCCTAATACTTAATACGGAAGTGATTCATCTCTTTCCTAAAGAGTTTTAATCTATTTTTTCACGATTGAGAGGAATAATTTGCCCCTTTTTTGTTTTTTAATCAAAAAGATTTAGCTGACCAAAAGTATGACAAAAAAAAATTCGGAATGGGAAAAAATATTCTCAAAATGAAAAATAAATAAATATAAATAATATAAAAAAATAATCTTTGTTCATCATTTATTATAAATATAGAGGGAAGCATACAGCAATATGCTCTCTCTCTCTCTCTCTCTCTCTTTTTTTTTTCTCCGTCTGTCTTTCTTCCAGTACAAGTTTACTGCATATGCAGCATATATACAGTATATATATATATATATATATATATATATATATATATACAGTATATGTATATTCCATACATGTAAAATATATCTGCACTTGCATGTATTTCTTAGAAATAAAAAAAAAGAGAAATTAATCAAGTGACGAACCTATATTTGGTTCAGTCTGGAAGAAATGGTGAGATAATACGAGGCGTATAGTGAGAATGTGATCTTATTTAGTGATAAACAATTGAATTCCCTTTGAGGAAAATGAGACTAACAGATAAACTTCCTGGCCAAAGAGAAGCATATATATTTTAAGTAAGATTGTCCTAATCGTCTTAAATTACACGAAATAACTAAAGGGAGTGCAACGGTGCAACTAAGATTTGGCTATTGAGAATTCAAATGTCCCCTCGTCAACCTATAACACTAATAGGAAAACTCAAGTGTACGAAGTGTAACGAGATTGATGGATGATCTGCTATGATCACATGACCAACTCGCTCCATATATAACTTAAACTATGTAAATTAGATATTGATACAGTATATTTATTTATACATTTTAGGGCAATTAAGTTTGCAAGGAGTGAATGTTTATCTGTTGCAAAGCTTAAGGATATTTTGATAGTTTGCAATAATGGGAAAAACACGAATATTCTGCCTCCCAAGAATACTCTTTCGGGCACTTGAAAGGAAAACTTTTATAAATGACATTTATCGATGGCATTTCATGTTGACTCCAAAAACTGGACATTTTATAATTCAATAGCATCTTTCATATTTTTTATCTGTTCTTCGTCTTTTTCTTGTTAGTTTTTAGCAGATCAACTATTTATCTTACACTCTAGTCAATTTTATATATAAAAAAATTATGAATAATTGATATAAAGGGAAAGAAAGTATGAAAATGAAAAAATAAGAGTAAGCTATAGATATGAAATAGAGAAATAGGAAAAGAGAGACAAGAGGGAGAAAGAGAGAGAAAGACTTAATAAGGCACAAGTGCTAAAATCTGTCGTGTACAGAACGTAATTTTTGCGCTTAATTCGTGTTTTTTTTATTCATAGTTTTGCCAGTTTGGGCCTTGTGAGAATTTTCCTTGATAGTTTCCGTTTTAGAGTGTTTTATATAGAAATCTAGTGGACGTTATTCCACAATTACAACTAAATGTTGACAATCTTCATTGATAGTTTATTTGTCGTTTAAGAGGGAAGACAAATATTTTTCATATTGGTTATGAATAATTTGTTATTGTCCGAATAGGTCCTTTTGTTCTTTTTGTTATCCTGATTCAATTTTCCTTTACGTTGCTCTATTGATTGGAAGAGCGTTAATCATAACTCCTACGATACGATCCGCAATTCTTATAAATGTATTAATTGTATAGGGATTCCGATGTCTTTACTGTCACGTTCACTGATGCGCATGTAATGAGAATTAAAAGAGCAGACGTACAGCCTACGACCAAGAGCCTAAACCCCGGAACTTTATTAAAACAAAGGAAGGATATTTTCAAAACTCACTGGTCATCGGCCAGACACGCTTCCTTCCTTTTCTTCTCACGACACGTCCGTCTGTAATCCGTCAATCTCATACTGCAAGCGTAATCTTTCAGACAATCCGACCGTCTAGCTATGCACGATTTAGCCGCCACGACGCCAGCGTCTTTTTTTAAATTCTGTGAACGCTTCTCCCGGCATGGGTGAGAGTGCAATACGCTGTACTCTAAAGACGACGGAGGGCAATCGTCCAGTTCCTCATAATCATGCAAAATCTTTAAAATACTCCGGCATTCATTATACATATGGCGTTGAGTTTTGCAATAAGTATTATTTGGTGAACCACAAATTTCCAATGAAGTATGTAATAATATGCTGCAGGTTTCGTTACAGTCATTCGAGCAAGCATGAAACTGATGTTCTTGATAGGACGGTACTGCTATCAATTAAATAAGTTATAGTGAGATACAAATGTATATACATATTCAATTATTTCATATAAAAAATAACTATTAATAAGATATAATAAATTCAAAATATCATTTAATATGTTTTATTAAAAAGTGATCTGCCATTTTTTCCCTGTGACGTTTCCCTCATAAATCACTCTTATCTTGAGAAAAGCTAATTGATAAGAATCTCTCTCTCTCTTTGTAATTTCTTAAACAAATGTAATAATCAATTATGGACGGTATACAACTTTAAAGAATTTTTTAAAAAGTCTGTAAAAAAACTTTATTACAGGGAGATGAAAATATTTATCTATTTATAGAAAATTTTTAATATTTTACCTTTTCAACATTTTATATTATATATAATTGCATAAGTTCAAAGTGACATGATAACTATTTACTTCGATTTGCAAATGAGAGCAGCTTTGTAGCAAATAGGTACAATTGTAATGATGTCGAAGAGAGAGAGAGAGAGAGAAAGAGAGCGAGGAAAGAAAGAGACAGAGAGGCAGAATAGGAGACAGAGAGGGAATGAGATAGAGAATGACAGAAGGACAAGGATTGAAAAAAGTTAATACAATCCTATTATAAAAGAAAAATAGCCGTCAGATTTTTGTCTAAGCCATCTAAGCCAGCAATGAAATTTTTTTCTTAACATTATTGAAAAAATGAAAATGAAAAAAACTGTTCCCTTTGTTTTTTTTTTCAGTAGCTTGAATTCGATAAATAATAGACAATATTCCTTATTTTCTTTAATATTTAATAAGAATAGTCAAATGATAGGGCGCCACTATGGAATATTCATATTTTAATTCTAATCAATCATTTGCACTAGTTTTTATTTTGTCTAATTTCTATCAATCCCCTATACTTATTCGCAATAGATGTAAATAGATTTTCAGTGCAGAAGCATCTTTTCTTAAAAAGAAAACTATCTTAATTGTTTGTTTGTTAGAGAATAGAAGTGATTTTTAAACTTTGCAACACCCACCTTTGTCTAGTTTTCGTAGGTTATTTAATGTAATATTAAAGTCAGTATAGCGTATTTTTCATGTCTTCTGTTTAATTAATTCAGTCATTATCCTTTCCGATGATGTCTGTACATACATCTTGCATAATTGAACAAAGTCTTGCGTTATTATTTGATTTAGAGGAATTTTTTTTACTTATACATGTATTCATTCAATACATAAACAATGTTAAGGCGATGACTGTCTGTACTTATTGATGTTGATAATTATGAATTTTTCCCTCAAGTTTATCTATATGTATATTTGTGGGCGTGTGCGTGTGCGTGTGCGTGTGTATTTGTAGGTACGTCTATGATCGACTCAATACTCTTACAAAGAGGCATTTTGCGCAACTGAGAAAATAAATAAAAAGTATAGAAAGAAAAAGGAAGGGAAAGAAGATAGTAAAAAAGCAATAACAAAGAAAACAAATACTTCTACTACTGCAATCGATATTATACTGTAACTGAGCGGAGGAAAACCAGTATACTTGAATTTTTAACGTTGATCCCTCCTTCTTTATATCTAATAGCTCATTTTTTGGGAGCTTTTCCTCTATTCTATGGAACGAGCAAGTATAACAAGTTTTAATTGGTAGTATGTTTTTTTTTACTGCACTGACTATAAATCCTATAGGGTAATCAACAAGACCATCTAAACTTTCTCTTAATAACGAAATAATTGAAATTCAACAGCAGAAGGTTCTACCTCATACTCTGCTTTTAATCAGGTTCAATAGGGGTCGTTGACTGAAAATATTTCCATGTCAAAGGCAATCTGACTATGATCTCACAGGTGCGAGCTTGGGCGTATGCTATGTTTTTTACTGCTAGAAACTTTAAAATATCACAAAAAGGAATTCCCTAAGGCTAAACACATGTAGTGCTGGATGAATACAGCAATAAAAAAATCTTAGGAAAATCGTCAATCATTTCCCACCGCAAATTTTCTGACAAATCTCCAATCTCGTCTTCATTTCGTTCTAAAGTTCTACTAGGCCCTCCCTGCGTACGTTCGCAGATAATTTATTTTCATATTGCAGTTGAAAAATGCTCTCACTCAAATCTAGTAGTCTCCTTACGCCTGAACATTACTTTACAAGCTTCTATAGATAATATGCTTTAATTAAATAGAATCGTGAATGAATCTAAATTGACTAACAATTAGTGTTACAACACCGTACAACTGTTATAGCGCTGATCAATGATTCATTAGCCTACTTAACATGACCTGAAAGGTTTAGACAACAATTTGTTAAATAGGAAAAGAAGTTTCCATCGCCCTTTTCAAACCGAAACGAATTATTCTGAAGTTTATATTCTACAGAAGAAAACGGCAGTGAAAGAAACAGTGCTATGTACTTTTCAATTACTTATATTATTTCTAATCTACCAGCGATTAAGAGACGCTTTTAGATGATTTATATAGTCTTAATACCCTCTTATAGTTTTTCACAAAAAGAAACTACCTGACGTAAACGAATTAGTGACAAGCCAATTGTTTTGTGTAGTTTTACACACACAATATGTATAAATATACATAGAATATAATAGATATATATTAGTATATATACTGCATAGTATACAGTATATACATATCGTTTTAATTCTATACTTTTACTGGTTACTGACAGATTACATACTTTAATAGATGCTATTAAGTCACTTACCAAATGTGAAAAGTAAAAGGAAAAGAACCATTTTCTGGTTTGGAATTTCTTTTTCAGCCGCAGAAAAAGTGCTTTTTCCTAAAAGTACACAGGATTTTTGCAGCGGTCGCCGTCAATTTTAACAATTGCGCCATCTGTTGGATAATTCTCCTAAACTCTGAGAAAGATGACATCTACAATTTGTTATGGTAAAATGTATTGTTTGTATGGCCAATTCATCGTGTTGGAAAACTATTAGAATTTTTGAATTAAAGAACGCACAGGACAAACTATTTAAGTAAAATTTTTATTATAATTAAATACTATTAGGAAAATTGAAAGAAAAAATAGAAATTCTTAGTCCATGATGAGTTAGTCTGTTTTCTGTCGAGATAATATTTACTAACAATTACGAATCGGGCGACTACGACACTTGGGAACGACAGTAAAAAGTTGATTTTCGAGAGATATGAGTAAAAGTTGCACTTTTTTTCTATTTGGCACTAGATACTCCATATAAACAGGAAGGAAAAATGTCAAAAGAGTACTTTAATTTATGAGAGGCCTTCTAGATTTCTCTTAAGTTCTCTTTTAACTTCGTCTTCTCATTTAACTGCCTCTTTCAGTTGATGATTAAACACATGGTATATCAATAATAAGGTCAATTATGACAATAGTTCGGTATGGAGAAAGAAGAAATTTCTCATTGTCATATTCCCGAGACTGTAAACTACAGCTGGCATTATTTCTGTAAAAGGAATACTATTTTATAGTAAGCTTCTTTTTTCATATTCCTTAATAAAGTTCTGTAAGCTTCTCTTTAAAAAGTGAAACTTTAAGAAAACAATCTTATTAGTTTTTCTCTAAATAAATAGAGTTTTCTGATTGCAGCGTCGACATTCTATATAGCAAATATTCGGCAGAAAAAAAGAAAAGAATGAAGAATCCAAGAGATTAGTTGTAAGCATCATTTTCTTTTTACTTTAAATTAGCAAAATACGCAGTAATTCAATACATTTATCAGATCGTATCATAAAAGTGTACTTTACTTTCTTACGTAAGAGTTCTTATTTATATTTTAAAGATTTATCAACTTAATATTTTAATCTTAAAGTGTGATATGAACAATAAAGTGTTTGTAATACGGTTTCAAGGCACAGTATATAAGTATACTATTAGCTTCCAACGTAGGAAGCTCTTAGCTATTTCCTACAATTTTCTTATTTTGGGCCAAAACGTGCTTAAAATACGAAATATATTATTCTATTGGAGAGTAAACTTTGAAAATTAAAGGCCTATTTAGGAAGATTGGGTACTTAGTGATGATTTCACAAATAAGATATAATGTTTAATGATGAAGAAGAGAGCCAGTTTGAAATACAGAATGATTTTTAAAATATCTGTTTGACAATTCCATAAGATTACCGTTGCGAAAAATTACATCGCCACCCTAAACGGGAATAAGGCTGAAGTTTTACTCAGAGTGGTTTAGAATTTGCAATGTTTTTCTTGTGGAACGTAAAACCAACGGACCATTTCCCATAATCTTAATTACGCAACAACGCTATTTGCTACTATGCGAGAAGGTTAAGCAGACGTAAAATCTTTTAATATCATTCGATTTTTAAATAAAGGGAAATTTTCCATAACTTTATTTCCAATAGATTTCATTTTTGCGTATAATTTTTTTTCTTTGAGTCTAAATGAAAAGATTTTTTTTTTGAGGTTCTGAAAGTAAATTTAGTTTCATTTTCCAGAGAAAAACACTATATAATATAATATATAAGATGGGGAATGAAGCAATTCTCCGATGCATCATAAGAGACAGATTGATCATCACTACTGTTCTTTAACCATTCTACCCTCTTCGTAATGTTCATTGATCTGGAAATGAGACAAACTACTATTTTCAGTGAGAAGATACAATATCATTGCGAAGTTTTCTAATGATATTTAAGTACTGTATGAAATTCTCTAGTCCCCTCTCATCAAACCAACTATTTGGAGAAGAGTGTCAAAGTTTTTCTATACCTTTTTCTATCCCTGTTCCTCTCCTTCCTCCTAATTTAATGCATGAGACCCAAAAAACTCTTCATAGATAACGGAAACAGGAAACTATTGAGCCGAATGTCGATAAGTAGTGCTATAGATTGGAGTGAAAAGAGGAAACGAAACAGGAATATCTGTTTATATCGTTTCGAGAGACAACATTGATTAAGGATTGATATTTTCCCCCGTAATACAATGGACTTATCAACAAAAAAGCGGAATATAGCATTTTGAAAATGTCAGATTTTATATTAATTTTTAAAAAATCTCAAGTTAGCTTTCTTTCTAATATGTCTTTTATAAAATTCTTCTTGGTATACTTAGAAATTAGATTATGAAACTGATATTAAGCAAAATACAGTGCTACATAACTTGCTAGTTTCCAACATTGATAACATATAGGATTATGAAAAGCTATATACATACTTGAAAGAACGTTTATTACTAATTTATAATTATGTACAGAGACATTAATAGAGCTATTCATTGGGACTAAAAGCATATTATTACCAGTATATTAAACTATAAAGAACAGAATAATTTTTAATCTTTATCTATTAATTTTCTGAATTTGATTTTTTCTAGATTTCCCATTTTGTAAGTCGTAGTTAATTATATATACGTAATTTGATAAGTCTTCAATGTAATCTTGATTTAGAGCATTTAATTTAGCATTTGCAATTATTTAGATACATATAATGTATGTATATGCAGTGTACATGGTCTCCATTGTACAGTTAAGATGTTTAGTTATTTATTTATATTAATTTTTAGACTTAAAGATTTTTTAAAAGGAATCTCAAGGTTGTTAAATTACATTATGTATAAATTACTATATTAGGAAACTACCTAAATAAACTAGTATTTCTATTTTATTATATAATTTTCAATTATAGAGTTAAATTTAGCAATTGATAGAAAAACTAGAGAAGGCTGGGATGGTGCGTGGGAGGGAACAAGGTGAAAAAAGAACAAAACAAGATAAATAAGATGGTGTACGCTTGTTGCTTATCAAGTATATAAGATTAGAGAAGGAGAGGAGCTAAGAATGGAATCGGAGATGGGGGGAAAAGACAAAAAGGTAAGGAGAAAGGCTGCTAGAGTGATGATAGAGAGTTGGTTGAACGAGTTGAAGGAAATAGAGAGGCAAAGAATGGCGTAGACACATACACATTAGAATGAAAAAGATTAAGCAGATAAAATAAGACAGGATATGTTAGAAAAATCCAGAAAATTTCTAAAGGTTTGCCACCCATACTTTAAATTTCAAGAAAGTATCCTCCGAATTAACGCACAAGTATTTCAAATAAGGCAAACGCCTAGGGGAGGATTTGATTGATAAAGGTCTTATAGGCCTTCATTTTATCTGAGCTGTTCGTCCAATCATCATAGCAGAATACAGAGCGACACAGCCCATACAGCCTTTGGACGCCGTCATCGTTCCTTCTCTAAATTTACCAGTAAGTCAGTCGGAAAATAAATTCTTCTGCACTCGATACTATTGTTACAGGAGGAAATAAGTTATTGTTTTTGTCTACTTAAGTAACCCGAATTTATTTAAATATACATATATCAATTTGCGGTTGGAGAGCAGAAGAGTATATCTTTTTGGGATTCTGAATGACCGAAAAAGAAGCATGCTGATATTGTCTCAGCTACTAATGGCTTTGATCACTTACCCCTGTTTGTTGAGAAGTTAATAGACTAATTAAACAATAATTCGGCATTTCCTGCTTTTATTTCATGTACAGGTGCAGCAACAAGGAATTTAAGTGATGAAGAGAGACTTTTAATAAACCTTTTTAAGGATTATAACCCTTCCGGTAAGTTGTATAGTTTTTGTCTTTGTTATTTCTAGTCTCTTCTCAATATTCGATAAACAATTAAGAATCTATTGAATAAAGACCACGCTTTACAAGCAATTTCTTGGCTCATCATCTTCAACCCTTCTCGTACTATCTCCCTCGTTAAATGTTTTCAACCTATTTTACGTGCTTTAAGCCTATATTGATTTTTTTCGTCCTGATTTCATCACCGAATAACAAGACCAATGTGTGACATTTAATTTTCTAGTGAAGTTTTTATTATCGTTTCCAAAGCAGTAGTACCGATGTTATATGATAAATTGTTACATTAACAATTAACTAAAAATTCGACATATTCTTATGACCCTTTTGTCACATTTTTCATATCTTTCTCTTCCTATTAACTCGTTTGTAAGAGACTCGGACAGCAAGCTATTATGGATTACAATAATCGAAAGATATTTCTAGACTCTATTATCAAAACAAAATATATTTAAGCCATATAAGCTTTCAGTAATGTCCTATAAAAGTAAAGAAGTTTCTTGTAACGTTTGTACATGTTATTTAACAGTGGATACTTTTTTACTTGCTGCAAATGTCAAATATTACATTTTGCTAATTAAGAAAGTAATCATTCCTCCTGAACTTTTCTCCTAAAATTTATTTAAAAGTACTGTTAATTTCTTGGGAATGTTGTGTTCTTTATTCACTTTTATAGTTTCCACCCCCTTCCACAAAAACCATTAAGCCTGTCGACTGAAAAAAAGAACGTCTTCTAGGCAAGGTTTCGACAGCTATTTCTAGATGTACTCTATTGTGAGTCTAGAGAAATCACTCAACGTTAACGTTTTACGAAGTATAGGCGAGAAGATTAAAACAATATCCCTCTCAAATAATAAATTACCAAAAAGTAAAACACTTTCTCAAAAGAGAAGTTTCCTTTCGTTTCAGTTTAATCTGTTAAGACTTTTGTGGCGTAAAAAAAATTAACTTCAGATCTATGTTCTTCAGCATCCGATAAGTTCTCCAGACAACTACTTATTTATTGAAATCCTTAAATAATATCAAATAAAAAGCAACATTTACATCAATAACCGCAAAGCACGAATTCTTTATCATGATGAAATCTAATTAGCCAAATTTACATTCCTATCATTTGAAATTTACAATGCATGTCAACTAAAATAACTTTGTATTATTTTTATGTATAAATGATATTCTTAGACAAGTGAAATGAAGTTAATTTAATACTGGAAAATAGAGACAAAGTGATGATAAAGCTCTCTACAAGGAGATTATTTATGCAACTGGAAAATACGTTTAAAAAAGATGTAGGAAAAAGACTAAATTCTAATAGTAATTAGGTTATTGATTCCTTCCTTAAATTAGTATCAGTAATAGCATGAATAGGATATCTTTTCTTAGCAATTAAATATTTATATTAAATGACCAACATAAAGTGTAAATTAATACATTTTCATAAACTTGTTCAGCTATCCTTATTTCTCAGAATAAAGGTGAAAAGTAACGCTTAAATTGTTTTACATGATTGTAGAAAAAGAGCTCGACAGCAAAGCCTATCCCTTTAGCCTTTACGTAGGTGATAAATTGAAAAAGGACGTTTCCTAGTAATTGATTAATTGATTTGGCGAATATTTTAATACCCTATAAATTTAAAACGAAACGTAAATTTATTAAAAACCTACTTAAGTTTTAAATATTGTTTATAAGCCTTCTGAAACATTTTCAATAGTTTTGATAAGCTCTGAAACTGATTGTCACATACATTTCCCTTCGACAGCTTGGCAATTCCCTTGCTAATTCGGTAGCTGTCTTGCCGAATACATTAGGAAAACGATTATCGAACGTTCATCAAACTTCACAAACGTTTGCGTCATGCTTTGTAACAAGGAGAGGAAAATTTTTTTCATTTTCTTGCTGACAGTCCTTCTACAGCAAAAATAATCTTTCAAAAAATAAATTTTTTTTCCCTTTCTATAGACTTCTTTGACATTTTTGTCAGTTTATACAAATAGAATATATATATGTATATATATATAAAGTAATATATATGGGTCAATAGGCGTTCACCCCTTTCCAACACAAGTTTCATCACTCTCTAATCTTTCGAACAGCCCGCCCAGTCATCGATTCTGCCAATACCGTCACAGTTGATATCCAATTTTCACTGATGCATATTAAAGATTTAGATGTTCGAAGTCAGGTATTCACAACTACGGGTCTACTAATTGTAGAATGGATAGATGAACGTCTCGTTTGGAATTCTACAAAATTTAATAATGCATCTGATATGATTGTTGAGGCGGATCGCCTTTGGCGTCCGGAGTTTGCTGTAATTAATGGAGCCGAAAAACTGTATGAAGATTACAAGGCTTTCAGAGCATCTATATCAAGCATTGGACAAGTTCATTGGGAGCCAGGGGGAGTTTTTAAAGTAACTAGAAAACGCATAATCAAATTATTTTAATAAAAGTGCTAGATTTATTATAGCTTCTTAGTTACTTTCAGACAATGTGTGAAATCGACATTACATACTATCCTTTTGACGAACAAGTTTGCGCCTTGGTTTTTGGCGCCTGGAGTTATCACACATCTAAAATGAATTTGACAACTTCAACATCAGTCGTTAATTTAGATAGCTATAAAACAAATGGCGAATGGGAAATTTTTACAACATCTGCAGTTCGCAACGAATTCAATTACGAATGTTGTCCGAATGAAAAATTCTCCAACGTTGAATTTAAGGTTTACTTAAGGAGGAGACATACATTTTACGTTCTGAATGTTATCCTTCCTAGTATTATGACTTCCGTTCTTTTACTTTCTGTTTTCTTTTGTACGCCAAATCAGAAGGTTAGTCTCGTCCAAGAGTATTTAACTCTTTGCTGCTGTTCTCTATTAAATTTTGTCACTTATACTTAAACAGGTTCAGATAGGCGTTGTTGTGCTTCTCTCTTTTCGAATCTTTTTACTAAATGTGGCTGGAAACATTCCAAAGACATCTGATCACATACCTCTACTGGGAATTTATCTAACAGTGACCATGGCAATTACGACTCTCTCCATGGTTTTGACGGTTTTTGTCCTTAACTTACACTATATCTCAGATCGGCCAGTACCATCTTGGGCAAAAACTCTCATTATCGACTACATGGGAAGGTGTATGTGTATGTCATCTTATAAGAAGGATAAAAGAAGGTCGACGGTGAACGGTATAACTTTAGAGAAAATTGGGGAAAGAATTGCAAGACATACCATGGAAGAAGAAGGTTTTATTAAAGATTCTGAAGAAGATTTCAGCGCTGATTGGAAAAGAATGGCAGAAGTTTTCGATAGACTTTTCTTTTGGTTCTTTCTTACAGCGATACTAATAACAACTCTTATCCTCTTTCATCCGTTGACTAAAGCTTGTATGAAATTAAATTGTGCCACTACTAAAACTTAAACTCAGAGTATTCGGCTATTCTTTTCCACTGTGTAATAAATTACAGAAGAAAATTTGTTTTATTGTAAACAATAAGTAAACAAACAAACAAATACAATAACTTTTGAAATTTTTTACTATAATTGTCTACTGTAAAACCAAGTGCTCAATTGCTGTGTCAACAAACCTAGTCAAACAAGCTTTCTCTTGTTTGTCTATTGTTTCTTCTTTTTGATATAAGCTTTATGATAGAAATTGAGGAATAGCGCAATTATTGTCACGCCATACGCAAGCGACGCCCACTGCATCCACATAGGATAGTCACACTGAAAATAAATGGACTGGATACCATAAATCATTCCAGTGTAAAATTGAAGTAGTTGCAAAATCGTTAAATACTTCTTCCATCCCAAATACTTTCTAACTTTGGGTCCAAAACTTGACAAACCGTAATACGTATACATAACGACATGAACAAATGAATTAATCATTGGGCCAAGAAAACTCTGTCCACCTGCTACCCACTTCACACCAATCCACCAAAGTGGGAACATCGTTGCATGATGATAAACATGTAAAAAAGATATTTGATTGTTTTTCTTCCGTAGAACAAATAAAAAAGTATCACCGAATTCTAATAATTTAGAAAAGTAGAACCACCATATAGCCCGGGCTATACGAAGCTCTTCAGGGTGATTTGTGTATGAAACTCGCTGACATGAATAGCTATAATTTAAATTTGAGCTTGCCGAAAAGATTTCAGTACAAATATGTAAATTAATGAGTATTAAAACAAAGTTATAAACAATCAACAGAGGGCGAAGCTCTAAGGCTTTACGATTCTTCATGACTATCGGCCCGAGCTGAGTGATCATTAAATAACCAAGAGTAAGCAAAAGAGTGGGAGTAAATGAGTCCATTAAAAGCCATTTTTCAACTCTCTTATCTGTTAAATAAAACTTTATTGCAGATAGTATTTCGACTTTCTATTCTATATGTTTAATCAACTATAAATTTGTACTGGTACAATAAACAAACATGACCATTCCTCTATTTATGTTACATATCGTAGTTAAGAACAAAAACTCTGTCGGCTTTTTTTGCAGACGACAACGTTTTTGATGAAAAGTAGCGATAGCAACAGTTTAATGAATACGTCAAGAATAGAAAGAGTAGAAAAGTAACAATATGTACCTGCTCTTGTGAGAGCCCAGTCGTAAAATTCCCTAAAATCTGTAATTTTTCTGGTAAAAACATTCATTTTCCAACAATAAATGACGCCAATCAATAAAGTAGGGCAAGGGTTAAGTTGCTATGGTTGCGAAGTAAACAACAGAAATAGCTTGCATAAGCACACTAGTGACCTCTATCCGGCTTCACGTCCTAGTTTGAACACGTTATTGAAGTCACCCAAGTCTAAATCATGTTGTTCCTTAACTGGCTCCAAAAAATACACCAAGAAAATAAAAATACTCGATTAGAAAATTGGCCATTAACGAGTTTTAATAGCTTATTGACCATGTCATTTTTGTATTTAGCAATGGTATATTATGGACCCAAATTTATGGAATCTAGGAAGGCGTTAAGAGTTAACAAGCTCCTTATAATTTACAACATAACATGTGTATGTCTTTCCTGTTACATGGTATACGAATTTTTGGTGACATCAATATTTAGACCCGAATGGAACTGGATTTGTCAAGAAGTTAGCAAAGATGACAACGAATTAAATTATAGGGTAAGATACTTTGTTGTATGATAATAGTATACAACTTGAATATTGAATCATATTACTGAAAGAACAAGGCGATTAAAGTTGAATGAATTTGAAGAATAGCAGTTATTGATTTCATGTAGGCAAATAGCAAATGAAATATTTTAAACTCTTTATTTTAATATGTTATTATTTAATATACATTTTTTTTTACTTTCTCTACAGCTAGCCAGAATCAATTACATCTATTATATTTCAAAATTCTTCGAATACACCGACACGTTATTCTTCATAATTCGAAAAAATAATAGACAAATTACCTTTCTACATGTCTTCCATCATTCATCAATGGCTGTTCTTTGGTGGGTAGCTATTCAATACGTGCCAGGTGGCGAGTCGTTTGGACCACCAGCAGTAAACTCATTCGTCCATGCACTTATGTACTTTTACTATACATTATCTGCAGCTGGACCAGCTTTCAAAAAATATCTTACCTTTAAAAGACATATTACTAAAATTCAAATGCTACAATTTTGTTTAGTATTTGTTAAAATGTGCACAGCTACAATGTCTGATTGTAAATTTCCTAAATTTCTACTTATGTCTGTAGCTGGATATTGCATAATAATGATGGTGTTGTTTGCCAATTTTTTCAGACAGGCATATATAAAGAAAAAAGATAAATAGTTAATTTAACTTAATAATATCGTCTGAAGTTGATTGGACTAAAGTGAAACAGACAAAAATAAAATATTACTATAATAGATACACTTCGTAATATTATATCAGAATCATATTTAATAAAATATATCAATTTTACGGTACACACTCCTCTTTAATGTTTATATTTGCATATATTTTTATAATATGCAACAAATATTACAAAATATCAGGTTGCCCGATTGCAAACGATAATTTGCAGTAGATTTAGACAAATAGCAACAGGTTTATTATCTTCTCTCTATAGCGAAGATAATGTTATATTCTTCATTATTATCTAGGATTATACTATAAACTGTCAAATATATGCAAGCCATATCTTGTCTTAGCTTCTTTTTATTATGGCGATCAGCTCAACTATAACACCCAATAAAGCATTATTATTTATACACACGGGAGAAAAATTGTAGGATTGGCTTTTTCGAATTCAAAAACTAAAAATAGAAGGGAAAAAATACTAAATCAGCGTCTTTTCTAGATAGAAAAAACTTATTTTTCCTTACAGAGAAATAACCTAAATGATATTTGTAGGTGTGGTCATTATTCATGCTTTTCAATTAGCCGTGTTTAAAAATATATTACGAAATGGCTAATTGACAGTACGTTTCACTACAATCGTCTCTTTCGCCCGATTAATTGACTAGTTATGAGCCTATTTTGGAGAAGAGTCCTTAGCAACTGATCACGTGATAGGCCTTTGGAGTGCCACCATTCAGTTTTATTTCAATATGCGCTTCGTATATAGTTTCTTTAATAGAACTATTGAAACGTACGATTTAATCGAACCAAAATATGGAATTTGGGCAATTTTAATAACGGTGGTACTTTTTCAATTAATACAATCTGTAATAACTTCTCTATACGACGAAAGAAAGTGGAAAAAAATTGAATTTTGGTCCTGGAGAAATATAGTAATATCAACAATTCATGCAAGTTGTTCAGGAAGTTGGTTCTTATTTAGGTTACTTATTATTTTTTCATTATTTGAACAATTGATAAATAAACAACAGAGTTAAATAAACTAAAACGAATATACAAATGTCTATAAAAACTATTTTCTATTCAAACATAAACGTATAGTTGTCATTTTTTTTTCTTGCAGTTTGTACACAGATCCATCACTTTTCGCAGATCCAGTGGCATATCACTCATTCAACTGTTATTTATTAATCGCCTTCTCAACAGGTAGTTCTCTTGCTATGTTTGATTAAAGCGACTCGGCCTTTGTAGTGATTAAACTATGTAAATCCGTGCAATCGACTATCGACAGAGGAAGGGATAAAATTTTAATTAAACATTAACCCGATGCGTCAACTTTCGCACTTTCTCAATAATATGATAATTGAATAATGAATGCCATATTTCTATATTGTGATTTTTTCATAGGTTACTTCATCTACGACACTCTGGATTTGTTCTTCTCTGGAAAATTGGCTAGGAATTGGGAATTAGCATTGCACCATGTAATTGTCATTTCTAGCTTCTCATATAACCTCTTCCATTGTTATTGTATTGGATTTAACACCCTAGTATTGGCGGCTGAGATTAATTCTGCATTTCTACACGCTAGAAAATTAATGCAAATGAGAGGCATATCATTCAAATCAAAAATCTATCAATTTATTTTAAAGCTCAATTTGGTTACATTCGTATTGTTTCGATTTGGTGGAATATCAACAGTAACATTAGGAATTATATTCTGGAAGCATCGTGTACCCGAAATCTATTACTATTGCGTTACTCTATGTGTTATAATTATGTGGATAATCAATTTTGTCCTATTCTTTAGGCTAGTTAAATCAGATTTTTTAAGATCATCATCGAAAATTGTTCAAAATACTACTAATAATACTAATGACAATAAAAAATTAATGTAATATCTCCTTTACAAACAATTATATGGACACTTTAAGAAATCAATAATAATAGACAACACTCTGTAAATATTTAACTGAAATTCTATATTCTCCTTTCAATCCTTGCTTTTCTTTCTCAAAAGTAAATTCTGTAGTTTTACAATATTATTTACAGATCTTAAAAATTAGCATATGGACCCAATATACACTAATAAGAATTTAAGTTTTAAGTGCTGTACTAACTAGATAATAAATAAAATAGTAAAGAGAGTATATCTGCAAAAAAAACTAATAAAATAAGGAAATAATATCTTTCTGTTCATACTGAAATTTTAATAATGAAATTTAAAAAAAGGAAAGATTTATCTTATTCCACTCTTCTACGTTTTCTCTTTGTTGTCGGATGATATTAATGTTTTTCTTTACTCACAGAAACATATATACTAATTTATACTGTGTTTTCTTTTTATATATTCCTTGCGCTTGCCTCTGTCTCTCACCTCTTTAATGTTTTATGACAATAAGTATATTGTTTTATTCCTTATCTTAGCTAATATATTTAGGTACAAAAATAATAAAGAAAGCTTGTATCTCTTTTATTGCAGATGTAGAATAATCATAATAATTAATTTTCCGTCTTTTATTATTAAATAAGCTATAAGATTTCATTAAGAGACAGAAAAAGTGGTTTCTTTATTATTCCTTCTCCTTATCTATTTTATATTAATGCAAACCAACTTTACGGTTACTTAAGTCGACAGGACCAGGAATTTTGTTACTTTCTTCCACATTAGCCCTTAACTAGCTAATTCTTATGCTTGCTTTCCCCTGACCGTCTTTTTTTATTTTGAAAGTCAAATTTGTTATCAATTCGTTTGATTTCTTCGAATGCCTGCATATTCCGCCCATTAGTTATATAAATATATATATACATACTATATAAACTTATTTAATTCTTCTTCTAGCGGACAATGGGTATTGTTTTACCAATAGACGATAGATGGAGCGATCAGTTTACTGTGACGAAGAATAAGTGGGAGTATTTGCGGTAATAATAGAAGCCACCTTGATCATATATTTATTAGGAATTTTATAATTAGAGCAGAACGATGAATTCTACTGCATTAGAAAAGAAAGATGTAGCGTGACGTATATAGAAGATAGCATTAAGAGGAAAATACAATTTGAATAGTGCTATTCAAGTATCAGTTTGAATATTGAAATACATCCTAAAAATACCATGTATTTATCAATAGGGCGTAGTTAAGTTTAAATTCTCAAAAATCATTTGTTCTTGTTTATTAACTTTATTGAATAATAGATGAAAAATTGATTATGAACACACATAATTTAGGCCGTTGGTGCTTCTACGATGTTTATATCAATTATACAATCAACAATTCAAATGCCCTATCCCGTTTTTTATCATCTCACAAACAACAATACTTGATAGAAAGAAAGAGAAATAATATACTTTTAAAAATGTGTAATTAAAAGCCTTAATTATAATCAAGGACTCATTCTAATAATCGCTACCGGATATTCTTAGTTTTGTGTTAGCACAGAGTAAAAAACATTAACATACATCACTTGTTTATACAAAACTGTTTGATGATATAAAGCAGGTGGAGACGGGATGTAGAAGAGTTATATTTATAATAAAAAAAAGAGGAGAACGTCTGTTGGGAACAATACGGTGATTCAAGAGAGGCTTTTCTTTTTTCAAGATTCATCCTTAACATTTTCAGCTACTGTATTTATATAAGCAGTTAATTGAACTGATTTTTTTCTTGTTATCTTTCGAAAGATATCACTAATAAACATTTTTCTTAGAACACCGGAAGCACAAACGGAGACAGGTATTATGCACATACCGATTAGGAGAAGAGTCTCTTTTACAGTATATCCAACTCGGAATTCAGAGTCCACTGCTACAAACGACTTATAATTTGCAACATAGTACACAATTATGTAAATTAAGTTTGGTACTAATATTGTAAGGGAATGTAACAGGGCTAGAGAGATGGAGGCTTTTCCAATATCCATATTTTCACGCATGCGTAAAGAAATATTCGAATGATTCTTGCTGATAATCTGACTGTGCTTCCTTCGAACTTTCAAAAGAGTAGATAACTTGATTGAAAAACAAATAGAGCAAATTAATGGAAATATATAAAGTAGAATTAGATGAAGAGGCAGTGTATTCTGATACCACTTATGAAATCTTGCACAAAAAGGGGCCAAGTTGCAGTTTTCACCAGAATTGGCATCTTTCATTACCAATTGAACTATTGTTGCTGTCAAATATATTGCGCAACCGCAAAGAATCTATTAGTGTTAGTGCATTTTTTCAAGAACATGTCCTAAATAGGTGTTTTTCTTAACTTCCCTAGTGATTAGCTTAGAGAGGAGATAGAATTAAATTTCTTAGTGATGAATGAAACGTACGCTGTGAGGCTAATATTTCGTAAAACGTGACTGAATGATTTTGTTACGATCTATAATCGAAGTGACAGCTGCCGTATAACATCTAGCTGACGTCTATTTTTCAAGCACGCAAAGTAGTCTTTTCTTTTATATATCATTGACTTGATCTTCAGGCGTCTCTTTTTATCAATAAATTCTTTGGGAGAATTATCTAACAAACTTTGTAAGTCGAGAGGACGATTATCGTCAAGTTGCCAAGTGACCAGATATCATCTGCCAACTTAAGGAGTCGATTAAGCTTAGAGCTTTTTTTATAAGAAACTCATAGATAGTACACTGAAAATTTGTCTGAAAAAGGAATGTCGAGAAAAAATGCACTAACAAGTAAAATGACGACTCGACGACTAAACCGGGCAGAACAAACGCTGATTCTTTTTGTTGGATACTCAAGGGCTATGATGCGGTCCAATAGAATCCCAGGTGGCAAGAAAACAATAACAAAAATTAAACTTGTTCTACAAGCTTCCAACAAGCATGTAACTTCATGATCTAAAGTTTTCCGGGCGTCACTAAACGCTAGCGAAGAGCTAGAATCGCTTATTTCTATTAAACAATATGAGAACATCGCTGCTGCTATTGCTGTAAAATAGACGCCATATGATTGTTTCCTGTTTGATTCCAATCCGCAAACTAGGATAAGTAAAACATTTAATCCTAGCGAGATAAGGGACAAAACAATCCATACAATCGAAAAAACAGTTTCAGCTGTTTTTACCGTACAGTTCATTTTCCGTTGTCTGTGGTTTTCACCTGTACAATACTGAGTAGATATGGTTAATAATCACGCTTATAAAATATATTTACCTTGTCAGTACATTTACATCCTTAATAGGCCTTTTACTCTGGATAATGCAGTTGTTGCGGAGTTTTATTATGCATCTGTTGTGTTATTAATATTCGCTTTTTTCCATACTTTAGTGATCTATCGTCCGTTAAGTTTGGTTTTTTTTTGAATAAAGCTTCACTGTTCCAACATATGTAGTTAGTTAGCAAGAATGTGATCGATCTTCTTAATATATGCAATATTGAAGAGTTGAATAAATCAGTCTTGTAAAAAATGTAATACAAAACTGACTGATGTATAGGCTTGAAAAGTCTCTTTCCCCAGCACTGTCATCTGCTGGTTTAACTCCATTTAACCTGTGAACGATTGGCTGGTACGCCATCTGCCGTTAACAAATGAACGATACAAGGCACAGTGAAAGTAGAATGAAAGTATGTGAGAAACTATGTAAAAATTCATATATTAGGTTATTTTCATCCAGAGTGATTAATTGTAATATCACCACATCAAAATCCTGACATAGGTAATCCTCTCGATCTCGGGCAGCAATTCTGTCATCTAAAACGCAATAACTGTAAAGTAGATTTTCCCTAGTCAATATCTATTTTATTTAAATCCATCAACGTATCAAATGTTCATTACGAAGTCAGCGAAACTCTTCAAAGAATTTAATTCACCACGCACATCTAAACCCATAAAATGCCTATATATTTACTGTAAAATACAGTAATCATCAAATTAAAAACCTTATACGTGACTATCACTTCGTCAATTATTCACAAATTGAAATCTCCATTAGAGTAACCATAAGATTGAAGTACTTTGGTCTGTGCAAAGTTTACATCGTTTCTTGATCTGAAAGAACGTAAAAAATACGAAACTGGAGAAACTTATAGTGAGTCGTCGAGTGCTCGACAAACTTAACGAACAGCTTGTGCAAACTGCAGCAATAGACTACCGCAAACCTCCGGCTTTTTATATACTTTTCACACCCACTTTCTAAATAAATCGTGACATACTAAGCTATACAGTATAGTTCTTTGCAATTGTTCCTTCGAACTACCAACTTTCTGCATTTTCTGATCCACTTAAACGAACTCCAAATCTCCAATTGAATTGAACATGCCCACTTCTGGCCAATTAATTAGTCCTTATGAATCTCAATTCAACACGCTCCAAGTCTTTCCGGAGCTAATTGGACTAAGAAAATTATTGAACGCCTAACTTCCGTTTAACGAGAGAAGTGAATAAGTAATGCATTCCTTAACATTGCTGTGTCAAGAAAAACTTATCATTTTCAAGTATCTAATCATGATTTTCCTGTAATCGAACTAATTAAAGATATTTATAGGAGTTTGGCAGTTTTTTTTTAGAAATAGTAGGCTAAAAGTGACATTAATAGGAAAGAGAGGTTTTTCACTTTCTAAATGTGGATTTCACCTGTAGAAATGCATTAATCAATTATACCTTATTAAACCTCAGAAGGCGTCGAAAATTGACGAAATAGAACATATAGCTTAGAAAGACCTTGTCAAACTTAAGGTGATAAATTGTGACAAACTGGACTTTGAACCTTTTTATGGCTCTTTTTCTCGACTTTTTCTACGGGGACATAGATATTCCATTAGAAAAGACGCTTTATAGGCTCCGTTATAAGCGTTCGATTCATTTAGTGTTGGTAAATTGGACGATCAAGACGTTTATTCACTTATATGGTAAATGGTTTCCCGATCAATCAACTATCTATCATCAATATATTTCTCACGTATCTCATCGGAGCTCATTAATCCATAATTTATGCGCGCGTCTGTATCTTTCTTTTTTCTTCTTCTTCTTTCTTCCGTTTAATTAAGGAGCCCAGAAAGAAAAAAGATATCGATTTTATATCAGGCAAACTAGTTCATAAGCCTATACAGGGCAACAGCCCAAGGCGGAATTTAATCCTTATGCCCAGAATAGTGTTTGGTTCACACAAACTTAAGTAGGCCTACTTGTGTATAGTTATATATTTTCATATCTATACCGAGGAATCTAAATCTTGGATGCGTGACGTAGGAGACAGTCTAATTCTTTTAGCCGCCTCTCATCAACTAGCCAATATTTTTTTGGGATGGTTATTAATAGAAGTGATGATGATCTATTTATGGAAAAATAGAAAATTGATAGTCTACCGAATAAGAAGATTCATAGTTAAGAGCTTCTATGTAACGAACCAATGTCCAGAAGGTCGAATATAGCTAGTTACCTTTACACACAACGTTCTGTGAAGAGATGAAGAGATGTAAACTGTTTGTTTGTATATAAATAAAGGTTTTAAGGATATTTATCTAAGCAAAATATGAATAAAGTGAAAATGTAAGTTTTTATATAAAGTGGGAAATTTCCTAAATCGGTAATTTCAAAGAGCATAAGAGTAAATCAGACAAACTTTTTTGAGGCCAAAAACGCGAGCAGAGGCTTTGTAAAGGAATTTAGGAGAAATACCCTTAATGGACGTCAGTGGCCTGTCCTTTATTGATAAAGCTAAAAAATTTATAGTTTATAAAATGATTTATTCTTATCGTCTTAGGTGATTCCCTATATCCCGAAGGAATTTATCAAAAGGAGAAAAAACGGGAGGAAAAATTAGAGAGAATGAAAGAGAATTTTTTTCTCCTTCTGTTTGCGACTGTTGTGTCTCTAGATGTAGATATTTTTAGAAGTGAGATTTTGAACAAAGCCCCAAAGCTTTTAAAACTGTCTTTTTCTGTAATTAATCATTTCCGTCCTTTCGAGTAAATAGAGGAAAAGATGTTTTTTAAGCAATATTCCTTTCCGGTAGTTTTACAATTAAGTTTAATTATAATAATATCACCTTGAGAGGAAAATCTAGATAAAAATATTTCAAGGAATTCTCCCTATCGTCCTTCATTTTTAAAATATAATCATAAACTGACAAACTTACTGCTTAAGTAGTCGAATTTGTTTCAGATTCATTTCGTCATGCGCAAGGAAAAATGTGACTCGCTAATTAATTAAGTGAAAATTGAATTTCCGCCCGTCTAGCTTGACAGCTGTGATATTAAGTAAGATAAATTATAACAAATATATCGTAAGTTTTTATCTCTTGCTAAAAAAATCGCACAAGTCAATCAAAGAACGATAACAATCATGCCTTCACATTTGCATTTTGATATGCAGGGATTGATGGAGGAGTATGGATATAACTCCTTATTCTTCTCTTCTTCGACCATTTACATAAATACAACTATAAAAACATGCTAAGAATGTGAATGCATAGTGTATACATGTAATACTATACATTAAAATGTAAGTATATAGTGCCCTAGGAAGACTGTCTTGCCTAATAGTTTGTGATATTAATATTCAATCACTCGCCATCTCAAAATGTGTAAGATCACTTTTTTAGTTGCTTGCCGTTACTCTTCCGTTCAAAGTGCAAATTGTTAATTTTAAAGCTATTGCAGCGGGCCGTTGCAGAAGCCTTGTCTTTTTCAGTTTTGCCTTCTCTCGTCAGCTAGCTCGCCCCCTTTGACCTTTAAGGCTTTGGGCCCTGTGAACCCCATTTCCCATACCCTCCTTTCCCTCCCAATATACTGTAAACTACATAACCACTCTGATAGTCTCGTCTCTCTTCTCATAAAAAAAATAACAAAGAACTGGCTGGTGTAATTGGCACAATAGCGGCACACACACCTGCCTTCCAGTTATTTTCCTTTTCTCAGGATATCGTAGTCCTCTAGAACCTAAGACGTGAGAATTTCAGTTTTAAGTAAATACAGTCAGTTGATTTTCGATTTGTCTCCTCTTATGAAATAAAAACCAATATGACGTCATAGAAACTATTGAGAAAAAGCAAAATCCCATTTTCATACAGTAAGATCCCTAGAAGAACTCTGCAGATGTTTTCGACATGGGAAAATTCCTTTTTACACCCATATTGTATATAATCCGTATCAACAGGCTCACTAAATGCAGTAGATATACAAGGACAGAAAACTATTCTGGGTCGGGTAAGACAGCTTTTATATAATAAAATCATCCATCACAACTCCTTTACAGTCTGATATGGAAACAATTACTGCGTGCCCACCTTTTTATTGCGCCCAGTATAGAGGTATCTCACCTCGCTGTCATTTCTTTTGCCAATAATGTTACAAAAGCTTCTAAGTGGTCCCATTTACAAAAAAATTATGAAAGAAACGAGAAACAAAAGGAAAAAATGCATAATCTCCAATTCTTCGTCTGTTTCCTTTGAACTTTTTAAAGCTCAAATGTTCTAAAAATAACTACAATGGAAAACATTAGAAAATTCCATTACATATCTTTATTAACTATCGACTGTACTATTTCTGCGGTCTCCATCTTGAAATGTGACTCGTCGAGCTTCCCTAGTGGCACTCTGACTCCTCTGTTTATGCTTTGGACGTCGGATAATCGGTTTCAAATGTTTGGGGCACTGTCCAACATCGACTGTTATTTTAAACTCTTCGGTTTTTTCGATGGGTGGTGTTTTGCAAGCCGAATGGACCTTTCTGGCTTTCGTGCCGTGCCTTGGAGAATGCTGATGTGGGCCACTCGTTGTACAAACTCGAGGAGGCGGCTGAGGGCTTAAGGGTGGTTCGTCCTGCCTCAACTTGAGCACGCGCGTCCGACAAACAACGCAACGAAGCGGCAAACAACGCTGAGTGACGGCCGACTGGATGGTCTTGATAAAACATTTTCGACAAACTACTTTATGCTGACACGGCAGAGTTTGCATGTTAGCTCGGGCGACTAGGCATATTACACACTGAAATCGAAAGTTAGAAAAAAAAAGTTAAAGATATAGAAAAAGGATAATTGCGTGAAAATTGTTACGTTCTACTCTACGAATGTTTGTGCATCACTGCAAATTGCCAATTACCAGGCAGATGACACGCTGCACAAAAAATTGTAGGAATTAATGCTTTCGAGCCCTAATGGATTTTGTTCATTATAAAAAGTCCCATGCTGTCGCAAGCAATTTTCCAAGTTTTGCGTGTATTCACTACGTACTCCGTACTCGCCAATATTAATAGAATACTTTATATCCTTCTAGTCCTATTGAAGTCAATATGCCGTACATGGCGTAAATATTAGTGGCGAACTGAGAGAATGTATGAGACGTTTTAGGGGATTATTGATACTAGTCTCAGAGGATTTCTCGGAGAACGTACCGCGAACAATCACTGTTTATGCGGTTATTTCGGCGTGAGTTCGGCTCTTTTCAATGTCGACACGACTGAAGAGAAGACGATTGCTTATGATGAGATCAAGATTTTGACATACCTATACATATAGTATGCTATTTATAGCATTTATTGTCTTGTAGCTGACTGATTTAACTGTATTTACTGATTTTCTTAACCTTTATCGAACAAATAACGTTCTGCTGTCTAAAGATTAAAAGGATTAACCGTACAATGCATAATTAATCTTCTTAATGATAAAGAAGCGTCGTGTGACGTCAGAAACCCTTGTGCAAACTACTGGCTTATATATTTGCGGCGCGGACAATTGCGCTCAATTTCAGGAAAAAAGTCAAGAAGCTATTGGCAATCGCGTCTATTCATAAGAATTCGGGGCTTCCAATCAGGCGTCTAGACGCCAACTGGCGTCCAAAGATAGATACGGTTCGGTTAATTTTGTTCTATAAAAAAAAATACTCGATTAAAACATTCCTACAAACGGCCGTTTAATCCACCTAATCCTTGCACTTGAATTATGCATGGAGGTGTTATAGACTTTGGCTGCTACTTTCGATCTCATTTTTATAAACCAAAATACCAGTAGAATCGTCTTCCTTTTATATAAAGTACACATGTTGCATGCTATCAGTTACTGTTTAATAATATTAATTATAGAGATTTAATTAATAACTTTTTAATCGGAAGCTACTTCATGTCTTAGATCTTCAAAACCTTTAGGTAGATAAATTCTTTTGATTATTAGACGATTTCTCTATCTATCTAGCTAGCTAGCTAGGTATAAAGTTATTGATTATATTTAGTGGAATAGGCAAAATATCGAATTAAGCTACCGAAAATAATTAATTTAAAGAGGTAGCATTTTATTATTACAACCTCGTTTCGCTTCGGTTGCGTAGACTTTGGAGAATTCTAATTAGCCCAAGTGCATAATCGCTATAATAATAATCAAGTCGATAAAATAATCCATCATGAAATTTATACAACATGAATTAGTGACTATATATAGCTTTTCTCTGATGATAGCCCTAACTGCTGGTAGTTGGGAGGAAGTCTGCAATTTTTGTAGTATAGAAGAGAGGTTATACGGTATACAACATATTAGAGGACAAGGGACACCTTTAGCCTACCTCTTCTCCCTCGTAGTGGGGTAAGTCTTCACGTTCTACTTGTTTACCATCGAGTTTGGCTAGTAGTTTGTCCTGAAAGGAAGAACATATTGATTGACCACATATATCGTTATTGGGCGCGAAACTTGAGGAGACGTTATTTATATAAATTATATAGGTTTCTTATCTTTGTTTGATTTCATACCGCAATTTGCAGCTATTGTAAATTATTTGACTCTTTCAATTGATTCACGCAATCTACGTTGTGTGCGTAACGTATGCAAATTAAATAAAATATGATTAAACTTTCCGTTAAATTCGATATATAAATAATTTTTATTTTAAATAAGGAAAGAAAAAACCGTCTTTGTAGTATTTTCTAGGCTCTAAACATACCGGAATTCTTACAAGCTAATTAATCATTTTTCTCGTTCACCGTCTCCTAATTTACCAGGATTTGCAAATCCCTCTTTCCACCCCGCTCTCGCCCTCTCCCTCTCCCTTTCTCTTTTTCTTCTTATTTATCCTATTTTATTTTCTTTCTCATATTGACTACAGTAAACGTTTCCATTAGCAAGTATACTTTTTATCAAGGCCTATTAAAAGTCTTTACCACTGTCTATTAGTCTATACATTACATAGAAGAGCAATGGATTGTGTTATCGACGGAAAACTGCGGAATACAATAGAAAATATTATAGCTCGTCAGTCGCCTCTAATTTAATTAAGAGTAGTAAAGCCTTAATGGACGTTTGCGGAACAAGATAATTGAAAACGGAATACGAAAAAAGAAGAATTACAGCTATTTAAGTTGATAGTCAGAAGTCCAGGTAAAACCACACGCATATTTTTTCCACCTTGTCTGTCAATAATACATCAAAAGTAGACGCCGATGGAGCTCAGTGGGCATCATTATCGGTGCGGCATCCAACTTCAAAGGAATCCGTGTAACAGTTTCGATTTACTCTCAATTTTTTTCTATTTGCGAAGGGAATACGTCAGTACCAAGCAGGCTTTTAAAACTCATATATAAGGTTTATAGAAGAGTGTCGGGCTTTGTCGCTAGAATAATTTCGCTATCATTAGGATCGTTATTTGTTTTTTATTTCTTTCCAAATAGCATAACAGATATTACAGCGTTTTCCACCATTCTTTTTCGTATTTCAACTGAGCGAACAACCGACTACTCAATCATTGGTGAAAATCGTAACCAAATCACTTTTATTTCATTACATGTTTGCAGTACCGACGTTTCCTCTAGATTTCCTTGAGGCTATATTGATTTCACTGGTCACTATATATTGGATTTCGAGGGGAAATTGATTTGACCGGTCAAACAAAACAAAAAAGTGCTATGAATCTCCCTCTGATCCCATTTCTTCTTCAAATCTTTATATGTATAACAAAAATGAAAAATGAAACATAATTAAAAGTTGTGTCTTTAATGGTTCCTGAATTGATAGAGGATTATCTAAACCCATAATATGTTCCCCTTCATCCAATTTACTTTGAAGCGTGAAAAAAAGCTGTGGAAAGGAATTCAATCAAACAGTTTACTCGAGCCGTCACTCGGTCCGTCACCGATGTGATCTCAGCGACAGATTTCAAATTAGGTGACGCCGATGTCTCTGAAGAGCGCCGCTTTCGGCAGTTTAAAGTCAATTAGCGCCCCAGACAGCCTTTTTTTCAGTCGTTGCCATGCCAACTCGATTGGATCGAATTTTATAATCACGTGACATTGATTAAAGAGGGGCCGATTTTGCCTGGTTGATTGGGACGAGCCCGGCTTTTCAGTCACGGAAAGTGGCGTTCCTTTTTCACTTGTCCTGACTTGCTTGTTTTTTTTACTGCTAATTAGGTGTCAGGAGTTTCAAATGAATTTTTCATGGTCCGAATTTTCGATTAGGTTTGAGTGTAGAATTCGTTAGAGGCTATACCAATTTCTCGGTCTCATTTACTTGACATTCGTTGGAAAGGCTACTTGACTATTTATTAATCTCGGAATATATTTAGGTCGTCAAGGTTCAGTATTTTTCCCTTTGCTTAATTAAAACTTAACAAGGAAACAAGCCACTTTTCACATATCAAAAAAATACAAAGAAGAGAAACAAAGAAATAAATAAAGAAAAACTATCGACACTTTTGACGTTTCCTAAATCGACTGCCAAAATTTCTTAGTTGACACTTTCGTGTTCCGAATTGATAACAAGAGAAAGAGTAATAAAGAAACAGCACTTGACAAAAATATAATTCCTAGTCATGATTTGCTTTAGAAACATTTTTAGAATTAAAGTATTTCTATTAATTAAGATCATTAATACTTTTTTCCGTCGTTTAACCAAGACTGAAAAGAGAAATTTGTATTCCAGCATAGTACCAGACGTCGCACGGGACTATTTGTCCTCAAAGGTCATTGATATCTCTTGTAATGAATTTTTTCTCTCGAAAAATTCTTATGAATTGATTTATACCTCAAAGTGATATATTTGTATCGGTATTTACGGAATTTACGCAAAAGGGATTGTTTCCTTTGGTAAAGAATTTATCTATTTCGTAGGCCAAAATTTTTTTTTCGGGTATCCAGGGAATGCAAAATTATTGCTCAAAGATTACGAAACGACATTTTCACTTTAAATTATCCTTAAGGATAATTGTATTTAATAAAACGTTTTTTTCAATTTATTTGCATAAGGAAATATATTTTTATGGGATTTAGGAAAAAGATAAAGAAACTAGAAAGACTTACGATTTTCACATTCAAGCTCTGCAATTCCTTTTCGGCCTTTTTCTTTTGATCTTTTTCTGTTTGTTGTCTTCTGAATTCTTGATACTTTGCAACAAAGTACATCTTCCCCTCGCCACGCTTGGCAGCCGACTGACTTCTTTCTGGAGGAATATAAATTCAACGTCGCCACCTATGTACCATAGTCTGGTACCCAGTTCAACTGTCGTCAATTTTTGAAACGACGTAATCCCGTTACTAACTCGAAGGAATGCAATAAACAAGACATCAAGAGTTTCGCTGGTTTTTAGGAAACTGACAAAACAGTCAATTTTTACCAGACCATCAGACCAAACCTAATTTATTATCAATATGGATGACCTCAGCATGCTAATGCTAATTCTATCCGCCGGCAAATATTTCTCTGCAAGCTCTTTTTTAGGCATGCGGGTCAAAACACTCTGACAGTTTATTTTAAGAAGGAGATTAAATAATCTTCTGGGCGCAGATGTCTCAATGTGACTTTGAGCCTGTCGGTAGTCCCGACAAGAGAGAATGAATTGAATTTACGCATCGCCGGGGGCCTATTATCTTAGTTGATTTCGGTCGAGATTTTTCTTCAATAAATTCTCGTCCGCTAGTTCGTTAGTGTACATCCTGACGGAAAATAGCCCTTTCATTACTCCACATTTCATTCCAAACCCCCCCCTATATCTTCTCCTTAGTAATAATATATATTCTAAGTCTTTGTACTATTTTCAACTTAAAAAACAACTCGCTCTTTTATAACTTTTCAGTTGTTCAAGGATGTTGAACTAGCAAGTATATTAGAAACAAGTTGGTCTTTTCCGATTTCATCAAGCCATTTTTCATCGAGTATAAGTCATTTTGATTATTTTCGATTATCGACTCCTAAATCTCCATTGTCCCCCTGGCTACGGAAAAAATACGACAATGCCGCAATCGTGCTGTGTATACCTATTAGTTTGTAGTCTATTAAATGCTATTGAAAACATCCAGGCGATCAACATAAACTTTTTCAGGCAGATGGCGTTAGCTCGAGCGATCTTCTTCCTTCTGCAAGAAGAGAGTTGTTTATTGTGCTAGTCTAAATGCATTTTAAAGCAAATAAAAGAAGTTCTATTCATTAAAAATGAAGTTAAGTCTGTTAGGAGGATGACGTTTTACCTATCTTTGTAGAACTTGAATATATTTTCTTCCTGAAACCTTACTGCACGCTTTCCCATAGATTGTAAGCTATCAATCGACTGTTGTCAAAAACGCAGAGTTACTGAATTTATTCTAATTAGCAGCTCTAATTTAAATGTTCAATTAAATTAGATCAATTATTAATAGAGGATACGCTACCGAATGTGTTGATTGATATGATACTTGAAAGAAAGAAAAACACAAAAAAATAGGCTTACCTTCAGAGTAAACTGTTTATCATTGAATTCATCTTTTCTCAACTAGAATTGATGTTTATTTTAAAGAAAAAAAAAATGTTTTACATTTTGGTACCTTGTTCATCTAAGAGAAAGATAAAAAAATAGTTAATTTAAATAAGCAGTGAGTGTTATAGTTTTCATATTGAATAAGATTAGTGAATAGGGGAGATGTGGAGGCTCTCTATCGATAATTGAAAGGGACCTGACTGATTTGGATGAATGGGCTGTAAATCAGTCGACTGTGAATTTCGAAGGGAAAATCGGAAGGAGGACACTGTTTATAGTTCGAGTTAAAGGGAGGAAAATTCAACTCCTAAAAATTCAGTGTTAGAGATTTAATTTTTAAGGGCTATTGTGCCATAAAATTACATGGACAAAATGTTGTGTCAGAGAAGAAAAACAAGTTTTTTATGATGATAAATAGAAAAAATTTTTATGAATAGCTTTCAAATACAACTGCATTTAACTGGCAAAGGAAAATCTGCTAATTAGATAAGATGATTACATTTGAATTACGAGGAATACGCAGACTGAAATGGTAAGTTAATCGAGTTGCTGATAATTCTTAGTAAACTAAGGACACG